GTGGCATGCACCAGCTTTTGGCGGAACTCTTGGAGAACCGCTGCGCCTTTTCATTTGCTGCAGGGAGACAGGACGTAAAAAGCAAAGCCAGCGAGAGGGGCAAATGATGCAATCTGTCGCCGCGTGGCGGCGTGCTAGCTGGTGCGGTTAGGTAGGTAGGTTAGTTTTTATTTTTTTCCACCTGGAGGTGGCTTGTGGCAAGCCGCGTTACATGGCTCAGTGTCTAAGAGCGGAGGACCACTTGCTCCTGTCGTGATTTTCCCCGGCCAGAGGGTTGTCTTACTGGAGAGGATTTCGGTTGCAGGAACCCGAGCTGAGTTTGAAGAAGGCCAATCGAGCATCCTAACATGTAAGCACGGTCAGAGATGCACCTGGCGTACTCCCTGGCGTAATTGATTGCCTTTTGACGGGACTGGCCCGATGCCAGCCGTACTTTAATTCTGACGATACCACTCACCAGGCCAAGTACATGGGTTCTTGAAAACAAGGATAAACGATGCTCCTATGCATGCATACCATGATATGATGATTAGACCCGTCTCGGTGCTTCATCACAGACTGAGCCCTTCATTCGCCTCTCATTTTCTTCTGCTGCATTCATTGAAGCTGCATTGCTCGTTGTCTGTTTCCCCTTGCTGTTCTTGTCTACATTACCAAGGTACGAACAATGTGACGCCCAAGCGCGCACCAGCAGCTGCCCTTACTTAGTCGACCTAGTCGATCGACTCGGTACTGGACTTAGCTCACGCTTTGTTCATAACTCGTCTGATCTGTCTTCAGAGCCCGCCTCCATCAACATTCGCAACCGGCGGAGAAGCACGTAACTGCCTCAGAACAAAAAGAAACAACACAAGAATGAAAGATTGAGTTGCGAGCTTGGTGACGATTGATGATGGGTGCGGGGGGGACCAGGATAGCCGGGACAGGGATATGCTCGCAAGGTGCAGTGGCAACAGGTGGGTTTCTTGAAGCTACCTGACCTGCCTTAGTCCGGTGGCCGTCAGTGGATCGCCGTCCCGGGGTGGGCGGAAGCCAAGGGAACCTTGGGAATGCCTGCGGATGGCGGGGCGAGGCTGTAGCATCCATGGATCTAGCCACTAGCGCATCTTTCCCAGCGGCTCCTCAGCGGGCTGGCTGGCGGGCATCCCTTCCACCTCCACCAGAGCTAATTACATACTTGTACTTACTTGAGTCGAGTGCCTACTCCGTAGGTAGCCTGAGAAGCAAGCTAAAAGTTATCTCCCAGCCTATGTATTTTGTTTAGTCCCTGTCTGGCGCATGTTGTCGTGTCTCTCTTCTCTCAAGCTAGCGCTTCGACTCTTTGAGAGGCTCTTAGCGTACCGATCAGGTGAAATACCCAAGTAACGTAGGTACCGACCTACCGACCTTCGTCCAATAACATGAGACCAGACTTTCAAGACAGAGGATGCGGTAGGCAACGGCGCGTTTGGCAGCGCTCGGAGCCCTAGGGATACCAGCTGCTTGGTATGCAGGAGGAGCTGGAGGCCTACGGAATTCATAAAACTGACTACATGACCTACCTACTCGCTATCAAATACTTGTAACAGTGTACGGCTTCGCACGTACTTTGTTGGGGCTACTCGAGGTACGCAGTCTAACTACCTTACCAAGTACATTACGGAGTAGGTAGGCTGGCCAGTGGGAACCGCTGGGAGCTCGAGCTAGGGAGTCTGGCGGCCCCGCCCCTGCTGCCACACCCTTCCCAAGCCCAGGGCATGCAAGGCCCGGAAATCTACCATACCGTCTTTCACAAGCTCCCTTCCAGAGTCTCACTTTGACCCTTGTCAGTGACCGGGGTGTCTCCCACACCACCTTTGATGCAGCCGACTCTTTTCAATGACATGCTGCTCGTCGTCACCGATCTCCGGCTTCCTGTCTGCTGGACCTCTGGGCCTTGATTCGGTCTGAGAGGGGCGAGCGAAGGGACCTCAATCAGCTGCTACTCCGTAGCTCACAGCCGTCTTGGTTGCTGGCATGGATGACGAAGTGCTACTCTCGTCCCTGCGCCCGCAGAGCAGCATGATCAAGGCCATGCGAGCATGCCCAACAAGAACAGCAACAACGACGACAGCAACGACAGGCCACTCCCGCTCCAGAAGCTACCCTGCCTGCCTGTCTATCTTGACGACATGGGAGGGGCCCGATCCGAGCTCGACTGGCTGTCCGCCGTCGGCCTAGTCTCATGGATCATTGGGAGTCGGCGAGTGCTGGGACTACTTGTAGAAACGCCATCATCGACCAGTACGGCGGGTTGCAGCTCCTGCTCCTCCTCGGCCGCTACCTACCACCCAGGTAGTTACCTCACCTCAATAAGCCAAGGCCACTCTTCTCGCTGGAAATGCAATCCAAACTGTGGAGCATCGTGGCATCGCGTCGCCGAACCCGCTGGGTACCTCTCCAAAAGCGTACCTAATAAAAGACATGCCCGAGATGTGGTGGGGAGGGGAAGCAAGCGCTCCTCCACCGACACCCCGGTCCGGCCATCTCACTCACTCACTCACTCGTTCAACTCACTTCTGCTGCTTGTTTCTCACCAGACCTTTCTTACCTTGCCTACCCTACCGTTGCGTACCTAGTCCCTAACTACTACGTCCAGGGCGTACTTCTTATTCCACTGCTTGCCATACCTGCCGGTACCAAGCTCTGTCCGCTGTCCACTCGCATGGCATGTAGTTAGTTACCAAGGTGGTGCTACTCCATGCTGTGGGCGATGGTATTCTTTTGCTCCCACACCTGCACCTGCATTCTGCCTCCCCCAATCTCCATCCTCTCTCCATCTTCGTGCTCATGCCAACCTTGCACTCTCTCTCTTGAGCCCGTCTCCTCTCTCGACCTCTTTTCCCACTCCCCATCCTTTCATAACGAGATCATTACACCCCTCCTCCACCTCGAGTCACCCCACCCATCTCTACAAGTACTTCTATCCTTGCCTCCCATCCATCTCAAGGGGTAGGTACCATGCACCCATGTACCTCCAAGAGCTGCAGGGAGACTTGCATCAGAAGCTTTCAAGACCAGCCCGTCCTGCGTCCTGATCAGGTACCATTTCGCGGCCAGCTGGAGACGGTTTGACCTTCAGCCTCTATCTCTCCCAGTACATGGCCGGCCAGAGATCTCAAGACCTCGCATGTCAGGCCTTGCGCGTCCGACCAGCGAACGTGCAAGTGGCCTGCCAGTGGTGGAGGCATTGATCGTCCCCTCAGCCATTTCACCCCAAGGGTTTGCCAGTTTCGTCCCGCCAAAAGGTCAGACAGAATACTTCTTCCCACACCAACCGCCTACCAACAAGTCTCGCCTACAACAGAGGTACATCATCACTCCCAGTCATCCGACCCTTGCCCTTCTGGGCTGGACGATAATACTAGGTGCTTGGCCGTGGTGTTATTGCTCGTCCTCAAACCTCGCTATCAAAACTCTGAGTGGCCATTGATTCTTTACACAGCTTTCTTTCCCACCCGGTGTCCTCCTCTCAGAATATCTTCATCTCTTCTCTTGTGCTACTCTCTCTCTGCCGTCCAAAGGCGCTCTGCCCTCGTCAGATTATACTAGACCTTGTCACTTGTGAGCGGTCTGTTCCCGGCGCCACAAAGAGGGACATCGTTGTCGTTTGTGTACCCTTCTTTCCTTCCGAGAGCCCCTCCATTTCCATCTGCGTCCTCGCCGCCACTGCGTCGTCTCCGCTCCAGCATCTTGACTTCCGCCCCCGTCCAATTCACCCAAGTAGGACTGGAGGATACGCGGTCGAGGGCAAGATTTCCCGCCCTTCTTAGAGAGCGTATTGCCTCGCCTGGCCTCGCATTAGACATTTGACTGCTTTCGGGCCTAGCCAACCAACACCCTTCGCAGCTTATACACGACCGAAGCTCCAATCCTGGCTTCCCGACGTGAAGCCGACTATTCGTATAGTTCGCGATAGGTTATTCGCCCCCGAGAACGACTTCGCGGATTCCAATCGGCCCTTTACACGCCTTGAAGAGCTCGAGAATTGCTTCATCGACTGTGCTTTCGGATCTTTTGTCAACTCCGCAGCTCTATCTAGCCATCCAATTCGGCTTTGGACCGACTTTGTGTGGGCTCGCGTTGTACGACTGAGAACCGTTCGACTGCAGCCGTTTCCCATTTCGACACCTTGCCAGGATCCGGTCTCAGCGCACGCCGTTTAAGATTCGCATCGAAGCTTAGCTTGTGAAGCTGGTGAATGTGGGCTGGTTCTTTTGCCTTGCTTACGACGGCCAACGTACGCCTTGTCCTTGCTGAAGAGGCACTGGGCTCGGCCAACTTACTGCCAAGGAGGCTCGGGCTGTTTATCCACTGGCCTCATCGGCCACTCGTCTTGATCACCGGTCTATGCAAGGAGAAGAAGGCAATTGAGCCGTTGCGGTGAAGCACTTATTTGATCATCTTCACGCAGACGGATCTGTCCGTGGGCATGTTGTCGACTGGCTCGTACGGCAGATATCAATTACCTCCATATTCTAGACACAAAGGTCCTAGATACAGAGGCTCTTTGTTGGCTTGCTTTAGAAACACCCTCGCACACTGATCATTGCGTTTGGGTGGCTCGGACTACCAAGGCCTGCCCCTCTATCCCACGCAGTCACTCGTATAGTCGCCTAGTCCACATCGTGGTGCCGACCAGCGCCGCCATTTCGTCTCCAGCCTCGACTACTATACATATATTGTCTCGTCCACGTCGTCATGACGATAGGCACACGTCCTCTTTGACGTACAGCAGACCACGAGCCTTGAGCTTGACCTCAAGGAGACTGATAAACAACATCGGTATGCTTCGCAATGTTCATCAACCCCTCTTTTTGTATTCTAGACTAACGTCGAGAAAAGGCACCCCTCTGTAAAGCTCTACATAAAGTCACTAATCTGCACTTCTGTCCGGTTCCAAATACGTGCTTCAGTTTCAAGCCGTGTTACTGGAGTCGAGGTTCCGATCTTGTTGCTGCAGTCTGCGTCTATCTGTCGTCATGGTACGAGAACTTCCTCCGGGATACCTCCCCCGGCCTCACTGGCCCGTGGACAGATTTCCTCCCGACCCTATCGAGAGCTACCGATATCATCATCATGAGCAGCAAGACTTCAGGGGTCCTCCCATGGTACGATTCATCCGCAATACGTGCAATACTATCCCTTGACTAACAACCCTTAGGGAATCGATAGGGCGTTGAGAGAACAGTGCAAAATCCCGGCGAAATATTACTTTGTCGCCGCCGTTCTGGACGATGGAACTGAGGTGACATTCTCAAGTCCTAACAGGTCTCAGGAAGGCCTTGTCCCGAAATTCTTCAATATGCAAAGATGGGTCCAGTGGACCACTCATGGATCGAATGGTAAGCATGCCTTGGCCTTGTACCAGAGGCACAGGACTGACCGCATTTGTTGTTCAGCTACCAGCCCGCTTGTCGAGGAGCCAGACCTCGGCACTGAGGAGTATTCTCGCCCAGCCCATTCAGAATACTCGAATCGCCGCGCGTATGACCGGCGCCGGGTACATCCCAGTGACGCATTCGATGCCCAGCGAAATCGCAAACGACCGAGGGCCGTGGGATTCCATCGCGATTTAGACCTTGTTGATGACGACCCGGCTCCTATCGTCAAGGCCAAAAAAGTTTCGATCAAGATTGGCGACTCGAAACAAGTCTGGGATCTCTATGATCAGCGTTTCAGGAATCTGCAGCAAACAGCCTGCAAAATCATGGCAAAGGCGTGGGTCAAGTTAGTTGAGCCAAAGAAGCAATCCACGCATCCCTATACAGGAAGTGACGAGAAGGCACCGGATTGGTGGCCGAAGCCGTGGGGCCCGACGCGAGACGAAAAGGTTCGGCACAAGGAGCCGGACCACCTCTACAAGAAAGGCACGTCTTGACTTGCCTTCGTTTTGCGTGGATAGGATAGGGGCTAACTGGGTGACAGAGCGTGTCTACCTTCTCAACCACATTCTAGGGATGATAGTGCAGCCCAATGCGAAACAGCATCCCGATATCCAGAAGCTGAACCTCAATGTTGAAAAGCTTCAGGCTGCAACCGACGAGGCGTTGTCCGCTTTCTTCTTGGACAAGGACAACCCTAACAACGGCAAGAAGAAGCCATATCTCAAGGAGCTGTTCCATGTCGCGCGGTTCGAGGAAAGATACAGGAACGGGGAGATAGGTATGAGCATACCAATCTACTCCGTGGTTGCATGTTGGGCTAACAAGAAGCAGATGGTGACACCGACGTCTGGGTTATGGCTGATGACAAGACGCCGGAGAGTTACCAGTCCGACAACGAGGACAGCACCCCCTCGAGAGAGGAGGAGGAAACCGAGCCAGTGTCTATCACCGTCCCTTCCACAGTGTCGCCGCAAAGAACCAACGGTACCGCACTGATGCCTGCCCCTGCCCCTGCCCCTGCTCCCGCTCCCAACGAACACGACCAGAACAACAACATGCAGAATGCTTCTTTTCTAACCGACTTACCTCACCGCGGGCATCCCTACCAAACCCCGATGCTTTCCACGAATCTCAACACTGATCATCACCCGTACATGGAAGGCGGAGCGATGGGTGTCAACGGGCCTGGCTCCATGCATGCGCCGCCTGTCAGTATGGCTTTGCAAGAGATTTGTCCCAACCCACACGACTCAAGTCGCCGGGGCTCCCTTTTCAACACCTCTGCAGACTTTGGCACGCCTACTACGCCAGCGATATACCAGACTTGGCAACAGAGCACCACGGCTCCCACAAATTCCCCGATGTACTCTTTCACGCCGCAGCAACAAACTCCGAACACTGGCCCGTTTGTCCCTCAGGCCACGGTTCCACCGTACATGGGTCCGCCATTTGATAGCCTGCCGCGCGCCGGATTCGATCCCTCGCAAGAGAGCCTGTTTCGCGGCACAACCGTTTCATCAGCGCCAGTTCACACACAAGGTTATCCGATGTCCCTCCCGCATGATCACAGAGGCTTGCAGGGCCAGAAGACGGAAGCACATGGCCGGGGGCTGCATTGAGAGTCCGCGTGCTTGTCTGGCGTCCAGATGGTCTCGGCCCTAGTCGTTGCCATCCGGAGCGATCGTGCCCCCAACACTCAGCAGGGTCAGGTGCTCAGTGAAACGGTAATCCCATTACTTACACCGCCGTATCTACACCAACAAAATATCTCGATCGCAAAAAGCCAGTGTCGATCATACATGGTTAATCGCAACCGTGTCCTCTGGGCTTCGTCATCGATCTCTGAATTTTCTGTTCAGGATATTTCCTTGGACGGAGGACGCGCGGAGGAGAGGCATACCCCCTTGGCCAGCCCTTTTTGTTCCTCACGTCTGCCTTCTCGGATTTCTTCCCTCAGAGAGCGCATCATGGCGCAACTACTCTCCTTCCTTTGTTTTAGCGTCCTACAACGAAACTTCCACTGGCAATGAGCATCGAGCTTGACGACCCTCGGAATTCCACGACGCGCTGAGGGAGCTCGACTGAAACTGATATCGGCATACGCACGCGATCATCCGTTACGTCTTTATGGCTTCACAACATATACACGAGCGAGCGACGTTGGTTGTTTCTTCTTTTTGCTCAACTCTGCACCGGCGTCTTCTACGACATCTGCGATTTTGACTTTGGGCTCTACGGGACTGGCTACCTCCTTGTTCGATCCCTTTATGCATGGTACGGTCTCTTGTTAATTGCTGGTCGAAAGGAGGAATTTACTTCTCGCATGCTGTCTACCTCGGTCGAGCAGGATATTGCTTCACAAATGGCGGACACTCTTGGGCATGCATATGCCTTGGTTGCGGTACCAAGGCTTTTACAGTGACGATCCATGCGAATAGCTTTGTTACAAAGCAAAAGACCGGGAGTAAGGCGGCTATTTCTCTTCAAGTGTCCAAGGTCTGTTGAGCAGCGTGTTTGCGGAGCTTTTGTGCGTTTTTTTCCCTCTTCTCTTCTCAAAATGGACGCCAGCTTCGGGGCGTTTGCGTTTCCCAGGTACAATAAGCGAACAGGAAAGGGACCGTTTTTCTCATGACTGAAATGGTCCTGCAGTGTGTTTGGCGCATTTCGCCCAGGTCGGGTCAGGACAAGAATCAAGAAGGCCTGTTTAGCAAGGAAATCTTTTTTTGTTCTTTAGCGAGGATCAGGGTTGGGACAAGACATCCTCTCGGGCTTGAAGACTGTTCCTCGCATGGTTTTATCCCCCTTTCTTTTCTTTTGATCTTTGTCTTTCGTTGGTTTTACCGAGATATGACGATGGATGATATACCACTTGTGTTATTCTGCTAGGAAACTAATGCGTCGACATGTGAGCGGTGTTTCGGGCACTACAAGGGACCGCCCGTCCATAATGAAATGGAAAAGGAGGGTGGCTTAAGCTAGGCGCAGCTTTTGAAGAAATACGATCAGCCCTTGGTCCCACTCAGACTTTGTTTTGTATCTTGACCCATCTTTGGACGTGTGCTCGTTGGTCTTTTGACTTGAGGAGGCGGTGGCTTTCCGTGCTAGCTTGCAGCGGCGGGATAGAAGAGTTGCGGCAAACCTCTTGGGCTATCCGGGGTTCTAGGAAGCGAGTTTGCGGTGATGGCTTGAAGCTGGCACCCCGTGATTCGTTTTCGTGCCATGAGCTAGTTGTGTTCCCATCGCATTCAGCGCCATGCACGACGATCATTCCGTCTTGTAGGCGCTGGTTTCATCACATCTTCTACAGGGGAGTACCCTTGCTTCGGGAATGTGTTTGTATGCTCAGGTACCCAGTACCTGGAAAAGTCTCGCGTACATGCGTGCTAGTTCACGGAAGCTTGACTAGATCGTTGCCGGAAGCCGGTCTCAATGGTCGGCCTGCCGCTTTCCACGGCATGCCGCTTTCCGGACTCCCTGGGCATGTTCTATGATCTTGGCGTCGGCGAAATAAGAAACGACAGCAGAGCCGGTAGGTTCGGGAGTAAGTTGGCAAGGTTGATCACCGATGTACGTTTGCCTAATGTCACGATCGGATGGCTACCGAAACTCGTGTTTGGAGCCGTGCCTGCCGCCCTGGGTGATCGGGGATGATTCCTACGATGAAGCGAAAAACTCCTTAGGATGACGAGCTTATAGTTCCCGGGTTTCATCTGATCTCGATATCGTCCACTACCAAGTTCCATATCTATGAAGCTTAGACATCGACACCATCCCCTCTTTCCTGCCAAATCTCTCCATTTGGCACGTTTTCCGATTTGCCTTACCTTCTCCTCTAGGCTTTTGGCGTTGGTTGCCCCGAACTGCGTGTCGCACTCATCATCCGAGTCTTCTTACTGCTCTCTCCCTTTCATTCATCCTCCCCGCCCGTCCTTCATTTCGACTTCGGCTGACAGGGGTGCCGTTTGCTCTTCCACTGGCTTCCGGCTTGAAGACACTTTTCTTCGGTGTGCCCGATAGAACGACTTCCTTCCACCATCAGTTCCCTATCCTATCATTTCTCACTTTGCCCACCAGTCATAAGTGGCTGCTGGCCCCTGACGTTCCTCTTCTGGCGCAAGTGGCATCTACCCTTGGCAGATGCTTTCCATTTAATACCTCCACCTCGTCCTTGTCTTTGCTCTCTCTTTCTTCCCATCCTGCTTCGTCGCTATCTGTCTCAATTCCCCTTCAACCAGACGACAACACCTTCTGATCACCTTGTGATCTTATTTCTTCTTCAGACTGGCATCACATACTCAAACTCTCGACTGAAACCGATCGCTGCTCTCATTCCGTCAATTTGATTTTGAGGGCCTGATATCCTCAGCTTGCTTTCCATCGCTCTCCTACCCCTTGACTACCTAGCCTTCTTAAATTGCTTTCACCTCATTCTCCTTCTCTCCACACACACCAAAATAATCCCCAAGTCAGAGACTTCACTTTGCTGGAGTACTCGCTTAGGGTGAGTTCAGCACCAGTGCATTTGCGTACGTCCAGTTTATCATCCGTGACCCCACAAGCTGTAGGCACGCCCTCGTGACTCGTTCATGACAGGCACCATCCCGTCACTTCAGGATGAGTTCTCCGCCGCCTGCACGTCCGTTGGACATACCGGTCCAGCCTCAGCGGCCTCACTCCGCGGAGCCTAGAGTTCTTGTTCCGGCTGCCGTTGAAGCAGCCCCTCCGATGCAGTCAGCAGGCCCTGAAGCAGCTACCACGGTGCAGCCAGCTGGAGTTGAAGCAGCCAACAAGGGCCAGTCAATCGGCGGTGTGCAACACGAGCCTTCAGTCAAACAAGAAGCCCCTGTCGAGTCGGTCAGGGAGGACATTGCCGGCATCAACGAGCATGTCCCGCAGACCAGGGTGAAGGAGGGGCCTGTTGATAAACCCGTCTTGAAGAATAGTGTCGAGGAGAGGCTTCAGAGACCGCGGGAACTTAAGGAGCGGTTTTCCAAGTCGGCGTCTGTCGGAGAGGTGGTCAATGCCAGTGATGCAGATCAGTCTGCTCAGGAGGCAGTTGAAGAGGCAGTTCAGGAGCCTTCACCAGCTCTCTCGAACCTCGAGAAGCTCATCGATACGACGGAGCCTGAGCCTTTGGAGAATGGAGTCCATTCCGCCATGAAGGCCCTGCAAAAACTCCAAGTCTTCCTTGCTAAAGACACTAACGACACGCAAATCCGCAAATGGCTCGACACTATAGCCGCTCTGCGGAAATCTGCCAAGCGTACTCGTACAGTGGTTGGTGTTGTTGGTAACACCGGTGCTGGAAAGAGCTCCTTGATCAACGCCATGCTGGACCAGACTCGGCTGCTTCCAACAAATGGAGTGCGAGCATGCACAGCTGTGGTGACTGAGATGTCATGGAATGCGTCGGATGACCCCAGGGAGCAGTACCGAGCGGAGATTGAGTTCATTTCACGGGAAGATTGGTCCAAGGAGGTGGACTATCTCTTTGAAGAACTCTTCGAGAACCAGGAGCTGTCTCAAGATTACTTGAATAGCGAGACTGAAGCTGGCGTCGCTTATGCCAAGATCCGTGCAGTATTTCCGCAACTGACTCGAAACAAAGCACTCCTCAAGGAGTGTACCCCTACCAAGCTCGCCACACATCCCGATGTCCTCAAAGTGGTCGGCTCAGTCAAGACCATTGCCGAATCATCTCCCCTGGCTCTGTATCAGAACCTTCAGCTCTACTTAGACAGCACAGATAAGGAGGCCATGGTCGACAAGGCGAGCGCAGGCTCGAAACAGAAGAAACCCATGGCGTTCTGGCCGTTGATCAAGGTCGTGCGCGTCTACGTCAAGGCAGATATCCTATCGACCGGCATTATCCTTGTTGATCTTGTGAGTCCTCGTCCCGAATTCCCGCAGCAACATCCAAGCTAACTCAATCTGCAGCCTGGAATTCAGGATGCAAACGCCGCTCGCTCGGCGGCTACATGGTACAGTGTACCGCTATCTGGGTCGTGGCTCCCATTCAGAGGGCCATCAGTGACAAATCGGCCAGAAACCTACTGGGCAACTTCTTCAAGCTCCAGCTCAAGATGGATGGCAGCTACCGCAATGTCACGTTCATTTGTTCGAAAACTGATGACATCGTCATTCACGAGACCGCCCAGACCCTGGACCACGCAGGTAAATTAGAAGATTTCCAAGTTCGAGATTCTCAGTTGTTGTCCATGATCAAAGTCAACAAGGGAGAGCTCAAGCGTTTGGATAACATCAAGGACGCCGAGCTATTTCGTTACGATACTAAGGCCGAGGAGTGGAAGCAGTGGAGGAAACTTGCCAGAGATGCTGCCAAAGGCAGGAAGGTCTATGCGCCAGTTGCGGTTTCTAGGAAGCGGAAGAAGAACCACCGCGGTCCCGGTCGTCGTGTCCGGCGTGGACAACGCCAAATGGTGGACTCTGACTCTGATGATTCTACTGACGACGAAGCAAGTGAGGTGCTCACCGCGGAGGCCGCGCAACAACGGGTGATTGAGCTCAAGGCCGAGACGGAGGCCCTCGGCAATAAATGCGATCAAGTTGAAGACCAAATCGCTCAGGTCGAGCAGTCGACGCAAGGTCTTATCGACTCGAGAGAAGCCCTCTCGAATGACAAGGTGGCGTACTGCATTCAACTGCGTAATGACTACTCTCGTGATGGGATTCGTCGAGATTTTGCCGCTGGCAGACGGGAGTAAGAATAACGTCTTCTGTCCCTTCAAACAGAACTAACGGCTGTCTAGGCTTGATCAAGAAGAAGCTTCCCAAGCAAACCCCCAAGCCTTTGATCCTGACCAAGACCTCCAAGATTACAACGAGGTGGCCCAATCCCTGGAAGTCTTCTGCGTCAGCTCACGGGGTTATCAACAGGCATGTGGACGGGGAGATATCGACAACCCAGTCAAGGGATTCCGAACCGTGGAAGATTCTGAAATTCCTCAGCTGCGGGCCTACGCTAAAAAGCTGACGGAGGGCGCCCGTGTGCTTCGAACTCAGACTTATCTTTCCGATTTCAATCGTCTCCTCAAGAGTCTGACCGACTGGTCTACAAACAACACCAAGACGGAGCGACGCCTCAAGTTGAGCCAGGATTGCAGGCAAGAGGAGCTGAAGTTCCTCCACAAACATGCCCGCGCCCTCAGGGAGGTATGCTTTGCTGTTCCTTTTCTTTCTAGGCTTTGGCTATGAAACTGACGATCTTCTTTAGCTTCTTGAGGGCGAGGTCAACAAGACAGTCGGCAACTTCACCAAGACGATGGACCGGTGCATCATCAACAAGGAGGCAGGGGCTATTCTGGGAGCGGGCCGCAAGGCACCGGATATTGTGGCTAGCTGGGGAGCCAAGGCAGCTGACGGAGGTGTACACTGGAACACATACCGGAGCACCTGCAAGCACAAGTGAGTTGAACGTCGACGTTCCACCCATCACTGTACTGATGAGCTTGTGATAGGGGCGACAAGAGGAAAGGATCATCGGCGAGGGATTTCAACCAAGGTAAGTCGGGCATAGGCCCTCCTTTCCCATCCTTATCGAGCTGCCATCCCAATGGGTCATAACTCGCCAATCACCACCACCGCTTCCATTTTATAGTTGCTGGGTGACCGAGCTCTAATGCATCTTGTCCAGAGCTCACCGAGCCTTTTCTCCTGTGTATCGCGACGGGCTGGGAGAAGGCCTTCTCGACTGAGCTTCCAAAGCTCTTGGACGCCTTGTATCAAAGTGCCAATCGGCGGCTGCTTGAGTTTCACCAGACGGAAGTGAATCGACCTAACCTGGTACCCTACAAGGCATACGGCAATGACTTCCTCACTCGCCAGGCAGAGCAATACTCTCGAAGCATGCAGGCAATGGTCGATGAGCAGCGGGTGTCCACTATGACTTCCCAGAGAGACACAAACAGGCAGTTCACGCCCGTGATCAAGGAGGCGATGTCCAAAATCTACAAGGCCTGTAGTGACATCAGGGGTGAGTCCTGCTACAATCCCCAGACTAATTATTTTTCTTCTTAGCTTGGCTGACTATTAGGATAGGCCGGGGCTGTTTCGAGAACATGAAGGCTACCATGGAAAACTGTGTCCGCAAGAACAAGTCCACCATATACAAGAAGGCGGCCGAGTCGGTCCGGCCAGACTTGCAATTGATAAACAAGGGCTTGGAACAGGGACTGCTGGACGGCGTCGACAAGCTAATCACGGATATTGAGGAGGACTGGAGGGCCTTGATCACAGGCGAGACCGGTATCGACGTGCCCCATCCGGCTCGCGAGGAGATCCGAAAGCTTCTGAGCACGATCGACGCGGCCTTTGGAGACACCTCGTCTGCGCCTCCTATGGATACGGAGATGAGGGAAGTGGCTTCCAACCCGGATGAGGTGGTTCGTGCTTCTCCCGCTGTCCCTGAGGCACTCGCTACCGGTGGTTCTGCTGCCGATGAGCATAACTCTGTTGCATCTGCCGCTGCAAGTGCTTCTGGTAGTGTGCTTCTTGGAGTGGACGGCATCAAGACGGAGGGGCCCGAGTGAGGGAGAAGACGCACACTGCGTGGTTTGAAGACTGGGGTTTTCTTTTCATTTCCCGTTTCTATTCATTCGAAGACAACGATTCACACGACGATCATGACATGGAGAAGACTGCTGATGGGCACAGGAAGGAATTCAGGCAGACTCGTACAGACACTAGCTAGTTTGACGGGTTCAACTTCGACTCCTGCGGCGTAGAGATACCACTGACAGATAATTGACTGCATTTGCCATGGTTTACTCAAGGTGACCTGAGCATCGTTGGGCTAGGTACATTAGGTGGTGTTCTTGGAACTACCTAGGTAGTCGATCTCACGATGTTTGATATTTCCGTATAAGACGATGAGGTATGGATCGGCCCCCAAAATACTCTATTCTTCTCAACTTGAGCCAATCAAGGAAGCGGGACCAATGGTCGATTGATCCTCAACACCGCGAAACTCTGAAAGCCTTCTCCAACCCAAGCCCGTACTCCGAAGTGGCGATGGGAGCACCTGGAGGGATGTGAGTCCTTGAAGTTGAGCGGACTAAGGCCGAAGTCTTGACTCGGCAGCTGCTGACCAAAGGTCCTTTTGTCCTGTGAATGACGCAAATCTGCGGGAACCAGTAATCCAAGGTACTTTTCCAGAAGCCTGTTAATTTCCCCCACCTCCCCTGGAGATCTACCTTGTTAGCTCGGCCTGGACCCACTGTAAATCCGAACTACAGCGCGTGAGCCCATCTCCATTTTACATCGATTCGTCCATGCATCCTGGATTCCATCACAACAAAACCAAATCCACAGCCACAACCGACTCACTGCTCCAAACATCTCAATCCGCCGCCAAAATTCCCAGGCCTTTCCTCACCTACTGGCGAACCCCTCAAAGAGAAATATTTGACCCCGCTTCTTTGAGTGGCCCGCGCTTCCTGGCGCATGGCATCTGATGACTGCACCTCGCTTCACTGAGCTGCCAGGCCAAGGACCAAGCGTGAAGTCCTGAAGCCTCTTTGGCTGCAACATAATCTCATGGGGTTTCTTCGTTCAGACATCCGTGAACTTGTACACAAGTCTTTGCAATAATGGAGTCGTCAGCGCAGATGGCTTACCCTCCTTTAGAGGATGTGGGCGCACTGGCACTACCTGGCGGAGATGGAACGGATGTAGACATGGACGCATCCGATGCAGCTGTCTCTGATGCCGATTCAGATTATCTCGAACTCCAGGCAGACATGGCAAAGCTTGACGCCAGCAGAGAGGCCTTCCTCTCGCAGCAGCTGGGTGAGGAGTATGGCTCACGGCCAGAGTCTCGCGGGCCACCAGTGGCCACCTCGACTCCTGGCTCTCGGGGACGCGGCGGCACAGCCAGAGGCCGAAAGCGCGGCCCTCGCAAGGCAGCGGAGCCGACCCCAGAGATTAAGTTTCGACTGGCCCAGGCCTACAATGCCTTCATTGGGACCCATTACGACGAGGCGATGGATATTGTCAAGGAAATCATTCGTGTCAATGCCGAGACCTTCGGCGCCTGGTCGCTCCTGGTCTCACTTTTCGAGGAGAGCGGACAGATGACAGAGGCGCTCAACGCCAAGGTGTTCGCGGCGCATCTGCGGCCAAAGGATGTCAACTCATGGATCGAGTGCGCGACCATGGCACTGGGGATGAGCGCTGACCCCACGACTCTCGAGACTGAAGAGCAGGTCGAGGCAGAGAGACTGGATCGGCTCGATAAGCTGCAGATCGCTGCTATGTGCTACTCGGCTGCGCTGCGGGCGGATCCAAAGCATATCGCTGCAAGAATTGGCAAGGCAGACGTCGAGCTCGAGCTCGAGCGCTTTACACAAGCCGCGGACGATTACCTGCGATACCTCAGACGGCGACCCTACGACATTGAGGCAGTCAGGCACTTGGCGGAGGCGTCATACGATTCAACACGGCAGGCAGAGATTGCCGAAAAGGCCACCGAGGCATACAATACCATCATCACCCACCTTAGGAATGGAGGGGTGCTTGACAATGGCTTCACTCTAGAATGGATGGACGTTATCATCTTCATCGAATTGTTTGCTTCGATTGGCCAGTACGGCAAGGCTGCCGGAGCGGTCGGGTTCTTGTCACGATGGCTCCTTGGCCGCCCGGACGAGCTGTTTTGGGAGCTATACGACGACGACAGGGAATGGGACCGCTACGACAACCGCAGGAGATTGGCTAAGGAATATGATCCTGATCGTTACCCGCCCGAGACTTACGGTGTGGGTTTACCCCCCGATATCCGTGCAAAATTGGCGATTTACCGCATGAAGCTTGGACAGGAGGAAGAGGCCATGGTAAGCTAATCCTTGACAGCAAGAGGGCATGGATGAGTTCTAACGTAATGCAGGATCATCTCTCATGGCTAGAGCCCGATGATCCACAGACCATCCAGATCCTCTCCGAGGCACCTCAAATCGCCCAGGATATCGCTGTCCAGCTGACGGAGAGCCAACGCTATGAGCTGGCACTCAAGTATTATGAGGTATACCATTACGTGCGCAAAAAGACCATGGACGATGTGGACGCCGACGCTCTGGTCCAACAAGGGAGATGTTACCTCGAAATGCACGACAACACATCTGCCGAAGATTGTTTCCTGGCAGCGATTGAGGCAGATGAGACCAACATCGATGCGCGCTACGAGTTGGCGAGAGCCTATGAGCGGGCGCAGGAGAGAGAAGAGGCGTTCATCCTGGTCAACGAAGCCTTGAGCCTTGAGGCAAGGGCCCACGGCCCGCGCCCGGATGGTAGAGCTTATGACAACGTGCGGTTTGTAGTGGATGGGCGTGGGAAATTGATACGGAAGCCCAAGACTTACAAGAAGAGGGCGCAATCCGACAAGCCGGCCGCGGCCCGAAGACCGAGAGTCCCTAGAATCAGGGCAAGGCGCCTTGCGGGAGACAACAAGCGTGCAGAGTTTGAGCGCCAGGTGAGCACGCGCCTCAAGGAGAAGTACGAGCTGTGCCAGAGCCTGAAGACCAGGGCGGCCGAGGGCGATCAGGAGGCCATGCAGGAATGGATGGAAGCCGCTCGGGAGCTCACAGACGACTTCCGGTCCTTCAGAGCCTTCTACCCATGGGAAAAGTACCTCAAGTTTCTCGGCTACGGCAACTTTTTCAACGAGGGAGACGCGCACGCTGGCAACAGCCGGCTCACAGCCATGGCCGAGCGACTGCAGCAGAAGCTTGCGCCCGTCGACGAAGACGGCGACCAGCAGGCCCAGCCCATCCTGCAGCGGCACGAGCATCGCGGCATCCCATTCGACGACTGGCTCGACCTCTTCCTCGAGTACGCCATCAGCCTGGCGCATGCCCGACGCCCGCAGGAGGCATACCTGGTATGCCAGTCGGCCCGTGATTCGATAGTCTACCAGGCGCGAGAGAACATGTTCCTCATCCACCTCACCTGGGCGACCTGCGCTATCCACGCGGGCGACGAGGAGACGTGCGTGGCCGTCGCGCGCTACTTTATGCGCGACAACCAGATGAACACGGATGCCTACAGGCTCTACTCGGCTATCTGCCGGGCGTGCCAGGCGCCTTCATCCTGGTACAGCTCCGGGCCGGCGCAGAAGTACATGCTCAGGCAGATCAAGCAGATGGACGACACGCTCATGCACCCGGACGAGGCGGGCAAGTACAAGGTCCCCGGCGGAGGTGCGACGGCGCCCAGGGCGACGGGCGTCGACGTGGCGCTGCTCATGGTCTACGGCCACATCCTGTTCATGTCCACCAGTTACAACTACGCACTGAGTAAGTGAATTTGCTTTGCCTATCACCGGGTATCGGCTCCGATTTCCTCCCGACTGAGAACCCTGTCTTATCATCAGCGTCGTGGCCCACCCACGTCTTTGACAAACAAGAGAGTTTTCCACTAATGCACGAATACTACAGGTTACTTTCGGCGCGCAGCATCCGTGGACCCGACCAATCCCCTCGTCAACCTCAGCACGGGGCTGTCGTACATACACTGGGCCTTCAAGCGGCAGGCCGAGAACCGACAGTACATGCTGATGCAAGGACTCGCGTTCCTGTTCAAGTACTACGAGCTGCGACTGCAGTCACCCGTGTCGGAGGAGCGGCAGGAGGCACACTTCAACGTGGCGCGGACGTACCACCTCATGGGCGTGCACCACCTGGCCGTCGAGTACTACGGACGGGTGCTCGAGGAGGCGGAGCGGCACCCTCACTCCCTCCAACCCCCCAACCACAGCGATCGCCGCCGCGACAGCCTTAAGCAGGAAGAAGATGGCGGCGATGGCGTCGTCGCGAAGACGAAGCGGGTGGGTGTTCGGGACGATCTGGTGCTGGAGACGGCGGTGAATCTCCGGACGTACTTCCTGCTGACGGGCGACGTCGAGGCCGCGAGGGATGTCACTGACAAATACCTCGTGCTCGAGTGAGATGTGATGTATCGAACCGTCTGCCTGTTCCGCCTCCTCGCGTGCCAAGATTGGAGGAATAAATTCCGCCTTGCTAGGGCTCACGGAGGAATGAAGGAGCGGGGAATGGGCTTATTCTCTGCGCGGCAGTGTGTGAGTGTCTCTGAATCCTGAGGGAGTCTCTATTTTTTTCGTCTCTTTGGTGTGTCGAGACCATTTTCCTACGTATGTGGCGCTTGTGTTTTTGCTGAGATACCCCCAACAATGGAGAAATTTTCCAAGTCAAGTTCGGAAGAAGTGCAATACCCGGGTGGCATCGGGATGTGTCTGCCTTTTTCGGCACGAGTTGTGTGCTGGTGGCCGGGAGGCTGCAGGCAACGTGTCTGTGGCGTGTACCAAGTTAGCGAGGTGTGTGTTTGCTGTCTCGTGCCGCTCCCGGGACCGGGCTTTGCTGTCTGTCCCAAAGCGGCAATGCGGTTTTGGGCAGGGCCGTGTCGGCCAGCCTCGGGTCTCTCTGTCGTTAGACTGGAGACGGCCGTTTTCTCGTTCCAGGCGAGTGAAACATATGGTCACGATATCGAAGAAATGGGAGCATATTACGGAAGCCAAGAAGCGACAGGACGCGCAGGTGAGATCCGACAAACTCAAGAAACATTGTGATTTGTCTTTTTTTGGCCTGCAGATCCTCGGGAATACCTAGACTTGGTCTGTTGTTGTGGGTTACACAGACTTGTCTCTCCGTGTTCAGATATTTTACGTATGCAACGAGGCGTTCGCCCCCATCCCCCCGAGAACTAACCGAACCCAGTCTTGACGACGTCTGGTGGACCGGTTCGCTTCCATCGAAGCTTCGAGATCGGCAAGACCGGGTTCCGCTCAAAGAGGTCCTCTGGGTTGGAGTTGAAGTCGGGCACATTACTGCAGGTTTTACTTGGGGTTATAAGGGGGACGGGCCTTGGTTGAGTTGATCTTGCAGAGTGAAGGCTGTAGCGCAGAATTAAGCTTATTGAGACATGTTGGTTTCGATCGGCCGCAACTTTAACGGCGATGGCAAGAAGATCTAGACAGCTGCCAAGCTTTCGGTCTCGGGATTGCTGCCCCCCAAAGGGTATGTCATGACGCTAGAAAACGAATCCTCGATACTAAAGGAAATCTTGATCGTTTTTGAAACACCCGGACTTGCGTAGGTTGAAGGTGCAAGCTGTGAGTTAGGCCACCAATGACATGCACAGCCAGGTGCGTCGTGGCTCAAACAGCCTGCAGGGTTTTTTTTTTTGGACCCGACTCTCGCGACTCATGAGTAGCACCTCTCGAACAGCACACCCTCTTGGAGGGGGAGGGAGGGAGCGGAGACGGTTTTTCTAGTCGGTTTTGCTCGCCGCCGAGAGATCGGACCCCCTCGGCCTTCCCGCTGCCCGTCCGGCCGGCGGAGCCAACGACGGAGTGTTTGGGCCGTTTGCTTAGTGGGAAACGCAGTTAAACGAAAACTGGAGCTGGGGGGGGCGGAGGGGGAACGGGGAGCAGTTGTTTCGAGTGAGCCGCGCGCGAGCGAGTGAGCGAGATCCGTGGGTGGCCGACGGGATCGGGGGTGTGTAAAGTAGGCGGCGGTGGAGAACACAGAGAAATGTGCCAACTTGCTGCATACATATTATTCCTCGCATAGTTTTGTGTTCGTCTTTGCCGTGCTTTGTCTTCCTCCTCCTCTTCGTCATGTATGTCTGGGAGCGGGAAGAGAGCATGCATGCATGACGGGTGCGACGAGGCGAGCAGAAGGAGGGCCAGAACAGACGACGACGGAATGTGCAGCTTTCGATAACTACCTAGGTAGGTCCCTTCCCGCTCCCATGTGCCCAACAGCAGACAGAGTCGGTGGCACGGGTGGGATGTGATGTGATGTGTGAGACCCGGGATGGTGGGTTGGACCAGAAAAATGCACAGGCGGAAGAGCTGGAGAGCATGGCGCGCGGCCCTTTCTATTCTCATTCTGGCGCCTACGTTTAGGTGGTGGTTTAGGTAGGTGGTAGGTCAGGTACATTCGGTGGGGGTGACATTGGCAGCAGATCTAGCGCGTTTCAAGAGCCTCTGCCCGCTGCAGGGGCCGACGCCAAAAAGCCCCCCCTCCCAGGCAAGCCAGGGGAGCAAACAGAGCCAAAGGGATCGACGCTGGCTGAAAAGGAGCGACCCGTTTGGTTGCCATCAGACAGGGCCCCTGGTCTGTTCTTCGGGACCAAGCGATCGAGTAACAGCGGGCCCGGATTCTGAGAACGACGGAGCAAAGTATGGAGTATATGCAAGGTCCAAGGACAAATTGAGGGAGAAGCTGAAGGGGGCACAGCACACAGTAGGGGAAAGGTTTGAATTTCCCCGCTACTTCGAAGGTCGTCGCTCTTACGGATGGCATTTTGGAATCAATAGAGGCACTCCGAACCTGGAACCCATACCAACACGGAGAACTCAGAGCCGTCTACACCTAACCCACGAGAGGCGTCATCAGCAGATAACCTTTGCAGCCGCCCGTCTTGCCATTTCCACAGAAAAGTGCAGTACGGATGAGCGCACATGGATAGAAACCTCTCTTACCACGGATAACTAAATGACTAGGTACTGTAGGTACACCTCAGCTGAGAGCCAGGGTTTCGGGAGGAAAGATGCAGTTCTATCACACTTCTCATCTCCGCACTCACCGACGAGACCTGGTACCCTACACTCACTGCCAGGGGCGTCATCTCCTGCGGACGGGGCCCCAAATCTCCAGATTTGGCAGGTTGCATGAATCATGGGACTGGCTTGAGATCTGTCGCCGGGATTCACGATGCTTACAGTAAGACCAAGCCTTGGGGTTCTGTGGATGACGCGATCACCAGCCTCCGCAACAGCCATCTCGGCGCTGTCTTTACGTACGAGGGGATATATCACATATTCCCACGGCACACGAGTCATCCAACTGTGCAAATGACCATAGCCTGCCGAGTGTGAGCAGCGCCTTGTTGGGTCCAACTACATCATTTGTCGCAGCCACTCCCGTGTCGGAGATCTTACAGATGACAGAAGAGAGAGAGAGAGAGGCGAAGACCCTCGACTCGTGCAGCGGACTACATACCTACGGAGTAGGTGGACAGACCAGCCTGCCGTTGATTTGCACGCCTTCCTGGAGCAGGTCTTTAGTTAGCAAGTTAACTACCTAGGTAGGTAGGGGTTGTCAAAGACATGCAACCAACAGCTAGCACCCACTCTGGCCCCTTGGCCAAATTTCAATAAAAGCCAGCCCTGGCTGGGAGGGTGGAGCGCCACCCACGACCACGGCGCCACGGCGGGCGCGCTAACAGGAAACATGGGTGACGAGACAGGCGGCGAGGATTCGCGGGATCCGCCCCGCCAAAGTCAAGTCGGCACGTTTTTCCCTTTGGTACTTTATCTGTTCATCCTGGTCTACTCCGTCGGTGGTTTGTGCTGGCAAAAGAGCACACACACACACACACACCCACACATCACAGGGAGGGACCTGCAGCTTGCAGTAGACTCCTGCATCTTCCCAGCTCCTGTCCGTCCAGTAGAGGATCCCCTCCACGCTGCAATGATGCAGGTACGAGCAAAACTCTATCGGGCATTTGCTCCCCCCCTGCTTCCCACCTCTTGCACCCAAGATATCTTCCTTGCTGCTTGTACCTACACCGCGAGTGCCTACCCGCGGATCATCAGGCGCCCAGAAACTGAGCCTCTCAGCCAGTCATCCGACCTGGTCCCTCGACGGACGCCTCTGACTCTCGTTTGCATTCCGAATCGGCCTGTCACTTGTGGAATCTTGCCAAGCATGGCTCGACTTGACCATGGCAAATCCGCCATCAGACGCCATTCCTGGCCCAGTCACATTCCCTCATCTCTGACCATGTCTACCTAGGTAAATGCGTCGACTCTCCAAAGCAAGAAGATATCGCGCGCTTGTACTTGTACAGAAGCAGACAAGGGTAGTCCCTGTCAGTGGCTGGCCCGGGTCTTGTTTCGTTTCGTTTCCCCCCTCCACGCCATGACCGGCCAGCCCTGTCTGCTCTCTGGTGCTGTGCCAGACTAACTACCTACTTTGTGCCTAGCTAGCTTGACTGACCGGGTGTCAACCTGCTCTGCTGGGGCTCTTGTTGGGTTCACGACAAGTCCGTGCCTCCTGGGCACGCCCTCCCTTCATTCTACGGCGAGGTAGGTTGATCATCCAACGTCCGGTGTGCGCCGCAGAGCCCACAGATGCGGCACCTAGTGGTGCTGGCTGCATCCACTTCTCTCGGCCCCTTAACCGATGGCTCACACCTCACACCCCCCCTGCGAGCATGCACTTGCATGCTGGGATCTTCCATCGTGGTCTTCACACGTTCTACTCTGTGCTAGTGATGCACTGGAACTCGACCGCGTGCCTTAAGACCCGGACAAACCTCTTCCACACCATGTCTTAGAGACATCTTTTCCTTCTCTACACCCTCACCCTGCCGCTTTTGGGTCTCTTGCCTCTCTTCTTGCCTCTCCCAGCCGCTCCTTAGCCTTCCAACACACTCCTTTCTTATATGACGCTGCTGAGCACACACTGTCCTTCGTTTCTGGAAAACATTCTGTGTTTGTTGCACTCTCTTGCCTCCTCCCGAGGTATATATCTGCCGGAGCTGCTGTCGTCTTGACGATATAGCACCCCTCTTCGATCATCATCGCCATCATCGTCCTTGGTGATACGTTCTTTTCTCGCTGCTCAGGCATCAGCATCCATTCTTACAGACATCCTTTCTGCCAGCACGTCCTAGTGACAGGCTGTTACAATTCATTACCCGACCTACTCACATCCCGATACATCATCTGCTTGACAAGATCTCATCTCCAGCTCCAAGTAACACCAACAACATGCGCTACTCAGCCGTCCTCGCGGCTCTCGTTGCTGCCGCTGCAGCCAAGGATGGCCGCACCTTTGCCGTGCTCCGCTTCCAAGGCGACGGGCCCTTGACTGAGGGTCGTTCTGACCCCATCGTCTCGCCGGGTCAGGTCTCGGGCCACGTTCACACCGTCCAGGGAGGCGGTAACTTTGGCAACTCGGCCACCGGCGCGACCATGATGAAGTCCGAGTGCAGCACGGCCATGATTGCCGGAGACAACAGCGCCTACTGGATGCCCAAGCTGTACTTCCACGACGTGAAGAACAACTCTTTCGAGCCTGTCCCCCTGTTCTACATGAACGTCTACTACTTGTAAGTTATTCCTCCATCTCTGTATTCAAGCTCTCTTGGCTCATGGGAGTCCTTTGCTGACACTGCTCGACAGTTTTGAGGGCACCAATGACAAGATCGAGGCTTTCCCGCCAGGGCTCCAGATGGTCAGTGGCGACGCCATGAAGAGGACACCTCCGGCCTCAGGAGACCTGAACCTCGACCCATCCAAGGGAACCATCCAGCCCGCCCAGCTTGTCTGCCCCCACAAGGACAAGAACCAGCGCGCCTGGCCAGAAGGATCCGACGGCACCAAGGCCGGCATCCAGGACTCGAACAACGCCGGCGCCGGAGTCGGCTTCCCCTTCATCGAGTGTGACGGCTATGCCTCGCCCCTCCGAGCCGACCTCCACTTCCCTTCCTGCTACGACCCGTCCAAGGCTCTTGACGACTTCAAGAACAACATGGTCTTCCCGACCCACAAAGGTGGCAAGGAGGACTGCCCTCCTGGCTTCAAGCACGTCCCGCACTTGTTCTACGAGATGTACTGGAACACCCCTCTCTTCAAGGACCGCTGGGCCCACGACGGCACCTCGCAGCCCTTCATCTGGGCCAACGGGGACGTTTCTGGCTACTCTCTCCACGGTGACTTCCTTGCCGCCTGGGACACTGATGTCCTCCAGACCATCATTGACACCTGCGATGCCGGCGACCAGGGTATGGACAAGTGCCCCAAGCTCCTCAAGGGTCTGAACGACAAGGAGAAGAGCAAGAACTGCAAGCTGGCCAACCCTAGCCCCGAGCAGATCGACGGTGTCCTGGCCAAGCTGCCCGGTAACAACCCTCTCGGCGGCCTGCAGTATGGTGGCACTGTCGGCACCATGCCTCCTGCTCCTGGTGGTTCGTCTGGCGGCTCTTCCGGTGGCTCATCCGGCAGCAGCTCTGCCGCTCAGTCAGCCGCCCCATCCAAGGCTGCCCCTCCTGCCTCTTCCAAGGCCTCTTCCCCCTCGGCTCAGCCCGCTTCGCCTGACAGCAAGCCGAGCTCTTCCAAGTCTCCTGCCGTTGCTGTCTCCGACACTCCCAACAACGAAGTCAGTGCCACTGTCTCCAAGGCCCCGGCCCCAGTCATCACTACTGCCAAGGTCGTGACCACGACCGATGCCGCCGGCCAGCGCAAGGTGACCACCGTCTGGGAGACCGAGACTGTGTGGGTGACGGCCACGGTTTACGATGACGGCACCCCCGTCCCTACCTCGTCCGCAAGCTCCGCCGCCGCCGCCGTCGCAGACGTCGCCGGCTGGAAGCACGTCGGCTGCTACAAGGACACGCGCGACCGCGTCCTCCGCGGCGCGCGCCTGCCCAACCTCGGGCCCATGACCAACGACAAGTGCGTCAAGTACTGCCAGTCGCGGAGCTTTGCCGTCGCGGGCACCGAGTACGGCGGGCAGTGCTTCTGCGGCGACCGGCTCGAGGGCTCGCAGGCGATCGACGCCGGCGCGTGCAACATGGCGTGCGCGGGCGACGCCCAGGACACGTGCGGCGGCAGCCTCTCGCTCACCGTCTTCTCCAAGGACGGCACGGTGAGCGAGGCGGCGGCGGCGGAGGCGGCGCAGCAGCAGCAGAAGCGGGCGCGCCACCTGCATGATCATGTCCTGCACCACCGCAAGCAGCCCTTCTCGATGCGCCTGCGGAAGTAGCCTGTCCTCGTTCTCTCGAGAGATGTGTCCTCCTGCTGATATTTTGGGGGAGAATGTGGACCACGACCCTAAGGTAGTCGCTGTATTTTTTGGTTATCCAGGCGCCTTCACTGGCAGCATCAGTGCTGCGACCGACACGACTGTCATGACGGACCGGAGCAAGTCACTTGTTTCTTTTTTTTCAGTTCCTCTGCATTGGCAAGAAGGGCGGGTATTTTAACCGTTTGTTGCCAACTAGACACGTTCCCTTCTCCAGACCCATGTGTATTTTTTCCCCTACCTTTTTACCTTCTTTTCTTCTGTTGCATTAGGTACCTACCTACCTTTCTACCACCACCAACTTTCGATTCTCCCTGAGGGTCTGGCCATTGCGGTGCATTGACACCCACGGCCCTCAGCTTCCCCGGTTGTAGAGGGAGGATATTTTTCTTCTTTTGGACAATAGACAAATACTTTTTTACGTGTCAGACATCTGTCGACTCGCTCACTTCGTGCCTAATGTGACTTGAATGGTGAAAGGGAGGGTGGCATGGGGGATGCCTGCTTGTGTAAGGTACTGGAAGATCTGGCTGCAAGCACCAGCACTTTGTTACCAATGCTTTGTTTTGATCCGACTCGCTCTTGCAGAGGCGAGTTCGATCTGGGAGAAGGTGAATGGCCAGTCTGCTAGACTGACCTTCGAGATGCTGAAGTGTGTCCTTGGGAACAACTGTGCTTCCAGCGGCTGAAGTGTTCAAAATGAGGGGTTACAACGCCTTACATGAAAAGAACTTTTCTTTTTCTTTGGCCGGAACTTGTTCACCTCCAGCCCTTCGAAGCAAGTGAGACAAGCCCCGGATCACTGCAGGAAAATGCACACTATCACCAGTGACAATTCCATGGTCAAGAAAACCAATAAAGCTCGGGAGATCCGGGGCATCCTGATTGGTGTTTTGTCTTCGATTCTATGGGATCGACGATCCTTATCATCACTCTCATGCCAGCTTGCTTTTTATCTTCACCGGCTTCAAAATGGACCAGTAATGCGGTGATGATCTCGTCACTCTTGCAGGGGCGCGGCCCGGACAATGCGGATGAAGGTCTCGGGAGTGTGCTGCTGAGATCGTCCCTTCGTCACCGTCCAGGTCTCTCAAGAGAAGTCCAAGGGCGTTTTGGGAGCATCTGAGAAACTGCATGTTGGAGCCAACAAGCACGAGCCCATTATCGAGGAGAAATAACTACTCCGTAGTTATGGAGAACCAGAAACACCTCTGTGTAAGCGCGCCTCATAGCCGCTGGAGCCACTCTCTGGCCTGGAGAGAGGCCCGGGCCTGGCCTCCTCCAACCCAGTCTTGGCAAATATAATTTAGGGCCTGCCGTGATACCCGCCCAGAGTCGCGCCTGATGCGGCCAGCTCGAGCTGTGAGAGGCCAGCGGGCGACCTATGGGAAGTGTGCAGCATCATGCAGAGCTGGCGCAGGCGGGCGACCTCCTCGTTGCATCCGATAGGACAAGTTTCAAGCCCTGGTCGACGGAATAGGCCGAGTGCGTGCAGAAGGGGGATGATCTGGAACTCCATGCTTTCTTTTCTTGGGCGTGCTGGAAAGCAGCATGTCCCTTCAGCTCTCGGAGCCTTGCTTTGCCAACAAACATGTTTGTCGACTAGGTTCTATGCACTCTACCCCCCTCACGCGGAGAGTTTGTCAATCTCGATTCCTAGCGTGGGAGTTGTCTTGCTTCCCTTCCGTGTTATTCGGCGGCGGGCATCTGCTTTTGTGTATATATATGTCTCCTCCGGCCTCATCTCTCCCCTCCGATCAAGAGACACCACCCACCTCCAACCTTCTCTCTCTCTCTGTCTCTTCCTCTCTCACTCTCACTCTTCGCTCTCTCGCTCTCTCTCTCTATCCCTCATCCACACACCATCAATACACACATACACACAAGACACATCAAAAGTTCTCACTGTGCGCCTGTTCTGACCATGCCTTGTGCGCTCCCCTCCAGAGAAACCGACTCCTCGGAGACGTGCCCCGCATTCTCCACCACCACGCCGCCGGCACCGGCTGAGCCGTCCGCGCGCCGCGTCCAGATGGTGGACGACTTTCTTAGCTCCAACCTCTTCTCCATGAGCAACAGCCGCCAGATGCCCGGCTTTGGTGGCGAGCGCCAGGGCCAGGGCCAGGGCCAGGGCCAGGCCGCCGGCAACGCCTTAATCCCGGCATCTCGCACGGCTGGTGCTGGTGCTGGTGCTGGTGCTGGTGCTGGTGCTGGTGCCGGTGCCGGTGCCGGTGCCGGTGCCGGCGCCGGCGGCCCGCCGCCCTTCTACGCCTTCATCCAGTCCCGCCGCGGCGACAACTTTGCCGACACGGTCCCTGCCGGCGCCGACGGGCCGCTGCTCGGGGAAGGCGGCGGCTCCGGACGGCAGTGGAGGACCGCGGCGGCCGAAGCGGCGTCGTCGTCGTCGTCGCCGACCGCCCCGGCGCCCAACGTGCTCGAGGTCGAGAGCAACGTGGCCGCCGGCACCGCGCGGCAGATCAACGGCATCCTGGGCCTGGACGAGCCCGGGGCCGGGGCCGGCGTGGTGCCGCCGGCGGGCCGGGCGACGCGGGCGCGCGTCGCGCTCAACGAGGCGCGCGACGAGAGCCACCAGAAGAACCTGGTCATGACGGCCGAGATGGCCCGCCTCATGTTCTCGAGCGGCGGTCTGGGCTCCTGAATTCTTTTTTTTTTTTTTCCCTGTGAAGGAAGCGGGCACAGAATGGGGGAATGGACCTCTCTTTTTCTTACTTGTACTTGCAGGTTGTGTCACCACCTGGTCTTCGGCCGGGCTGAGTGGGATCTGGGCTCGCTCTGAGGTGCCATGACTGTGCCTTTTGGGCCATTGGGGGTGTGTGTTCTACCTATGATTTGATTTCTTTGCTTTAGGTCGCGAAGTGTGTTTTGCTTTCTATGATAATTTGCTCCCTCCTTCCAGTTTGGTCACGACGTAGTTATGTCTGGTCTTATTTAATGAGGATTCTGGGTACCTGGTCATCAATGATAATTAGTAACTGCCTCTTTTCAGAAGAAGAGAATAGGATATCTTTGTTCCATAAAGTAAGAAGTTCAGTGCCTTTTCGCTGCATGAGGCCGAGGTTCTGTAGCTACCAAGGTAACTGGAGTTCTTTATCGTTGCGAAATTAGGGCCGTTGCGACCAAAGAGGTTTGAAGGTTTTAGGGGATTTCATTGTGGATTACAGGGAGGTAGGTGGTGTGCCGCCCCTGCCATTTTTCAGTTGCAAGAGCCGGCACTTGCCCTAAACGAGATAGGTAGGGAGAAGCAAACCCGGCAAGCATGGAAAAAAAGCCTTCACATAGTTAGACAAATGAATGAACACCAACAGCCAAGTAACAGGAGCAGCTCTGCACCACCACCCACACTCGGCAGACTGCTACCCAAAAACAAAAAAAAAAACATGCGATAGCCACGTAAAAGCCGCTCCCCAAACGTCATGGCTCTGTATCATGAGACCGCCGGCATCCTATCCGAGCCGGCGTCCCACGGCGGAAGCCTCAAGACCAAGGTCTTTGGCCGCAAGGATTTAACGTCTCCTCCCGCCCAGGTCTATGCTCTCGCTCTCGAGACGTGCAAGTGGAGTCCAGTCCTCAAGGAGGTCATCGACAATTCACAACTGCTCAAAGACGAGAAGAAGGTAAGATCCCCCCATCAATTGAAAGCTGGGCTCTGTCAGGCAACTTGTTGATACTCGCCTCCAGCTCACCCCGGTACTAGCCCTGTTGCTGGTCCATGACTTCCTATTGGCGAAGAAGGGCATCGCTCTCCCCTCCTCACACGGATTGAGGCTTTCCGTTGAACGGCACAAGGCAAGGATCGCGTCAGATTTTACCCGTTCACGCCTACGGAGGAAATGCTCTACTGTGGATGCGCTGAGGGAGCAGGTTGAACTCTCAAACAACCCGAGCCCCGTTCATCCCCGCTGGGTCCGAGTCAATGCATTGAAGTCGTCGCTGCAGGAACAGCTCGAGACTACCTTTGCAAGCTTTGAGAGAGTAGCCACCATCCAGGAGGTCTTGGTCAGGGCGACCGACAGACTCTACGTCGATGAGCACATCCCAAACCTCGTGGCCGTGTCTCCGCGGACCGACTTCTCCAAGAGCCAGGCTTACAAATCTGGCGCCATCATTCTGCAAGACAAAGCATCGTGCTTCCCGGCCTACCTTCTCGATCCGAGCCCAGACGACGGCGACGTCATCGACTCATGCGCTGCTCCTGGCAACAAGACTACGCACCTGGCCGCAGTAATCTACTCGCGTCGCGCTGATCAGGCAGGTAGACCAGCTCAACAGGTCATAGCATTCGAGAAAGATCAGACGCGTGCCAAGACACTGGAGAAGATGGTCAGGCTGGCAGGCTCCCACGACTTTACAAGCCTCAACTTGGGACATGACTTTCTGAGGACGGATCCAGATTCTGAGCTGTATAAGAACGTTGGCGCTTTGCTGCTAGATCCAAGTTGCTCGGGAAGCGGTATCGTCGGCCGGGACGACATGCCGGAGCTCCATCTCCCCGGCAAGCCAGAGGCGGCCGGCAAGAAAGCTGCACAGGATAGCCGCAAGCGCAAACGGAAGGACCCTGAGAGCGAAGCCAATGTACTTGTCGACGATGACGGAAACACGACGGTCGTCGGCTCCGAGAAAGATCTCCAGGCAAGGCTGAAGGCGCTGTCCTCTTTTCAGTTGACCCTGTTGCTCCATGCTTTCAAATTCCCGAGTGCGCAGAGAATCACGTATTCGACATGCTCGGTCCACGCGGAGGAGAATGAGAATGTTGTCCTCCAGGCGCTCCGGTCAGACATTGCCCAGGAGAGAGGGTGGCAGATTCTCCGACGCGAGGATCAAGTGGAAGGAATGAAATCCTGGCCAGTTCGAGGCCTTGCAGAGAACCCGGCTCCTGGCTACGACAAGACCATCGCAGACGCGTGTATACGTGCTTACAAAGACGACGGCCGCGGTGTCATGGGCTTCTTCGTTGCAGCGTTCGTCCGCGACGGGGCCGCGGTCCAGAGCCCTACAAGTAGAAGGCGCCGGAGCCACATGGCTGCGGATGGTACCGTCAATGACAGTGCGCACCCTGAGAACAAGGCCGACCTGTCGGACAAGGATTCGGACGACGAGTGGAGCGGTTTCGACGACTGAAAACCCACATATGTACAAGGAAGGGTCGAAAAATCTAGAAGCGCTCATATCGCTAAATTCCACGGAAAAGCTGACAAAGACGGAAGATGGGGCTCAATAAGTTCCGTGCCACCGTGCCTCGGCTCTCGTCATCTCGTGCTAGGACAAAACGCGAGCCCAGCAGCACACAACAAGCTTCTAGCAGGGACCTTATTTAGAGGGTCCATCTTATCAGAATGCCTGCCTGGCACCGAAATCGAACGGCCTCCATGGGTTTTGGGATCTTGGCATCACCGGGCACCACAGATGTGCAATTTTTATCGCTGGCTGGAACTTCCACGTGGTTGAAATCGATATTTTCCTCCCCCTTCTTTGGATATGCCTCGGCCAGAATGGACGACGCCCTGAGAAGCAGATCAATTCATCTCCGGTCTCTGACACACTCCCATACATGTCCATCCTTCAAAAGCTACCATACATGATGCAAGATAGAGTCAGAAGGCGTGTTCTTACTGGACTCACTGGATTGTTCCTAAATCCGTCGGACGCCTGGAGCCAAAAGTACCGTTGAGGTCGGCAGTCCAAAAGTGCGAAAAGTGTGCTTATCAGCAAGGATCCATCCACGCGGGTCTTTCAAGTCGGGGCTAAGCTGCTACCGATCGCCGCCCCGTATTAGAGTTTGAAGGCAGTCTTGAAAGCAAAAGGCGACCGAGGCTCAGAAAACTTACTAGATTTGGACTTGGAACCGTATGAATCTCGCTCGACGGATCCACAAATACGCTTCGCCTCATCGGCCCAGCCGGCATGGTACCCTTGTGTTCCCGGCCGAGAAAAAAGCTGGCCTTCACTGGACCCAACCAGAAGGTCGTGAAGTCATAGCTGTGTACAGCAGCCATCCCTCCAATGATGTTCGCACCAGCGCTTTATGTCCGACGGAGTCATGAGCTCGATTATCAACCTGAGATGGACCCCGAGAGAACTTACCAATCCCATGCTGTTGCTGTGCCTTTCTGCGGATTGCGTCACAGATAAGACGGAGTGCCACTGAGCCGCAGATCCGGCCCCGACCGCAATGTCCACTCAGCAACGGAGGACCCAGCGTACCTACGTAGCCTGGTGGGTACATGCATTTTTACGACGAACATTGTCGTCGGAGTGACTAGTCTTAGTCCCGCTCTTATGTCCTTTACGGGGGGGCACGGAAACCGGTCATAACAAGAGACCCGATTTCATCATGAATCAGAAAGGGAGAGGGGGATGCCACACCCAAGTGGCCCTTGTCACTATATATCAGCTAGGGTGCCACTCATCTGTCAAAAGCATGTGTGAAAGCCTGTCCAGATAAATAAAGTCGACTTTAGCCACGCCAGCCAGACCTGCAGACCGAACAGGCCGCTGTCGACGACACCACCAGCGCTAATACAAACCTGCATTACCGGAAAAGTCAACGTTATGGCTTCTGAACAAGAAAAGGAAGTCTCGCCAGCTGACGAGCAGCCCCGGGTCGAAACGCCGCTAGCTGTCGACTCGGACACGTCGAGCATCTCGTCACATTCGTCCGTGACGGCAACAGACCGGGCTCAGGCCTTGCACACGGTCCCAACTGCCGCAGACGTCCCGGCACCACGGAAGCAAGCACATACCACAAAGGTCAGCCACTGGCAGCTCGTCTTCGAGCCAGGTCAAATCACGCCCGATGTTCAGAACTACAAGTACTCGGGCCATGGCACGTCCGAGTCGCCCTACGTCGTGGAATGGATACCGGATGATCCCCACAACCCCTTCAACTTTCCTCGCTGGAAGAAGTGGGCGATCACCATCCTCCAAGCGTTTGCGACTCTGGCCGTCACTTTCGTCAGTTCCGCCTATTCCGGCGGCGTCCGGGAAATCATCCTGTACTTCCACATCTCCAGCGAAGTTTCCATCCTTGGAGTCTCGCTATTCGTCCTTGGCTTCGCCATTGGTCCATTGATTTGGGCGCCCTTCAGTGGTATGTCTCTTTACTTTTTCTGCTTTCCTCATAGCTTCGCGGGTTTGTCTGGCTAACAAAGCGTGTCTGCAGAATTCTTCGGCCGTCAACGCCTCTTCTTCATCACTTTTGGATTGCTCACCGCGTTCAACGCCGGCGCTGCCGGCGCGCAAAACATCGCGACCCTGATGATTCTTCGATTCTTCGCTGGCTCCTTTGGCTCGTCGCCCCTGACCAATGCTGGCGGCGTCATTGCCGACATGTTCTCAGCCGACGAGCGTGGTCTCGCTACTGCCATCTTTGCCGCGGCCCCCTTCCTGGGCCCCGCCATCGGCCCCATTGCCGGAGGTTTCTTGGGTGAAGCTGCGGGATGGCGATGGGTTGAGGGCTTGATGGCCATTTTCACCGGTGTCATCTGGATCATCATCTCGCTTTGGGTTCCCGAGACCTTTGCGCCCGTCCTGATGCGCCGCCGGGCCGACAAGCTCAGCCACATGACGAGCAAGGTCTACGTGGCCAAGCTCGACCTGCACCAGCCGCGCAAGAGCATGGTCCATCAGTTCAAGATCGCCCTGTCGCGGCCCTGGATCCTTCTCTTCAGCGAGCCGATTGTCAGCCTGCTGTCCATCTACATGGCCATCGTTTACGGCACCTTGTACATGATGTTCCCGGCCTTCCCCATCGTCTTCCAGCAGGCCCGGGGCTGGAGCCCAGGCATCGGCGGCCTGGCCTTTATCGGCATCGCCGTCGGCATGATGTTTGGCGTCACGTACTTTATGTACGACAACAAGCGCTACCAGGCCGTCTCGGCCAAGCACAAGGGCTTCGCGCCCCCTGAGGCCCGCCTCCCCCCCGCCATCATCGGCTCTTTCTTCATCCCCGTCGGCCTCTTCTGGTTCGCCTGGACCAACGGCCCGTCGGTCCACTGGATCGTCTCCATCATCGGCTCGTCCTTCTTCTCCTTTGGCATCGTCCTCGTCTTCCTCGCGCTCATGAACTACCTCGTCGACTCGTACGTCATCTTCGCCGCCTCGGTCCTGGCCGCCAACTCGGTCCTGCGGTCCCTCTTCGGCGCCGCCTTCCCGCTCTTCACGACGCACATGTACCAGAACCTGGGCCTGCACTGGGCCTCGTCGATCCCGGCCTTCCTCGCGCTCGCCTGCGTGCCCTTCCCCGTCCTCTTCTACATCTACGGCTCTCGCGTGCGCGCCAAGTGCGCCTTCGCCGCCGAGGCCGCCGACGTGCTGCAGCGCATGCGCACCGTGCACGAGGAGATCGACGAGGACGAGGCCGTGCTCGAGGTGGAGCGCACGCGGACGGCGGCGCGCGAGCGGCGCCACTCGGAGGCCGTGGCGCGCGCCCGGAGCAGCTCGCGCCGGCGCAGCCAGTCCGTCCGGCGGAGCCACTCCATCTTCAACCGCGAGAAGACTCGCGAGTCGCAAGACGCAGCTTGAAGAAATAAAGGAGAAGGAGAAGAAGTGTTCTGGCTTGCAGCGAATATTTTCTCTGGCATTGTCTTGATATATAAAAAGAGTGTATGGTTTTTGCACCGCCACGCATAATTGGGGGGGAATATGAAAGGGAAATCATCAGTTCAGTTGCATTACTAAATAGACGGGATGGGGTTCTCTTGGGGGTTACATACGGATCATGGGTTTCTTTTGTTTACTGGGTTATTATACAGGAGATCCTCTGGGGAAAAGAACAGCACATCATCAAATGAGCTAGGGACGAGGCTACGGCCCCCCTTTACTGATAGACATCTAATAACATTTTTTCTAATACTTGAATCAAAACTACCTTCTTCGTCCCCCTCCCCCCCCCTTTCAATCCCCATCTCAACTACAGCTCGTCATGCCCCGCAACCTTGACCTTGACGCCCGGCCACCCGCTCGCGACGGACAGGCGCCGCGTGGCCACGCGCTGGGGGCCGAGGTCGTCGTAGCTCGTCGTGACGCCGGGCGGAGTCCACGGCTTGACCCGGCCCTGGTACACGTCGAGCCCCCACCGCTGGACCGACTGCGAGTCGAGGGCGCGGCCGGGCGGGTACGGGTACACGCGGTCCCTGGACAGCTGGTGCACGGCGCCGGCGGGCCAGCCGTGCCGGGCCGGGTCGAGGCCCAGCTTGCGGGGGAGGTCCGGGTAGTCGGCCGGGTCGACGAGCACGGCCGTCAGCGAGTCGTGGTAGCTGCGGGCGAAGCGGAGGAGGGCGGCGCGCAGGGCGGCGCGGCCGTCCTCCGTCGGGGAGAGGAGGTAGACCATGGGCCAGCCGCGCTGTCGGGAAAAGGATCAGTGGGTGGTTCGGCTCTTTCTTTTTTCTTTGGTGGGGAATCAAGGCGGGCAAGGCGGGCAAGGGGACGAGACGTACGTCTAGCAGGCGCTGCTCCGTGAGGGGGGTGAAGTCGCTGACAAAGGGCCGCGACGCCTCGAGCACGGCCCTCTCGAGGCCGTCTGCGTCGCCGGACCAGCTCGCGGCCTTGGCCTCGCCGTCGCCGGGCCGGTGGCAGGCGATGTGCGGGGGCGATACGCCCTCGGCTTCCAGGACGGCCGGGTCCGTGACGGTGCCGAAGGTGAACTCGTGCCGGTGGCGGGCCGCCACCTCTGCGAAGACCCCGGCTGCCTCGTCGTCTGGGCCCGACAGGTAGGCGATCACCACGGCGTCGCCGTCGAGCTCTCGGAACGCTTCGAGGTCCTCCGCTTTGACTTGCGACACGACCGGCCGTCGGTGGCGGGCGAGGAAGTTCCGGATGCTTAGGTGGGACGTTGTAAGCGAGAACGCAACGAAGATGGAGGAGGGGGGGAGAGGACACCCACGAAGAGGCGCGGCGAGGGCCCTGGTAGACTGTGCTTGGCTTGTCTTTCTGGAAGAGCCGTATAGTTGGATACTCCTTGGTGGCATACTCGTCACAACCGGGCGAGTCGACGCCGCATTGGACGCTCAGCAGTGCGCCTGGGGCTTCTGCCGATGCGGCATCCTCCCAGGCTGGCTCGAGGGATTTGCATTTCTCACTTCCAGGTTACTGCATGTCAGATACCCCGGTGCGGATTTCTTGTGTGCGGGAATGTGACCGTACTGACCTATCTGGCTGTGGCACGAGGATTCACCATTGGCAGGGCACCTGGTCAGCCGTGGGACCGAGAGCAGGAATATAATTTAAACTCACGGCAATGACTATTCAACATGCTTATGTCAGTATGACCTTTTCTACTTTCTTGTATATTTTGAGATCGATTCTTACAAGCAACTAGGGTCAGGTCGTTGTCTTGAAACGCTCGTGGAAGCGCGTCGACCGAAACATGGTTCCAGGCCCTGGCACATGGAAGAAGAGCGAGCCAAAGACCAAGCAGACCCTGACTGAATCGTTTCATCGCGCACACAGTTTCGAGAATTAGAGTCTATGGAGGATGGTCGATGCCTCCCAAAAACAAGCATAGATGAGAGGAAAGGCAACTACGGGAAATTTGAGAAAAGAGACTTGACAGATCATGGCCATCTCGATTTCCTCCTATAGCACGATTGAATAATGCAACACTGCCCGGGATGTTATGCACTGTCTTCCCTGCAGGCTGCTACTATTCCGAAACAACAGTTCGCATGAATTAGCAAGCAGTGCGCTATGCAGCAGCCAGCTGCACGAGGGAATACCCATCCATGTTCCGACGACGCAATTGATTATGTAGTCTAGTACAACATCGCTCAAGGCAATGCCGTCAGACGGGACAGGCACAAACAGCGACGCCGACAGCTGCCCGGAGGCATCGGAAAGCCCACACCCAGGCCCCCGAAAAGGCCCATGGAAACTGAACGACCCGGTACCATCCGCGGAGGCGACACGGTCTCGGAAGAAAGTGACTCAGCGCTTCGTCTTGCTTGACATCTCTGCATCGCCTCCAGGAGAAGGCAATGACGGGAGCGGAGCAGCTCCCGTGAAAAGGCCTTTCTTCGGCCGAGATGCCCAAACGTCGCAATTGCTGAGCGATAGTAGGAGAACCACTCCAAGTTCCTTCGCGGCGATTAGCGGAGCTATTCCCGCCGCCACTGATCCCTGGCGCCGTGCCTCCGGCGACTTGAACTTGGGGCATTTCCCACATGGGCACGCCACCTCCCCACAGCCTCTGATGAACTGAACATGCCATGGCCTTCACTGCAAATGAGATGGGCCTGTCGGCGGGCAACGCATTTGCCAACAACTTTCTCGTCTTCACCCAGGATGGTGACGAGCCCATGGTCGAAGGGGTGTGGCCGTCCGTCACGATAGAGACCCGCAAGAAGAGAGCCCATCGCAAGTCGAGGAATGGATGCGTACGTCTGTCTCTGTGAGCTCTGCTTGTGAAATTGGCACGAGATGCTGAGCGAGTCTTCATACTAGCTCATGTGCAAAAGGCGAAAGGTCAAGGTACGGTTCCCCAGGCCCTTCCTTCTATGTCGTCTGCCGATGCCAAAGGCCCCGCCTCTGGACTCCTGCAAATGACATATCATCAGTGTGACGAAAAGTCGCCTTGTGGACACTGCATCAAGAGAGGCGAAACATGTACACGGCCCAGGGTAGCGGCCAAGAAGATCCTCTCCATCCCGGAAGCCGGCACGGAAGACGTCCACCTCGACCACGGCAGCCCGTCTCCCAGCGCCGGTCCACACCCAGACGCGCCGGTCAACATGCTGCACATGGAGCTCTTCTACCACTTCGTCCAGCACACGGCCCCGACCCTGAGCTACCCCCAGATATCATGGGAGGCTATCCTCCCGCAAGCTGTCCAGGTACGTACGCACCGTACGCACGCTCCCCCCCCCCCCCCCCCTTCGTTCCAGCCTCTGACACACGAGCCAACAGAAAGAGTACCTCCTCAACGCCCTCCTCTCCGTCTCAGCCTCCCACCTCTCCACCCTGCACCCTTCAAGTCCGCACTACGCCCAGGCCTCCCTCTCCCACCTCTCGCAGGCGACCTCGGCCTTCCGCCACCGCCTCGCCGCCGCCGCCGCCGCCGCCGCCGCCACCGCGACCATCGGCCCCGCCGACGCCGACGCCGACACCGACGCCCTCATGGCCACCGCCGTCCTCGTCTACTACGCCACCTGGTCCGCCGCCCCGGACCCGACGAGCCCCTTCCTGCTCGCCACGGGCGCCCGGCAGATCTTCCTCTCCGCCTGGCGGCACTTTGCGGCCTCGCTGCCCACCCGCACCCGCAGCAGCAGCAGCAGCAGTGGCACCGGCGGCGGAGCCTTCTCCCGCGTCAACGTCTTCGGCGACTGCCGCGTCGTCGAGCAGCTCTGCGACGCCCGCGGCGGGCGCTGGCGGCGCACGGCCCGGCGGCTGGCGGCGCTGTGGGACGACCCGCGGTACGCGCGCGACAGAAGCAGAAGCAGGAGCAGGAACAGCAAGGCTTTGGCAGCGAAGGAGGAGGAGGAGGAAGTGAGCCCCACGCCGCCGCCGCCGCCCAGCGTCGGCGCCTACACCGTGTGGAACACGAGCTCCCTGCGCGCGCTGGACCCGGCCGTGTCGGACGTCTTCCTCAGCAGCCTGTCCCTGCCCCCCAGCGCCGACGGCGAGGACAGCGACAGCGACAGCGCCAGCGCCGGCCTGCTCCTCCAGCGCGGCGCCTTCGAGCGCGTGGCGACCCGCGTAGCCGTGCTGACCGAGCTCGGCGCGCACCTCCCCCAGTCCGAGGGGCAAGGATCATCATCACCACTACCATCATCAGGATCATTCCCCTGGGCCGACGTGGAGAGCTACATCCTGTCCTCCCCCCTGCTCTGCTTCAGCGAGTCTCTCCCCCTGATGCTGGCGGGCGACGCGCGCGCCCTGGTCCTGCTGCTGCACCAGGACGCCGCCGTGCGCGCCGTCCTCGCGCCCCGGGCCACGTGGTGGGCTCTGCGCCGGGCCGAGGCCATGGAGCGCCGGGTCGGCGAGGAGCTGCGCGCGCGGGGCCTCGAGGTAGGTGTGCACCCGGAGGAAGGACGAGGTGACGTGAACCTAACTAACCAAAGTACGTGGGGACCAGTGCAAAGGGAAGGAGAGAGAGAGCTGGACCTGGATCAAGAAAGTCTGTACTATATCTATATATGTATCTACTCTCTGTATGAACGAATCTGAACATGTCTGCATCTACCGGGGGGGGGGGCTCACTCCCTCCCTGGGCCAGCATATGAAGTGGAACGCAGCATCATCACGAAAGGGAGAGCATGGATACTGAAATGTGGTGCTGTCATCGCATTTCCTTTTCGCTACCCAGCGCCGTCTAAATGCTTCACTTTTGGTGTTGCGCAACGAAATGATGATCCCTGCCAACCGCACCATCATCCCATCTATGGGAATCGTTTGGGGAATCCTGAAAAAAAAAAGCACGAAATGCCCGACTGCCCAGGTGCCCGATAGCACTCGCCCTGTGACCCTCTCTATAAAACATCCCTTCGGTCTCAAGAGAAGAGAGATCGGCATCTGCCTTGCTTCGCGGTGACAAAAAGATCTCGGGCAGATCCAGGACCGGCAACTCCTACAATTCTTGTCCCCGGCCCGGCTCGTGATCGCTTCCGCCCAAAGAGAAAAGAATACCCGCCATGCATAACGCCCAATTACTTTGTCTATGTCACACTCCCATGAAATGCCAACAAGAAGAAGAAGCTCTATGCCTCCAAAGCGGCTCACACCCTGCTTATCGAGCTCCCTGCCGCCTGGTTCGTTTCCGCGGCGGCTCAGGCGACGGCTCCGGATCTACCACCACCTCCTGCTTCTTGCGGCTCTGCTTGCGCGCCCGGCCTGGCGGAGGTGGGGGCGGCTGCTCGCTGTGCAGATGCCCCAGCTCCTCGACCGCCATGGTGTTCTCCCACTTGAGGCACCGGTATGATGGCGGCTCGGGCGTCTGTACGGCACGGGTCCGGGTGCTCATGCGCTTGCTGGCTTTCGCCTTCTCCTCCTCTTCCTTCTTCTCCCCGTCTTCCTCCTTGGTCTCGTCGCCGATATTCAGGTACGTCTTGCGGTTCTTCATGTTCTGCGTGATCTTATCATGGAACGCGACGAGCTCCTTGCGCAGCTTCAGCTCGTTGAAGCCACGAGGGTCAAGCCAGTGAATGAGTGCGTCGAGCTGCTCCGGCTCGGCGATATAGCCCCACTGTCTGGCGTTGTAGACGCTCGTCGGGCCCTCCTCGAGCTTCTTGCGCTCTGGAACAGTCATGTTAAACTTGGCCTTGTACTCGTTCTGGAACTCGTCGGGCATGTCGATGTATCCCTCCCGCTCCATCTCATCGGGACCCTGAACCCAGACGCAACCGTTGGCGTAGCCTGCATCGGCAGTTGAGCTGTTTGGCAGGCCTCCATACGGCATACCGTTGCGCTCAAACCAGTAGTATCTATTCCAGAATCGGTCCTTGCCGAGGACGCGAGTGCGCGGGCAATCAGCCTCACGTAGGTCGTTATCGATAGTGGCAACCTCATCCTCGCACTTCTTGATGAAGTCCTCTTTCTTCTCGATGTCCTTAAGGATCTTGATGAATTGCTTGGATTGTTTCGGAACCTTGGCGGCGGCCTCAGCCTTCTCCTTGCGTTCCTGTTCTTCCTCCCTCTTTCGCTTGCGCTCCAGAGCGCGGTCCTCCGCCCGGCGTAGGCCGCGGGATCGTGGCGTCTTGACCGGAACTTCATCCTCTGTGTCGGCGATCTCCTCAGCAGGAGTGAGATCATCCGCATCGCTCATCTTGACATCGCCGTTGACCTTGGTCGCTTCCTGCGGCGGAGAAGGTGGCATGTTCTCGGGCAGGAGAATCTTGCGCTGATCGTTCAGAGCCTTCAGTTCCTCGATTGCCTGTTTTCTCTGCCGCTGCCATTCGATCTTCTCTTTCCGGTACGCCGTCATGGTCTCGCTGCAATCCTCCATGTAGCCCCGGAAAGCCTTGGTCTCGGCAGTGAGCATGCAGATGATCTGGAGGGCCTGTACCCGATAGTTGATGTCGAGAGCTGCGTAATGCTGTCGGACAGTCTCTTGCGTGGCCTCGACATCAGGAGGGACAATCTGAGCGAGAAGTTCCTCACACGCCGCCGTGTGCCGCTCATTTTTGGATAGTTGATGCAGAAGGCCAACCATGATCAGCTCCCAGCCTCCATCCTTGAACTCGCGCTTCCGGAGCTGTTCGATCCAATCGAAGCCTTGCAAAGCTTCTTCCGCGCGGTGTATTAGCGCCGGCTCGCTCTGGTTCTCCTTTTCGGCGGCGGCTGCCTCTTCTGCGAGTCTCTCCGCTTCCAACTTCGCCATGCTGCTCCGGGTGGCGCGAGCGGCGGGTTTTGGCTCCGGCTCGGCCTCTTCTTCCTCTTCTTCCTCCTCCTCCTCGTCTTCCTCCTCATCCTCGTCTATCTCGGGGAGCTTGATCTCAACATTCCCACCGTCGGCCTCGGAACTGACCAGAACCTTGAGCACCGAACAGTGTATCTCATCAAACAGCTGCACCGGAGTTTCTTCTGAGGCTACAAGCATGGCCTGCACATAGTCATCAAACGTGAAAGAGTCGAGTTTGAATATCTCGCAGTAGACGTTGAGTGTGTCCCACGTCTCCAGCAGCGGACCGACAGACTTCATCCGAATCTTTTCGTATTCGGCGGGAACGCTGTCGACTTGGACTGGGGGGTCGTTGCACATAAACTTGAGCAATGGTCGCACTACATCTCTCGGCTCGAGCTGCAAGTCCTCGATGGGATACTTGGGTGGAGGCGGCGGTGGCGGCTCGGGTTGCGAATACACTGGAGGGGTACCAGAATCCCGGAGGGAGTTCGGGAATTCGAAGCCGTTGGCAGAAAGCGGGATCTGCATGTAGCGGCCCTCCGACTTGACGTACGGGTGTTGCTTCCCCTTGGTGGTGTGTCCCTGCTGAGCTAGCTGGGTGGGCGCCTGCTTGCTCTTCTGGGTCTTAGGTGCAGCCCTGAGTTCAGGCAGGCGTACGGGACCGGAGAATGAGCTGTTCAGGCCGTTGATGTCGAGGGGCTGCACGAGTTTCTTTTGAGCTTGCACCTGTTTCCTCTCCAGCAACTTGGTGTCGTAGCGTAGATGGGGTGGAATCCGGGTGTCGATATGATATTCGGCAGCTACGTCGTGCTTGACAAGCCAGGGTGCGCCGTTCCATGCTTCCCTCGTGACAGTCTTTTTGATAAAAGACCGCAGGACCGATTTGGTAAAGACTTTCCGGTCCCGCCAGATGTGTGTATCGTCCACCACTGCCTCCTCGTCCGGTCGCGAATCAAGGCTTACAAAGTAGCGGGAGAATGGCTCGGTAAGTGTGCCGTCGGGAAGGACTTTGCTACCAAAGCGTGTCTTGTCGCGCACTACTCCTTGCAGGCGTTCTCCGCTGACGACGTGGACGGTCACATTCTCTCCCGGATAGTAGTCGCGGTTGAATTCCTCGTAGATCATGTCCACGAGCGTATCAATTCGAGAAACGGTTTGGAATTGGACGCGACGGAGGATCGGACCCTTGAGGGCTTCTGGGAAGGACTGTTCAACTTCCTTGGCGCCGGCGAGCTACGCGGATTAGATGCAAGCCACGAGCGTGGGAAATACAAAGTTTGCTTACCTCGCTCTGCAAAGCTTCAAAAAAGTTCAGCCCGGAGTGTCCAGTGATCTGGCAAATGAACCGCCGCTGTTGGGTGGTGAGTAACCATCGAGTTTCGGTTGGGGCCTGGGGGGGCGGATATGGTTGAGCCTACCTGCTTATAAAAGTCCATCCTGCACACGCATTAGCCATGGAGGCTTGGATACACGATGGCTGAATGAGGAACGACATACCTGTTGAGATAGTCCTCGTAAGTAGCGAAGACCTCGCCTGTTTGTGAGATATGCCAGATCTAGAGGGATTTCCATATTTAGTAGCTAGACCCGGACTTACACCGGTGTCGGTACGAACCTCGGTGGAATCATCTATGTCGTCGGGATGCGGTAGGAACTGCACGGGTTTCCGTTTAAAGAGAACCTGAGAGGCTGTGTCAGCCCGCGAGAGCTGAGCGCGGTGGGTGAGCACGGTTTTCTCCAAGGAGACATACCATTCTGACGTCTTGGTCTGCCGGCCGCGATCTGCAAAACTATATCTGCGAGGCTGCAAGTCAGCCTCGTGGACTTGAGGGCCGATGGGGGCAATTGAATGGCGCGAGAGCGGTGGTTGTGGCAGGCTGTTGTGATCCGAGTCGCGATCGCGGCGCCAGTGTTGGCACAGGCCGGTGGTGGAGGAGGAAGCAGAGGCAGAGGGTGGGCTTTGCAGCCGAGTTCGATGCACTTACACGAGGCGGCGGCACGCGTCCAAGACCGAGACTGGCGAGCTTCAAAGTCGTGTAAGTCGAGTGCGCATGGGTGCAGGTGGCTGCAGGGAGGGCGCAGATGGAGGCGCGATTGTTGTGAGGACCGTGGTGAGAGTCCCGGGCAAAGACGAGCATTGACGACGCCAGTAGGAGGGAGGAAGAAAAAAAAGAGGGTAAGGGGAGGAAGAGGCATCAACACAAGACGGAAGAGATGGGGGAGCGAGTGGCCCGCCCTGATTCGCCCAGGCCCTAGCGGCAGGCGCAACGATACCTCGCCCGCCCACCGTTTCCACACCCGCGCGCCATGTACCTTTTTGCCCTGGCCTGCCTTGCTGAGAGAAGAAGAATCTCTTTAGAAGAGAATAAGGTACCGCCGGCCGCACCGCGCGCCCGCCAATTCGGGGCCCACCTTTCACGCACCACCCTGGGTCAGGGACGGTACTCGCGTTGACACCTGTTTTAGGCCCGTTTTCGCCCTGGCTCTCTGTACCTCCTCTCCTCCCCTGCTGCTGGCGACCGTCTCCCTCCCAGAAATTCCCGTGCCCGCTGGACAACCCACTCTCCACCAACCCGGGGCCTCCCTCTTCGTTGTTCTCTTCATCGACGCTCCGACCCGTCATTCACCAGCGTATTTGTACTCTTTGGATTCCCGAGCTCGAGCTGATTTGATCGAGTATATAATCGTGTAGTTTGAGCACTGTTTGAGGCCTATACTATCGGGTACATGCATTCTACGATCTGCATGGGCCAGGGTAGTTTGAATCTCAATTGAAAATGCTTCCTCCACAGTACCCTGAGCATCTACCCGCGAATAACACCACAAGACCATGACTGTGCCTTCCAAGCTTGGTGCCATCTGATTGCTCTTTGTCGTCCTAACGACAGTCACCTGCGAAAACAATGAAACCCAGTCGTAGCAGGGACCGACGCGTCAATATTCAACGGCCTCCTCGACGGGATGCGGCTCAAAAGCTCTGACGTAATGGCTGCCGGAGCTGCTGTTTGCATATGCGCAAGAGACTCTGTTCCGCAAGGACGGCGAAGCCTGCGCGTCAGCCATCTCTCACTGTCCTTGAAGCCGGGCACGCGAAGGAGGCAGAGTCGCGAAGTGTTTACACTCTGTTGCGAAATGCTGGGTTCCGAGACTAGGATTGGGTCGTCTTGAAGCCAGCGGTCCGGATCCTTGCACCGCTTTTTTCTCGATTCGCCCTAGCCCCGTCAGCCTTGCACCCGCGAAACGTGGCTTGGCCGCCACTTTTTGCCAACACCTCGCGCCAATCAGGTGGCTTGCGCGCAAGTCAAGCCACACCTCCCCCAACGACACCTCAGTGCTGGCTGGACCCGACCCGACATTCTGCTGTCCTCCCCGGCTCGTCAGCGCCCCCGGCGTTAGTCACTGCTTACGATTCACTCTGCAAGGGGTTCAGGAGGTGCGCAATTTTGCCCAACGAATTCACTCTCTATTCCCTGAATGGAAATTCTACCTTGGGTATAATCCTTTTCCCTACCAATCTAAGATGTGAAATACACCACCAGAAATCCCAGCCAGCTGCCCACCACACCAATGGCCGAGTAGGAGCTGGTAAACATGAGCGGCAGAAATTCGTAGCTCTTGCCAAAGATGATTTGGTGCAGCAACGAACAGTAGAGTATCAGAGGAATACTGATCGCGATATACAACGTGCTGAAGCGATCAAAGAGGAAAAAGCGCGGCGCGCTCGATGCCGGCGCCAATCGGTCGAATACCAGCAGGAACAAAACCAGCCAGAATATGGTGTAGACCACCTTGATAGGGTACTCTGCCGGCGTGAAAAGAAGAGGAAACAAGGAAACATGGCCAGACACAGCAAGGGGTCGGAAGGCGCTGAGGTGTCTCCGATCCTTGAGAGCAATGAGGCTGAAGGGAACGATGACGAGCAGAATCGCCTTCTCGTGCACATGCCATCCAAAAAGGAACGATGCATAGCCACACAGGGTAACTGCGCCGATAAAAGTATCCCAGGTAGGTTGGATGAAGAGCTTCACGAGCGGGATGATCTGGAACAGCAGTGTGAGAATGAAACACATTCTTGGACTAATGTCTGGGAGAACAGCAAATGCCGTGTCTCCAACCAGGCCACGCGTGACGCTGTTCAAGGCTTCTGCCTTGACTGGCAATCCAAGCCTTGGGGCGACTGCGAAAGTTAGCGGATTGGTCTGGTATCCCAAATCGAAGAGGTGAAGCGGCTTACCGTAGATGAGCACTCGATCCATGAAGGAGTACATAGCCCAAACATTGGGGGCCCAGTAGGCATGGCATAGGCCTCTCGAAAAGGGAAAAAGCCGGCTTAGAATCTGCGGGATCTGGTTCTTGAGTGCGAATGGTCCAAACGCAACACCAAGGATCGCAGCGATGCCGCTGCCGAGTTTGACGCAATTGAGAAGCTGGATCTTGAAGATCGACTTGGGCGATAGGCAGTAGGCACGGAGCAAAAAGACCACATATGCCGGGGCCAGATATGCGTAGATGTGCTTGAAGCACAGGAGCGCCGCGAAAACGAGTCCGCTCCACAGGAAGCCTGACCTCTTCTTGGCCAAGACCAGCGACGCGAAGAGGATCCCGTACAGGAAGCCATTGTACTGGAAATGGATGTGATCGATGATCAAGAGCCCCGGGGAAAGGAGGATCGAGATGGCAGCTGCTTGCGCCGCCCGTTTCGAGATTCCATGGGCCGAATCAACGAAGCTAGAGAATTGTGTTAGTTAGTTGGTCAGGAAGGACAGCGCCGCTCGCAGGCCAGAGGGCAAGGGCTGTGCGCACGATTGAAGAGCGTAGACTAGGACCAGCTCGGTCACAATGACTGTAGATCTCTGGAAATACACAGTCTGCCAGCTATCGTATTCCAGGTTGAAGACGCGCAGCATAGCCGGGTCGGCGAGCTTTGCGACCTGGGACATGACCCATTCAAAATAGGCAAAGAAGGGAGGGTAGTCGAGGGTCCATTCCGAGGTCTTCTCGTAGTACCATTGCCATATCGGGAGACTGTGCGTGATGGCCAGCCAGTTGCGGTGGACTTCGAAGTCGGTCGACTTGCTGCGAGGCAGTTAGTAACATCACCGCGGGAAGCCCGGGAGCCCGGGAGCCAAGGGCGGTCCGGAGCCACTCACTAAGCCGGGAACAGGAGAATCTTGAAGGCGGCAGCGATTAATGCGCACTGCGCAATTGAGGGGTAGATCTCGGTCGCCATTGACGCATCTCGGTGCGATCACCGCAGGCACCAAAGCAAAAGGAAGGATCGGAGTTGGACGTTGTGCTTGTGGTGGTGGTGGAGGATGTGGATGTTCAAATTCATCTATCTGCCCACCCATGTGATTGCAAAGGCTGCTGGAGCTGGAGGCGTGTCCTGCAAATAAAATCCGGGCTATGATTACTGGGTACCTTACCTTGGAGCGCGAGCTCCCCGCAGCTGAAGACGCACGCTGGAAGAAGCACAAGGGTCCACTTAGGGGACCAGGAGGCATTCCGGGGCGCGTCTCTGCTTCAATTTGCTTCACCATTGTAGCACTGAAGCATGCATGGGGGTTGGAGAGCCCCCTTATTAGGGTGTCTCGAAATAGGTCTAGGTACCTTAGGTACCACCTGCAACAGGGGATAACTAGGCCTATGAAAACACGCGACCACAAAGAGGCGTTCTTGCAATTCGTCAGCCTCGCAAAGTCTCACTTGCAACGGGAGGAACAACGATAAAATCACGACTCGAAATTGACTTTATTTTTTTATGATCAGAGCACCCGATACTCATACCACGAAATAACACCTTTTTTTTTATCTTGTCTTTTTACGCTGCATTGCTCCGGGAATTCGGTGGCTTTTCTATTGCGAAATTCAGCCTATCCGCTTACAGACAGCTTCCGTGGTTGTTCGCTTTGAATGGGTGGCGGCGTTTGTTTGAGCTTGCAAAGTGTCCTTAATTAAAACCATAGGCCTAGCCTCGCTCACGGCCACATATACCACGCGACAGAATACCCGTCTTCTCTCTCCAGCAACACCCTCTTCTCTCCCACCGACTGTTCGAAACTCCCGAGGCGGGCTCTCTACAGCTTCGAACAGCTAAGACACTCACGCCGTCGCCGAAATGCGTCTGCAATCGCCCTCCGTATGGAGCCTCTTGGCAGGCCTCTCCGCGGTCCAGGCGCAGTACCTCGTGAACGAGCTGAGCTTTGGCTTCGGCCCTAGGTAAGTTGAACCCGAGCTTGCAGAAATGCAGTATACATACACCGCTCTCTCTCTCTCTCTGCCTCTCTTTTTAGAGAGCTCCAGTCACACAAAAGCGCTAACGTGTTTCTCTCTCCTCCCGCCCCCCCCGCGCCGACAGGATAGCGCCAGAGGGAACGACACACGTCCCCAACTTCTCCATACAAGGCACGCGGACCCCCGAGATCCTCGCCAACAAGGTCATCCTGACGCCCGTGTCCCCCGGCAACGTGCGCGGCGCCGTGTGGGGCGAGCGCACGCTCGACTACCGCGAATGGGTCGCCGACATTGACTTCCGCGTCAACAGCCCCGACCGCGGCGGCGGCAACCTCAACGTCTGGCTCGCCAAGGACGGGCCCTCGGCCGTCGGCTCCGCCAGCATCTACACCGTCGGCCGCTTCGAGGGGCTGGCGCTCGTCATCGACCAGTCGGGCGACCACGGCGGCATGATCAGGGGCTTCCTCAACGACGGCCACACCGACTACAAGTCCCAGCAGGTCGACGGCCTGTCCTTCGGCCACTGCAACTACGCCTACCGCAACCTCGGCCGGCCCTCGCAGCTCAAGATCACCCAGACCGCCGACAAGTTCTCCGTCTCCGTCGACAGCTACCCCTGCTTCGACAGCGACGCCATCACCCTGCCCACGGGCTACCGCTTCGGCGTCACCGCCGCCTCGGCCGACAACCCGGACTCGGTCGAGGTCTTCAAGCTCGTCGTCATGACCCAGGCCCTCGACGCCCAGCAGGCCGGCAGCGGCCACGGCAGCACCCACAACAACCAGCAGCAGCAGCAGCAGCGCCAGCCCCCAGTCCCGCCCATGCGCTTCAGCCGCAGCGGCCAGTCCGAGCACCAGCCCCACGGCGGCAGCAGCGAGGACGACGAGTCCTACGAGGCCGACCTCCCCGACGAGGAGGCCGGGCACATCACCTCGTCCAAGGCGCAGTTCGCCGACCTGCACAACCGCCTCCAGAGCGTCAACCACCACCTGTCGACCATCTTCCGCTCCGTCGCCCAGCAGGGCCAGATCGACGAGACGCGCCACGAGGAGAACCAGCGCGCGCTCGGCGAGCTCAAGGGCCTGCTGTCCAAGCTCGACCGCATCGGCGACCTCGAGCAGCGCATCGCCGGCCTCGAGCGCGACCTGCGCGCCGTGCGCACCGACGTCGCCAACACGATGCGCAACGCGGAGCACTCGATCAAGAGCCACGTCTCGGACCACCACTCGACGCTCGCCGAGACGGTCCGCGGCGCCGCCCCGGGCCACGGCCGCCTCATCTTTGTCATCCTCGGCAGCCAGGTGCTGCTCGCCGTCGCCTTTGTCGTCTACAAGAGGAGGCGCGCCGCTTCGCCCAAGAAGTACCTGTGAGCTGTGAGCGAGAGGAGGAGGAGGGTGGAGTCCGGGCCCGAATGTCTGTTTGTGTTAGGGGGGGGGCGGGGGTCGAGTGTGTTTTCATACCACCCCTTTTGTTTTGGGCAATAGTGAAGATGTGCATGTATACCAAAAAGAAGGTATTGAATGATTTGGGTTTTGCGGGCGTTTTTGTGTAGACCTTTGTGTTGCGTCTGGATAATGCGATAGCGATGACAATCAATATAACATCCATTTGAAAGCGCCTATGGGCTTGACCATGACATTGCTCTGTGCAGCCCAAGTTTTTAAAAAGCAAGCTTCCCCCAATGCAAATACCTCGCAAGAAAAGAAAAGTACGCTTAGATCCTTCCCACCCCAGAAGGAGACGAAGAGACAACGAGAAGAGAGAGACGCCTTTTTGGGTCCCCCAAAACAAAAACATCATGCTAACCGATTTGCCTCCTCCTCCTCCTCCTCCTCCTCCTGCCTTCACTCCTTGCCATTAATGATCCTCAGCGCCTCCTCTCCCTTTGGCGCACTCGTGAGGTCCTCGTACCCGTCCTTGGTGACCAGGATGCAGTCCTCGATCCGCACGCCGCCGACGGGGTAGTACTTCTCGAGCAGCTCGCGGTTGATGTACTTGGCGTGCGCCGGGTCCGAGAGGAAGAAGCCCTCGATGTACTCGCGGCAGAAGTAACTATTTTTTTTTTTTGCGTTTTCCTCCCGGTCAGAAAAAAAATCCCTTTTTTCAAGCAGTGCAGTTTTTCGTTTCTGCGTTTTGCAGTCGCAGAAAAGGGGGGGTGGAAAGAAGAAGAAGAAAAACTCACATGCCGGGCTCGATGGTGACGACCATGTTCTCCTCGAGCACCTGCCGGCCCCGGTACGGCAGCGGCACCGTCATGGCGTCGCGCACGAGCGACGCGTTGGCCCGCGGCGACATCCACTCCCTCTTGCCCGCGCGGCCCGCCGTGCCGCGCTCCTCGGCGCACAGCAGCAGGCGCTCCCGGCCCGCGACGTCGTGCGTCTCGAGGCCGATGTGGTGGCCCAGCCCGTGCGGGAAGAAGGCGGCGCCCGTGCCCTGCGCCACGATGTCGCGCGCGCTGCCGCCGCGCAGGACGCCCAGGCGCAGGAGCTCGACGACGGCGACAAGCATGGCGTGCAGGTGCAGCGTGTAGTAGGGCACGCCGGGCCGCACGCGCTCGATGCACTCGCGCTGCATGCGCTCGACGACGGCGTAGACGGCCTTGGCCTCGGGGCTGAAGCGGCCCGAGATGGGGAAGGTGCGCGTGATGTCGCTGGCGTACAGGCCCCACTCGGCGCTGGCGTCGAGGCAGACGAGCTGCCGGCCCTCGAGGGGCTGGTCGTTGGCGTCGTAGTGCAGCGTCGCGGCGTTGGGGCCGGAGCCGGCGATGACGGGGTAGGCCTGGCGCTTGGCGCCGTGGGCGAGGCAGTAGCCCGTGAAGATGGCCTCGATCTCGCGCTCGTTCGTCAGGTCCTTGATGCGGCTGAGCACGATCCTGTGCGCGGCGGAGCTGATCTCGTTGGCCTTGCGGATCATCGACACCTCGTAGTCGGTCTTGACGACGCGCGCCAAGTCCATGGCCGGCTGCAGCTTCGAGGTGTCGATGCGTATGGGCCGGCGGAGGTTCTCCAGCTGGGGGATCTGCTTCTCGTGGAGGACGTAGAGCGGCAGCGAGGGGCCGAGGACGAGCTTGAGGAACTTGTCTAGCGACTTGACGTAACAGACATCGTCAATATCGATGGCATCCTTGCACTCGTTTGGCGTGGGGACGGAGCCCAAGTAGAGCACCTGTCTCGGCTCGAGCCACGGGATCCAGAGCACCAGGCGGTCCTTGGCAATGTCATAGGTTACGGCGCAGTCCTCAAAATTGGCACCGCTCAGGTAGTAGAAGCTACAGGCAATGGAAGGGTAAGCGAGAACGCACCGCGGCCGGGGTTGAGAGGGGGACGACCTACTATCGCCGTTGCCGGAAGACAGGAGCTTGGTCCGAATCCTCATAGGTCTGGGTAGGCAGACCGGGCAGGTAGATAAGGCCATTGTCGACACCTAGATGCTTCGCCACCTTGCGCGCATGTAATTTGGCTACGCAGAACTGTCAACTAGTGTGCATTATCGCAACATGAGACATCGGCGGACTCACCAGGGTACTTCTCGTTGGTATCAGAGCAGACCATGGGCAGTTTGGCTGACAGGGAAGCCCCAGCCGTAGGTCTGGTCTTCTTCAACTCGATCGCTCTGCGGGCTTGTCAGTCTTTCCTTGCCCGAGGCCTATCTCCTCGGGGGGCGCAGCCTCGGCTCCAAGACCGACGACCCCGAACTGTGTCGTCAAGATCCCGGTCCCGGGGTCGGCTGGATCACGTACAAAGCGTCGAACTCGTCCACTACTACCAGATCATGGTCTGGTTCCGCCGCCACAGCGCCCGCAGGCTTCCCTTTCAGCGTTGACATGACCTAGAGGAAGTGAAATAAAAGAGGTATTCCGAGCTCGGGTTGTGTCGTCGCGCAAATCGAGGTTCGGGGTTTGCGGAACACAGCCAGCAGCTGACACTGCCAAGAGCGGTGTGTGTGCTAGCGAGGCCTCAACAAACCGCGGGTTGGTGGTGGCTACCTTAGATAAGGGACAACCTATCTCACCAGGGCCAATTCCGGGAAACTGTCGCGACTGTAATTGTGATCTCAAGAAGAAAAGACAGCAGACATTCATGAAAGTATTCCAAGTATGAATGTGAAGGAGGGGAAGTTGAATGCAGAGTACAGGGCCGACGGCGTGATAACCCAATGCGGTGCTTCCGGTGTCGTTATGGGGAAGTTCGATGTACGGAGTAGTGCACAGGCCAACTGCAACTTATCCGCATGCATGCTCGCTCATCAGGGGGCCGCCCGGCTGCATCTTCACATGCATGCGAGTGTTGCTGACTGACTGACTGATGGATGGCCTGAACTGACTAACCACTAAAACAAGGTGGCGCCAGCGGGATGGGCGTGCGCTGGCGAGTAAGAGCACGATCCGTTGTTGGGAAAGCTTAAAACCGGCTTTCCATCGCGAACCACTCAAAGACCTGCCACGGTCCGTATCAAGCACGGCACATTCCTGGGCTGAGCCGCTGATAGGTACTACCGTTGACACTACCTAGGTACTCAATGACGATAGGGAGGCCCTAGCGAGCTTATATTGCCTACCTAGGTACAGCACAGCACAGCTCAGAGCAAGCACGGTAACCTTCGAGAGAGAGTTTCCATGACTGAAGGCTCCCCCAACAGCTTGACTCGCGACCTTGGCTACCTATTACTTGTTGGCACCCAAACCGACACTAGGTACAATAGAGTCTACCAAATCAGTCCCGCATGTTCTGAATTATGTACGATATCCTATGTATTCCATCTAAGCTTGATGTTTCCGGCCAATCTCACGCCTCATGTCCTGTGTCTGTTACATTGGAGATCGGCCATCGAGACCATGCAGAATACACTATCCTACCTGATCTGGGCACAGCCAAGCAAGCAGCCGGCTGTTCTGCCATGTATACACAGGGCCATAGAGGCCAGGTCCGATCTCTCGTGTTTACAAGAGGATCAAAGATGCACCGCGAAAGGACTCCAGCAACGAATAAGCGATTCTATGACACTGGTCCCCCTTGCCATTGGCCAACGTTTAGCTCTCGTTGTGATGCTGGCAGTTGTAACTCAAAAAGACGAAAAGCTAATAAAGATTGGTTTCGTACATAGACCCCATGACGGAAATGGAAACCCATGGTCTAGGATGAAGTTGTTTGGCATAAAGTTATATACATGTGGAAATGGAAAATATCCATCCGAGATGAAGAAGAAAACGCGCGGGTATATAAAAAGGGCTCCTTTCAACAACTAGGAACAACCCCCTTCAGTCCTGAACTAGACTAAGAATGCGGAAAAGTAGCGAGTGTCAAAGGATGAAAATATCCAATGTGAGAGGAACAATTCTCGGGTATCTTTGTCGAAGAATACGCCCGGTTTCGTCCAGGCTTCATCGCCCGTGGGAGGTATCGTCCGGCACGACCTTTGGTCCCAAAACGTCGTCTCTTTTTATATAAGTTTACAAAGAAAAATGCTGTGATTTCTGAGCGGGTTTTTTTTTTTGGTCATATCCATGTGTGAAAAATCGTCGATGCTTGATCTCGTCAAGGCTGCTGTCGCTGGATCGTGCGTTCAATGAGGACCAACCAGTAGCGTCTCCATTCCCAAAATAGTCGTACTAGAATTGATGTAATGGTGGAAAGGTATCTTTTGCGAGGGGAATGCAAGTGACCCCGGCGCCGGTCCAGCCTGACGGACAGTCGGATGAGCATCTATATCTGTCGGTGGTAGTTTTGTGGGAACATTTCAACAAAGTTGGGGTCGAAATTCGGATCGGCCAGCATTTCCTCCAGCTCCCTGTGTTGTCGTTGCTGCGTCATCTGGTGGTGTTGTTGTTCTTGGTGCTGTTGCTGGGTGTGTGTGTTTTGTGTGTGCATGCCGAGCATGCCTGAGGCGTTGTACATATGCGATTGGAGGTCCATGCCCTGCTGGCCTTGCGCTTGCTGCATCAAGTATGGCGGGACCGGCCCAAGGAGTTGGCCCTCAATGTCATCATAGACATTGGGCGGAATGTAGAACTGTATCGCGTCTTGGTGATGGCCAGGCCCGGCTTGGCCTGGGTGCGGCCCGGAAGTGGGCGTTTGCATGTCAGCCATCGGCTGGTTCGGATAGGCGAACGGATCGCCCGAGGGGAACATCATAGTGTCCAACTTGTACAAGGGGTTGGCAGCACCGCCCGGTGTTTGGTGCGCCGGTACGGAAGGGATGGAGCGGTAGCTTGTCGACGGCGTACCGCTCGATTCGGGACTGCCCGTTGCCGATGACAAGTCCATCGATAGCATTTCGGGAAAGTTCGAAATGAATTGCTGTCCGGGCCTAGCATTTTGCGGTCTATGCGCCGTGTCAAATGACATGCGGTGGGACGCATGCCTTCGAGCGTCCTGTGCAGCGCTGCCTTTGTGTGACTGGCTGTCCTCGGATCGTCTGCCCGGAGCTGTCGTGGGAGGCATTGGTATCGGACTAGCTTTCGGTCCCAGGGATCGCTTTTTAGTCGGTATGGGACGTCCTTTGCCCTTCTTCAAATGATCAGGAAGACGCTCAAAGACAACCTATTTACGTCCATTAGCTCAACAAGCTCTGCCACAATGGACGAGGGTCTCCTTACATTCAGCGAAGCTGTGACTCTATCGGCGGCCGAGCTCCTCGACGAGAGACTCGCAATGACGTCCCTCCCGGCGGTGGCTTCGGCGAGGATTTCGGGGGATCCAGCCTTGTCGGGATTCTCTAGAGCGTAGAAGAGCAGGGACAGTATGGCAAAATATTGCGTGTAGAGGATGAACCAATACGGCCCAATTACAACTGCCTTCTTCCTAATCTCCATCCCTATGTGTACGATGTTTCTTGCCACGCTGATACCAGCGGCGGCGCAGGCGTAATACCGTTCATCCACGTTTTTCCCAGCGGATAGGCGAGGAGAGACGTAGTGCAGAAATGGCCGATACAGCATCATTTGCACATGTGCGTAGCCGAACCTCAGAAGGGTGCGGATTCTAGGAAGATTGACCCTGGTTAGCCACATAACGCACTGAGATAGAGCCATTGGAGTGATAGCAGTGTAGCGGAGGTTTGCAATTCTTGTAGACCTCAAGGCCATACCAAAAGGACATAATGGGGGGGATGGATGACATACCGGACAACTTCAATGGGCCCTTCAGCACTTGGGCGCCACTGCTCAGGAAGCTTTTCGAACCATTCATGCAACTCTTGTTCAATCTCCTTGATCTTCGAGTAGTTTATCAAGTACGTCGCGCTTTCTTTTTCACCGCTCATGACACAGTCCTCGATACCCTTGAGCGGATAGATGTGCTTGATTACCTTTGCCAGGATGTCTAGCAGCTTCGCGTGCGCATTGAAAGCCTCAAAGACAGATGGTGATCCCGCTGGGGGGCTCAGGATGCCGTCCTTGGTGATATACTCGTCATCCACCTCGGTCGGAAGCGGCTGGTCTATGTCTTGGTTGCTCAACATCAAGGGGAAGCCAAGCAACGCAGACACATACGTGTCCATCTGTCGAATGACATAGAATACGCGCCTGCGAGACTCATGCTCTATCGGAGTCAGTTGGGCGTGCGGTAAATGACGGTGTAGACCCATACGCATAGCTGCGCGCAATGCTATCCCGAGGAAGGCGTAGCAGCCCGAGAGGTCGGATGTCGCTTGGAGGAAGAGGATCAGGTATAGAAGGGCCTGTAAGGACGCTAGATCTCGACACTCTGTAATATCTTGGAGCAACAGCCTTGAAGTAGAGAAATATTTGAGCCTTCATAATCCAGTTAGCACAATCTATGAATTTTCGCGTGCAAGGTTTGTCATTTACCCTTCTTCCATGGCTGCCTGGTAGTGGTGCGCACTGTCATCCGAGAAGTTGTACACGCAGCCGAGAGCCAGGACCGCATACAACAAACCAAGCGTTCTATTGTCTTCCGTACCAAAAGTTTCGGGAGACTTCTGGTACAGCCTTTCGAAAGTCTCGAAGAAAGTCGGGACGTGAACTATTCGAAGAAGACAAGTAGCGCATTGGAAGGAGTACAAGCAGAGTGTACGAGCATGCTCTTTCGGTGGTAGATCGTAGACGTTTTGGAGAGCCGGGTCCCAGGGCGAGCTGACACTTGACCTGGGCGAATCCAAGTTGAACATGCCTGGCAGTCGTGGGGCGCGAGGGAGGAAAGGTGCCTTGTAGTCCTGTCCCAACAATCCTCCAAAGTGCTCCCGCAAGCGCCTGAGGAAGACAGCCCCAGAAGAGATGCCGTGGAAGTCCCACTCACCACCTTCGGTCAAGTCGAGTTGCCCGATGGTCTCAATCATAGAAAGAATCTGCGAGTCCTGGTTCTCAGGTTGCTGGACTTGTTTGTCTTGTTGCTTCTCCGACTTGGCGGCTTGGTTTCTCGCGCGCTCGCGATTCTGAAACTCTTGTTGGACCGCGGGATCGAGGTTGGGATCGCTCAGGTCTACCTCAGGCATGAATTTGCGCAACAACGTCTCGGCGCGCTGCAGCCGATGCTCCAGTGCCTCAATGTACTGAGGTGCAGGGTTTCTGCGCCGGTTGGACGGCTTGTCGTATGTGCATTCTAGTCAGGTTGGTTAGCGATCAGCCGTACTGATGTTGTGGGCGCTGAGGGTATGCGTACCATAGCTGTAGACGGAGCAGTGTGTGCAGGGTTGCTTCCCATCGCACTTGATCTTCTTGCGCCGGCACTCATCGCAGGCTCTCGTGACTCGGCGACGCTTCTGCACCGGCATCGACGGTGTGTCCTGGGGAGCACTGCTCGACTCGCCGATGCTCTCTTCCTTTACTTGGCTGAGAGCATCGGACGATTTGGTACTGGCATCCGGGGACGAGTGCTCCTGGGCCCGCCAACTCGCCGAAACGAGAGCGGACCCATCTTCAGACAGGGCCGGGGAGACGGCCATGTCGAGCGTATCGGAAGCTGCGGTGATGGTGCTGGCCGTGGAGACGTTGTGTGGCTGTGCAGCGGGACGCGCCGACGGCGGAGGCATGCCCTCGGCGGGGGATTCAACCACCTGGTCCATGGCGGGCACCTGGGTCATGTTCCGTGCCCGTGGTCTGGAATTTGGCCCGTCTCAATGGCAGGGAAGTCATGAGAGCATGTTCAGAAAACCAAGAGTCTTCTGAAGTGATTGGAGCTCACAGCCTCGCGCGGAGGGGAACGGTGGTGAGGGCAGGTATTTCGAAGGGGGAAAAATAAATAGAAAAAAACAGGCCCCCCCAAGCGAAGGCTCCTCGGAGCCGCAACAACGGTTACAGACCGAATGCGACTACCACTTGTAGTGGTGGTGTCGATTCAACCAAGGCTCGCGAGAAGAAGAACCAGGTGATTGAGCCTACCAGCGGTCACTCGGAAGAGCTGGCCAGTCGTCCACGTCGTCAAGAGGGAGGAACAGGAGGCAAGCACGACCTGCGTTCTTGAGACAGAGAGAAAAAAGACAGTTCGGAATCCTGGAGGCTTCGACTCCAGCAGGAGGACAGGGCTTGTCAAGAAAAACAATGGGGGAGCGAAGCTGAGTGGGACTGGACCAAGCAGTTCAGCACGGGTGGTAGGCGGTAGGGACAGACAGGGGAGGCGCTCTCAGAGACCACCTTTGAAGTGTGGATACAGCCGGGCGACCAGGGTGTGCGTGTGCGCGCGACGGGCAGTGCGAGAGACTCTGGTTGATCCCGGGATGGTGAACTCCAAGCCAACGAGATCGTTGACGGTCGTTGGAGCCAAAGAGTAAGAAGTCGTCCGAGCAGGAAAAGGGGTCCAGGGTCAGAGAGGTGGGCGGCAGTCAGAGACGACAAAGGACCGACGACATGCAAAAGTCAGAAGCAACGGGCAGAGATAAAAAGAGGCCGGTGCCAGACAAATAGATGTGAGAGAGAAGAACAACGACAAGGTGCTGCTCTTGGCCCGAACGGAGGGGGGCGTGTATCAACACGAGACCAAAGCTCGAATGCCTCGCCTCCACCAAGAGGATACGGAGGCGACGTCCACACCCACAAGTCCGAGAGACGGGAAAAGTACCGGACCCAAGAAGAACCTCAAGAGGGAGAGCAATGGCCACGAGACAGGCTCATGCTCCGCATGTAGAGATAGATGAACCGGGGAGATGGGAGGAAGAATGAAAGAAAAGGCGTCGGAAAGGAAGAGCCAAGGCGACGACCCGCAGGAAGATAACAAGTAATACAAATAGAGCAGGTATGTATTTACGGAGCGAGGTATGCACAGGCCGGAGACGTTGTAGCTTCAGCTGGATCCCAAAGAGTGGACTGCTGGGGCCGTGGACCTCGTGGGAGAGGCGACCAGGTGCAGGGCAAGTGGGTAAGGCGAAGCGCCAAAGATGCGTTAGCAGACACCTCGGCGGCCTTGATAGAGTAGCTTATTGAGGGCTAAAGGAGGTACAAGGAGAATGTGGGATGGGAGACCAAGCGGTAAGCAGGGTTCATAAAAACGAATGAATGACATAACTCAGCGACGAGCAAAGAAGGGGGCTCAGAGCTCAGAGCGCCAAACGCCGGGAGGCTTGGTACGAGGGTCTTGGAGTCTCAGGTCAGAGAGTAAACGGTATGGGGATGTGGGCAGCGCGTCAAGCAAGGCAACGAGGCCAGCCAGATATCTCAAAAGCAAGGTCTGCATGTGCCAAGTAAGGCATTGTAATTTGTGCGGCATGGAAGCACCAGTGCGTGAATGAATCGGCATCCCGCTTCAAAATCCCAGCCCATCGAATCCCAATGCAAAGACGACCTCAGCGAGAAGAAGAAAAAAGGGCAATCCCAATTAATCCCCCATCCCAGCGAGGGAGGTACCTTAGGTACTCCAGGGTAGGTACTTCCTCCCTCCCTACCTAACCTACCTACCTACATTAGGTAGGTACATCATACCCAACATCCCCTAAGGTGAGGCGCCGGCGGGAGCAGGCTCCGATGACATAGGCGGGCTGCATTTAATCTGGACATGTGGGGGAGATGATGGACGGCCTTTGTCCAGTCCGGAAAGGCTTCCTTGGCTGAGCACAGGGCATCGATGGTACCTCGGGGCGCCACGCCTGGAGAAAGCTGGTCAAGAACGAGGCGCAGCTCAGCACCTAGCCCTTCCTTGCCTTCGAGAACGCGACCAGAGATGCACGGGAAGGCTTCTAGAAGAACCACATTGTGGCGGTGTATGCTTGGTGATCACAGAAACGGCGGGCCGGGTTGCGTGTATCTGGGGATCGCCCTCGGTGCGAGGCGAAGCAGATGCGGGTGTCGATGATGGCTTTCGCGATGCCCGTCTGTCCATGCTTGCTTGGACGACGCCTGGAGATGAAGGCCCCCCTACCACCGAAAGTACCTAGTTACCTAGTAACCAAGGAGTAGGGCCAAGCAACCGCGCGCGCGTGCACACACACACACACACACACACACACACACACACAAGCAAACCTACCAGCTTGCTTGCACACTTGCAACAAATTATCCATTACCCACACCACCATCGATCCCAGCACTTCGCTACGAATTCACATTTTACCAACCTCCGATTTTGTACCTACCTTTACCTGCCTACTTTCATAAAGTACACACACACACACACACACACGCCACGGGTTGTGCTTGTACAGCGCAGAGAGGGAGGGGTGGCTCGAGTGCGAAACCGAGCAAGTGGTCCCGGATACTACTCCATACTCCGTCGGGGCCCAGTCACGTAGGGCGACGGATATGGTAGGCACTTCGTCGTTTACGGCTTTAATACGCACGGTGGGTAAAGTACGTTTTTGTGGAATGAAGTGACTTTTGCTCGCGGGAACAACAGAGCCGTGAAGCTTGTTGGAACCCGCGTCCTCTGCTGTATTATTCGCTCAGCCGACCGACCGCTGTCTCCGCTTGAACCGATCAGGCCGGAGGAGAATCATGGAAAGTCTTGTGTGCTGGACAGAGTGCGAACAGGACACAGAGTTGACGAAGGCTGTCGAGGGATAAGGGAATGGCTAGCACACAAGCAAACGTAAAGACTGGGCCCCTATGCAATCCAGGAAATGAACAGATCCAATTAAGCACTCAGTGTGCAGTAGCGGATTTCAATTGTGTCGCCTGTCCCCAGGTATCAAAGCCCGATGCGGTGTATTTGCCGAACTGGGGTGCAGTTTGGTCAAGGTCAAGGGAGCAAATTTGCCATTATTTGACCAACCATACTCGACACTGTATGGTCATTATGGAAGAGCTGTGTTATCAACAGCTGACTATGAGGTACCTACCTTGCCTCCTAACCAAGCGTGCCAACTGCCTACCTACCTAGGGTAACAAATATCACTCCGGTTCCTGTTTGACATGTTGTTTCCTGGAACACTTTCCACCTTTGGTTAGAACGTTGGTCTGTCGAGCAGCAACAACAGCCTTGCAGTAAAGTAAGTCGAGTGCAGAATGTGCGTATCATCTGGGCATTTCCCAAGTTTGTCCACTGCGCAAACGAGCAAAAGACCCCCTCGAGTCAATAAGAAGACATTCTGTGAGCCTCAACGGTCAAGGCCCGATGTCTAGCCTTGCCACAGCGTTAAGCGTAGCCCGCCATCCCCGCCATCCGGCGAGTCTACTTCGTATGTACCTACTTGGCCTTGCCTGTTCCACCACCTCGGAAGACGACAACTTCTTCGTGAAAGACAGGTGTGTTCCCAACGACTGGTTCGTAACGGCTCAACTACCTACCTAGGTACCTAGAATGAGAATGGTGCCACATTAATGGCATGTTCAAGTGGGGTTTGTTCTCACTAACGCGACCCGCGCGGGTGAGAATTCCTATTTTCCAGCGCGGCGTTGAGATGAATTTCATTTGGTATGTTGGACCTTTCTTTTGCCATGCTCAGTCCCCTTGTGAAGGATTTGTAGTGGTGGGCCCCGGAAAGTCACCGTGCTCAACGCTAGGCTTTAGTGAGGTGGGCATGGGAAGGGAAATAAGAACATCTGTACAAACTAAGGCCACTGATGTCAGTTTGGCGGGGGACCAATCGGCCGAGACTGGATGTACGAAGTAATAAAGAAGTAGGCTGGGCTTTGTTTCTCTTCAAAAGAAGTGGACTGGGTGGTATGTCTTCGGGCCCGAACCGTGCTCGTGATATACTCATGATTTGATCATTGAAAATCTTAGGCGAACGAGGCTCGGACGTCAATGTGACGGCGCTTGCCATCAAACAGAGAAAGGATTGTCTAGGTAGTTGGGGTGATATGCCCCATGTAAGATTTCGATCTCATCAGTGGAGCGTCGACTCAGACATCTATCTACCTAGGTAGGGCGCTCGGTTTCTGTGATGTGACGTCTTGCATTCAACTTCTTTGCTTGCTCAGGATTGCAAAATAGGTACGCGTGACAACAGGACGCCCGGCGTCGCCGTCTTGTCGTCTCCGTCCGTCAGCGCCTCGGACTGGGGCATTGCTGGACCACAGTTTGTCTTAGGACGAATGCTCCAATGAGCAGCCAGTGGTGAGCACCGATAAATGGAGAAGATTCCCAACGAGGACCCGGCCACAGAAGCCACCAGCCATTAGGAGGCAGGCGAGTCTTGGTATCTCTCTAATTGGACGACGTCAAGAGGCTGCCGGCTTGGCATGGGTGATAGCGCCCCCGGAAAATACAAGTAGCAGCTTTTAACCTGGTCCTGGAGATGATGGGTTGCTCCTCGGGACGCGTTGGCAGTAGCGCTGTGCTCGCAGGGCGAGACCTGCAACCGCTGACGCGGTTCTCGTGGCTGGCGTGGCTGGGCGCGGAGTGAGGCATCTCCCTACCCAGCACTCAAGAAGTGATGCCATTTGAAGTTGAGTTGGGTGAGAAGCAGCGAGAAGAGCCCGAACGACGGCGAGCATGCAGAAGTTGCAGATGTGCATTTCGATCCACTTGACCCTTGAGATACTGGTACCGTTTCCCACAAATGGACTCTCCCACTACCGAAAACCCAGCCGGAAAACCTCTTAGCAGGGATGGGACTGTCTGCATGCTACCTCCCTGTAACAGTAGCGGTAGCAAGCAGCAAGCAGGGGGCCATCTCAGCTTCCGGGGTCTCCATCAAGCACGCACCGCTCGTTGCTGTCCGTCCACTAGGAGCAGAAAAACAGTCCCTCATATGGGGACGTCTTGAGATAGGTAGGTATCGAACTACGGAGTAGGTAGGTGGGTAGGTCCTCTATGGAGATACGCCACGGTACGCTACGGTAGGCCTGGTGGAGAACGGGTCAGAAAGGGGGACGAGCTGTAAGGGCTGACAAGGGTTAGCGAGGAGAGTTGGGAGCATGCCGTCCTGACGCCATTGCTGCTTTTGAGGACGGGGAATGGGATGGCGTGAGTGGGCCGTATGCATCGTGCGTTAGGGCGCGCTTGGCATACGACATAATGCCAGGGTTCTTGGCCTCTAGCCTCTTTGGAGGCTGCTAGGTACTTTCGGTATTAGCCTCCCAGCCTGTCGCTCCCCCAATCCAGTCACGAACGACCAGACTTGGTATTTCGTCCGCCACATCGGTTGGCTGACTGAGAAAAGAGCAATAATGGGGATGGCATGGCATGAGATGGGATATTGTCCGTTCTGGAGTAAGGAGCCATGCTAACCTGCGGACTGTTGCACGGCTATCCACACCCTCGCCGCTACGTGGTGGTCGGGAGCATGGACCACACTGACACGCGCTTTGTCGAGCCGGCTCTCAAGCGAACCCGAGCGATCCTTGACAGAAAGGGGAAACAGGAAGCACCGCGGCACACGCTGGTGTCAACCGCCGCTCTGCTGTCGGTTATCGGCCCTGCCATGCACGAATGGGTGGTTGGATCACGGTTTGACCGCGGCCAGTTATGGGCATCTTGGAAACCCCATACTCTTAATGGAACTCTGTTATGAAATGCTGGGACTCTTGCTGCCCTCGCTGCCCTGCTGCCCTGCCTGCGACCTCGGCCTGTGGAGTGAGTGGCAGGCACCGGAAACACGCGAATTGGAAAAAGAATGGAGACGAGACCTTCATCAGGACAGAAGCCCCGAAAATGCCGGTGCAGAGAAAAGAAGAAAGCAATGGCGATTGACTTGACCAAGCGCAATCTCGCGAGCAAGCATACCACGTCCACTCTGCTGTTTCCCAAGTATCCGTACACACCATGGTGGACATACGGAGCAGATATTGCTAGCCGAAAAGCCTGCAGCAAGAGACTTGGTCCTTGCACCGGAGAGTGTGCGCGAAAGTCGCGAATATCCCCGAACGAGGTCTTGGCGAAAGGCAGACCGCAACAATGTAATGTTCCATGATCGGCATTGTCAAGACTCAAGCCCTCCCAAGCCTTGCGACACGAGATCCTCGCAGGGGGATACTGGGATCTCCCAAGACCAAAAGGGGAAGGCAGCCAAGCGAATGGAAGCGGCCCCCGTTGGGTGCCACTAGTACTTGTGCGACCACCCCTCCAAGCACTCGTTCCCTGACTCGGTTCTGGTCTCTGCAATTCGACCAATTTTCTACCGTGGTGGAACCTCAGGGCTGGACGAGATCACCATGCTGCAGTGCGGTCCAAGAATAGATACACCTTGATCAGTAGCTCTGCAGATCTCATTTCCTAGAAGCACATGACAAGCCACTACCTCCCAACTGCCAGTAGCTGAACTGGTTGCATATCTTGCATGTTCACATACTCGAGGAAGGTGGATGACAAAAGACGATAATTCCACAGCGCCATTCGATGCCAGGCCGCCGATTCCACATTCTGCTCAGGCAGCCTTTTCAGGTTGTCGGCTTTGATCAGATAACTGCGAGAGCCCGCCACAAGCAAGCATGGGTATTGGAACCCCATGCGACTGGCCCATCTAGGTTGCTACGTATTCCCATCGCCAGGCGGCGCGGAGAGATTCCGCAAAAGGGTCGGTCTCCTTTGGCGAAGGCAGCTCCTGCTACCATTCCACTGGTCAAAGACAGCCTTTGTATTCACACGAAAGTCGTGGGCATTTTGTATCCGATTGCAGGAGCTGTCTTGATATGGAACGCCCCTCGCTATGGATTGTGCCTGATAGGTAGAAAGCAATAGACTGAGAGGGCTGGGCCTTTTTGACAAGCCAGCGGCTTCGTATTATCAGCGCTCATTCTGGGGGGGCGTATAAGGGATATTGTCTCCTCCAGCTACTGATGTCCGCTCGACCCATCAAGACCAATAGTGCCAGGACCTAGGTACGTAGCTTTGGTCGATGACGTCGGAGACGGGTCGTGATTGACTGCTGTGCTTAGAGTACGGTGTGGTAAGCCTGCCTGTTGGGAAATTGCTACAAGACCAGGAACTTGACGACAAGATTCGATCAATAATCAAATTACTAAGTGCATACTTCCAGAGTGCAAGGCCATAGTGAAGGTATGGTGTTGAATAAAAAGGGGTCAGTGCTCACCCACGAACCCCTGGACTTCCACAGCCAATCACCAACTGCCCCACGCTAGTGGCTGCCTGCTACCCCGCCAAATTGGAACCTCGCCTTGATCCAAGCTCCAGCTCAATCTCCAAGCTCCAAAGACGACGCGTGCTTCATCAGTGCTGGCCAACACGCCGAATCAAGCACTCGCAGCGCTCCCCCAAATCCAGATCTCTCATTTCAAGCATCTCGGGAACAGACGTCGTAATATCGTCTCAGTCGGGCACGGCATTGCTCCGCAAAGATGGCGGACCCGAATACCGCCGTCCAGACCTTTTTCTCCATGATGGAGGATCAAGGTGGGGTGGTTGTCAAAGGTTGGTGCTCGGTGCTCCGTTCTTATCGCGGTTGGCCGTTGTTGCGATATTGGATGCTGGTACGGTCATCCCATATGTGTGTCGTCTCGCTAAATGATGTTTCTTGCTCAGATCCCCCCAAATTTGACCTCGAGGCGTACATCTCGAATTACCAAGGTACGCACACTCCGCAAACCCGAACGTCTTTCGCCCGGCGAATATTGAACTCAACTTGCTCTAGGCCGCACTCGCTTCGACCGCCTCCTTCTGATCGGCAAATGCTCCAAGGTTCTATGTGTCGATGCCCTGAAGGCAGCTGTGAGCGAAGCATTGAGTGGGAAGGACGTCCAACGGTACCGAGAAGCATGGGATTGCATCCGCGTCGCCGGTCCCAACGAACCCGAAGCAGTCTTTGACGAAGCTTGGGTCAAAGGAACCGTGCAGTCCAATGCAGCAGAGACTCACCGACTTGAGGCCGAACTTAGGGGCTATAAAAACAACCTCATCAAGGAAAGCATCCGGGTAAGTACATACTCTCTCGAGCTGGTGACCATCGACGGGTTGTCGTATGCAAGGCGTAGAGCCTTCTACAACCCCGTGGGATCCCATATTGGAGGGCGGCGTTAAATTTGACTCTCTTTAGATGGGTAACGAAGATCTTGGAAGGCATCTTGAAGCCACCGGCGACCTTTCAGGCGCAGTCGAAGCCTACTCTCGAATGCGACCCGACATCAGCACTGCGAAGCATATCATTGACGTAGGCAAGCACCTCGTCGACCTTGCCGTCCAGAGGCGTGAGTGGGGCCACGTAATTGCCAACGCGGCAAAGATTTCGGGGTTCCCGAACCCGGACGACGACAAGGTCGTACAGCCGTACTTGCGGACTATGCAAGGCATTGGGCTTTTGGGCCAGGGAAAGTATCGCGAGGCTGCCTACAGCTTCCTCATGATTGAGGGAGCCGCCACTGCTCAAGCAACCCAAAATGACTTTGTGACTCCCAACGACGTGGCAGTCTACGGAGGTCTACTCGCCCTTGCCACGATGAATCGCAAGGAGCTCAAGATTCGGGTCTTGGAAAAGTCCAACTTCCGCGCTTTCTTGGAGCTGGAGCCTCATATTCGGAGGGCAATCACCCAGTTCGTTAGCGGCAGGTATTCGGCATGTCTGGAGATCCTCGAGTCGTATCGGGCCGACTACCTGCTGGACATCCATCTTCAGAAACACATCCCAACCCTCTATTCGCAGATTCGGAGCAAATGTATCGTGCAGTATCTCGTTCCTTTCTCCTGTGTCACACTTGAGACTATGAACAAGGCTTTTGCTCCTCCTGGTCAGTCTATCGAGCAGGAGCTTGTGGCCATGATCAAGAGTGGAGCACTTCAAGCTCGAATCGACACTATCGACAAGGTCTGTCGCACCCTTTTGTCGTTTATGGATATGATGAATGGTCTTCTAACTTGAGTATAGCTGGTTACAACCCCCAAAGCACAGCCGAAAGCAGCGATGCAAGCCTCTGCTTTGCAGACAGCAAATAATTTCGAAAAGGAAGCACTTGACCGGATCCGAAGAATGAGCATCTTGTCTGCCGACCTCGAGGTCAAGGGCCCTCGAAAGGGTCACTCCGCATGGGAGAGGTCCAGCGGTGCAACAGAGAGCTGGTATGCCCCGGATCAAGCTGAAATGGACTAGCAGCAACAAGCATGTTGGGGCATATCAAGATTTGTGACGTTGAGATGATGGGCATTACAAGTGCATTTGCGACAGCGTTGGCGTTTATTGGACTCGGAATCGGTTATGAGAGAGCATTCATCACGAGACATGGTAATGGAAAAGGACAGGCATCAGCATACATTGTTGTTTCCTCATGTAAATGCCGGAAAGGTACGAGCTGGGCAGCAGTCATCAGCATAGAGGGTAGTCTGAGTGAGCTTGAGCAAGTCAGGGTCAATAAAAATTAGGTGCCATAGAAATACATCAATCACATCACAAACCCAGGTCAAATGAAGCATAATCGGGTATCATTCTCAGCTGCTGTCAGCTTCTGACTCTTAAACTGTCGTAAAATCGGTATCGGTATTCTCAACATCACCTCGTGCGAAGTATGTACTCAGCCCATCAACTGTCTCACATCCTCAGGAGGCCACCTCACCTGGGCAAATGTCAAACAGCGCTTAATACTCTGAAGAAACTTGCGTGTGACCTCGTCGCCCATGACATGGCCCCTCTCGCCGTTGTGCAGCTTCTCGCGCGCGCTTCGCTCGTGGATACCCACCATGGTCACACCGATGGGCCAGGCCGCTTTGCCGATGCTCAGCCGCAAGTATCCGTCATTGGCATCGACATATCGCCGCTCCTGGGCCGCCTTGACAATTTCAACCACGGCTTTCAGGATGCTGTCGTCCAGATCGCCCTTTTCGAATTTGCGGAACAGCTGTTACTATCGCGTTAGTGTCTTGTCTTCTCATCCAAAGGGGCATGACCCGGGACCCAGACGTACCGGTTTCATCGTCTCTTTGCTCTGCACCATGGCGTTGTAGGCCGCCTTGCCGGCCAGCGTGTCCCGGGCCTCCCGCTGCAGCGCCTTCTCCCACTCCCCCAGCACCATGGTGAAGTAGCTCGCCAGCTGCCGGTACAGATACCGCCGCCCCGCCTTGTCCTCCGGGACGGTGTCGGGCACCTTCATGTCCTTCTCCTCCACCAGCCGCAGCGTCGTCGGGATGGGCCCCTGCGTCACCACGCGCGTGAGGCGCCTGTACCTCTTGAGCCGCTGCGCGTCCGCCTCGCCGAACAGCGTGGCCGGGTGGCCCAGCTCGCGCAGCTTGGCCCGCACCTCGTCCGCCGTCCACGCTTCCGCCTCGTCATCCTCGAGGTCGTCCTCGTCGTTGTTCTCCGGGTTCGCCGACACGTCGTCCGCGCTGGGCGGCAGCTCGGGCAGGCCGAGGCGCCGCCGCCGCGCCTTCTCCTCCTCGGCCTCGCGCTCCTCGCGCCGCCGCCTCGTCTCCTCGGCGAGCTTCTTGCGCTTCTCCTCGCGCGCCCGGGCCTCCTCGGCGGCGTCCTCCTCGCGCTTGCGCTTGGCGGCGGCGCGGGCCTGGCGCTCCTCCTCGAGGGCCCTCTGCTCGGCCAGGTAGGCCGCGCGGCGCTTCTCCTCGGCCTCGGAGTTCTTGGTGAACTTTTTGCTGGTCGCGCTGGTGTCTGGCTTCGCGGTCTCGCCCTTCGCCTTGGCGATCTGCGCGGACATCAGAGATGCGAAGTCCATGGTTTGTGGAGAGTAAGGAAAAAGAAAAGAAACCCGGAAAGAATAGAAATCGTGCAATATGAGATCGTTACTTCGATCGAAAGGCTGTGCGAGCCACTTTGTCCCCCGGAAGTATGCAATAAGGCAAATACGCTCGGAGTGGTGGTGGTCAGAGGCAAAGGCCACAATCGCAGCCTTCTGAAATTCCAGAGGTGGTTGATTTCGGTGGGGTTCAGGCGGTCTTTTCAGTAGCCTTGCAGAAGCTCACGGCGCTAAACACCTTCCCAACAACCCCGCCAGCCCTGGTTCGTTGCCAGCCCGTCGGCTTGTAATCTACCTAACTCCCGCGGTCTGACCCGGCTTCCACCACTCTGACGAAGCCTTGTGTTCCTTCATATGACCATGTGATACAGGCCAGGTTAAACGGAACCATCGACATCAACATGGGATTGATTGCCACGACACAGCAATAATATTCAAGAGGCAGGCCTAGTATCAGCGCACAATGGCGTCTCCTGGCCCGAGCGAGATTGACCTGGATGCCACTCCTCCATTCCTGCTGAAGCTCTTCTACAAGACGGGCGCGTTACACAAGTATGTTGTGCAGTCTCTTATTATATCTAACTTGGGGGGGCTCCGCTAACAGCTCGATTGTTCAAGACCCGAAGAGTTCTCCGCCCGGAGCCTGCCGCCTTACGTGCCCATATACACCTACCCAAGCTGCACCCTCTCGGAGCTGTCGCAGCTCATTGCGGGCGCAGACCCGTCGATCCTGCCCAGCCCTGCTATTGGCACGCGGCTCGTGTTCCGACTCATCTATCCGGATGCGGCGCAGGGCGGCCGGCGCTTTGGACGGTTCGCCGTGAAGGAACTGGGCAGCGTGGTCATCGGTGCAGGCAACCCCGGCGGGGAAGACGACCTGAATGGACTGGGGGAAGCAGAGGACGACGATGGACAAAAGACCCTAGACGAGGCTCGCTTCGTCGTGGGCGACTACGTTTCCTGCGCAATACTCCGGCCTCTCGAAACCGGAGCGGTTGCTCCAGCCTCGAACGCCCAGACTAGAGCCGCAGGGTTTGGTGGGTTTGGTGAAGGAAGGATGGGTCCTGCTGGGCCCGGTGCAAGGGGAGATCACGCCTTTGGATATTCTAGAGGCAGAGGTGGGCGAGGCGGTCCTGGAGGTGGCTTTGGCGGTGGCCGCCGTGACGGCATGGGCGGCTTCGTGCCCAAGGGCGAATGGCGTAGAGGCGAGGAGTTGCCGGAACCCCCAGCAGGTAGAGGCCGCGGCAGGGGTCGCGATCGTTGGTAGCCTTGCTGCCCTCGTTGTACAAGATTGTTGTGCAAGATTACTACCAGCGATCATCATTTGCCCAGCTCATCGGGCGCTGTCGATGCCCTGTATATTCCACGGTCCAACAATCACACGACATATTCAGAGATCTCAAAGCATCAGAACGGATTCATATTCGATGTCGCCCGCTCCATGTTCCGTACAACCCAACTCTGTATGTACAAGGATTGCTCCAGCTTTATGCGGCAACCAGATCGCCCCTCCTCTTGGCCCTCAGATCCCACTTGTCCTGTAGGAATGATAGAGTCAGTCGCACGGCTCTGCGCTTGATGTATATGTGCCTTCGATGAAAATCGTACCTGAGTCGAAACGGTAATCCAGTAGAAGATGCTCGGGACGACCGCGACGTAGACAAAGGTGATGCCAGCAGTGCGGCCGGTCCACCTGAAGTACTTGTGGCGGTTGGTAGTCATGTCTGTTTCAACCGTCAAGTCAGATATCTCGTTCCCCTCCTCCCATTCCCGGTACGCTAGCCGTCGTGAATCATATCGGCATCGGTGAACTTACTGCCTAGCCGGACAATCGCCGGATCCAGGGCCATCTCTGTTGCTCCTTGTTAGCGACTGCAATTCATCCTCAATTGAGCAACGCGCTCGACGTACTGAAGTGTTGAAGGCCAGCCATCTTGACGGAGTTCAGCCGGTGGCAGCTGTGTTGGATCTCGTCAAGCAATTGGTCTGAGTGTCTGCTTCAAACGGTGGAACATCATCAGTCTCCGGCGATGTGAGGTTTCGGTATTTCGATGGCGCTTGGGCCACATGGCTCGTGCGCAGTCACGAGATAGGCAGCTTGGTACGGTTTCTGGCCAATGAACTGCACTGTATTTCAGAAGCCGTTAGCGACTAAGAGTCGCTAAACTGAGATAACCTTCCTTACCAAGCGCCACCTGGTGCTGGAAACTTTCGTCAGCTGGCAGGGCCTAATTTCACCCGCACTGTACGTCAACCCTTCTCATTTAGAGTGCAGATAGTGCGACGCGCTTCTCGCAGAAAGCGCGACTCACTATGAGGGGCGTCTAACCTCGTCGAATTCTATGAAGGACAGATGTAGATATGGAAACTCCATGAGCATGACAGATGACACCAACCAGGTTCCGGTATAGAAAGTTTCATACCGGGGGCCTCCTGACACGATGGAGAGCTCTGTTGGGTTGAAGGTCCTCAGCCAGAGCTCATTCCCAGGTCCTGTCTCGAGGGACCTCCTAGCAATAAGTCCTACTATCGACCTGTCCGTTTCTGTCGGCGACGATGGCAGCACACTGTATATCCGGAGGCCTGGCGGTGACTTGGTCTCCAAGCTTACAGAGAGAGGCCGGACGGTACAAGCTCTACGCTGGAAAGCTGATGGTTGGTCCAAGCGAACCCGTTATTCAAGCTCAACCCACTGAATCTTTCGAGCAGGTCAATTTCTAGCCGTGGCATGGAGCGGGGGTGTAGTTCGGTTGATGAGTCTCGAGAACAGCAAAGCTGTACATACTCTCAACGTCAGTGTTGATTCAGACCCGAATATCAAGTACATTGGCTGGGCGAGGAACCTCACAGGCAAACGGGGGTTCGGAAAGTCAAAAGCAGCCGCTGGATCATGGCGGCGATTGCTATCACAACAAGGCTTTGAAAAGGATGAAGAAAAGGAGCTTCTTGACCTGCCGCACGAATTGACCTTCCTCGAGGTGGACACTGCGCTGCCAAAGCTCAGTCCTCTGCCCGTTTCTGGTGGCTCTGGGTAAGTGGTTATTGGTTGATTGGTTTTCAGGGTGACTCTTCCTTGCTTTTGCTAACGCACAGGTTTTAGTGATGACATGTTTGTCTTCTCAACTCGGACATCGCTGGAGTTTGTATTCCAGCCTATGAAGGCCGAGGATGCGGACAAGGTCGACGTCATGATCCTTGGCACGGCCGACGGCGGCATCCAGCTGAGCCTCTATGACACTTTTGTCATTGGCACTTTCGGCTATCCTCCGAGGCGGCAGTCACTGAAAGATCTCCCTGCTGCCATGCGTCTTTATAGCCATGCCTCCCATGGATCCATTTCCACCCACTCACTGTTGCTCACTGAAGCTCAAGCCAAGGGAGACCCAGTAGCGCTACACCTTGTCCCAATCGACCTCCCGTTCATACACTCCTCTCCAGTCAACCTAGCTCTACTAGCATCGAAAACCACAACATTACAAAAGCTTCTCCGTTATGTGAAGCAAACGCAGGTCCACATGGTGGGCGAGTGGCAAGCAGCCAGAGAGCTGCCTGCTAGGTTCATAGCTGGTGTTCAAGAAGAGCTTGAGAAGCTCCCAGGAGGCACAATGACGATCATACAGGCCTTATTCCATACGGTACTGACGGGTCATACTTTCCCAGCCGTCAGGGAGTGGCTTGTTGACACGCTGGCCGAGCGAGTAAGTCTGCATAGAGCTCACGCCTGATCATCCCCAGTCCAATGACTTACACATATTGCCAGGGACACAAACGATGGGACAAAGCCGTCATGTCCGGTCTGGAGAACCTCAGGGGCCTCGTCCACGAGAACATGATCCCGGCCCTAGAGCGCTGCGCCGTCATCCTCAGCCGCCTGCAAGGGCTGGCCAAGTTCCACGAGGACACCGAGGACATCGGCTTCAAGTCGTCCCAGATCACGCGCATCATGGACGTCGTGTCGTGCCTGACCCTGGTCTCGCACAAGATCCTCCTCCTCGTGATGGAGGAGCTGGACCTCTTCACCGTCTTCTCCTCGTGGCTGCGCCTGCAGATCGACAAGCTCGCGAGCCCGAGCCAGTCCGAGGAGCTGTCGGAGAAGGAGGCCACGATGGACTACAGCAAGGTCCTCGCCTACATCGAGGGCCATCTGCAGGTCAGCCCCCTGGGCCTGTTCCTCAACCAGGTGGCCCCCGAGGACTGGAGCCGCGATTGGGAGTACATCGAAGACGGCGTCTCCCTGCTCGAGATGCTCGACAAGCAGCTGCAAAAGTACGAGGAGGGCAGCCCGCACATGAAGGCCTTCCCCCGGCTCGACTTCCTGGTCGACTACCTCGCCACGCGGGCCAGCACCGTCTTCGAGGGCATCGCCGAGACGCAGAAGCGCTGCGTGCGGTTCGGCCAGGGCACGCGGTTGGACATCGGCTCGCCGATCAGCAAGGCGGATATCCGCGTGGTGCCACTACCCAGAGATGTGAGTCCCTTCAAGACTCATTTGTTTCTGTATTCTACTTGAAGAAAGAGCCATGCTGACCTCGATATGTACAGGAGGGCATCGACAGCCTCACCTTCACAGCTCTCGTCCCGCAGACCGAGCCCAGCTACCGTGAGTTCTTCCCCCAACAACAACAAACCCCCCCCCCTCTTACCGCCCTTCTTGATAAACCATCTACCTGTGCCCGTACCACATGCTCACACCTCCCCTGCCTCTCCGCCGCGCAGTCTACATCTTCCGCACGAGCGTGCACATCATCAACGGCATAAGCAGCAGCGTCTGGACCCAGGCCGCGGGCCTGGACCTCGCCGGCGGGCGCATCATCGACGCCAAGTTCCTCGGCGACGAGACCTTGCTCGTCCTGTGGCGGAGCAGCAGCAGCAGCGTGACGGAAGGCGGCCCGCAGGCCGCCGCCGCCGCCGCCGCCGCCGCCGTCAAACTCGTGGCCGTGCCGCTGCAGGACACGCGGCTACCGTACAAGGGGTACATAGAAGGCTCGGCGGTCGAGGCGCCCGTGCCCGTCTCGGTGGCGGACTCGGGCTGGTGGTCTGCGGATGTGCCGGTCGAGAAGGCCGGCGGCTCCTCGGTCCCGAGCGCCATGGAGGTCGTGGGGCCGAGCAGCGCCCGGGGCGAGATGCCGGCCCGGGTATGCCTGCTGGGCAAGGACAGGGTTACCTTCAAGGTGTTTGGGCTTCCCGACAAGCTGGAGGCATGAAGGAGAGATGAAGCTACAGAGAGTGGGGGGGAGGGAGATGGTTTCTTGCATGGAAAGCAAGTTCATGAGTTTATGATATCACAGGGGCTCACTTCAGATGATAAGAAAGAAAGGCTGCTCTAGGACAGTCGGTTTTGAGGAATGAAGACTAATTCAAGTGACATGATCCATTAGCCCTCGAGACAAACCCCGTGTCTTCATCCATGTGTCTGCAGGTCCGGCCCTGCGCGCACAGCACCACTGTAGTATAACAGGTGGTCCTGATCTTCCCCATTGACAACTTTTTTACTCCGTCCGAGGAACGCTCAAACCACAAACCCGGCAAGTCTCAGCTTCTCGGCTTGGTAATCTCAAAGAACTCCGTCAAGCCCTTGACCACGACGTCGACGTTCATGTTGACGAGCGGCATCTTGTCGTACGAGCCCTCCTTCATGATGGCCACCAACGCCAAGTAAGTGTCGACCTCGCGCATCATGATGGGTTTGTTGCCGTCGGCGAGCACAATGGAGCTCTCGGCCCAGTTGCAAGCGACCTGGTCCTCGAGCTTCTGGTGCTGGCCCTCCTCGAGCTTCTCCCGGTAGCCCTCCGGCCGGGACCAGCTCCCGTACACCTCGGTGACGTCGATGATGACGTCGATATAATCTGAGCAGATCTCGTAGGAGGCCATGTCGGCGGGCGCGCTGTCGGTGGCGATATAAATCTTGGACAGGACGTCGAAGAGGTATGCCTTTTCGAACCGACACGTACGGCAGAGCGAGGTGAGCATGGCCTCGAGCTGACCGAGACGGGGGATGAGCTTCTGGATGACCTTGCTAAAGGCCTCGAAGATGCTGTGGTTGTAGATGGAGGTCGGGTGGAAGGTGACGGGGGCGTTCTCGAAACCCTGGTCGGACAACTCATCCTGGATACGGATGGTAATGTCGCGCTGGATGTCGAGCTTGTAGTCGTCTGACAGGCCATCCACCTTGTGGATGAAGACCTCAATGTTGATATTGGGATAGTTGCGCTGCAGATTGATGATCGTGCTGTTGAGCCTGGCGACAGCCTCGAGGTAGTCGTCCTGAGCGTCGATTACCCAGATCAGAGCACCGATCTCGCCAAAGATGGCATCCATGTCGAAATTAGGAGTTTCAAAGTAGTCTATTTGGCCAGGAAAGTCCCAGACTTGGAAGTCCATAAAAGAGCTGCAATGCGTGAGTTTAGCAAGGCCCAAGGACATAGCTAGCAAAGGGACAGGACTCACGCCATCGAGTCCTTCTGTATCCTGGCTGTGGACTCCAAGAAGAGTGTTTCATTAGGTGGGAGCTTGTGGAATACCACGCTTGATATTGATGACTTTCCGCTCCTGGCCAAACAGTCAGCCCGGTGGGTGGAGATTGGATTGTTGGGCGACGAAGCTCACCTTCTCTGGCCCATCAACAATAGACGAGGCTTACCCTTGCCTGGAGGGCCTGGGTGGAGTTCGGGAGGTATGGCACCATCTTTCTTCTGGAGCCGTTGTCGGTTCTGCTCGTAGAGACGTTCGAGGTTTAGCGACGCTGGACTGATATAGTTGACTTTTCCGCGCCGTCCAGCTCCTGCCTCCCCCGGCGGCGAGCCTACACTTGAAGTGCTACACCGCGAGAGTACTCCCGACATGAAGGAGATGGGGCGATAGAATCATATGAGAAGGGGGGGTCTGAGGCTGCCGCATCACTGTAACATCTCGGTGCAAACAGAAATCAGAATCAGGGAAACCCGACAAAGAAATGAGCCCGCATTTGCATCAGAGTGTGGCCCACATGGCAGATGGGAAAGAAAAAGCGGCCACTGGAAGGGGAAGAGGTACAGGGCCAGCTGTCATCTCGATAGTCTTGACCGAATAGATTCTGTCGACTAGACGGGCTGTCTCGAGGCCGATAGGACGGAGTGGCTTGTCTGAGCAAGCTCAGTTCATCTTATGGGTAGCACAAGGAATCCAGGGTGGGCTCAGCCCTCGCGAGTACGAGGACGAACCCAGTCTCTCGGGCCGTATGGCGCATTCGTCGAGATTGGACCAATTGACGTAGCACTTGCTCGTGACAATACAGACCACAGACTCCCAGAAATGGCCAAAGACGATCAACACAACAGTTGGCTCGGAGGATTCGAGCTCACTAAGACCTTGGGCCACTAGCCACAAGTGATCGCTGCAGACTCCACGGCTCTGGAACCTGCCAATAATAGAATGGGCTCGCTTGTTCTGACCGACTCAATCGCACTCGCCAGGTACACAGGCAGTCTTGGGGTACGTTACGCGCCAGAGGGTCAAGGAAATGAGATGGCTCACCTCCATGTTGCATGGGGCCTTGGTTTGCAGCCCTGGGACCTCGATGAGGCGAAGGTCATGCGGAGTCGGCCAACGGTGGAGTCGCGAACAATTGTAATCGCATAGAACTGTCTGTGTCCCGGCAAGAGTCGTGGGGGGAGTTTTGTGAGTGCAATGTGAGTATGGGTGCGCTTGGATTTTGTACTGTGAACCTGTGATCAACTTGATGATTGAACTTCAAAGAGGCTGGAGAGTCAGAAGACGAGAGAGTCTTGGTTGTTGACTGGCCGTGTGGGGCTCCTGATCGATAAGGCATTGGAGCGCCCCCTATCAGATCGCTACCGCCGTGCCTAGGGGGTTCGTTAGCGTGCTAACAGCATCCAAAACAGTGGGAAACAAGGCGGTTTTACAGTGCGCTGGTCAGGTCTCTCAATGTGGAAGCGAGGCTTTATTACAATTCAAAGCGATGCACTCAATGCGCACCTTAATTACCCATATTCACCGATCTTTTTAGGAGATACACAGTCTGCATACACAAACAGTTGTATGTTAATGTCCGGAACAGACTCAGGGAGAAAGAAAACCAGGCAAGGTCATCACTTCACTCAAGCAGCAGCCGCTGAGCCATGCTTCTTCGCTGACGCTACCTATTATCGAGCCCAGCTATTGCTCGCCAGTCCAATCCGCCTCACCGCATCGTTGTAAAGACTGACCAAAAATTCATTCCTCCCTCGAGGGCGGCAGTGGGGGTTGTTGTTGTTTCTGCGCCTTGTGCGTTGACCTCGCAAACAAGTTCGACATGAAGCTCTTCCGTCTCCTCGGCTGCTTCTCGGGCGTCGCTTCGTGCTGCTCCGTGCCTGCTGGCTCGGTGTTGGCCGACCCCGGCCTCGTCGTAGAGGAAGACACGTCTGCCGTGGAAGGCGGTGTGAGCTCGTTTGATAACGGAGACTTGGGAGCCTTGAAGCTACCGAGAGACTTGTTGGAGATGTAGTTAATATGCGCTGTTCTTTCGCTGCTGGCCAGTTCTTGGTTTGGGGACACTAACCTTGACGCTCATCCGCTTCTTCGACTTTGGCGTCGAGACCACGTTCTCCTCCGGTGCCTCCTCGGCCGTCTCGGGCAGCACCCCCCTCGCCAGCTCGTCGAGCTCCCCGGCAACCGTCTTGCCGTCGCACGCGACGCAGTCCTCCGGCGTCGGGATGAACCGCACCAGTCCCCTGGCGGGGACGACGCCCAGGGCCTCCTCCATGTGCTTCTGCAGCAGCACCGCGTTGCGCCTGTTGGTCGCCGGCTGGAGCTCGGCGGGCAGCGCCGAGACGGAGAGGATGTACGCGGGCTCAAAGGTGCCCCCGAAGCACATGCAGGCGCCGTGCTGCAGCGTGACCACGACGGACGTGATGGGCCGCTTGTAGCGCATGCACAGGTGGTACATGAGCTCCGTGATCATGGTGAACTCGTCGTTGACCTAAGTATCCAAGGCGGCAACAGTACGAGTCAGCCCTTCCTCCCATGTATGGGTGGCTCTCGAGTGTATGTGTGTGTGTATATATGTGTGTGTTTATGTGTGTGTGCAGGGGGAGGGAGGGAGAAAGACATACAATCACATTCGTCCTGACCTCGGCAACCACCTTGGCCTCCCGCCGCACGCGGTCCTGCGCCGCCGTGTCGCCGCCGCCGCCGCCCCTCGTCGAGAACGCGTTCTCAAAGTACAGGCTGCGCTGCCTGCCCAGCTCGGGTTTGGACCGGGCCCTGCGGGCTCTGGAGGACGCGGCGGGGTCGCCGGGAGGTGCTCGGTCGATGGGCCGCGTGATCTGACTGCCCTCCACGAGGTGAGGGGAGGATGCTTTCGTCATGTTTGCCTTGCGCTCCGCGAAGGACAGCTGTGCCCGCGCTGCGTTTCTTGAAGTGCCCGCGGCAGGTCCTGTGTTGGACGAGGATGCTGGATCCATGGTCGATGGTCGGGGTGGGCGACGGGATGCTGTGTCGAGTCCCGAGTTGGTCGTAAGTGTTGATGGTGCTTTTGGAAAGTGCCTATTAAGAATGAGATTGGACTTGATCTGCTGTAGCTACAGATACGCGCTCTTAACAGGTAAGGTGTGCTAAGTAGGCATCAGCCAGGGTAGAAAGCTGCCGAGGGAGCTACCATGCCGAGACGTGAATGACAAAAGGTCTGGCGGATTCTCTTGCGTCACAAGTAGAGTGTAGGTAGTTCAGATGAAAGGCTGATAAAAATGAAGAGAACATGAAAGACTTCCAATCTGAGCCGCACCGCATCAATCTTGCCCCTCTGCCTGTCCGTCAGTGAAGTCGTCTCGTAAACATATCAAGGAAGAGAATGCTCACGAGCACAACAGCACCATCACAACAACAAGAATTTAATCAATGGCAGCTTGCATGCTGCTCAGGTAAACAGAGATCGTGGCCGGGCCGATCGGAGCTGATGCCCAGGATTCGATTCTGCAGCGTTTCCCGGCCGCAGTCAATCACCAGCCGCAGCACGGGCAACCCTCCCTGAGTGGTCTGGCTCGTCTCCATAGCAGACGGAGGTGGCCGTTACGACAGCCTCCCCCGTGCGACTCTACTCGTGATGTAATAAGTCGAGAAGCAGGAAGCCGTATGGCCTTGGTGCCCTAGATCCCAAACAAGCCGGCTTGGTGCAGGCACCTGGCCTATGGGAGGTCTTGTGTACCCCGAGGGTGGAACGGGTAGACGAGATTGCGTCGACGCAACTCGCTGCTTTGAGGGCTTCACTGCCCAATCAGCTCGAGAAGAGGATGATGGGGGCTGTCTAAGGAGTGAAGTGGGAGATGGGCTCTTGCACGGTGACCTTGTCATGTATCACCAGTCAGCATCCAGCTATATCGCAGATCACTGCGATGATAATGGTGATGATTTGCCCTGTCTGACTCTAGACCATTGTTCAAGGAGGAAAAGTATCAGTACGATTAACAGATATATAGAAAGTAATCCCAAATAAACATCCTGAACCACAAGCCAATCTCCCCAAGTTGTCAGCGCTCTAGGCACCTCTCCCTACAGTCCACTTCCTCTCTGAGCTCGTCTCTGCTACCGTACACTACAGCCACCTCTTTGATGATCCGAGTTTGTCGCCAGCTTTCCGTCTCTAAGCAGCGACGGGGCTGGGGGTCCTCCTGGCGTTGACATACGCGTTGGTGTACCTCTCGACCTTCATCTGCCAGCCGGCGACGGCCAGGACGGCCGCCTCGACGGGGATGAGCAGGATGGACATGTAGACCCCCGCCCAGGACTCCTTGCACAGCGTGCCAAAGTGCGGGCGCTCGAGCATGGAGACGGCGCGCCACCGGCACGTCCAGCTGAGCAGGGTGTCGACCTCCTCCGAGGCGTTGACCGCGTAGAAGAAGATCATGCCGATCAGGGCGGCGGTCAGGCCGACCAGGGGCGCGGCAAAAGTGAGCGAGGTGTGGACCATGACGTTGTTGCGGAGCTGACAAGCATGGTTGGAAAAATCAGTACTACACAGGATACCACACCCAGCATCATACAGAGAGGCGGATGAGGTGAGAAGACTTACAGTCTGGACCTTGCTGGAGAGCAGAGACACGACATTGGAGATGACGACGATGGCGGCGCCGACGACGAGGGCGACGGTGGGCCGCAGGTTGAAGTTATCAGGCCAGAGAGGCAGGAGGAAGTCCCGGCCAACATGGGTTGAATCGTAGACGGCCAGGGCATCCGCCGAGACGCCCAGGACAGTGATGCCCATCAGCAGAGCAACAACCGTGAGCCCAACCCTGGCACTGTCGATGACGCGAAGGGTCTTCACTTTGGATCGCAGATGCAGGTCTTGCGAATCGACCTCGAAGTCAGAGGCGGATGCCTTCTCGTGGATCTGGCGTGCCATGGTTTCTTCTCGTCGCAGAGGCGAAGGATTTCTTCGAAGAGACAATGATGGATTGGGAAATCTATTCCGTCGGCGCACGAGCCGAGACAGACAGGATAGATATATCAAAGAGGAAAAAGAGTCGTTTCACCAGGAAAACACAACGAGACCCGAAGACGAACAGAGAGAAGGAAAGCAAGGAAATAAAACGAGACGTTTAGGGCAGGACACAACTCTCGCGAGGCGTGATGAGTTGTCCAAGGAGGTGGGAAGAGGTGCAGCAAGAGTATGGGAATCAAAACCTACAAATACCATGTCGATGCTCTTGGTGAGCAAGCGCTTCGAGATGCCGTGCGGTCTCGTAGCCGCCAGCCTCCCCAGACATTTCCATGTCGACGGAGGGGAGCACAGAAGAAGAGCCCAGCTGCCCCAGGCCTTACCCCTCGCAATCTGCATCGCGACCTAAATTTGGGCCTGCCATCTGCCCTTCCGATAGGGTTGACGTGCCGGGCGACACGTCTCAGGCCGCGAGCATCAAATGAGAGTGCAGAAATGCAACTTGGATGTACTGTTGACGCTGTGTGCCATCCACAAACCACGGGTCCTTGCCCATGGGCGACTGTCGTTGGAAGATGGAGGGAGAGCCGGCTCCAGTGCGCTAAGCGAAGACGGGAATAGAGGTCGGTGATGCACCGCTCCTCGGCGGGTAGAGGCGAGTCTCACCCCCAGACACAGGGCGCTGTCTGGTTGGCCAGCGCTCTAAAAACAGCACTCGTGCATGGCAACGGTTGGCTGTCGTTCGCCCTCGACGAACTTCGATTAAGCGCCGAGAAAGTGGTCAAGAGACATGCGACCAAGATTTGATGACATCTGCACGAGGATATTCTCGTCTCCCGCCCGATAATCTTATTTTCGGTCCAGGCAGGTCTGCCACCGCGCTTACCATAAAGAAGGTAACAGACTGATGGAATTGACGAAATGCACCGGTCTATCGAGACTCCTTGCTCAAAAAAGAGCAAAGGATTGAATGACCTTGCTCGCGTTGGACCAAGCTCTCTGCAAATCCCGCCCGGGCTATGCTATTCTTTCTCTCCAACACAGGCAATATACCTATGCAGCCCTCCTCGTGAGGGACTGCTCTTGGCAGCTTCAATATCCAGTCCAGCAGATTCAGTAGGCAGAAATCAGAAATGCAGGCTTGGCTGAGCGGCTTGTCACATCTTGTGCCTTATGAAGTGCTCGTTTGTCGGGCAGCGAGTGGCCGGTTGGAACGAGCACAAGTGCATTCGCGAATGGTCAAGCGACGATGGTGAACCTAATGTTGCGTCAAGGGTCCATAACGCGAACTCTCGCCCCGACGCCATGAAAACGAACCGAATCAAACTATCATAAGAAACCCTGTACCTGGTCGATAATCGGTGGACCAAATGTCGATCATGTGGCGCAAAGCTGTGTGTGTTAGCGTGTGAATGTTCTTGAGATCGAAAACAGATCGTCAATAGCTTCAAAAAGTTAAAAAGCCTGAAGGACAAGGATGTACCCGGAATATAAAGATGTAAGAGCCTCGTTACGCTATGAAGCCACAATCGAGACATGCGATATTGAGAAATACCATGGACAGATCGAACGAGTGCTCACATCGTGCCACATTGCCGTCATCCACAGAGGACCGGCTTACCCTTGAGGTAGGCGGGTGCACAATATCCCTGGGAGCTAGTGTAGGGAGGTAGGGTAGCTACAGTGCGGAGGTTCCTCTCAGGCGCGCATTGATTTACCATGCCTCCCACCGCGAAATGCTATGCTAGCGCTGACAAACCGCCGAGCCAGGGCTATCCAGTGGCGGCAGTCTTGTATTTGGCTGGCTTTATGCGACCGTTTTCTTTGTCACAACTCGTACGATGAGGCGGTTGCGTACGTGCCTCGAATACAGCCCGTCTCTGTGGCTCTGGCCGCCGCGCCAGCACGGCCTCTACCTGGAGGGGGTCTCACCGAGATAGTCAAACCAGATCATCTCAGCTTATAAGCTTTGATACTACTGCCCTGGTCCTTCTCCGCATGTATGTGGCGTTGCAACTGCCGGAGGTCTAGACCAGTCTCTTCGGTGCCACGAGGGAGAGAGATAAGATACCATGATCCTTGAGTAAGGTGAGCCTGCTGTGGCGTAACTTAGTCGCCGACCTGCAGAAACCGGTCGAGGTTGTAGGGGCAGTTCCGCCTCAACTTTGATATTCCTCCGCGGGCTGGCAGTAGTCCGTCGAGTCGCCCGGTAAATCAGCGGTTCTAGCGGCTTCAGGCCGTGTCCCGCCAGAACACTAGGAACACTACCTATTGTGCAGCATGCCGGACCGACATTACGTTGCCGCTTTTAGTGGCGGAAGAGGACGAGCATGGGCCGACTCCCGTGAACTGAACTGTCAAATGGGACGGACCATCGGCCGACCTAACCTTGGAAGCGGGGACGATGGTGTCGGGGTTGCGTCAATCTTATTAAGATTGGGCTCTGGCTGTTGCCAGGAAATGCCCTGCTCCCCGGCGTGACTGAGGTGAGACCTCCCAGCCATGCCTTGTGACGACATCGTCCGGCGCTGCCGAGATTAAAACTCTACTTCAGCGCCCTGCTGTGCTGCAGGGAAGGGTCCCTCCTGTAGAACAGGTAGGCAATTTCCGAACGCTGAATGAAACCTGTCATTATTGTCGGCCATGCATCAGGACGAATGAGGCAGGAGGGTCGGCTAACGGGGAACAAGTCACGACATTACTTGCCCGTCGTCGTAGCCTCTGGATCGCCAAGGACTGGTTACTGTACGCGAGGAATGCTCATGTGGTGCAGTATTCAGTGGCGCTCAGAGACAGATGCTCCCTGGTCTAGGTAGAAGCCAAGTAGAGCGTACCTAACTTGCGGCCCTCGCTTGACGTATGAACCAGGAAAGTTTAAGCAAGCCATAGCGAGATTGGCGAGTGCTCATGGCCAGGTAGACTCGGCATCGAAGATGAAAAGGGCGGCGAGGGGATGGGGAACTCCAGTCATTCTCAGTGGTGTACTCCGTAGATGTGTTGGGTTGTTGCATGATCAGAGACCAGCTTCAGCCGCATAGCCTTGTCGGGTCCTCTTGCCCCCTCTACAGGTCCACCGAAGTGGGCTTTGCTGCCACCTGATCCTGGCCGGTCCATCTGGTGACGATATTAGGCCGTGCTTCGTAGATCGATTCCGTGGACTGATCAATTGATGTTCTGTGCGCTGAGGTTGCGGTGTCCGTGTCACACCAGTCAGCTTGCTAATTCTGGCAATTGACCGCCGCTGTGGCTTGAAGCGTAAGGATGTGGGGTGTATCCGAAGCGGGAAATGTTGGGCCCCTTGGCTTTTAGGGGCTTGTTAGAGCCACTCAGGAGGCCCTCGAGTCCCCATGTGGCTCAGATGTTCTAGACCGCGGGCGCGGCCGATGCCCCATCCTTGGCCAAGCCGTTGCCTCTGACTCGCCAGTGTCTTGGAAGAGAAACCAACAACATATTTCCTGATTTCCTCCGTGCTTCCGGTTGTCCTGCTAAAATGCTCTCCACACACACCCTACCTCCCTCTACATACGAGCGAGCACGTTACGAAGCACAGAGTACGGAGTAGTCACATTTCGTGGCTCAAGGGGTCCTGAGGCGCAGCCACCATGGATACCAGATAGGTAGGTACCACACCACACCGACGCCAGACAAGGGGATTCCGGTCGCCACCTTTTAGCCGCCCGTTCACGGGCACTAGATCACGACCGACCGCCGGAGGTGGTGTCCTGAAGCGGGATAAAACAAAACAGAAAAAGTTTTCCGTCTTCATGGCGTAGGGTGCTATCAACGAGACCACGAGGGGCATGCGATGGCCGGGAGCGCTCGTCGAGATCGGTCTGACTGCCGCTGTCGCCCACGATCGGTAGTAATTGGGACGGATCGAAGTGGTAGCAAGTGTTCCGAGTCGGAGCCACCGTTACCTGCCAGTCTTGGAAAGCAGGGAACGAGCACGCCAACCACGGACCAAGAAGGCAAGGCCAACTTGGCAGCGCTGTGATGGCTTGAGGAGGCGGTCAGTCGGCCACTGATGCGGCTGGCGTCCGGAATGCCATCAGAAACGCGCACCATCGCACTTCATACCGACATGCGAGGTGAAACAGTGTGCCTTAGTCTCATGCACCCCTATCCCAGACGACTGGGAAGGTGCTCGGGAAGAATTGCTATTGGGCGCATCATGAACGCGCACCATCACCCGCTAAATTCTCGCGTGGCCCCCCTGTTGAGGGCTCCAGTGAACCCGCCTGTTCCGGCTGTCTCCTTGTCGAAGATTTGCGCACGCCATGGGAGATCGTCGACCGGGGAGCGCTTCCGGCTGTCCCTTGACCTACCTACACTTGGCCTGCACCATTGCCTTGGATATGCCGCATTTTTGTTGCTGTGGCCCTGCATGCCTTTCAGCTCGTATCTTCGACACGCAAGGGAGAAGCGCTTGACAGAGTTTGGCGTAGAGCTTCCTGCTGCCCAGAAGTTGTATCCACACAACTATGTCATCACCAAGCATGAAAGCGGGGAGGTTCCGACGGCTTTGCCGAACCTCTCTTCTCCCTCTCTCACCTCACACTTCTTTTTTTTTCCCCCCAAGTCGCTGCCGACAAGGCCGAGTTACGGGGCGGGAGCTGGCTCATCTGCCGCTCTTGGCGCGAGTCCTTCGGGGACGACCGCGAAAAGCAATGACGAAATGCTCTCCGCCCTTTCTCGATGGAACTTCGTCCCCGAGCATGCCAGATGTCGCGCAGGATCGCTGCAACATATGGCTCTCCTGTATGTGATCGTGTGCACGGTGAGTGCCAGGTCCATTCGTCGCAATGAGTACCAAGCATCCTGGCGTGCCGCGACGCCTCTCTAGCGACGTGGCCCGCTCTACGGACTCGCCTAAACAAGCCTTGAAGGTTGCGAATATCCACATGGTGCAGCGTAGAGGTGTAGCGATTGCACAAAACGGTAATATGGCTTGCGGTGACAGGTGGTGTTGGCCGAATTTTAGGAAAAAAAGCCAAGACCTACTGAGGTTCCCCACGGCAGGAGAAGCTAGGCAAGTAGAGGCTAATAGCCGAAGAGTTGTTGGGCGGGTCTCTGGCAGGGTTTTCCAGGGCTAGCCAGGTGTGGGATGGGCCGTCAGTCAGTCAGGGTCAGGCAGTCAGTTGGTTCGAAGGAACCTTTGGAAGGTTCCTTCTCTCCAGGGCTGTTTGTTGTTCTTGCAGCTCTCTCAATTGCTCCTTCCAGTTCTCTTCAATATTGCTCGAGGTTGTACGGAGCAGGGAGGCACCTTTAGAGTATGAATGTGATGGTGACTGATTCAAACCACCACTCCTGTAATTCTGCTCCTCAATTGATCCCTCATTGATCTGTGGGCGACATTGGTCGTCGTAATTGTTGTTGATGATGTCTGCCATCTCGTTTGTTCACTTGCAGCACTCCGTACAGCAGCAGCTGGAAACATCCCTGGGCAGATCTCCACCACACCCTACAAAAGACTTGCTCCAGGCCGGTCCATGGCCGGTTCTCCAGTCCCCCAGGCACGCTCTCAGCGTCACCATCATGAAGTACCCGTCTCGGCTTTTCACGCATTGAGCTTAGCCGCCTCTGACCTGTCATATTTTTTTTTTGCCAGCCTTTGCGGCAACCTCGAGTCCTCCCACCCACAGCCCTCGAATTGCGACATCCCTTTCATACGGCCGTGATGGCGACCACGAGGCCGCGAGTCCAAAGAGTCCAGGCCCGAGCATAGCCCCCCAGAGGGCCTCTCCTCGTCCCGCTTTGTAATCTCGGTCTCGTCTTGTTCCCCGCGATCTGGATCACCCGTCCCATGCCGGAACGCCTTGGGGAAAAGCAAAGTCGGCGTGTGTCTAGAAGCAGCTCTGGAGAGTCCATTGCAATGTGGTTGGTCCTGAGCACGGCTCGCCTTTCCCCTTGACCAAGATCAGGGTGATCTCGGTTCGTGTTACCCAGGCAATCTGAACCCCAGGCCAGCCCTCTCGACGCTCACGCAAGCCATCGCGCAATGGGCCGATCGATATCCAGGCTCTCGGGACCGTCGATCGCGGGAAACGGCGAACAGTTCTTTCGGACCGGCGTCAGGATATTCGTCATCTCCGTCTCGGCTGGCACCTCGCCACTTCTCCTCACCTCCGTTTGTAGGGCAAGGTGCTTCCTGGCATGCTTCATTGTTGCTCTACATCGTCGTGTGTCGTCAGTGTCGTTTTCACTTGCCATTATTTCCGATCCTTACCAAGGTCCGCTCGGGTGAGCTAGGCATTGGGCCGGCTTGAGCGGACCTTGGAGGGACCATGTGGCTCCCTGGAACCGCCGCTTGGAATCCCTGTTTCACTCCCCACCTCTTCAGCTTTCTTGTTTTCTCTCCATTCCTTGTCGTTCATTTCATTACGCACTGCTTGGCTCCTCTCCTTTAGGCTTGCATGTACTTATACGGAGTACGTCTTGTCCGTACGGAAGAGTGTTCGTGCAGTAAGTACTCCTGCACGCCATCGGCACTGTCGGCCCATGGACCATTCCCTTTCGAGTGTTTGCTGTTTCTGCATCTCGATTGTCCTAGTTCTGAGTGTCATAGACCAAGAAAGAACGCAAAGTATGCACGGAGGGGTTAGGAACGCCTCCGACCCCCCCTTGCCCGAGAGGGTAACCACCCGAGCCTATTCTTTACCTTCACCTGTGATCTTCTTTGCTTGTTTTGGGCGCCGCAATTACAGGCATATGCAAGAGAGACCCTGTGGCTGAATTTGCTGAACCTGGCCGTAATGTCGATTGGTGCGAGTACGGCCTCCAGTGCCTGTGACAGTGGTGGAGGGGTTTGAGAGTCTGGACTCTGGACCCTTCCTGTCATCTTACTGACGTGCATATTTCATATCCACACATCCATGTTCATGTGCAGAAAAGCTCCTAACCAGTCATCGACTTGCCGTGCCTGTCCATGGCCGCCGACTCGCAATTTGCCGAGCCTACAATGCCAGCTAAGACCAGCCACCAGCACTCAGTACACCACACGACAGGCTTGCCAATTCGGTCTTTAGTGCGTGGGCCGGCGCCCGAAATGGGGTGGGAAGGGTAAGTACGGAGTAAGAGGAACAAAGAAGGAAAAGAGAAGAGAAAAAACGACACCGCTTCCCACAGGGTCCCTGTAGCGGGTGTCACTCCGGAGGCCAGGTGGTGTTGCAGGGTTCAGGGATGCAAAAAAAAAACCCGTCCCAAGCTACTGGTTCCAGCTAAGGCAGGCTGAAATCCACGCGCACCTCGGCGTTTCCCACAGGGATCATCATTGTAAGTACCTTACTTCCATCCACTTGGCTGACACCTTTGATACTACTCCGTACAGCTAGTTGCTTGTTTGTCAGTTAACCTGCTCAAGTCCAGTCAACATGAGCCACTCGCATCATCTGGCTGCACATGCAGGCCTCTCTGCCTCCGGCTGTGCCTGTGCCTGTGCCTCTGCTCTGCTCTACATTGCTTTGGCCTACCTTTACGGAGTAGCTGAACCCCCTTCACACACACACACATACACACACACACACAATCCTTGCCCTCCCCGTTCCCCCCCGGATCCCTGTCGTGGCTCGACCTGCCCCATTCTGACATCGACTTGGTCTTGTTTGCTCGTCGACCACGACTGCCTCTCTCCCTCCCACCGGCGTGTTAGTCTCGTCCCTCCCTCGATAGCGCCGGGACAGCACATGGCCTGCTACCCACCATGACATGGCAGACCAGTCTGTCTAGGGTAATACGCCGTCTGCAGTCCCAGACATCTGGTTCATGGTCCCGCCACACGATCCTCTTGTTCGCATCAGGGCGTTCCTCCCTCGTCTCGCATGCTAGTCAGGCCGGTCCTGCATGGTGTGGTGCCCTCTGTCATGGCGTGCCCGCAAACTCGTCATGGTGGTGTGTCGAGCTCATGTGCGTGCCATGTTGTATGTACTTCCGTACTTTGTTGTTGCCCGTTGTCAACCTTGGAAGCTTCCGCGTCCGCGCCGACCTACTTCCCTCGTCACTGACTAAAAGCCGGCCGGTGGGCCATGGCATGCAGCAGCGCCTTTACCGCCCAATTTATTGTCTCGAGCACCTCAAATCCCGAAACTTGGACTTTCTTCTTGCGTCTACCTCATCTGCCCCGTATGATGCCCAGCGCCCGGGCCCATATAGCTCTGAGATCTCTCCCTCGTTGCCATCCGAGGCTCCTTGGCCGCTGACCTTCTCGTTGGAAGGAGCTTCTTCTTTAAACGAGACACTTCCCGCGAATCCCAAGTGGAACTGTCTTGTGACTTGCCGACTAACACACTTGCACACATGTCGATCCTACAATCGTAGCCTACGACAGCACCAGCAAAGCCAAAAACCTCCTGTTGGATCACTCGCTAGCTGTATCCGAGGCTGCTGAGACACACAATCCTCCAGTTCTCCATGAAACCTCCTCCGAGCTCGACGGCGGGCCCAGAGCCGCCGCCAGGGAGCTCGTCTCCAGCTCGAGTTTTTGTAAGCCCATACCCGCTACTCTCTTGCCTGAGTTGTCAGCTACCCGAGTTATTTCTAACCTCTTGGCAGCACCTCTTTGGCAAGCTCCCAGTCGAGCTCCGGCTGCGAATATGGACTCTCAACCTCCCCGAAACCCGCGTACTACCCATCAGATGCGGTGACGCACTGACGTCTCCAGCGCCATCTCCACCTCTGCGGCCATCCTCCACACAGCCATCCTCGACAGCCTCCTCCTCCTCTGCCTCGCTGTCACCCTTCACCTCGGGACCTGTGTCACCACCACTTGCACTACCAGTACCACCACCGCCGCCACCGGGACCCCCATGCCGCTGCACCTGCTCCTCGCCAATTCCGACGAACCTGCACGTCTGCCAAGAGTCCCGCGAGGACGCCCTGCGCCACTACCGCCTCGCCTTCGGCATCGCCCGCCAGCCGCCCCGCATATTCTTCGATCCGGAGCGGGACGTGCTCTACTTCGGGCCCCGCGACGGCTACATGGCCTCCGAGGCCCAGTTCCGTACCGTGCTCGCCCTCGCGCGGCCCGAGGACCTCGCCCTGGTGCGGCGCCTCGCCCTCAACGACGCCCTCTTCTGGGCCGACGCCGCCGCCGCGCCGCGCTCGTACCACAGCGCCGTGGCCGCCAGCCTGACGGTTGAGGTGCTGCGGCAGGTGCGCCGGCGCCTGCCGGGCCTGCGGGAGCTCATCTTTGTGCCGCGCGACGGCAACCCAGTCTACAGCGGCGAGGCGGCGCTCGTGGAGCCGCCGGTCGAGCAGCCGCGCCTCGCAAACCAGATCCGGGTGGCCATGGCCAATGTCACACAGCAGTTTCCCGAATGGGAACCGCCAGAGTGGAGCATCATGTCGCTCAGCTCGTCGTCCGACGCGCCGGCTTTTGCCCCGAGCCCCGAGGCCGTCCAGATGGATGGCGAGATGCAAGGCGGCTTGGCCGGCGCAGACGCTGCTCCAGATGTGTATGCAAGTTTAAGAGAGGATGACCGGAGCTGTGGTACCAGTCCGCAGACGTCAACGACGACGGACCTCGACGGACCCAGACCCCTCGAGATCCGCACTAATGATAATGAAAACGAGCAAGAACCCGAGGGGCTTGGAGATAACGGCCCCACGAAATGATGAGGACTCGATGTGTGGAGGAAACGTACTTAGGACGTGTGCCGGAAGGGCAGACTATCAACTTGGCGGTGGAAGAGAAACCATGATAGACTGGAAGGAGATATTTTAGGGGGGAAGTCTTGACTCGAGGCATATTGACTTTTTATCTTGTTTGGAGGCCCTCTCGCATGCATATATACCCCAGGGCGGCCAACTAGACTCTCCTACAGGAGGGAGCATATAGCGATTCTTGTTTTTCTTTTCAGTTCATGACACACGATTGATGATGGCATAGACGGGCTTAATACACGAACGAGGTTTTGGTATTCGTTTGGCTTTGTGTCTTTAACATGAGCATTTTGTATATGTGCGTCTGTATGCGTTCACGGTGCGTGAGACAATGCTGTGTGATGTCCGGTAATTGTGCACTTGTGTATGATGGGAGTGGCAATCTCATATTCAGTCGCGATGGGGTCAATATCTGGAAGCTAGACTGTTCACCAGACATGTAGATAAACATGTATACGTGCGGATGTGGCAGATGTATGAAGACCAGCTCGATATTACATGTGTACATCTGCCGTGAATACATCCCTCCAGTAAGGCGATGAATTGTCATTTTTGCAATGCCCAGAGGCAATAATTCTACATATGCTCCCATGAAACAACTCCGAAATATGCAACAACAAAGCCAGCGGCCACCGCGCGAGCAGCATAGCGTGTGCCGGGATCTCCGGACCACCCACCAAAACATCTAATATCGAAGTCCCTCCTCCATCCAGGACTCCTCCCCGTCCTCCCATCCTTCCTTCCTTCCTTCCTTTCAATACACTCCCTCGTATGACTCGAGATCGCAAGAGTATGAATAATAAAAAACAAAGAAAATATGCAGATAATGAAAACAGAGCCGCCACCCCGCACACTCAGCCTTTCCTATCGGCGGCGGCCGCAGCGGGCCCGAGGCCGATCCCCTTGCGCCGGCCCCGGACGACCGCCTCGAGCGCCCTGCCCACGGCGCCGAGGTCGCCCAGCAGCGTGATGTGCCCGCGGTCCGAGCTCACGCGGCCCCCGCGCACGAGGTCATACCCGTCGGGCACCATGGCCTCCTTGGCGAGGACGACGCCGTCGCCGGACCGGAAGCCGAGGTCGTCGTAGGCCTCGGGCCCGGCGATGGCCGCGCGGGAGGGCACGCGCGCGGCGTAGACGGTCGGGGTGTCCTTGCCGTAGATGACGGCCAGGGGCGGGTAGGCGTTGGCGGCCGTCAGGCGGCGGTCGTGGGCCGTCTCGGCGCGGAAGCGCTTCGTGTCGGCGAGGACGCGCGTCAGGTAGGCTATGTTCCTGTCGCGCTGGGTCGGGGAGGGCGGCGGCGGCGGCGGCGAGGCGTACGCCGAGGAGTCCTGCATCTGCGGGGCGAGGGTGCGGTCTTTGTGGTTGTTGTTGCTGTTGTTGTGGAGGAACGTGGTGGTGTCGGAAGAGGAGGCGGCAGGTTTACGTATGGACTCGGTGGTGACGGAGCGCGGCCGGAGGGGGAAGGTGGAGGACAGGTCGAGCAGGGTGCCGAAGGTGCTGGAGCGCTTGGAGGAGAGGGTCCCTGCGGCGTTGGTGCCGACGTCGGCGTCGGAGGAGGTCGGGGGGTCGAGGCACGGGGAGAAGCGGTACTTGATCCAGTCGTTGATATCGTAAAAGTCCACCGGGTACTCCTCCTTGGTCTCCTTGTTGATGAAGCAGAAGCCGTCCTCGGGCAGGAAGACGAAGCTCGTGCGCAGGGTGAAGTTGACCTGGGCCGTCAGGACCTTCTCGTTGAGCAGGACGGCGTCGCCGTTGCGGATGGGGCCCAGGATGTTGACGCAGCGCTGGGGCGTGCCGGCGTAGACGACGCCCGAGAACAGCTCGGGCCGCTGGTTGACGGCGTGGCGGGTGATGAGGCCGCCCAGGCTGTGGGCGATGACGAGCGCGCCCCTCCTCGGCGCGGGGGTGCCGGGCCTGTTGGACGGCAGCTTCTCGAGAAACTCGACCAGCTTCCGCGACAGGAGGTGCGGGCTCAGCCTCCAGTCGTACCCGTAGTCGTGCACCCGCAGCTTGCCGGAGCGGGCGTTGTCGCAGTCTCGCAGCTTCTTGAACAGCCGGCGCGAGATGTCGACGGGGCCGATGTGCTGCAGCATGCCGGAGGGGTAAATGGTCTTCTCCATGTTCTCCTCGTCTGCCGGGTCGAGGCCGACCTCCATGTTGACCTTCCGGATGTTGAGTCCGACCTTGACGGGGACCCATAGTTGCCGGTGCGGAGGCTCGGCAGATCTGAGGATCGAGCCTCTGTAGCCCCCGAGCACGACGATGTCGCCCTCGAGAGTGTCCAGGACCTGGTCAAGTAGAGACGTCGCCGGCCGGGACATGACCTGGCTCTTGAGATCCCCTTTGGGGATGCCGGAGCTCATAGGCGCCGGGCCGTCCAGACCAGGACTCCTTGGGAAAATGTCTACAGCACATTAGTATTATGCCGGCAGCGATGGAAATAAGTTTTCCGATAGCCAATGATGCATGGAGCACATGGGTTGAGGAAAGGGAGATGTCATCAACAGCAAAACAGAATGAGAGAAGCTTTGAAACGTACTTGGCATGGGCGGCATCTTGAAAGTCGGCCTCTCAGGGAAACTATCCTTGATGGCCTTGAACCTCGAGTTGACCTGTTCGCGGATGTTTTCGAAACGTGCGTCGTCCCCAAACGAGGACACCCTGGACAGCGAGTGGTACAGCAGGGAGTCGTCAGACGGCGACTTGTGCAATGTCAAGGACCGCCTGGACGCCTCGGGTAGGCTCGCAAGCACGGTGGCGGGTTGCCCCTGCGCCACCGCTGGCCGGGACCCGACCGGAATGGCCACGGAGGCGGGCCGGACCTGCGCCGACGAATTCCGGGTCCTGATCGCGGGCGAGGCCGATCGCATCGGCGATTGGGCCCCGGTGGCCTTGGGGGACGAGGAGCTGGAGGAGAAGAACGACGGCGTCGGGAAGCTGGACATGAGGCCGCTCGGGATGGATATCGACGGGAGGGCCTTGGACAGCCTCCTCAGGGCCTCCTGCCCGACCGAAGACGACCGGCGGGGCCTGCTGCTGCTCTGGCCAAAGACGCCGGCGAGGGCGGGCTTGGCATTGCCGGGCCCAGCAACGACCAACTCCTTCGGTCCGGCGTGCCACGGCGTAGGCAGGACGGCTTCGAATTCGTATGCCGAGGGCGTGGAATCGAGATGCAAGTTGGCGACATCTGGCTTCCGGGGATGGTCCGGTGCTGAGATCGGCGCTGGTGGTTCTGCAGGGACCGGCGGCTTGGCTGCAGGTGCCGGAGCCGCTTCGTCTGAACCACCAAAGAAACCGTCGATCAGTTCGTCCATGGCGGCCACCTTCTCGGCAGCCGGCGTCTTGGGCGAGGTCAGACGCGTGGCTGCGCGGCTGATGGAGGGCTGGATGAAGGATTGGGCATCCTCCCGGTCTCCGTAGAGCTGCTCCTCCTCCTCCTCCTCGTCGTCGTCGTCGTCGCCCGTGCTGCCGGAGCCTTCCGTGGCTTCCGACTCATGTGAATCCGGAGTCCCGGGACTTGGCAGGACTGGCTCCTGAATTTCATGCCGTGCCATGGACGTGGGCACGACACTCGTAGCCATGGTTACCTATGCATATGCCGCTTGCTGAAATGACGAACCAAGAGATAGAAACCAGTGGTAGGAGCGGTGCTGGGCGTATTTGACAGGTCGTTGGCCACGACGACCCAAGTAGCGTCGGGCGTCCCGGCTCAGCCGGATGTGTAAGTTGGAGTTAAAATGGGTAGCTCGAGAAATAGCGACTTTGGCGCCGCGTTGCAGCATTACTCGGGCATTGGGTTGCCAAAATGTCTAAAGAACAGACCAAAGAAAGGAACAAAAAGGGAGCCCTTCTCAATTGAGAGCCAAGATACTACCTAGGAAATTATTGTTTCTTTTTTGCGAGAGTAAGCACGAGAGATCCCTGGGCCTGCTGTGGACAGACGGGGGAGCACCGAGTAAGCAAGCATAGCCTCCCCTCCAGGCTTGTGAAAGCCACTTCGATCGCCAGTAACAACAAGTACCTCGAGTTGCTCCTCTAGGCATAGTAGCATTTGGTGTTAGCGGAGGAGGAAGAATCCGCCCTCGGACCAGCGCTAATTAGGACCACAATCACAGCTGACTCTGGTGGGATTTGGCCGAGATAAGGCTAGTCCTGTAAAGCACGTTGATGGAACTCAATTGCTTTTAGTAGTTGATACAAGTACGGCGGAGCTCAGCTTCGTCTTTGTGGTCATGGTTCATTGTCAAATCTCATTTCTCAGCAAGATGGATCACTCCTGAACAAGAAGGTCAAGAGTCGTCGTCAGCAGGAGCAGCTGCAACTCGACTCCATCCCTTCACTTCGCACCTTGTCTTGCTGGAAACAGGGGAGTCTTGACGTCATGAAGCTGGTTGTCCGGGGCTGCAATCCCCCTATTATGATTCGCTAATTGGGCCTTACTCGGCGCTGTTTTGGCTCAGCCCAAAGGGCCGGGGGGGCTGTTCAGCAGATCGGAAGCCTCAGAACAGGGGGCGCGGCCATCCATTGGATTACTTTGTAGTTACAGCTCGAACCCACAAAATCTTCACCATGCAGGGGTACATCACCACACAATATGGACCACGCATTTTCGTATTTCGTACTTGTACAGTCTTCGCAAACCGACCCGACTGGACGATCCTCCAGGCAGCCGCATTTCTTGCAGATCTGAGAAGGGGAGCTATTGTTTAGGGGGAAAAAATGGAACGAGGGGACCAACAGCACGGGATGCCCTGATTTCCAAGTGGCTTGGCATATGCATGTCGAAATGTAGGCGTCGTTGATCTTGACGGCATGAAAAGTCGAGATGAAGAGCTCGGCTCAGAGGCTCGCCTTGGGCGTCACGGAAAAGTCGCCCTCGATCTCCCGGATCTTGTCCGCCGACTTCTTCCACCCGGTCTCGGCCTCGAGCCGCGCCACGTACTCAAAGAGCCTGGGGTAGGTCGCCTGCGGCGTGCCCTTGTCCCAGGCGCCGAGCTCCTGCACCCGGCCCTTGCCCGCGAGCAGCGGGTAGCTCAGCACGATGTCGGCGGCCGTCAGGTGCTCGCCGCAGATGAACTTGCCGCCGCCACCGCCACCGCCGGGCGCCGTGGCCAGCATCTGCTCCAGCAGGGCGTAGTGGCGCTTGATGTTGGGCAGCACCACCATCGAGATGATCTTGTTGGCCGCCATGCCGGTGATAGGCCGCACGAAGAAGGGCACGGCGGGGCCCTTGAGCGCCGAGATGATCAGCGTCAGCCAGAGGTACGGCATCAGGCTGCCCTCGCTGTAGTACAGGATGTACTGGTACCGCATCCACTCCTCCGTCTCCCCGCCCACCCGGCCCTCCTGGCCCTCCTTCCACCGCCGCGGCACCAGGTCCCGGCCCTGGCCGTAGTGGTCGCACAGGTACTGGATGATGAAGCCGCTCTCCGCCAGCACGAACGGCTCCGCGCCGCCGGGGGGGCCCGCCGGCGTGACCGTCACCAGCGGCGACTTGCCGAGAGGGTGGATCTTCTCCAGCTCCGGCGGCGCCAGCATGGTCTTTTGCCGGTGATATATCTCCAGCTCGTAGGGCACGGACAGCTCCTCGAGCAGCCACAGGATGGCCTGCGCGCGGGAGCCGTTCAGCCTATTTGATACAGGTCAGTAGATGTCCAATTGCTTCAGCCACGCCGTGATGGGCACCCATGATGTCAACATACCAATGCAGCTTGATCTTTGCTTGCTCCTCGGTTGCCATGGCGTGGTGTAAGAGAAGGATGGAATTCTTTGGCAAAATGAATAGAAATGTAGTTAGAGCGGATTGAGTTTCTAACCAAGAGGCAAACCGTGGATGTACCACAGTGTCTATGCCATCATCGGGTCAGCCAAACAAGGAGTGTAGCACGTGTTAGACGAATGCGAAACCGAGGCGATTCTCGATGTTAGCCCGGTACTTCAGATTAAGGGCGCATCATAGCGGAGTCTGGATCGCCAGCTATGGAGATCTAAAGTAAAGCACTAGCATCATTTCCCCATCGTTCGAACCCTGCGCTTTCTTAACCCAACATGCCTCCTCGACTCCCATATCAAGAGATGAACCTGCTTCTCAACGAATACCGGAGCAACTGACAAACTACCCAAACGCCAAGCTCAGTAGTGTATGTGGCCAGATGTTGAGAATTGAGATCGTCTTGGCACTGGACCCTGATGAGATCAAAGGGCACCGCGCCCCGGCCAGTCCCATTCACCAACACCCATCGATCACGGTTTGCATTGCGCAGAGCAAGACACGAATCTGTGCCCGATGAGGCGCAAAATGCTTAGCAACAATACAATCCAAAAAGCTTGCAAGAGATAGTGTACTAATGGCAGACTTACCGCGCAAATTTCCAGCCACAGTGTGACCAATGCCTGGCGGAGGAACTTGAGATCATTCAAGAGAACAGTCTTTCGTGGTGCGTTCGGGAAGAGGGTATGCGTCAGCGGAACCAGAAGCCCGAAAACCAGGATGACTGCAGGATAAATCAGCCCTTCGACAAGCTGCAAGGTTGGTTCGTCTCCCGAGGTGAAGACTCCGATCAAGTCGGGGATGCCCAAGGATGCTTGGGTGCTGTAGCCCTGTCTGGCGAGTGCCATGGGCAGGCAGACTCCGGGTACCAATCCTCTGGAGTAGCCCATGATGCGGCGAGAGATCGAGGCAAGAAAGGTAGGCAGGTCGAAGATTTTCGTCAGAGACAGAAGCAGTGTCCGATGATCCAGCCTGGGTTGTCAGAGACGCAGGTTCCGCTCAGTCCCTTTTAAACATATCAAATCAAGAGTGATTGCCCTCTTGTGATGATGTGGGAACTGCATTTGTAGCTTTCTGGTATGAAGCAACGGTGTCTATTGCTTGATAAAGCCTGTTTGTATATCAAACGATCTTGAGCATTGCTCAAAACTTGCCCACGAGACACGTTTTTCATACCGTTTTTTACGCGGTCCATCATACAAACCCGCAGAGCAAACTGTCTTCTTGAACATGCCCCCAAGAAATCTTTGGTGTCTTCCAATGAGTGCTTCTGTTTGGTCAGGCGGAGCGCTTGTTGGTAGAGCCGGTATCACCATGGCACAGAGCTCCTGTAGCTGCTTGCTTCAAACGTGTCACTTTTTATGATGGTAACAAAGCAAATTTGTCCGGCTGTCCTTTTCGACCCATATCCGTGTCTATTTTTGGTAGCTGTCTACACTGCTATCGGAAAACAGCCTTCCTGCTCAGGATTGCAGCGTCGGACGAACCACAGTCCTATTGTGTTCGCAGTTCGGCATCCTTTATGTCATCATTAACATCAACTCATCGGCAAGCGAGGCCATGGCCTCTCCCATGCGGCGTCCCCCATCCGTGGCCAGATTATTCAATCAGGTAGGACTCGGCATGAGACTTGACCTCCTTCGAGAAAGTCACCTCCTCGTTCATTTCTACCAACTCCACAGATGTGACCTGGGTAGACATATGTTAGATGACCTGGACTTCGACATGGCGGCGGGGTGGCAGAGGACAAGCGGGGAAATAACTTACATCAATGTCGACATAGGGCGAACTCTTCGAGAAGCGAACTTGCATGGGGAAGAACTCGTTCTCGTCATCAGTCTGGGCCTCGAATTCGAATGATCCATTCGGGTTCTCGTCATCGACATTGCCGACTGACCACTCGAGGCTATCGCCCGAGACTTCGTAGGTCGCGTCGAAGCTCGAGACTACTGGCTCCACGCTCGAGTAGGGAATAACGACGCTGACGTCCTTGAGCGCGTCACCTCCCGTCAACTCGTACTCTACTGTCATGTTGCAATTGCCATCGGAGCCCTTGTTGACCCAGACGGTGAAGCTGATCGGCAACGCGCTGGAATCGTCCGTCTTTGGGGATGCTCGCCACCGGAGCACGGCGACGGTGTTGTTGACAGGGAAGCCCTGAGCATTGTTGCTCATCTGAATGACCTTGGAGCTGTTGAACTGGTTACGGTCAACCTTGGGGTGAGTCCGGAACTGAGCGCCGTGAGAGGGCTGGGCCTGCAAGTTCATCTTGATCTTCGTGAGAGAAGCATCCGACACGTGCAGATTCAAGTCTCCGCTGACAGAGAGCGAATTCAGGGCACCGTCTCTTGAGATCTTTGCCGAGATGGCCTCGGTGATGGTCACATGGATCGCATCGCGATCCAATGCTGTCGAGGCGCGGGGCGCAGCAGCGTGTTCGGCAACAGGAGTCGAAACGGCGGGCACCAGGGGTGTATCGTCGACTTCGGGGCCCATCTCGCCGCGGACCCTCTCAAACATATCTGTCGTCTTCGACTTCTTGCCGAGCTGCATGCCCTTTCCTTTGGGCGCAGTGAACCTGTGCAGAGGTTAGCTAGGACGCACACGTCATCCACTTCAAGGCCGACGCACTTGGACTTGTTCTTCTCGGCTTCATAGCTGTCGTATGTGTCGGTGACAGCAGGGCGGGTAGGCGGCGTGTAAGTCGGGTAGACAGGAGTGCGAGGGATGTTGCCACGTCCAGTCCTTGCCGACTCCTTGCGCTGCATCTCCAGCTGCTTGGCTTTCCTCTTGCGCTCCTCGGTGGCCTCCAACTCCTTGTTCTGCATGGGATTAGTCCGGATGCTTGTCTTGTGTACGGCACCGCGCCAGCCTTGCTTACCCGAGCAATAATCTCCTGGATCCGCTCCTCGTGACTCTCCATCTCCAAGAAGGTCTTGATCTGGCTCAGCGTCAGGTTCTCCCTGTAGCCCAGGGTGACGAGCTCGTCGAATGCGCTGAGAAGCTCGTAGGCATTGCGCACAATCTCCCTCTCGTCCAAGCTCTTGCACGTGCTAGTGACAACCTGAGCAAACAGGTGGAGCGAGTCGATGTCTTGAAGGATGTTGGACTGGCGGTTGGTGATGAGCACCATGTAGAGCTCGTCGAGGGGCTGGTACACGAAGCGGACGTTATCCTGCTCGACCGTGGTGTGCTGAGTGCCGCTATCGGCAAGCTTGGGGAACGAAGCCAGGAGCGCTTCTATTCTCGAACGGGGCATCTCGCGGAACTGCCTCGAGAGGACAGCTTTCCCTCCTCGGGTGCATATCGAGGCGGCGAGGACAACCTAGATAGGAGGGTAAGCGGTTAGTGGGGAGGGGCCAGCACAACAACCAAGCCAGCAGGACAATGAAGGCAGCATACCATCTTGATTGCAGAGACTCTGGGGCTATAGTATTGTGATTGGAGTCTGTACAGAGGAGCAGAGGGAATGATATGTTGCAGTCGCTCTGGTTGTATTGACACCTCTCTGTCTGCTCTTGGCGGAGGGACGGTCAAGTGCTTGCTAGAAGTGCTGGTGTCCTCATCCCCGAAATGTGGGCATGGTCTGTGCGCGAAGCTACTGGCTACCTTACCTAGCCAGGCCAGCTTGCCTCATCCCTGAATGCTCCCACACAGTGAGTTGAGCCTTGTGCCTAACGGAGGAAGCTAAACCTCAGGCGGCCAAATTGTTAGCGCCCAGCACGCACTTGCAGTGTCATTTTCGTGTCACAGCTGGAGCCTCCAAGCTCAGGCCTTCTTTGTCACCTCAATCCGCCTCCCGACGCGTTCATTGTTTCTCCCCAAATCAACGCTTCCTCCAACTACCACATCCACGTCTCATCACACCTTGAAAGTGTGCATCAGTTCTCTTGCCTTCCTTCTCGAAGGCTCTAGTGAATTTGTGTGCCGCTCTCAAGGCATATTCTGATCTCGTTACCCCGCTTGCCAGTACAGCACTTCTTTGTCTACTGCTCGTTTGGCCTCGAATATCGCGCGCCCCTGTCAGATATATATCTTGACTCTGCCCACAGCGCGACGATCCCAAGCTTCTCTGATACCTTTGGGATGCGAGAATTAGTAGCCATACTGCTCCCAGTTACCCCTCCTCACGCACAAAGCTAGGCACCTCTACCTACATTACCGCGACCGTACCACCACTGCTTCCTCTTCCCAAGGAATCAAATTCACAACGACCCTAGAAACCCGCCATGGCAGAGGCTGTGACCGATACTGGTCATCCTGACCAGGCTGATTATGTTGATGTCAGTCTGGGAAATGCCGACGACGCTCACATCGACCTGATCGGCTTTGACGATGACGACTTCGATTTCACCCACGCCGATGAAAATGCCACTGTTTCTGAAGTGGCTCACAAGGCTCAGGCAGACGATGTCGCAACAAGTGAGCAGACTGTAGGAGCGGAGACTGACATCCAAGCCGCTGAGCTTGATGAAATCACTTTTGACGGAGATGAGGAACATATAGCAGCTGAAGTCACGTCTGCTGCAGCCGACGCTACAGGAACGACTGAACAGGCGCTGGAGGATTTCGATGAAATCACTTACGATGGCTATGAGGCGGAGATCACGGCGAGTGGCACAAATGACGACGAAGCTCTGCGACACATTGGTGGAACACAGGCAACCGGTCACAATGGAGAGACCCAGGAGGGCTCAATCGCCTCACACAACACCACCACAGAGCCCATTGATGCTACTGTGAGAAATGTAACAGAACACCAACCCACTCCTGGCTTCTCTGCCTTGACCTTCGACGGGGTGTTCGATGACGTACCCAGGCTGCAGGATGCAGCTGGTGTAGATGTCGGCGACGTTGTGGACGATGCCAGAGATGCTGGTGAAGGGGATGTTACGGGAGAAATGAGTCTCGAGTTCGATGATGCAAGTGCTTCATACGAGAGTGATAGAGAAGAGAGTCCCTTTGCGACCTCGCCCCCCAATGTTACTGTAACTTGGGGTGATGAGGTCTGCCCACTGTTCAAGACCGTGGATGGTCAGCAGCCGGGTTCCTACTACCTGGATGATACCGAGTATATCGATCGCCCGCTCTCCGATTTCCTGACTAGAATTCGGGAGTCGATTGCAGAATGGCTCAATTCCAACGACGAACTCCTGATCCGAGTCCAGGAGCTTGGTCTTGAGTTTGCAGAGGTACGTTGTATTCTTTCCGTGGGAGTGAACCATGGGGACTGCAGTTGCTAACAATCGCCAGACAACCACAGGTGCTATCCTGGATCAGTTCACTTTCGGCCAGCTCTTGGGCTTGCACAACACACTGGCTATGAATGATGGCGAGGTCCCGACCCCGGAGTTACACCTCGTCCTCACTACACGCCCTAATTGTAGCGTGAGGATCCAGAAGCTTGTCCAGGCCGCCAATGAGGGCCGAGGCCTCTCTGCTCTCCAGTCAGAGCTGTCATCTAGCGCCTCGAATGATGCCGATGATGTGGAGCAGGGCTCCGAGATGTCGTCACCTGTGAAGTCTGCGCTGCACGATGATGCTGAAATCGCGCCTCACCCGTACTCAGATGCTCCTTCAGTTGATGAGAATGGCGAGGACTTGATCCTTGGATACAACGAAGCATATGACCAGACCGACATGGCTGGTGGTGAGATGGGCGGTCCACTTGAGGAGCACCTGGCTAGTTCTCATGGACAAGACGTGGCCCATGAAGGTGACGATTCTCATCCGGAGGCCCACCAGTCGACCGAGGTTTCTCAGGATTTGGATGTTGCCCAAAGTCATGATCTGACTGGCATAGTTGAAGACACGGACTTCACGGTTGATTTCCGCGAGACTCCTCCAGCGGACACTAATGCTTCCCTACAAGCCGACGATTCCGAGATCGTCCAAGGAAACACCGAGGATAAGATCCAGGACATGGACTATCTCGATTTCGACGACGAAGTTGTTGAGCAGACAGATGTTCTGCAACCATCGGCTCACGAAGATACCGCGACCGGAGCAACCCAGCTGGACGAACTGGACGGCGGAGAAGATGGAATGCAAACCGCCAGTAAGGTAACAAATGAAGAATTGGTAGAGCACTACGACAATATCGACTACGGTCAGGATCATTCCAGCGTAAGCAACACCATAAGCGGCGAGGAGCTCGGCCATGACGATCAGCTTCCTGTGACTGCCGAACATGAGACTGCTCAATTCCCGGCTGGGGAGTCATCGCAGAACACCGGAGTCACCCGCAAGGATGAGGATCTAGATGAGATCGACTGGGAGGATGACGAGGATGATACAGCTGCGCAGAAAGCGCAGGCATCTACACCTACAAGCGTTACCGGAAAACGCGGCCGTGAGGCGGAGGACGGTGAGGGTCTGGCTGACGAGCACGGTATGTTTCCTGGCCAACCGCCTTTTCTCTCAATTGTTGTTGATGAAACTAACATCTCCTTTTAGACGTCAAGCGGCATCGGGCTTGAGGCCGACTATGCCGTTCTGCCGACACTGCCTCGCTCCAGCACCCCGTCTGTTTGACACGAAGAAATTGTAGTGCAATTGCTTCGGTCTTGTTGAAACATGATCTCCCGGCCCTTTTCTACACCAAGCCTCTCCTTCCCCCACCGCATTCTGACGCGACACTACTAACAACCGATATGGCACCGGATGACTCCTCGGTTCTCATGGACATGGGCATTTGCTGGATAGACCAGCCAGGTAAGTACTTCTGAGAGTCGGTCGGCAACAGGTCAAGAAAGATCTACTGTTTGGTGTTGTTTCTTTTTCGTATCTATGCCGCACCTACGGCAACTCGACCGTTTGATACCCTCTGCGCTAGCGCAGACAATGGTTGGCGACACATGCCGCAGCACGCTTGTCGACTCATGATTTAGGAAGCAGCAATTTCCTCTTTGGCGTTGGGATTTGGTTGCGAGCTGGGTCCGGAAAGGAGTCGGCAAGGTTGCCTTTGTACTAGTATCTACATAGCGCTCTGATTTCCCATCTCGGCTGTTGGAGGACGAGACATTGAGTGATGTCAACTCCTGGGAGGAGGACTGAGTATGGGCCATGGACTTGGTGTTGGGAGCCGTAGCTGTGTTGCTCTTGATAAGACAGGAAAGGAAAATCAGGCGACTTGGGAGAGTAGACTGACTAGTCGAGCTATCAATACTGAGGTCTCGTTAATGAATCACAGCCCAATCTCACGGAGAAGAAGAGTCTGTATCAAGTGTTATCTTTTGCTATTTCTGGTGACAGTTCGTATCGATCTGCGTTCTTGTGCTGCCGCGGCGTGGTTGGCGCACCATGCCATGTTCCGGCCTGTTTGTGGACACGCCTCGTCATCCCTAATCTCCTTTGGGCCCAGTGTGCAGAACTAGCAGCCTTGCCAGATCCATCCCTGAAAACCAAACCAGATCATTATTAGTCCAGGAACAGATCGATGATCCAGAATGCAGTACGGAGCAGATTTCGTTCTTGCAGACAACACTCTCAAGGCTCTTTTCAAAGGCGAACACATCACTGCTTCGTAGGTAGACTGTAAAGACCGAGTATTCACGGGCTACCTCACTTCTATCGACTTGTACTTGTCTGCCATCCAGATCCTCACTTCGATCAAGTAGATTCTCCACCTCTGATGGTAGGACGATGACTGGCAAGTACATATGCCGATCGGATCCCTCAGTTTGGGGTCCCATGGGCAGCAGAAGCACAACTACTTGTATACTTGTAGTTTTCTCGAACAAGGGCATCAAGAACATGGCATGGGAGTGGGATGCTGGAGGGCCTGTACGTAATTACCAAGATTTGCGGCACTAGAGACCAAGAATCAGGGGTAAAGTCAGTCATCTTCGATGGAGAACCCCTGGCTCTCGAAGAATTTGGTGGCGCGAAGTCCTCTGGCCAGCGTGGTCGGAATCCACTGAAAGCCCGGCCAAGGGTAACTACCTACGGAGTAAGTTTGTGCACTGTGGGCTGTCCCGCCCGCCCAAAATGCCCACCTGAGCCGGCCGAGATAGTGGAGCGCACGACGCGCTTCTGTCCCCTCCATCCCTCCACTCCTCCTCGTACCGTTTGGTGCAAGGGAGAGGAGAACAGCTGGAGGTGTGCGTGAGGGACCCGAAAATCGCTGGGGTGAAGGGGGGCGCAGTGCGTCCAAGATCGAGAAACCCTCCAGTTCTCCCCCCTGACACGTCTGTGTGAATGCAGTTTACGTGAGTTTGGGTCAAGAAGTACCTAGGTAGCCCGTGGACACCTTTCCCTTTCCCACAAACCCGTACCCTACTTCGTACCCTTGCGCAGAAGCCGAAGCCAAGATCCAACCAGGGGTGAGCTTCTGAAACCCGTGCTTCGTCCTGGAGTCCATTCTTCTCTTGGTACTGTCCACTACCCACACCTGGCCTGAAGATTTGTTTCTCGTCATATTGGTTCGTGCTCTGTGCTAGTGCTCGACCGCGCCAGAGACCTCTTTGCTCGCCTGGACTTGTGGCCACTATTGTAACTTTACCCGGCGCCAGGACTCCTCGAAACAGATCAAACAGAAAAAAAAGCCCTGTTAACGACCGAGACAAATCCATAACAAATCCGCTCGTCGACTTCTGTTTTAGGCGGGCTGTCACAAACCACCCATTAAAAGCCCACCCCAGTCAGACAGAGTGCTGTACGTGCGCACACAGCGAGGCTTCCCGTCGGCTTCAAGAGACTTGCCAGGGATCGCGATTACATCGAGCCCGACATTCGTTAGAGCCGGCTTTCAGTCTCTCTCTCTACACTTCGAGAACACGAGACATCCATGGCTGTGCCCTGAGAACACCACGGCTTCTTCTCGATCCGACCACGATCCCCTGCCACGGCGCGGAACCTCGTTGTCGGCTGCCCTCGACGCCAGTCTCTCCTTTGCGCCTTTCCGCGACCAGACACGGCGAAACAAACGACGTCCTTGCGCGCACACGAATGTATCTGTTGATCTAGCACACTAGTCGATTTGACGATCTCACTCGTTCCCTTTGCAAGTTACGATGGACGACAAGTAAGGCGACGACGCTCCTCGGGCAATGGGCGGGGCCTCGAACGAAGGCTGTCTGCATTGGCTGATGCGAAAGAAATGGGTGCTGACGAGTGCTGTACAGGTACATTGGCCTGGCTTTGGCCATAGCAGCCGGTTTGGCTATCGGTAGGCGCACACACAAAGCTTAACGATTGACGGACGGTGCAGCTAACCATGGATGTTGCGCGTAGGCACCAGTTTCGTGATCACGAAGAAGGTACGGAGTCCTCGAGACCACCGAGAGAAGCTGGCACGCTTGGCCGTCCCATCGTTCTTTGACGCTAACAGAGAGTCGACACAGGGTCTGATACAAGCAGAGCAAAAACACGGATTCGAAGGTGATGGCTTCGTATACATGAAGAACCCCATGTGGTGGGCGGGGATAACAACATGTGCGTGACAGTTCTGGCAACGTATCTGCCCGTGCAATCCCATAGTGTGCGGTGACTGATGATATATTTCCTGCAGTGGTCGTTGGAGAGATATGCAACTTTGCCGCCTACGCCTTCGCGCCAGCGATTCTGGTCACTCCCCTCGGTGCATTGAGCGTCTTGGTCGGTGCCGTCTTGGGTTCATATTTCCTCAACGAGATTCTAGGCGTGTTGGGCAGGTTAGGAAGCGCGATCTGCTTGATAGGTGCAGCTATCATTGTGCTGCATGCACCTCCAGACGAGGACATCACGACCATTGACGAGATTCTGAATCTCGCAATCCAGCCAGGTTGGATCCGCAAGCCCAACAACCCTCGTGCGTAACGAATCTAGCGCTGACTGTTTCTCAGGCTTTCTGCTCTATGCGATTGCGGTCACCGCCTACTCCTTTGTCGCGATATACAAGATTGCGCCGGTCCACGGCAAGAAGAACCCGCTCATCTATCTGAGCATCTGTTCGCTTGTTGGATCCGTCTCGGTCATGGCGATCAAGGCATTCGGCATCGCCCTGAAGCTGACCTTCGCCGGCAACAACCAGTTCACACACCCTTCGACCTACGTCTTCCTGATCATCACCGCCGTGAGCATCCTGACGCAGATGAATTACTTTAACAAGGCTCTCAGCCAGTTCCCCACCAACATGTTCGTCGCCTTTCCCTACGCCCAGACCTTGGCCTCTTCCGCATCATGTGTAGCTAAGCTAACTTGCTCACAGTGTCAACCCCCTCTACTACGTGACCTTCACGACCGCCACTCTTTGCGCCTCCTTCATCCTTTTCGGCGGCTTCAACACCACCGACACCGTCAACACCATCTCCCTCCTGTGCGGCTTCCTCGTCACCTTCACGGGGGTCTACCTCCTCAACCTGTCCCGCACCGACCCAGACGGCATGCGCATGCTCGCCGGCCAGGGCGGCTCCGACGCCACGGGCACCGACCTGGTCTCGAGCCTGCAGACGCGCATGAGCATGGAGGCCCGCCGCAGCTTCTCCGCCTCCCACCGGGGCCACCGCCGCAGCATCAGCAGCCAGATGGGCGACCGGCAGGGCCTCATCCGCGCCTACGACGAGGAGGAGGCGGCCGGCTTCGGGCTGACCGACCTCGCCGAGGACAGCGACGAGGAGGCCAACAGCAGCGGCGCCGCCAACGGCAGGCAGATGAACGGCGGCGCCGCCAACGGCAACCACCACGGCGGCTCAGATAAGGAGCGGACCGAGGCCATCGAGATGCAGCCGCCCAAGCCTTCGGACAGATGACGATAGTGAGGGGTCTCGCTTTTTCGCCCTTTGGGCCAGCCCTCCTCGTCTTTTGCGTTTTTACCGTGGAAAATTTGGCGGACTTTCTTTCGCATCTAGGTCGTCATCATCTTATATTAGAAAACCAGGAAGGGAACTCACTCGGGACGAACATACATACATTTATTTGTATATTTTCATTTTTCTTGCCCCAACCCCTTCGCCGCCTATACCACCAAGGGTTAGAAAGAGCACCCTTGTGCAAATGTTGTGCCTTTTCCACCAAAATTCAACACAGCACATGAACGCACGATACAAGGGGTGGAAGAGGGCAAACAAAGCAAAGATCTGGAAGAGAACACGGCGGGCAAACGTAACGAATAGTACACAAGGGGGCGAGGCGGCAACGACTTTTCTTTTTTTTTTCTTTTCTCTCTCTATTTCCTTGGAGGATGGGATTCACGGGAAAGGGAAGAGGGGAGGGGAACCGTCATATTTCCATTATTCTTCTTCATCCACGGAATCTCATACCGGGAATTGGGGCGTTCAAGGCGTCGGAAAACTCAGTGTGTTCTTTGACATCACACACAAGAAGAGACGAAGGACGGGAGGGGGAAACGGGAAGGGGGGTTGTGTTTTGTGTTTTTAATTGGTTTCTCGTTTTTCGCCCTCCCTCTTTTTCCAACATTTGTAGGCAAACGCATCGGGGAATCTCTGGGAGGGGGGCGGGGGCCTTCTTTTGTACGATCATGTAGCAGAGGACGGATCTGGGAAAGGAAAGATGACGAGAGGAGGCTGGCTGGGACCATTTACGAGATAGCATTGCTTTCAACGGAGCTACATAGCGAGAGACAATTGACTTGCCTTTGGCCATTATAGAGTGTGTTTTAAACCTGATTTGTTGGTGTGTGGTGAAAGTTTTCAAAGATCTTCAGAGACGAGTTCTAAAAGCGTGGGCTTGGTGATATGACATGACACTACTGTGCACAATTTACGTGGAACTGCGCAGTTCACCGGCACATCAAAGCTGAAGAAGAGGGTATTTCTTTTGGTTCGTCAGATATTATTGCTATCTGTCATCATGGGTTTGCACGAGTCGCAAAGCCCTTTTTTGAGGAAGCAACATTCCTTTACCAGTTCCCACCGTTCGCAAAATAATGCAGAATGATTCATCGAGAGACGCCGTATGATTTATCGACCCATCCGATCCATCACCAATGTTGATAAGCAGCCGGCTCGTCCGGGTAAGCAGGAGATGAGCCCTGGGCAGTAGAGGCACCACCACCGAAGTCGTGGGTGTCCTGGCCGCCAAGGTCCATGTCCAAAGCTCCATCGAAACTTCCAATAGCACCAAGACCGTGAGTGTTGGCATGGGCATGACCAAGAGCCCCGGTCATGTTGATATCGTCCACCACATCCGGCACGGCGGCCATAACACGCTGGTTAGGATTTCCTCCAACCTCCGAGACACCCTATTGCTCGGGGGCAGCTTCCTCCTCACCACCCTGCTCTGCCTGTCGCGCAGCCTCGGCCTGAGCCTGGGCCTGGGCGGCCTTAGCGCCGTAGTCCTGGCTGACGGGAGCGAGAACGGGCTGCTCCTCCTTGGGCTCGATAATGGTGACGGCATCGGGCAGGGACTTCTGGGGACCAGACTTGCCCTCGGGGTCGGAGCCGCGCATGATCTTGACCTTGATACCCAGGACACCCTGGCGCAGCAGGACGTGGCGGGTGGCGCTGTCGATGAAGTCCTTGGCAGGCTGGCCGGAGTGGATCATGAAGCCGTCGGTGAACTTCATGGACTTGGCACGGGCAGCACGGAGCTTGCCGGAGACGACGACCTCGCAACCCTTGGCGCCGCTCTCCATGATGAAGCGGAGGACACCATAGCAGGCACGGCGGACGGCAAGACCGTTGAGGAGCTTGTAGCGGAGAGACTCGCACTGGGCGACGGCGGACAGACCGCGGTTCTGGACCTTGGCGGCGTAGAGGGAGACGCTGTTCTCGGGGAACTTGAAGCGCTTCTGGATGAGGGAGGTGAGCTCGCGGATGCGGCGACCCTGCTCACCGAGAACCTCCTGGGTGTGGGTGGCGCGGATGATGATGTCGGTGACGGTAGGAGTGACGCGGACCTCGACGCCGGAGTATCCCTCCTCAGCCAGCTCGCGCTGGAAGAACTCGTTCAGCTCGGCATAGAAAACACCGTCGGCGACGAACTTTCTCCGCTTGGAACTGTAGATTCGCGATGAAATGTCAGCGATCGGTCCTGTTTCCTGCCCATAAATTTCCCATCGTGTGTTCTGCCCCATATCCAAAGCCCATATGGTTTCCTTCTTCATTATCCTCCCCGCGCCTTTCGAGTATTTCCTCCTGTCCCCAAGGGATGATGCATATAACTTACATCTGAGCACCGGGAGTGGCCATTTTGACTCAATTCCTGTTGATGTAGTCGGGAATCGATGGGAAGGTCGAGGTGGTCAAAGGTGGGTTGAAGTCTCTCGACGTGGTCGCTGTCGAAGTTGGCGGCCAAAAAATTAATTGAATTGCGAGGACACACCAAATTTTCGGGGCAGTGGTGGGGGAGGGAAGCCCTAACTCGCTAACAATGGAGCCAGAGGTCAGAGTGAGTGGGAAGTGCGGTTGGTCAAATCTGGCTTGTGCTCTTTGGGGTGGGGTCAATTTTTTATCAACAGGAGTTTTTTCCGTTCCGGGCTCTCTCGCGCTGATAAGCCCCGAGCAAGTGATGATAAGAGCGAGAGTGACGCTTGAACCCCACTCCCAGCCAGACCTGCGATCCCAGAGAGCTGTCTTCCAGGGGGGACTGGATAGTGGGGCATCCATACTAGAGGCTACCTACTAGGTACCTTACCCAGCTGACTAGCAGGCCTAAGTTTCAGTATCAAACACAAGTACAATGTCTCTGCAGATAGCTGATCTCGCTACCTTGATTCCATGGCATTTCTAACCCCAATCACCCGACCACCCGCCCCTAGACTACTAGTACAGAAGAGCTTCCACCGAGCAAGAGGTCACACAGGCCACCGCGCAGTCACTCATACCCCTCTGACGACCGAAAGTGCGACCACATGCTCCGGGCCAAACAACGGGCTGGGTGACCAGCTTCACTTCCAACAGCTTGTCCTTCCATTCCTTCGTATCCGAGCGAGAAGTCCTTGTCCTCATCGTTACTCCATGGAGTCGTGACTGTCAGAACAATCGACCCTCAGCTTCAGCACCTCTGGCCCCTCCGCTCGGGGAGGGAGCTTGATGGCCTTGTCCATGCATGCGAGGTTCTGATATCCACCCTCATACACACCCACGCATACACGCATAAAGACCTTAGTCTCTACTCTTCTTTTTTTTTGCGCGGCAGGACTGGAGGGATGGAGATCATACAGGTCTGTATTGCACTATATAAATCTTGGCCTCTCTTCTTCCCTGCTTACTGGGTGTTGACGCAGACCATCGAGAACGTCCATGCTGTCTCGGGCGGGACGCCCACATTGGGCACCCTCAAACTGTCCAACTTCCACATCATCTTTTGCGCACCCTTCCCTGTTGCCAAAGAGCCATCCCAGACCCAGGAATCCCGGCCGCCCCGACAAAGAGAATCTTGGATAACTTATCCCATCATCTCCCACTGTACCTTCCGACCGACGCCTCCGACCAGCGGCATCCCCTCCACTATTCGCATACGGTGTCGTGACTTTAACTTTGTCACGTTCAACTTCACTGACGACAAGCAAGCAAAAGAGGCCTTCGAGTTCATCCGCAACCGTACTTGTCGCCTAGGCGGCATCGATAAACTCTATGCCTTCCATTACACGCCTGCAAAGCAAGAGAAGGGTTTCAACGGGTGGGATCTATACGACGCAAGGGCAGAGTTCCGCCGTCAAGGCATCAGTGAGAAGTCGTCAGACAAAGGCTGGAGGATATCGACAATCAACCAGGATTACGCCTTCTCTCCGACCTATCCGGCGCTGCTAGCGGTCCCCTCAAAGATATCGGATAATGTACTCAAGTACGCTGCCAACTTCCGGTCGCGCGCCCGCATTCCCACGCTCTCCTACTATCACCCCGTGACCAACTGTACCATTACCAGGAGCTCCCAGCCTTTTGTAGGCCTGAGGAATAACAGAAGTATCCAAGATGAGCGCTTGGTCGGGGCCTGCTTCTACCCTTCAACAGACTTTATGAGCAGTCCCGCCAATGGTCAGACTGATGGCAGCCCTGCATCAAGCCAGCAAGACCTAGCAGCCCTGCCACAAGCAGACTCGGATCTTTCAGAGACCGAGAGATTGGAAGAGGACATGCTCACCGCACCCGAGATCATCTATGACGAAGAAACCGGTCAACGGATAGTCGGTGCTCGGCGCGATAATCTCATTGTCGACGCACGCCCGGCCATCAACTCGTACGCGATGCAAGCGATCGGATACGGTTCCGAAAATATGGAGTACTACAAATCCGCAAAGAAGGTGTTCCTTAGTATCGACAACATCCACGTGATGAGAGACTCCCTCAACAAGGTGATAGACGCAATCAAGGATGCCGACATCTCCCCTTTCGCTTGCAACAGAGAACTGCTGGCCAAGAGCGGCTGGCTGAAACACATTACCGGCATCTTGGATGGCTCGCAGATAATAGCACGGCAGGTCGGCGTCCACGCCGCCCACGTACTGATCCATTGCTCCGATGGCTGGGACCGAACAAGCCAGCTCAGCGCTCTGTCACAGATTATGCTCGACCCCTACTATCGGACCATTGACGGGTTCATCATTCTCGTGGAGAAAGATTGGCTGTCGTTTGGTCACATGTTCCAACAACGCTCCGGCTTCCTGAATCACGACAAGTGGTTTATCTCGCAGAGTGATGCGATGGCCGGAGCAAGGATAGAACCCGGGGAAAATGATGGACGAAATGACGCAATCGAAAATGCAATGGCCAGTGCGAAGCGCTTCTTTAGGAGAGGGCAAGAGAAGGATGAGTCTGATGCGGACAGTGCGGCGATATCAGATGAGCCAACAGCGAAACAAGCACCAATTACGGACAATCAGGCTACTCGCCCAAAGGAAATAAGCCCAGTGTTTCACCAGTTCCTGGATGCCACATATCAGCTTCTGAGACAGCATCCCAACCAGTTTGAGTTCAATGAACGGTTCCTGCGTCGGCTATTGTATCACCTCTACTCTTGCCAGTACGGGACCTTTCTCTACAACAATGAGCGTCAGCGCCGGGATGCCAAGGTGAAGGAACGGACGTCCTCAGTCTGGGACTACTTCCTGTCCCGCCGCCAGGAGTTCACGAATCCGGAATACGACCCGAACATTGACGAGCACACAAAGGGCAAGGAACGTCTCATTTTCCCACGGCTCAAAGAAGTCCGTTGGTGGCACCAGGTCTTCAATCGAACCGACGAGGATATGAATGGGGGCATCAATGCGGCCCAGCTTCACGCCGAGAAGATCGCGACGTATCAATCAGCATCCCCTCTTGCCTTCAGCCCCAAGTCGAACGGCAGCGCTGCGAATAGTCAGCCCGGTTCGCCGCGAAGAGGCACCAGCCCTCGACCCCCGGGTCTTCCAACGAGCCAGTCCGTTCTTAGCGGTGTCGAGACGGCGCATGCCATGCTCACACCAGGATCAGCCTCGACGCCTTCACTTACTAAGAGTGCCTCAGCGGGTGCTGCTGATCCCGGAGCTTTCGCAACCCTGCGGGAGGGCATCGCAGGTCTAGGCATAGGACAAAAGGTTGGCGGCGTCTTGGGCGGCCGGGGGAATGCGGCCAGCAAGGATAAGGACGGTGCCGGGTTTACATCGCAAGACCAGGAATTAACGTAGGCTCTTTACCTCCATGACTTATACAATAACGTTCTGGATCGAGGCTAGTATCAACTTCTGTCCAAAGAAACAATCAGGAACTCTGATTGTGTTGGGAGTGCGCTGCCGGGTGTCGCACGACTTAGACCGCCCAAATATTTCTGCCGCCTTGCCCCTCCATAACTTTTTTGTCAGTAGGCATTATCGCCGCTAAACGCAGTGGTGATCCGGGGACTCGAGCTTGAATAAAAAAAATGCTCTTATTAATCTTGTGAAGCATTCCCCCCAGCTCTCATAGTAGCCGTGATCGGGTGTAGTCTTCCCTGCGACAACCTCTATTTCACCCGCGGCGCACATCCCGATCTGCAATGGCTGAGTCGCACCCCGCTTCCACCAACACCACCACCAGACCAGCACACCTCGAGCCCTCCAAGCTGGGCACAAAGCAGTAGTATGTCCTCCATCTCTCTGTATCTCTCTCTCTCGGAAACGCGTTTCTGAAGGCTAATGTTTGCCCCCCCCCTCTCTCTCTCGCTCCACAGCTGGGATGCCCTCTACGCGCGCGAGCTGACCAACCACGCCCACGACCCGGCCGACAAGGGCACCGTCTGGTTCGACGACTCGGACGCCGAGGCCAAGCTGGTCGCCTTCCTCGACGACCCGGAGGCGGAGGCGGAGGCGGAGGCGGGCCTGCCGCTGGACCGCGCGTCGACCTCCTTCCTCGACCTCGGCTGCGGCAACGGCAGCCTGCTGCTCGCGCTGCGCGAGGACGGCTGGCGCGGCCGCCTCCTGGGCGTCGACTACAGCGCCGCGAGCGTCGAGCTGGCGCGGCAGGTCGCCGCCTCCGCCGCGCAGCAGCAGCAGCAGCAGCAGCAGGAAGAACAAGAACAAGAAGAAGGTGACGGTGTACCGCCGCCGCCGCCGCCGCCGCCGCCGCCAGAGTTCGCCGAGTGGGACGTCCTCAACGGCGGGCTCGACGTGGTCGGCGGACGGGCGGCCTGGGACGTGGTGCTCGACAAGGGCACCTTCGACGCCGTGAGCCTGAGCGCGGGCGCCGCGTGCGAAGGGTACGGGCGCCGCGTGCTCGAGGTGCTGCGCGAGGGCGGCGTCTTCCTCGTCACGAGCTGCAACTGGACCGAGGCCGAGCTCAGGGCCTGGTTCGAGGAGGAGGAAGGAGACGGGGGAGACGGGCCGGGCTCGGGCGACGGCGACGGCGACGGCCGCGCGCGGCTCGTGCAGGTCGGCAGGGTCAACTACCCGAGCTTCAGCTTCGGCGGGGTCAAGGGGCAGACCATCAGCACTGTGTGCTTCATGAAGAAGACGGGGAGGTAGGGAGTGAGTGCGTAGTTCGGACCTCTCCGGTCTCGGGGCCAGGCAACGACGGCATGACTGGATTTTCGAAGATGCACAGAGAAAAGATATTTAGCAGGGATGGATCATGAAGATACCCATACATGAAAGGGGCGCGTGCGTGGGAGAGGAGCAAATAGTGGCATGCATACTTAACACGGCCAGGTTAGCCAGATACATCAGGCATGGAGACTGAGAACAAAGAGAAAAAGAACATCGATTGCAAACTTTGTGACACAGCTGCTCTGGAGTTACTCTTACACCCTCACCCTGCATGGACCTTGCTCGCGTCTAGCGCGGCAACTTCTTCTCTCAACGCTCCTCCGGCACATATGCTGATTCCATCCTCCATGTCCCAATGCCCTCTCTACGTACGTCTCTATCGCCAAACCTGCTCTAGTCCAGCCATGGGCGCCACCTCAGCAACAAAACGTATATAGGCAGGCCACAGCCGAGCACTTGCGAGGGGCTGCGGCGGTCCATACATACCAAGAACCACGAATAAGGGCAATAGCAAGACATGATGAGGACGTGCGATGGGGGGAAAAACACTAGAATTGCTTCATTACGGCCATTTTTCTTTCTTCTGCTCGTCTATGGGGAAGTGCTCATCGGCTCTCCACCGGGTGCCGTGCCGCCGTTAGCAACCGCAGCAGCCGTCGTGGCAAAGTACCGCACGTCGACATCGTCATCCTTCTGCAGCTTCTCCAGGCTCGGTAGGACCCGGTTTTGGATGAGCTCCTGGCCTCTCGGCGACGGGCTGAAGGCAGTGCCCGCCTTCTCGAGAGAGTAGATGGTACCCTCCTCAGGCAGGCGCTTGAGGACGTCGATGAGGACAGCATATGTCTTGGCGACGTTGAATCGGATGTTGGGGATGTCGTCCACGACGAGCTTATCGAGCATGGGCAGGATGTTCTTGCCAATGACATCCATGCTGACCACGCTTGCCAGGGTCTATTAATGTGTCAGCGACCGGGTTATGGAAAAGGACACGTGAGGGGACTCGTCGTATTACTTACGGTGATGGCGAAGCAAGTGGTCATCCGGTACAAGTAGTTGGGGTGGTTGCCCATGGCCATGACCTTGGGGATGATGGCCTCGCTAGCCCACTCAACGCCAAAGACCTCAGTCAGCTTCTTGAGGTTGTGAGTGGCAGCCTCTCGGATCGAGAAGACAGTATCGCCAAGCCAGCCCATGCAAAGACCGCTAAGCTTCTCATCGAAGAACTTGACACCAAGTTGGCTGGCCAGCAGGGGAATGTACTCGATGATAGCTAGGCGTACGCGCCATTGCTTGTCCTCAGCAAGCTGGACTATAGCAGGCAGGAGTGATTGTGATAGAAGGTCGATGCCAATAACTAAAAGTTATTAGAATACTAGCTCGATAAAAAAATCTTGTGGTTGCTGGGCCCTTCTTTACCTTGGTTGACCAGTTCGAGCTTGGAGATGATGTGAAGGCGGACTTCGGGAAACTCGTCCTTGAGCATCTGAAGAAACATGGGCAGCAGGTGATCAATAGTCCTAGGGAAAACAATCAGCTACGGAATCGCCACACATATCACGGATGACCTTGACTTACTCCTGTTTGCCGAGGATGGGGGCAAGGCCCGAGATCTGAGTGCCCAAGGCAGCGCGGACGTGCTGAGAGCTATCCGAAACAAGATCCTCGATGCTGCCCATGATCTCGTTCAGCAGGGTATCGTGGTCGACCAGAGCGCAGAAGCCGGGTATCTGGCCGGCGATAGCGGTGCGGACCTCGGCCTCGTTGTCTTTCAACAGCTTCACGAAAGCTGGAACCAGGTCACGAGACACAACCTCCTCGTCTACGGCCTTGGCGATCTGTTGTCCCGGGTGTCAGCAACGTGCATCACATGCCATCAATCTCGAGATGTGTCCACTCCGTACCTTCTCGAACCTATCGGCGATCATATATCTGACCCTCCAACTCTTGTCCTCAATAAGGCTCCGGAGTGATGTCAGGAGCACGCCGTGGCTAGACTGTTGCTCCTTGGGGACGACCTCGGCGATGGAGATCAGAATCTCGACCGTGAGCAGTCGAACGCTGTCTTGGTCGTCTTGTGCGAGGTGCTGGAACAGGGGTATCATCTCTTCAACAACAATCGTGGCGGGCATCTCCTTCACAAACTTGGCCAGGTGGGTCGCAGACTGCCTGCGGACCATGGGAGTTTCATCGTGGACGAGCTGTCCAAACTGCTGGCGTAATTGTTCTTGGACGGGAGGCGATACCTTCTTGTAAGGGGTGGTATAGAGGCCGCATCCCGACACTTTCGAGGTGAACCAGTCAGCCTTGGAGAGGCGGAATGTGAGGGGCACGAAGTATTCTTCGACTTGTTTCGATGAGAGCTGCTCGCAGATCTTGTTCAGAGACTCGACGGCCTTTTGCGGGTGTCAGTGCGCCAGAAAGAAACCAGATAGCCCGCGATACCGGCATACCTTGTCCCGTACGACGGGTTCCTCGATAGCAGCGAGGTTCTCAAGCGGGGAGAGAAGGACATGACCCCACTGAGGGCCACCGACGTAGTCGATGAAGCTGCCCAGCTCTTCGCTCAGAGCGACGAGAACCTCATCCTCATCTTCGACAGACTCTGTGACACACTGTTAGAGATGTGTTGGTGCGTACATTTGCACACGCGGAAGGCTGTCGAGGGGTAAAGGATAGGCGCGCACGCACCGTCTAGAAAAGGAATGAGCTCGTCGCGGGTGCGCTCAGCGCCTAGGGCGAGGGCGATGGTGGAGAGACGGTGAATAGCATTCAGACGGAGGAGGACATCGTCATGCTGGTCAGACGGGTCAGTTAGGAGATGGAGCGACGACGGAATGGGGGCATGAGGCGAGCCGGTCACCGCTCATACCTTGAGCTCGTCGATGAGGACGGCGATGGGATAAAGCTCGTCGTTGGCATTGGGCGCGTCTGCCATGGCGAGCAATAATGGTAGATGCGCGTGGGCTGGGAGTGTATAGGCAGATAGGGACGAAATCGAGGTGGACGGTGTTCGAGAGTCGCAATGGCAGGTCGTGGGGTCGGGGGTCGCGTTGTGATGAAGGGTGATGCAATGACTTTGCGAGCAACCTGTTGTGCCTTATTTTGGGCAGGTGGATTCCGAGGCGAGACAGGCAGTGGTAAGGTAGGCTGGCTGGGCAGGCTGGGTTTGGCGTGGTGGAGATTGGAGGGGAGCCCTTGGAGGGTTGGTGGGCGGTGGTCCGTGGAGGACAGTGGGCAGCGACTCTGTAGTGGAGTGTTTTGGTGGCTTTCAGGCCTAATTCCAGACAAACACGCAAGATAAGGTGAGGCTAAAAGAGATTGGAACCTTGAAGCAACCTTGGGACCATGCACGCCCCAAATTTCGGTCCCAGATGTCTTTTGTGTGTGCTCGTCAGGAATCTCCAGCTGAGATCGATTCCAGATGAGCAACATGTGATATTCTTATTTCTGGGGCGCATCAGTGGGTGACCGGGCATCGCATTTTCTAGTCTCCCGGTTCGAGGCTACTTGCACTAGTTAAGTAGCTGTATTGTATTGTGTCAGGTACCGTCCGATCTCAAGGATTGGAGGGGGAGGCGAGGTGGGCTTTTGATCCTCAGCTTCAGCATACCTAGCTATCGAGATGTATTTCTCTCACAGTCAGAGGCGCAGGCACCCCAGCCCATTCTTTGGACTCGGACTTGAGGATAATATAATGAGCCCTTATTATCATCTAATGCATATAGTCTTCAACGTCAGGAATCTCAAGCGGTCTCCTGCCAGCAAAGAGTGGACTACTACACTCTGTCCACTGTCCTCTCCCATCTCTCGCCCCTCCAGACAGGGGGACTACCCGTTCGCGTGCACCTTTTGTGGATATAATACGTATGAGCAATAGAAGACGGGGAGAGACTTGCTTCTTCCAACAAACTCTGTAAGACCGGGTATCGTTAAGCCTGTTCTTCAGAACATATCCTCAGGCTCTGAGCTACCGTTCTGAGGATCCCTCTCATCTGCAACTACATAAGAACCGCCTGCATTTTCCTTTCTTTCCAAGAGAAACATCCCCTTCCCTCCAAATCCCAAATCAGCTCAGGGTCCACACAGGCGCCTTGAGCAGCACCTGCCTGCCGCGAACCTCCACGGCGACAAAACCTGCGAACCGCACCTTTCCGGCATCCTTGGGAGGCAGTCCTGGAGAAGTCGATGTGTCAGCAGACGAAGTGGAAACGAGTTGAGAAGCCGGTGCGCTGCCACCCTTCTGGCCCCGTTTGGAGGCGTCCGGCGGGCCGGCGCGGCGTATTAGTTTCGCTGACGTACCGCTTCGGTTCTTGTCGCTCTTGCGGTCCTTGCCGCCGCTGCCCTTCTTCTCGGCTTCCTTGCCGCCATCTTCCTCGCCGCTGTCGTCGCTCTCCGGGTTCTGCATCTCTAGAGGCGGCAGCCCGACCTTCTCAACCTCCATCAGGGCTGGTTGGATGTTGTCTAGTGGTAGCGGATAGACGATCGCCACATCGCGACTCTCAAGTGGTAGGTTGGCTGCGAGGCCTACCGCTAGCTCTACGATCATGGACGCACTGCCATCCACGCCCGGGGGTGGTGGATCCTTGAGGAATTGAAACAGACCAGCCGTCAGGTTGGTGGTAGCCTTGCGTATGAAATCGGACCGGTGCTCCGCGCTCTCTGGTGAGTTGAGAACGGGCTGCAGTCCTTCGAGTGTGGCCATCCTCCATCCCACGATCTTTGTCGTTAGGGCATCGAATTCTTCCTGGCTGTTCATCTTGTAAGAGAACCTGCGGATGTTATGCTCGATGTCCTTCAGCTGTCGACTGAGTTCGGGATCTAGTCCGGGATGAAAAGATTGATTGAAGATCTCCTCAACCACCCATCGAGTAATCACGGCGCGCCCGACAGCCGTCATCTCCTGCTTGCCGGTCCTCAACGCTTCCGCACTGACATAAGGCTCGAGCCACGGCGGCAGAGACGCCCAGTCCTTGCGAATATTGAACGACAGATTATTGATTGCGCCATTGAGGCGGTTGAACCGAGTAGAGTACTCGTTGTCGTCGAGTGAAGTCCGCGACTGAGACATTCGCTGATTTGCAACAGCGTTCTGCAACTGCTCAACCTGGCCATTGAGCTGCTCGATTTGACTCTTGCCATCGAAATAGAGCCTCTTGACGTTTTTATATTTAACGACTGTGCCAAGACATGCCATGTTAGCCTTCTGGTGATAATAACGCCTTGCAGTCGCCTTGACATACCTAATTCTTTCAATGCTTTCTCCGGGTCTTGCGCATCCGGGTTTGAAATTGGGGGCTGCGGGCTGTTGCGCCCCTCAGGCTGTATCCCCTCATATTGACGATCCTGAGCGGTGCTGTGTCTGTAGCTGGGGTTCGCACCCGCTGCGCTTGGCGGGGGGGCATTGGGGTTTAAGTTGGAGGCTTGGCTGTGACGGTAACCTGGAGGCGGGCCCACCGGAGGCTCAACCTGGCCTCGCATGCTTTTATCGGCCTCTTGCGGTCGTCGAGATCCCGGGCCTCCTGGTGGAGGGGCCATGGTCTGTTGCTGCAGATGTGCGTTGTCTGGATTGGCCGTTTGGTGTTCCTGACTCTGGCCTGGAGCACCGAAGGTGCCTGGGGGCGGGTTCTCTCCCGTTGGGAACTTGTGAGTCGACTGCTGGTCAGTGTCGGTGGCAGGCGACTCATGCGACAGCTGTGACACAGTCTCGGGATTGGGATGCTGAGGGTTGGCTCCCAGGTGGGTATTCAAAACTTGTTGCCCACCTCCCTGGTACTGTTGCTGCACCGTGTGGAAGGGGTATTGGTGTTGCGTAGAATCGTACGAGCCGCCCTGGCTGTACGGGCTCTGGGGCTGCTCTGATGGCGAGGACCGGCCCTGAATCTGAGGGGGGGCAGGCCTGCGGTAGGCGGCACCTACGTCGTCTGGTCCGTAAGCCACTCCTCCCTCCACGTCACCGGGGACCGGGCGGATCGATGGATGCTGCGCTGCCTGGGGATTTTGATTCTGCAAGTATAGGTCTTCGTTAGATAGGGTGATGGAGTATGGATCTGTGTATTCTCCTACGCCTTGAAGTGGGGATGGCTGCGTGTGCTGGCCTTGGACCTGCCAGTCACCAGGGTGTTCCTCGAGTGAGACCTGTGATGGACCAGTCCGGATCGCGGGAGGCTGCTGTGTGCTTATGCGTTTCGACGGTCGGCGTGCCAGACCAGAGGTGTTATCGTACGAATTCTGGGGAGGCGGCGGCTGCTGCGAGTACCCTCCTCCGCTCTTACTGCCCGAAGAGCCACTCAGAATATTCTTAATGAGCTTCCGAGTGGAGCGTCGAGATTCGGGAGCAGCGACGGGATATTGCTGATGCTGCTGAACAGGAGGAGGAGGCAGCGGGTGGCCCTGGTTGAGCGCCTGTTGGTTGGCGTTGAGGGTGGTCGCTAGGTCGTCGTACGAACTCGAAGCTGGACCGTACTGCTGCTGTCCCTGCAGGGAGGGGATCTGAGGGTAGCGCTGGGATTGGGATCGCGAGACTTGGTCGGCAAAGTCGTGGGCTCTTTGTTGGTGGAGCTGCTGCTGTTGTCTGGCATCAAAGGCGGGCGGTGTGGTGCCGGCGGAATGCAGCTGTTGAGGATCACGGTCGTCGACCCCAGATCCCTCGTTGGAAAATGAAGGCGGGTTCTGAGACTGCGGAGGCGGCAGCGGCGCCTGGTGTTGTTGTTGCTGTTGCTGTTGATGATGGAGCGGCGCCGGCTGCTGCTGCTGCTGCTGCTGTTGTTGTTGTTGACTAGGTCTTGAGTCAAAGGATTCGTTGGGACTGTATGTGTTTGGCGAGGCTGCAGGGAGGTTGCTTGTGGGTGCAACAACTGGAGAGCCAGCAGCACCAGAACCAGAACCGCCAGAGGTTGGCTCAACCAGAGCGTGTTGAGAGCGGTTGTTCTGTCTGCCAGTGCGACCGAAAGGCATTATTAGCAAGGAGGACTGGGACAAGCTCCGATCCGGAGGCGTGATGGGTCGTCTCAGAGACTTGCTCGCTCGGTGGAAGGTGGCGGCACAGACTGGAGTGACGAGGTGTAAGACGTGAGTTTCAAGGCGGGATAAGCAGAGCGAAATGACAGTCTATCTTCCAGGTTGCTCGGGAAGCCCTGCAACAACTCGGCCAACGCGCGCTTTGCTGCTGGACTGGGTGTGTCTGCGCCTTTTCCCCTCCTCGCAGGTTGCAGGGATCGCTGCCGCCAGTGAAGCTTCGGGAGGGGCTGTGTAGTTTAGGCGCCCTCTTTTTTCGAGCGCGACTCCTCAGCGGTCTCGGTTGCTGAATCCCAAGAGATCCACGTCTCCAGCTAGCCTAGCACTTGCTTGTTCCTTTTATTAGTGTCCAATGCAGTCAAGGCTGCGCATGAACAGTCGGGTGCATGCCACCAGAGCGGCTGCACGATGAAATGATGAACTGCAAGAGGTACCTTTGAATACTGAGCATTTGAGGTGCAGGGGGGAAATATGGCAATTTTACCTACATAGGTATCTTGCACAGAATCTTGCATAGAAGCTCTCTGCAGCGATTTGACCGCAGGACGGCAATGGACGAATACACGGGGATGCAGATCCGCACCAAGACGGCCGTTGATAAGCATGTACTAGACTCCCTTTTGCAAACAAGCCACCTAGAGCTTTGATGATGCGCCCTCTTCACCTCAGCCCAGTTCAGGAACTACTAGAACTTGAGGATCTATGATAGGACTATGCCTCTACAGTCCCTTCTATTACTTTCCTACATAAGAAAAAATGCCCCGGTCATCGATGGGGAGCTACTGAGACTGCAGAGAACGTTCGAGGCAGACTCAGCTGGTCAATGGCGGCGGCGCCGGTTCGCACCTTAGCTGGCTTTAGGTATGCCCTGGAGAAGTGGAAAAGGTGGGGTAGCTCAATCTTGGAGCTTACGGAGGAGCATGAGCGAGGTCCCAGGGTCACATTTCCAAAATATCCCCCGGTCAAGCGATTCCAGTGTTGTCCCTTTGTCGTGTCTCGCTGCCGATAATGTAACTAGCGGTACCCGACTTCTTCCAGGTTCAAGGTACCTAGGTACCTAGAGTGCCCCCCAGTGCCCAGATGTAGAAAGCTCGGGTCTCGATCCGGCCAGTTTACTCCATCAAAATGAGCTCCTTTATCTTCACATCCATCTTGACTTGGTACTACTTGTACTTGTAGTAGTGGCTTGCTCCTTGTGGGGAATTTGTCTCCGTGCACAAGTCAGCTGGAGAGGTGGGGTTTGATTGTCTTGACGGGAATGGCATGGCATGTCGTCTCTAATAATAGAAGCTGGCTTAGTCAACTTATTGCGTTGCTTTGCATCGAGAACGCAGAGAAGTGCAGGCAAGGAGACTATCACTCCACACACGGCCAGGACAGGAAATGAACAAGTGCATAGCTACAAAGAACGTATGAGTGCGCACAGTCGGATCTTCAGACCGAGGGACAGGATTCCTTGCCAGTCGACGATCCTGGAGATCTCGCCCAGGGAGGAGCCTTTGTTTCCCCCGCCGTGTCCCGAGAATAGAAAATTAAATATGTTTGTCTCGTAGGCCACCATAGGAACAGTCGAGCTACCTAGCTTGCGGCGTTTGTAGTCTGAATTTGGTTGCTGCAAATGGACTTCTATTTATCTATTTGCCCGGACGTAGCTTGCCACCAAAACGTCCTGCCGTCAGATTAAAGGGGAAACAAGAACAAAGAGGCTAGTACAAGTGCCATCGATCAACGCTGCGTCCAAATGAGATCAGTCTCCAGGAGATCCAAGCGAGCCCTCTTTAATATCACAGGGTTAAATATGTTCTTTGCCTTTGAGATTCGCAGCTCGTTGGTGTTCAAATGGGAATTAACTAGGGTAGGATATATGTGAGGCCAGGCCTATCCCAACGAGCTTTACTCGTTGTCAGTTAAAAGAAACCCCTTCTATCTTTTTACAGAAATGAGTGTGCTGCGCTGTCCAGTGTTGACTACACTGCGGTGCGTCCATGCAGATGCCGCTTAGTGTTATGCTCGAAGAACTGCTACTTGTGTAGAAGACTTGGAATGGCTCTAGGATATCCTCCAGTCCGCCCCCAAGCCAATTTGGAGCAAACAATAAATGATACTTCTCTATTGCGAATATTGGCATACCTCCAGCAATGCGCCACGATGTCACCTCCTCTAGGGATATTAGGTATTCAAGCACTTCAGCTTGAGAGTGTTGTTGCACATACCAATCTGGGATCCTCGGGTCGAGCTGCACGTCACCGATTCTACTGTTGCTATTATTATAAGCGAGGAATACCAGTTTTGCAGACTTGCAGACGCAAGGGCCCTTACTCAGAGAAGGAATCATCCTGTAGACATACATAAGGGCTCCCGGTGAACCACGCCGTTGGCATCAGCACATGGGCGAAGGTTTGTGGCGTACTGCATATTGTACAAGTCTGTACCCCAACCTAAAGCCTAACGAAAGGGTCGAACATGGTGAGCAAAGTTCTGTTTGAGGCTGTTTTGGACAGATCTACTAGCAACACGAGAACCCAACTGCGGGCTTCCGCTCCGACGTAGCTCAACGAAAAGGAAACGGGCTGAGACACTTGGTGATTTCTGGACGTCGGGAGAAATTCCCTCCTCTAGCTTCTGGGAAACATATGCCGAGATAAGAACGCCCGCTTCTGTCCGGCAGGGTAAACAAGCTGGAGGCTGGAGAACGGGGTTGGGCTGTGCGATGTGAAGCCTCAGCTGGCCTATGCCACGCGCCTGTGCGATGAACAGAGGCTGTGTCGTATGCAGGGTCCCGAGACAGGCGAGGCAGGAAACACAAGCCGGCAGAGAGTCCAGGCCAGCTTTTCGATGCTCCTAGCTCAGTGTTATTTTGATCTGGAGCGGGTTGAAGCCTTCCCAGAGCTAAACACATGCCTTCACCAGAAGATCTGCCCTCTGTCCACGTTCAGGGAGTAGGCAATGCTCCCTCCTGAAAGCACACTGCCTGTATGGACTTTCGGGCAACTGGAAGTCTAGCACCTAGGGTAGCCCAAAGTGACCACCAATCTCGAAGCTTCCTTTTGGCTGGGCCAGATGTGAAGTCGGCAGGTCGGAGCGTGCTTGCCCCTCTGCCACTTAGATGTCGGAAGAGAGCGGACATTGTGAAAGTTCATTTGCGGACGTAATCGAACAGCAAATCGCAGGACATTACTACATGGATCCAAAGTATGCGTCGCCATGTAATCGGATCAGCCATGAGCAAGGTTCCAAGGTCGGCGGCAGCATTGAGCCACGAGGGAACCTTCCACGAAGCGCATGTTCGTCAGACTTGGGACACCGCAGCAAGCAGCACAAAAACATCATCATCAAGATTCTTCTAACTGGGTACGTCCCTGAGATACCTACTACCCAAGGGGGTAGGTACCAAGGCGGTCCGTGGTTGCCACTTGCCCCAAAAAGTCCACAAAGAGGTAACTGTGCTTCCCTTATTTACTCATACGGGCAGGTTCAATGTTGCACCAACATAACACAAGCATGCCCGTGTTCCCCGTCCCTCTGCCAGTTTCCTTTCGTATCCAAGATCATGCTTCTCATAGGCAGGGTCACTCTTGAACGGCTTCCTGCTGCTCGATCTCGTCGTCATTCTTCGCTACAGGAAAAGCCAGAAGAGGCACTGGTGTTCACCGGATATGATGGCATCACTCACAAGTTGCACAACCAAATAAGGTACAACAACCTTCCTTGATATTCTCTTGGCTGGTACTCTCGCCATCAGCACGACAAGTCAAAGCAAGCAAACTGTGTATAAAGGTGCACGGGGAAGGTTTGGGGAGCGATCGCATGAGTTGCCCACCTCATTCTCTTCAGCCAGACACTGTTCATTGTCAAAGCCTTCGGACGCCAGCTACACACAAGCGCCCAACTCCTCCAGATATTCTACATTTGAATTCAGCTAGCCGTACTGGAAAATGATGCTCGGTACCGTTTTTCTCTCAGCCGTGCTGTTGCCCCTTGTGGCCGCCAGGCCAGAGGGTCGGCACCCCGGATCGTCCACGCAGCGGCGCGGCTTGGGCATGCTGGCGGTCGACCAGTCTCAGTTCGACTTTCTCCCATATGAACTGAGAGATATCTGCTTTGACTGTACCCGACCGAACCCCGACGCCCTGTACTCGTGCCAGGTCAAATGTGAGCAGGCTGAGCCATAGTAAAGAGGTCCTCGACTAACAGCAGCACCCAAGTTGATTGGTTCGACCCAAATTCGACCAAGGACAATAACGTGACAGCGTGCAGCTGCGCATATTCGTGGTCTTGGGACGGTGTCACCACGGAACCCGGAGCGCAAAACACATTCGACCCCAAGGCTTACATTCCCTGCCTAAGGGACACTCCCGTATACTTCGAGATGGCACTCAAATGGCTGGCTGGGGCCAATAATTTCAGCCTGGCAATGTCCCACCATTACAAGGACACTTCGTAAGTGTGTGTACGTACAGGCTAGGGGATTTCGAGACTGACAACAAGACCAGCATCGAGCCGAATAGTCCCTACAGCTGGTTCTCGACCTATGCCTATCCTCAGCTTAGCTTGCCACTCGTTTTACAGGAGGAAAATTCGATGACCCACTACCACCCAGGTCCAATATTTGCGAAAATCGTCGCCATCGACTGAGAAGAGAGAGTTGACGCCTAGTGCTGGCATCAGGCGAACATCGTGTGGCTATTCAAGGGGTTGTCTGCGTCATTTTGATGGGAGGGACATGATTCTGCACAATTTTGAGAGTTTCCAAGCTGGTTCTTGGCGGATTTGAGACCGAAATCTGATTTCTGTTCGGCTGAGCAGTCGAAGATGTGTTGAAACCAACTGACAAGGCGATGAACCTTGAATCCAAATGCCGAGTATTGCATTAGGCCAAAATAAGGAAACGGAGGGTGGTTCGGCGGCCTAGACTGGTCAATAGATGCGCAATCTTGATGCTTTTGATTTCATAGCCAGCTGCACCACTGCTTTGAGGGTGCTTGTAGGCCACGAGAGTTATTCCAACTTGCCAACATGCCAACATGCCGAAGTTTGAGTTCCATTACAAGGGCAAAAGCCTTTGGCCTGATCAATCACAAATCCATTGACTGTATTGTTTTATGTACAATAATTGGTAACATCCGCCCTCCATCGACCTGCGCAGCCTGATGTCTATGACAAGGGATACGAGGTCTGGGGTAGTGATTCGAGGTGTTTTCGGTGATGCTCGTTCGCCTGAAAACACTGATTGTTAGAAGTGTGTCCATCTCAATACCTCACAGATTGCGACCGATTATAGGATTGAGAACTCACAAATGGCAGACCACAGTAGCCGCAGGTGGCAATCTCGGGCTTGTCAGTGTTGATAAAGATACGAGGATGGCCGGCAGGGCCGCCACCGCCATCGCAGGCAACGATGCGGTCGTGAGTCCATCGGACAGGCTGCTTGTGTACCAGCTCCATGGCAGACCAGGGTTGCGGCTATCCAAAGATCCTCCTTGTCAGCAAATTCCTGTTTCTCTTTTGCCTCTCAAGAATGTCACCCCCCCAGGGCCGTCTCGAGCTGGTCCTCACCTGTAGGCTGAAGTCGGTCTGCTCGAAGCGCGGGCCGGTCATGGCCTTGTCGCGAGGCTGCTGGCTCCTGGCCCAGATGCCGGCACGGTTGGGAGCCTGGTCGATGTGTGCGGGGGGCTGGGCGGCCGGGTCGGCGACGGCGGCACCGGGGGCGTTGTCGGGGTTCCTGGGCGAGTTGGACTCGGCCGGCACGGTGGTGCTCTGCTGCTCCAATTGGCGACCGGTGGTGGCGAACGAGCGCTGTGCCAGGCGCAGCTGCTGCGGCAGCCGGTAGGCCGCGCGCAGTCTTGTAGCGGACATCATCGTGGCGACTGGTGGTGGTGCGATCTGGAGAGATTGGGTTATCGCGGATTGAAGGCCGATGTGCCCTTTGCTGGACGTCGAGGTTGGAGATTTGGGACGGCTGTTCTTCGGTAGAAGGAGCTAATGGTCAATTGGCGGCACTGGACTGGCTGAACTGGAAAGGGAGCTCCACACTCCGATAACAGTCCAGATCGCACGGACCAGACTGAATACACGCGATAAAGAGCATTATGATGGCGTTCAACTTCTTTACGCTGTGCTCTCAGTGCACCCACCTATCAACAAATTTTAGGGGTCTTTAAGGCTGGGCTTTGACACGAACAAAACCACCCGACATTCTTTCGAGCCTCTTCTTAGATCCTCCTCGGTCCTTTCGACGACCTAGGAACCGGCGCGACGACTTCTGCTACCTGAAGCAAGATTCTCTTTTCAGTAGTGGAGAATATCTGCCTAAGTGCCGACCTACTCGTGTAGATCGGATTGAAACTGGGCAAGAGTAGATGAAAGAAGGCCATTCTTTCCCTCTCTATTTACCTATCCCGGTCTCGTTACAAGCTCTCCACCATGAGTGCGCAAACACCCAAAACAATATCTTCTCGGCTTCTGTCGATGAAGTTCATGCAACGAGGAGCTTCATCGGCATCTAGCTCCCCTTCAACCCCTCAAGCAAGCGAGGACCAGTCAGCAAAGAGACGCAAGACCTCGCATTCGGCAACAAAGAGCCAGCCTGTGACACCGGTCATTGATCAAAAGGCACTGCAAGCTGCGCGGGAGGAGGAAGAAAAGGCTAAGCAGGCAGCCGTTGAGAGGCGGGCGGCAGAATTGGGAGACTCGCACTGGGTTCTGCAAGTTCCGACCCCGACCACAAAGTCAGGCAAAGCCATCCAAGCGCCGCTGAATATCGTGCAAGTCGGGTTCTCCCAGATTGATTCTAAAGGGGCGGAAGACGAGAGCCCTCTGGATGCATCGGAGACTAGAGCTGCCGCCGAAACCAAGTTCCGTCGGTTCAATATGAAGAAGAGGTCACGCAAGGTATGTCTACCCTTGACTTCTTTGGACTCGTCCCCTCTTTTGGCGCAACATTTATGCTAATCATATAGCAGGCGCTTGATGAATCTGTCGACTCTTCGAGCGGCATGTCCGCCTCGGATAACGAAGATGAGGACGAGGACGAAAATGCGTCCGGTCTATCGTCTCCGGCAACGAGAGATGGAGAGATACGTGGACGAAAATTTACTGCCTCGGCGGAAGACCGCGGTCGAGCGAGGTCTGCCACTTCCAGAAGACGAAACGTTGAGAAAAGCAAAGCACAAGAGTTCGCGAACAAGCGGCGAAAGAAGGAGGTCAAACTGAACCAATTGACGTCGATCTCGTCAGCAACCCCCCAAAAACCAGACTCTTGGAAGGCCAACATTACATGCCACCGCTGCCACAAGACGGGACATCTTGCAGCTGAGTGTGACTCTGCGCGTGGTCGTTGAGTGCCTAAGATATGGGCCCTAATGCCCATGCTCTGCACTGATCTCATCGTCAGCCTCTTGAACCCTAAGTAGTGATCACGACTGCTCTTTATCTATGCATCGGTGCTATAACGGATAAGCCAGGTGGAGTGAGATCGGGACTTGGATCGCGCAGGTCCTTGGGACTATGGAAGCATTCACGGACAGACCCATGGATCCCTTGACTTAGGGATGCGTCTAGACCCCATACTGAGAAGCCCTTCAACACTGATGCCGAACCCTGGTAGACATCCTTGGTCACGTATTACATATTGTACAGGACCATGATGGATATGGAGGCTATTCAGAGGAAACTCGGCCGTGGCTCTTTGTGGCCAGGTTCATCCCGCCTACGGCGAGGCCGGGCTGGAACGATTCAGCTCATTTTACTGCATTCGGCCCGGTAGGTTTAGGTGCGCCGCTGGCCTCGCCAGAGCCACCGTGCAATTGCACGATATCTTTCTAACCGTTGGACGTGAAGGTGTTGTGTCGATCGAGAGAAAGGGCCACCTAACCTTCACGCGTCCAGGACATCGCCATAGGCAACATCGTCATAGGCAGAATACAAAATCAAGCACCGTTATATACCGGTCGTCTTCGCAAGATCTTTGTCGTCCCAAAGGTGGTGACCTAATCTAGGTGAGCGGGAGAGGTCCCGCGCCGTCCCTTTTCCCCCTCGGATAAAGAGCCAAAACCTGGCGCTGGATGTTTGAGATTTCCAAGCCAGCGGTCCGCGGGTGCTATCGTCTTTTGTGGCTCGACGGTCGGGCCTGAAATGGCCTTGATGCCCAAAGCGGTCATAGTTGGGAATGATTTATGACTCGGTGTAGGCGATCTACACGGGACATGCCGTCGTCCGACCTATCTGTCTCTATGTCCTTGTGTTGCCGAAGACTGGTCGACCCGAGAGGAGTCTCGTCAAAGCCTACCAGCCGGACAAATGGCAAAGGCGTATGCGAAAAAAAACTACTCCTTCCCCTTGGCAGGCAGATGACAGGTAAAGAGTTTTCTCTCGGGTTCATTACGAAGGCGTGAAACGTCGTCTCGCCACCGGCTGCAGTTCCCGGATCGTCAGCCGCCCCCCAGTCCTTGTTGTCGACTTTTGCATTGAGCGAAACCTTGCCCCGCCCCTCCCGTCCTTCTTTGAGCCGCTCCCCATTTCCAAACAGGGCGTCGTGCATGTCCGAACCACAGCCTGAGATCGGACGGGTCCCGGCCGTACAAGGAAGGGTGGAGTCTGTGGTCTCCGGTCTGGTCGCAGCCGTCGGGTATCATGTGGGATGGGAAACGACCCGCAGACAAGGGCACTAACAGCGAACTCACTTACACGGGACATTGACGACTTATACGGGACAACGAATCACCAAGCCTGCTTGTTTTCTCTCTCTCTCTCTAAGTCTGCTCAGAGAGGGATGGCAGAAACTTATCTAGGCAGCAGCCGACCGGGCCGTGTGCGTACTTCCACAGATCTAGCCGAAACGAGGCCGGCAAATACAGCTTCGTTGCACTACTCACACAACGGTAAAGGTGAAGCATCCCTGCTGCATCGCTAAACCCCTTCGAGTTTGGCACCTCCTGTCACTCGTTCCCGATGCCTCCAGTTAGCGCGCTCTCCGCGTGGGAAGCTGAACATGATGCATATTCTTTTTGCCCATAAAAGACTCCTGTCTGCTTGAGAGGAGCAGGATTCTACCACCGAAGGAGCAAGGAACCGTAGCTCTGGAGCAGATCCACACGACAAGTTCGCGGTGGTCCTTTTATGATATTGTCTCCTACCCATCTCAACTAGTCGATGATAATTCTGCTGTCGGAAGCCAGCCGGGTCTTCTCGACCGGGTAAACCCCTCGTACCAACTCTGAGACAGAGGCTTCTAGTTCTTGCTCTACTGCTGTCTCGCCAATCCAGTTTTGGATACGTCTCTCATTTGATACTGTATCCCAGTCATCCCTATCCCAGTCATCCCTGTCCATAGTTGTAGCTTGGTAAGGTCTCTTCGATCGAGTGGCTGCCGGGCTTGAAGCTTTTGATCCTCCACCGCTGTATCGGGCGCGTAAGTCCACCCCTGACATTTCCAATGTCTCCCACTTGCAGTCTGAATGATTGAAGATTTTCACCTTTCGAGTATGGCCTAATGTAATGAATAATTTGACTTGTAGAAGTATAGCCCATGCAAACCGAGCCAGGAGAAGTGGTCGTATATTTCCCCGTAAGCCTTGAAGTGGGATATTATGGATGTCAAGAGCTCCAGCTCGCCTGTCGATACAATAAACCCGATAGTCGTTATGCTTAGGGACAATAACAAACCATCGATCATCAAAGATGCAATGGATGTCAGAGCGCATGGGGAGAAGATTGTCTGGATCATCAATGCCCAAGACTGTCGTTGAGTAGGCCATCATTCCATTCTCTGAATACCATGGCTGGGCCTCTCTTGGAATGATATAAGCCTTTTCCAAAGCATGCAAGTTTGCAGTGATACAGCACGCATCTGTGGCTATAGGTGTACTTGGGATCGGTGGCCAGCTTGGTTGGTTGTCGTGGGGGAATTGCCAGTCGTTGAAACTTGGTACGACTGGATATTGATCTAGATTATTATTAGCTTGGAGAGAATGAGAATAGCATAGAAATACTGACCGTCGCCATTCACAACAAAGAAGTATTTCCGACCTAATAGAACAACAACATCTTGGGTGACAGGCTCTTGGTGCTCATCTATAAGATAGCCAGTGAACTGATTTGCAGCGATGAGCTGACAGGCGAGTAGAGCTGTTGCATGATGGACACCGAATTCTGTAGGCTCAGCTTGATCGAGTCGTGGGAGTTTGAGAAGGAGATTAGTTGGGTGAGGGTATCCTGGGTGTAAGAACTGGATATCCTCACGACCTGCAAGGAGATCGATCGGCCGAGTGCTGGGGGGGCGGGGTTCCATGCTGATTGCCTCTGCTTTTTGGAGGATGGAGAGAGAGAGAGAGTGCTGGGGGTGTGATTTTGCTCAAGTTTGCAAGGTCCGTATGGGCTAACTTTCATAAGCGAGCCAGGACAATGGGGTCGAGTCGTCAGTCTAGGCAAGGGGGCCGTTTCCTCGGGCCCCTACTCCGTACGCCGTACGAGTCGACGGAGTTGGGCGCGGGGGTCTGTATGGCCTCGGTAGTATCTGTCGTGTGCAACAGTGGATCAAGACTGTCCGTTCCACTGGCCTAGGAACCTGAACGGCTGCGCATCTCGACGTAGAGTCGATCGCTGTATGAGGATGTGATGAGTCGATCTCCTCCAAATCTCACCACCGTCAGCCAGCTGATATGATGCTGGTCATATGCAGACTTTATATAACTGTAGCGCGCGCCTGGGGACGTATCCAATCACACAGACTTTGGGTTGTGACGGACGCAAGGCTGCTCTGCGTCATGCAGTCGAGAAGAAATTGCTCGACTCTATCATTCGGCAGAACGGACGGTGAGACTTGCTGCAACACGGGCTGCCGCACCGCACTATCACTCTGCATGCACTCTGCATAGGAAGCGCCTCGAGGTCTCGATCTAGCGGGTGCTGTGCCGCGGACCGTGTCGCGATAGTAGATCGAATGTAGTCGAGACAATCTCCGGATGTGACCCGGGCCACCGACATTTCAATTGGCAAGATCACCTGCTTGGCCCTCCACTTCCCGATGCCAGGGGGAAGCTAAGGGCAAGAGTGCAGCTGCCGTCGACAAGTCGAGGGGCTTCTCAATCGTGTTTCGTTCGTTCGGGCATACGTGCAGCAAAAGTAGGTGGCGAGCTGGTTGAATATTCATGTCGTTTCTAGCACGGAGGGTGCATTTGTAGTCTGTTGGGCGTGTTCGAGTCAGGTTGACAGACTTTGTTACATACAAAGAGGTAGTTTAGGTGTCCAGCAAGGTTGCTGACTGCTCATCACTGGTTCGTTTTTCTTTTTCCCTGTAGTAATAGGTACTAACTAGGCGTGATGACGAGTTTGAGCCTTGCTGACCACACGACCTGCAGGCTGTTGCACTCGCCAGTTTGATACATGCAGTTCAATGCAAGGTAAGCTGGCTTCTCTCCCATCCTCAGGCGCCTGGTCACGTTTCAAGTGCAGTTTCTTGTGGTTGTAATTTCTCGATCTCCGAAGAGGCCATCTCTCATCCGCATCTTCGTAACAACACTCTCTCCAGTCCTTACTGTACAACGCACAGCCGTCAGACTCCGCTAAACTAAACCCAGTAAGCACTTTCCCAGGGTGGTAATGCTGTGCTAGAGCCCAAATTTCTTTCGGCCTAGCCCAGGTGTCGGAGCATAACAGATATCTTAACATCTTAATTGTCTCGAGTTACGTTCTCTTGTCAACTCGGACAGTCTCACAAAGACATAATCCAAGTCACGACGCACAGACTGGACGAGCCTGAGCAGCCGCAAGATACGCGGACAGATATCATACAACCTCAACCTCACCGACCTCTGTTCCCACCGGTCACGTTATTGGTGAGTGAGCTTACAGCAGTTCCTTCGTTATCCTATCCCCCATACATGGCACCCACAATTCATCTGCCGTACCCTGCACCCTTCTTGTGGCCCGGCAATGTTTGTGATGCTGGCTCTTGTCCCGCGTCCTGTCCGCCGCACCTTGTGTGCCCCGTCCAGGTGAGACCAATGTCCCCCGGGTCACCAAGACACAGACATTTATAGATCGAATGGAAGCCTGCGAGGTACCAAGTGCTGAAGTTTGTGTACTTGGTATCAGCCGGGTTTCCATTCCTTTTGGATAAGTTTCAGGCTATGGGACGCGGAACGGGCAGACCGAGTGTAGATACTCTGGATGTCTCCGGCCCAAAGTGAGGACAAGCGGACGAACGACGGACCCCGAGAACGATGAGCAGTGGTATCACGTCACCAGTATTCCAAGAATGCATATCATGACAGCATACCGGTTTTCTTTTTCCCGCTCCTTGTTGCTCTAACATTTCTTCTTTCGTACACACACACACACACACACACACACACACACACACATGCACTCCCTTGCACTTACGCGCGCGCCGCCACTCAGTTATGGCTTTTTGCTCACACCCTTGTTGCTCAGTGGGACTCGAAAACTTGCAGTTCATACAGAGGTACTGTTGACTCGACATTGGCGTGAGTGTTGCCGCCCAGACCAGAACGATTCGGTTTCAGGCTTCTCTCGCAAGCCCCGTGGAGCCGGCCCCGGTACTTGGACATCAGATATCCCTGTGGCTGTCTCTTAAAGCATCCCGGCCCTTAGTCGCTACGTGCCATACTTGAGTCCAGACTGGCCTTCTGGCTTCACACACAAAACAGCGGAGCCCGGCTTGAGATCGGGAACCGTTCATTGTATCGAATTGTTCCTCACCAAGCAAGCTGGTTCGAGGCGGGAGGAAAAAACCCCGACTGGACGTGTCCATTTGCAAGACACTTGAATCCTAGGATATAAGAGGGGTGCCAGACAAAGCCCTCTTCGAGTTGGATGCTCCATTACTCAGCTTCCATTGTCTCTAGAATCCCGGCTGGCAGCTGTTGCCGCAAAGGAGCGGTGCGAACCTCGATCCAGGGCTTACCCGCCATCGGCGCATCGCCTCGTCACCGACTCCAAGGACGCCACCTGCAGCGACACCCGCAGTCTTGTGAGCCTGTCGACGTCGTCTGTTCCGCCTGGCCTGTCTGGGTGCGCTCTCTGTGCCACGTAGACCACCCGCCCTGCTGGTCGGCGCACTACCGCAACCACCCGCGCAACCCCAATCGCGAGCCAGCGACTCGGCGACCGCCACTAGATTGCCGTGTTACTCCTGACGGTACAACACCAAAGACACCAATCCTCGATTCCGACTCGTTGGTAAGCCAGACGACCTGGCTTAGTCGTGCTGTAGCGTCTCCACCGTTGCACAGACCCTCGAGACCCTATCGCGCTGTGCTAGCGCGCCACCTACGACCCCATTCATCACTACCTCCAACGCTATCGCAGACCACCGCTCAAGCCCTGTCGCCCCCAACAAGAGCCCCAGCTCAAGCTTCACAGGCTCTACTTAAAGTTGCAACCGCTCCCCATCGCCGTGAGCACCGCCGTAGTCTTGCCCTGAAGGATAAGAGGCCGCCGCCGCTGCTTCCCCTCTATCTGCCGCATTGCCACCAGACGGCCCCGTCTCGCACATTCTCAACCATCACCATGCCGCCGCCTCACCAGCAAAACTCATCCGCGGCGGACAGGACGGTGCCGACTCGAGCAAAATCGGGGCAGGTGGTGAGGGTTACAGACAAACTGGAGACGCCCTCCCTCGACGACCGATCCTACAGGGTCATTCGCTTACCGAACCAGCTCGAGGCCCTACTCGTCCACGATGCTGAGACTGACAAAGCGAGTGCTTCGCTTGATGTCAATGTGGGCAACTTCAGCGACGAAGTGGAGATGCCGGGCATGGCCCACGCGGTAGAGCATGTAAGTTTTGCCACACGCCCGTTTCAAGAAGACACCCGTCTTGAAGGGGGTTGGCTTTGTGTGTAGTCAATGATATGTCCATCTCGCTGACACTCGTGGGAACCGAAATCTAGCTCCTGTTTATGGGCACCAAGAAGTATCCCGAGGAAAATGCTTACTCTCAGTACCTTTCCTCGAATTCTGGTAGCTCCAATGCCTACACGGCGTCCATCTCCACCAATTACTTCTTTGACGTCTCTGGTAAGCCTCACGATGATGGTGAGGCCTCGGCCGAGAACCCGTCGCCTCTGTACGGCGCGCTAGACCGATTTGCCCAGTTCTTCATTCAGCCTTTGTTCCTCGCGTCTACCCTGGACCGCGAGCTCCAGGCTGTCGATTCGGAGAACAAGAAGAATCTGCAGAGTGACCAATGGAGGTTACATCAGCTAGAGAAATCCTTGTCGAGCCCGGATCACCCGTACTGTCACTTCTCCACTGGGAATCTTGATGTTCTCAAGAACCAACCGGAGGCTCGTGGCATCAAAGTCAGAGAGAAGTTCATCGAGTTCTATGAGAAACACTACTCGGCCAACCGGATGAAGCTTGTTGTCCTGGGAAGGGAGCCGCTAGATGTCCTCGAAGACTGGGTCGTCGAGCTGTTCTCGGACGTCAAGAACAAGGACCTGGAGCCCAATAGGTGGTCGGAGGCTACGCCATTTGGGCCTGACCAGCTGGGTATGCAATGGTTTGCCAAGCCAGTCATGGACTCGCGGGAGCTCAACCTCTTCTTTCCGTTCCTGGATGAGGAACTACTTTACGAAGCACAGCCAAGTCGGTACATCAGCCACCTAATTGGTCACGAGGGTCCTGGCAGCATCATGGCATACATCAAATCTAGAGGCTGGGCAAATAGCCTCAGTGCTGGCGCCTACCCCATCTGCCCCGGCTCACCGGGCATATTTGATTGTCAAATTCGACTGACGGAAGAGGTGAATGAGATCCCCCCCCACCCCGGAATTTTGAGACTCATTTGAGACTAACTCGCTTGTTCAGGGCCTGAAAAACTACCAGGAAGTCATCAAGGTCTTCTTTGAGTATGTGTCCCTCCTTCGAGAGGGTCCTCCTCAGGAGTGGATATTCCAAGAGCAGAGGGGCATGGCCGAAGTTGATTTCAAGTTCAAACAGAAGACTCCCGCAAGCCGATTCACCAGCAAGGTGTCCTCTGTGATGCAACGGCCCCTGCCGAGAGAGTGGCTCCTCAGTGGGCACAGCCGTCTGCGAAAGTTTGACCCCGTCCTCATCCAGAAAGGCATCGACTGCCTTCGGCCGGACAACTTCCGCATGTCTATAGTATCTCGGGACTTCCCCGGTAATTGGGACAAGACGGAAAAATGGTACGGGACGGAGTACAAATACGAGAAGATTCCGAACGACTTTATGAGACAGCTCAAGGCGGCGTATTCTGTTTCTTCGAAAGAACGTATTTCCAACCTCCACTTGCCTCACAAGAATCAGTTCATCCCCACGAAACTCGAGGTTGAGAAGAAAGAGGTCAAAGAACCCGCCATCGCACCTCGCATGATCCGCAACGATGAGCTGGCGAGGACTTGGTATAAGAAGGATGATACATTCTGGGTTCCCAAGGCGAACCTGATAGTCAGCTTCAAAAGTCCACTCATATATGCATCGGCAGAAACCTCGGTTAAGGCCCGGCTTTTCACCGATCTTGTGAGGGACGCATTAGAAGAGTATTCCTATGATGCCGACCTGGCGGGAATTCAGTACAGTGTCTCGCTAGATACTCGTGGTATCACGGCCGAGGTGTCTGGCTACAACGACAAGCTACCGGTCCTACTGGAACAGGTCCTGATCACCATGCGGGATCTTGAGATCAAGTCGGATCGTTTTGGGATCATCAAAGAGCGTCTGAGCAGGAGCTATCGCAACTCTGCTTTCCAGCAGCCCTATCACCAGCTCTATGATTATCTCGCCTGGCTCACCTCGGAGAATGACTATGTTGTGGAGGAACTCGCCGCGGAACTACCCAATATCACAGTCGACTCCACGAGGAGCTTCCACAAGGAACTGCTTTCCCAGTTGCACATGGAGGTCTATGTCCACGGCAACCTATACAAGGAAGATGCTCTCACCCTTACAGACATGATTGAGTCGACGCTGAAGCCGCGTCACTTGCCGAGGCCCCAGTGGCCCATCTTCCGCTCTCTCGTCTTCCCCCCTGGAAGTAACTTTGTCTATGAGAAGACTCTGCAGGACCCTGCCAACGTCAATCATGCCATCGAGATGCTGCTTCATATTGGCGACAAGGCTGATCGACTGATCCGCGCCAAGACATTGCTCTTGGACCAATTCATTCATGAGCCCGCCTTTGACCAGCTGAGAACAAAAGAGCAACTCGGCTACGTCGTATTCTCCGGCTATCGAGGAACATTGACAACAGTGGGCTTCAGGTTCATTATTCAGAGCGAGAAGAGCCCCCAGTATCTCGAGACGCGTATCGAAACATTCTTGACGAACTATGCCGAGACACTGGCAAATATGAGCGAGGCCGACTTTGAAAGCAATAAGCGGAGTTTGATGGTGAAGAGGCTGGAGAAGCTGAAGAACCTCGACCAGGAGACTGGCAGGCATTGGAGCCAGATCTATAGCGAGTACTACGACTTCAATTTTGGTAAGTCCTCACACATCCTAGCAAGCCTGCGCTTCACATAGCTGACTTTTTTTTTTCTATAGCTCGCGAGGAAGCCGCTTTGATCAAGGAACTGACCAAGGCCGACATGATTGAGTTCTTCGACCGCTACATCAACCCCAAATCCCCCTCGCGGGCAAAACTTGCCATTCACCTTGTTGCACAGTCCAAGAGCGATGTCTCTACCGGGCAGATCTCGGAGCTGGTCAAGACTCTGAACCTTGACGATGAGCTCTCTCGCCAGGCCGCCACTGACCTCCAAGCGAAGCTCACCGCTGCTCATCACGATGAGAAGCAAGAGCTCGAAGGCATGAAAGCGTACCTTCTCAAGGACCTCGGAGTCGCGGAGGACAAGGTGGACTCGGCGGTCGCTGCCTGGAAAAAGCTGTCGGCGGCGCACAGGACGAATGGCCTGGTTGGAGACAATTGCAAAGAACCGCTCTCTCTCAACGGGACCAAGCCGGTTCTCATCAAGGACGTGCGCGACTTCAAGCAGGGACTGGCGGTCACGGCTGGCGCCCGGCCTGTGATGGACCTCAGTGAATATGAGGACCTAGATGCCAAGCTGTGAGGGGCTGGCTTTGGACAAGCCCCCGATTTGGACATTGCCGATGGCCCGCAAGATGATGGCCTGGATGGACATGCCGTCTTCCATTCTTATACTTTGGACACGCGAATGGTTGAATCGACGCGCTTCTGGGGATGTTAACAGTCTTGACGAAGAGCTGCTCCGAGCACAATTGCAAATGCAACAAGTCATGCCTTCCAAAGGTGTGGTTAGAGGAGACGACGATATTCGTGCAACATTATTGGCACGTTCAACGTGTGCATGCCATTTTTCTTTTTCTCATATTTTTTATTTAGTCTCTTTGGGAAGTTAGAAGTTTTACGTGATATTTGACATGACAAAAGGTAGAAAGAATACACAAATAGATTGCGGTTGGATCCATGGAATTGGTGGTTGTCTCTACTTGTAGGTCAAGTGATGCTCGACATTGATGGATTTATTTGCCGTGTGACCCTTTCTCCAACACGCCTAGCCCCTGTCAGCCGGGACCACCCCACCCTCACTCATCACTGCATGCAGGTATGGGTACCTAGTAATTCTGTGCTATGACGGCAGTCGCAGCCCTGACAAATGGGATCTTCAGGTAAGGGCTTTTCCCAAACCCACTGTTCTTGTTTCTGTATTGATTCATCAAGGGTTTGGTGTGGCTGCTGGCAGAGGGTGACCCGGCTGTCTCGAGGAAAGACAAAACTCTCTTAACTATCTGACAAAGTCTTTTTCGTCGTCATCTAGAGATATCTGACTACCTACCTAGGTACCTAACTCTGTAAATTGACGAGAGGAGATCTTTGGTGCTACGTGCATGTTCGAAGGCCCCTGCCCTGCGCTCATTTCCAATGGCTTTTTCTTTTCCTCTTGGCTCTTGGTGGAGCTGGCCCAGGGCTTGCTTCCAAGGCGAGCAAGGTAATGTTGCTTGCGTCTTGCGGAGCTACGGAGCCACCAACCAGTTCTCAGCCCTGGCTGGTACGGTACATCAGACAAACAATGAGCGAGGGGGTGAACAATGTACCTGGTGAAAGGATGGATCCCTGGTTTATGCCCCAAATATAGAATGCTCGACGCTGAGCCCTCAAAATCCTTCCCTTTGACTTCTTTGTCTGCTAGGCTCTCTGTGCTCTCTGTTCTGTGACTGAGTTGCTATTCACCTTTTGCCCTAGAGGTGCCCTCTCAGCACCCCTCCAAACCACCAGGATACAAACACTGAACCAGCGCCTTGACCAACGGCGCTAAACAGCGCCAAATCTAGCAACCGAAAAAAAGTCTTGGGGAACAGAAACCACGATCAAGTCTTGGCCAAGACAACTCGTCTTGTCTTGAACCCATTCTGATAAACTCTGCTACGGGACTCGGAACTGGGAGATGCACAGCCCAGCTACCTTCCTAGCCGTCACGCCTCACCGTTACATCACCCTGACCGATAGTAGCGCCTATCACTAATGCAGAAGAAACTTCGACGACCTCATCCCAGTCCACCGAGCTGTGACCGCTTGCTCAGCGCCGCGCCTCGTCCCTCTTTCTCGACCACACAACCGGTTCGCTATCCCAGAGCTGCCGACGCAGCTCGCCTTCACGACGTCTTCCTTAAAGAAAAGAAAGGTTACACGCCAGACGACCCGAGACCAGGATAGTCCCAACGACCTGGTTCTCCCATCCACCGAGGTGGATCCCGAACAGCCAGCGACTTCTTTTTCTGAGTCTTTGCCTTCTGGCTTAGCCACCCCAACCTACGTACGTGCCGATTCACTACCGGCCTCGAGCTTGCCCCCGCGGCTGCAGACAAACAACTACAGCCAATCGTTCGCATCCGACTACGCCGACTCGACAGCAAGTTCCCCTGCCGCTGCTTCTGCTGACCTCTCCGTCGACAACGACCGTGGTGACGAGATCTTCTCTTCGGAGCCGACCTCTGCCGCCTCTCTCCCGTCTCTCGCCGCCAACGGCAGCCATCTGTCTCTAGCCTCGGCTACACGTCGTGCAATTATGGTCGCAGACGGCGACCTGCCACAGAGGTCGTCGTCTCCGCTGAAGCGTCGCGCATCCAGCATGGAGCCCGAAGCTGGCGCAGACGCCCGTGAAGATGTGGACATGATCTCTCTGCCTCCCGAAGATGGCGCGGATGCAGCTGCCTCACCGCAGGTCCCACCTGAAGTGCCCGGCGAAACGCACACAAACGGCTCATCAGACCTCGACAAGGGGACGAATGGATTTCCCATGATACACGGTATGTCCAGCCCATCCAGATGCTCCCGCTCCGCTTTCCTTAACGTTGTCTCCAGGTCATCCGCCCATTCCCGAGCAGATCAAGACTATTCAGACGTTGCTGCGCGCCTTCAGTGAGCAACAGATGCAGGAGGGGGACATTGTCTACCTGGTGTCGAGAAAATGGCTTGAGAAGGCTTTGGCTCTAGGCACGGCAACAAAACAAAAGGCGGCCGACCAGGACCCAGCAGAACTGGGCCCCGTCGACAATGCGGACATCATCCAGGCGATCGTCAAAGACGTGAACGGAGATGACGCTGTCCGATTAGTACCAGGCACTGGCCTCGACCATTTCGAACTCTTCCCCAAGGATGCCTGGGATCTTCTGTCGACCTGGTACGGTGTGGCAGAGGGCCAGCTGCCCATCCTCCGGACCGCTCACAACACCGCCCATGACTCAACAATGCCCAACATCCAAGTTGAGTTCCACCCTCCAGTCTTTACTCTCCATCGCCTCTGGTCGGAGGTCAGCCCGATCCCGATAGAGCAAAGCCTCAAAGCCAGCAATCCACCTGCGCCCGTTGTCATGTGCAGCACATCGCACAATTTGCAAAGCTTCTTGAAACGAGCGAAACAGCGGCTGGACATCCCCATGGACAGGAAAGTTAGGGTCTGGTCTATTCCATCAAAGGTACCCTCTGGCGAGTCTGATTCCTCACAAGCGAAAGCTTCGCTGCTCTCAACACCTCCTGATTCTCCAAAGATCGAGGATGCCGGCTCTCGCACAAATGGTGCTCAGAATCCCTGGGAAGGAACTCTGCTTGCTGTTGACGTCTTTATGAAGCTTGAGAAGAACTCGGGAAGGGATCTGCTGGATTTTAAGGACAACACCGGCAATCCCAACTATAATGGCCACTCGACCCTGGCCTTCTACTCGCTCGGCATGGATCAACAGCTCGTCCTCGACGAGAGCATTGACAACACTAGGCATTTCGTCTCCACCTATAATTCCAAGGTTGCCAGCAAGGACAAGGGAAAGCAATTGCCGGCGAAACAGCATGTTGTCACTAGTCTGGCTAGCAAGGCATCGTCTATCGCAAGCGGCCGTAGCAGCCCTGCCCCTCAGGGCCCGATGACCCGTGGCCGAACGAAGCAGAAATCGGGTCGTACGACGGGCTGTGTAGGGCTGGGCAACCTCGGAAATACTTGCTACATGAACTCGGCTCTTCAATGCGTTCGAAGTGTCGAAGAGTTGACCAAGTATTTCCTGGTGAATGAGGCCAACAGTGAGATCAACACCGATAACCCACTCGGTTTCAGCGGTCACGTCGCCATGGCCTACAGCCACTTGCTTCATGAGATCTACAGGGATCCGTCTCCGGCTTCCGTGGCGCCGAGACAGTTCAAAAACGTCATTGGGCGTTATGCTCCCGCTTTCTCGGGCTATGGCCAGCAGGACTCTCAAGAGTTCCTTGGCTTCCTTCTCGATGGCCTGCAGGAAGACCTGAGCCGCATCAAGAAAAAGCCCTACATTGAGAAACCCGATTCCACAGATGAAATGATCAACAATCCGGCTGCCATCAGAGAAATGGCTGACAAGGTTTGGGACATCACGAAGCGCCGGGACGATTCAGTGGTTGCCGACCTCTTCACAGGCATGTATAAGTCGACTCTGGTCTGCCCTGTGTGCGAGAAGATCAGCATCACTTTTGACCCTTTCACGAACCTGACCCTCCCTCTACCTATTAGGAGTGTGTGGAGCTCGAAGATCAAATACTATCCTCTCAATGACACTCCTATCTATATTGATTGCGAGCTGGACAAGGCCAGCAGCATGAAGTCGCTCAAAGAATTTGTCGCAACTCGTGTTGGCACTCCAGTCGATCGTCTTTTTGCTGGCGAGGAGTACAAGGAGAAGTTCTTCAAATACTATGAAGACTATTCTTCCGTCTCAGAGGAGATCCACTCGAACGACACAGCCGCTGTCCACGAGCTGGAGGCAGTGCCTACCAACCTTTCTTTCAAACAGCCCAAGAAGCAGCACTACCGATCACTCCTCGACCCAACTGATAGCGATGACGTTGAGACACCAAGCTGGGACACCCCCGCAGCTGACCGTATTCTCGTGCCCGTAATGCACCGCCTTGCCAATCAAGAGCCTGGATTCGGCGGGAAGCGGGCGCAGATTAGAGATCTGGGTTCATGCGTACCGCCTCACTTTATCGTTGTCTCTCGCGAGGAGGCACGGAGTGAAGATGCAATCCGACGCAAAGTCCTGGAGAAGGTCGCCACCTTCTCTTCGTGGGCCGAATTTTCAGCCGTGGAGGACTCGGATGCGGAGGTCAGTACTGATGCAGACTTGGTTACCGCTCCTGCATCCGATGCTGACTCTGCTGGCGACGGTAAGGTCGTCGCTAAATCTGTGGAGGGTGAGGAAGATATGGTTGATGTGGCGATGAAGGATGCGGGCGAATCTGCCAAGCCCCAACCCCTAAAGAGCTTTGTCACCAAACGCCCGAAGTGGGTAGATCCAAAGGAGTGGCTTAGTCCGCAGCTCCAGAACCTATTCGAGCTGAGCTATCTCCACGAGGCTGGCAGTGCTATTCCCACAGGATGGTCGAGCTATTCTGAGGACAAGGACTTTCCTAGGCTGCAGACCAGGGCACCTGCGCCCCCATCTGATGCGCAAACGCCGAACAGCTGGAGCAACAGCAGCGAGAACGAGAGCGACAGTGAGCAGCTACCAGAGTCAACTGTTCAAGCCGTGGCCCGCATGGCCGAAGAGTCGGATGATGAAATCACTCCGGCGGTCAAGGACATCGCCATACGCCCCGTTAGCGGCAGGAACGGCCACAAGATTGCCCCCGTGAATCGAAGAGGCAAGATGCCCAGGACCTCTGGGCGCAAGAATAAGCGCCGAGCTAAGCAGCCGCATCTGTCTTCCCAAGCGCAAGAGCAACAGCAGCAGCAGGTGTACGATAGCTTCGATCTTCAGGCACCCTCAAGTGCCGATGGCGGTCCGCTCATTCGTCTTGGCGAAGGCCTTGTTGTCGATTGGAACTTGCAGGCATGGGAGATGGTCTTCGGTAAAGAGGACGAGAATGATTCGCGCGGCGCACCGCTTTTCGCACCTTCAAAGCTCGAGACGCTTCCCGATCCCGCTCTTGAGGAGAAGAGAAAGGCGCGCAACACGCGCCGCAAGAACGGCCTCACCCTTGGCGAATGTCTGGACGAATTCGAAAAGGAGGAGATCCTCTCGGAGAACGACACATGGTACTGCCCACGCTGCAAAGAGCACCGGCGTGCCAGCAAGAAGTTCGATCTCTGGAGGACCCCAGACATTCTCATTGTTCACCTCAAGAGGTTCAGCTCGAGCGGCTGGCGGAGGGACAAGCTTGATACGAAGGTCGACTTTCCTGTCGAAGGACTGGACTTGACCAAGCGGGTTCTTGACAAAGCCTCCGGGAAGGAGGAGATCTTTGACCTGATCGCTGTCGACGATCACTGGGGTGGCCTTGGAGGCGGGCACTATACTGCCTTTGCGAAGAATTTTATTGATCACAAGTGGTACGAATATAATGGTAAGTGTCGCGCTGGCTCCCCCTGTTGGGAATTGGACTATTCTAATCTTTTACTGCCTAGACTCGTCCGTTTCCAAAGTTAGCGACCCAGATCGTGTCGTCACTCAGGCAGCTTATCTTCTCTTCTACCGTCGTCGTTCTACCGGACCTCTTGGTGGTCCACGATTCAAGGCCATTGTAGAGAAATACGAGGCTGGAGATGATTCGAGTGACGAGGACGAGGACATGTCAGAGTCGGGGGAAGGTCAGCGTCTCGGCACCGGCTCCTCCCTTCGTGGGTCGTCGAGCGCTTTGACAGGAGCCGAAGCAACTCTCCGGCAAGGAGGTCGTGGCTTGGCTAATGGTGCAAGCACCAGCACACTGACTGCGACCGCAGACCAGGACTGTCCGCCGTCGTACCAGCAGGCCAGCGCCGGATTCGGTGACATTGGTGATGAAGAGCCCCCTGTGGGCGCCGGGATCTTGGACTTTGGCCAAAGCAGCAACGTGCAAAAGAGTATCGAAGATGACGAGGGAATTGGCGGGATGGCCGATCACCACGAGAACTCCTGGCCAGCGCAGAAATGGACTTTCGAGAATCTCGGGGGTGACGACATGGGCAGCAGCAATGAGGTGCAGGCCAACTCATCCGAGACAGCCAACGACGCCGACAGCATGATTATCGGCCATGATGGGGCGGACCGCGACGCCGAAATGGGCTTCGATGGCGGCGACGATGAAGACTACGGCAACACCGAGGTGGCCGAGCCGGCCTTCGGGCAGGAGGAGCCACCACTGCTCGACCCGTTCAATCAGGCAAACATGGACGAGATCCGCGACCAAGTGTGGAACTCGCACGCGGTCGGTCAAGACCACGCGTCGGAGAAGGCGGTCGATATCCACATCAGCGAGGACGACCAAAAGATGGTTTAGCAGACCCTTAGTCCCACTGAGCCTTCGGAGGAGGGGGCTTCGTCTACGACAGCTTCAAGCGGTACTGTCGTCGTGCGGACTCCTCGCTCCGATTAACTGAGCGATATTCGGAAGACCTGGGAATGCCCAGAGTGATGCCTTTCCCAAACATCATGGATCTCCTTTACCAAGAGCTGCGCCTTGTCTTGAGGGGGTTTGTTTTCTTTTTCATATCATTGGAAGCGAAGAGAAGAGTCTATGAGGCTCGACGAACTCGGTTGTATTCATGCCTGGCGATGAAGGTTCTCATCCCGGCTTGCAGGTCTGTAGAACATGGGCCACAAGGTCCTTAGAAGGGGGGGCTGCGCTACGTAAGAGGATTTGTTATGGGTGGTTTCTTTCTTTGGCGAAGACTGCATTGGCGGTGGGATGTCTAAAGGGGGGGGGGGGCCTCTTGGGAGGGAAAAGGGGAGGGCGGGTGATGATCCATCAATAGGCGCATCTTTTCTATCTGCATAGGTAGCGCATTCATATGGACATGGTTCCTGTGTACATTCTTGTTTTTCTGAAACTGAGCGAAAGGCCCTTCATACATTGCTTCGAGTAGTACTTGCGTAGTCTTTTCAGGTTTGTGTGGTGGCATTTACGACTTATTGATGTTGGCTTTCACACACATCTAGACAAAGGAGGTGGAGGTGGAGGCTAGCACGAACTACACCACAGAGCGTACCAAACTCTGGGATGGAGTGGTCGATACAGTTTCGTTTGGTGCTTCATCGGCACCGCTGCGCCTCGGGGATGCGTTAGAGGACTCGGTTGGGCTGTATGTCGGTACAGGTCCTCCTCGAGATGCGCATCGACGGCGAGATTGGAAAAAAAGACAGAGCGCAGCTGAACCTGGTGCCGGCGGGGTGGCCTCTTGTTCCTGCTTCTTCCCCACATCGTCTCCATACTCTCTCCTTTCTTTGCTTCTTTTCTGGACGGGAAAGAGGCGGTCAGGTCTACAAGTAGGTACGGTACGGCGTACTCGTACCTCGAGCGAGTGTACGCTCTATCTCTTTGCAAGACGGTCCCGTGTCGCGTCAACGAAGAAAGCCTGGGCACGTGGGTGGAGATCGAGAGAGATAAGGAGTCCCCCCGGTAAGATCTTAGCCATCGTCAGCCTCTCTCCGCCCAGATGCATCGCATGGGCACAAGTTGGTAGGCTAACCCGGGTGTCTGGTTGGGTGGGCGCCGAGCCGGGAGCCTCGGTGTCTCGACTGGCGCTGGCGATGTGCGCTGGCGGTTGCAGGGGACATCGCTGCAATCGATGCCAAAGCGGGGACGGACTTGCCGGTAGGGCAAGAGGAGGATCTAGGTAAAGTCTCCGATTTTAGGAGAGTTGGTACGTATGACGAGGACCAATGCCTATGTACAGTAGGTAGGTATGAGAGCCCAGACATGGCGAAATGCCGGCCAAATCAGCGATGACTTTTTTGCGAAAACACAGTCCCAGAAGGCACTCGATGCGCGCGAAGAGACCGCCGAGGACGAGGGCATTGCTGGATTTAGAAGGTACGAGAAAGCATATATGGGCGCGCCGATGGGATGAATGGCTGGTTCAGCCAGGGAGTTGCAGCCTCGGACCCTCTGCCCGCAACTCTCGACTCCTCATGCCCGGATGGGGAAGGTCGGTAGTGCCAGGCCAGCCCCAGCATGCCGGAGAAGGTAAGAGCCCCGAAGACCTTCGGGCGAAACGTCCAACTCTTCATTCAATTGATTGGGAATGAGCATCTTTACCGGGAAGGGATGCTCCCTAAAGAGAAGCCGGACCTTGAGCTGCAAATGTTCTACGAAGTAGTTAGTTATGGCTCCACCAGCGTTTTTGCTTGTTTCCATCCCCTCTCTTTTCGCCACGCCACCATCGTTACCAAGCCTGTCCAGAAGTCTCGGTGATCGTTCTTGGAGGTAGTCTGGGGTCGGGCGGGAATAGCGTAAAGGGTCACACACCACACCAATCTACAGGAGGCTCCAGTCGCCGCCGCCGCTTCCGGACTGCGCTATTCCAAGCCAAGACTTGGGGAGAAGGAAGGAAGGGGGGGGGGGATGGCGAGCGGATGGGAAAGATGAGAATATGGCACCTCTGGCTGTTTCGAAAGCCTATTCGTTTTCTGGGTGAGGCTGCAGGGAGAAGGGCGATCTTGCACCCCTGCGTGTTTCCGGAAGGTGGCCTGAACGCGCACATGCACGCCCTGGATCCCTTCGTGCCGCCAGAATCCTCAAGGTCAGACCAACAGACAACAGATCACAACGGGAATAGGGCAGGGCGAGCGAGCTAAAGAGTCGCGCTCCATCTGGTCGGGACTGCGGGAATGTGTCAGGTCAAGCTTTTCTGTTGGCGCCTAGATTGGTGTCGCCGGAGACGGGGACGGGGCCGGGCGGCGTCGCAATGGAGACGCGCGGAAGGTGACAGGTCGGTCCAGGCATGGCGCCGGTGCCTGGGAGATAAGCCACCTTCTCTACTTCTCAGTGGTCCTGGCCATGGGAAGTAGGCTTCTGTAGTCCCTCGCGTGTCCGTGTTCCAGTTGGAGATGCGAACGATAACGCAACGGCAATTGCAAAACGCCTTTCAACGAGGATCATGTCTGACGTGCGCGCCAGTATCTTTGGTTGCCGCGGATTAACAGAGCTCTTATTGAACGGATATAGCTCGGCGAGTAAAAACCATGGGGTTGCAATGGATGAGACGTCGCCGCTGGCCGTTTTGTGGTTGCTGATCACTCCGGGCAAACGGTGTTTGTTAAAGCGTTTGTTAAGCAGTCGAGCATCAATCTTGGGCCATTGCCGGCTAAGCTTGCTTCACTCCGTGACTCTGGGGCACACACCACATACCTGTTTCTCGAAAGCTCATTTATGCGATGGAGCTGGGGGGTTGGTGTTCGATTTTCCTGTGATTTGCCTCGTTTGTTTGCGTGTTCCATTGATTTTCTGTCCCCTTTTGAGGCGTAAATTATCGACAATTGTCTGCATGGCCCCAGCGGCCTGGTAAAATACCTTAGGTACAATCCATGGATGTCCACGGGTGTACACACGTAAATCGCAAATTGGTGGGTACTCTAATATCGGATGGCGCTGTACCCACTGAAATACAGGGAAGTCTGGGCGATTGCTTACTTTTTCTCTGCGCATCGGTAGATTCTGGGTGGCTCCGTGTGGAAAGCGCATTCGATGCAGGCTTCGATGGGTCTTCTGGAAGGAAGCCAGAAGCCCAGAACCCTTGGAAGTTTGGGGGGGGAAGGAACGGGGCCAGGATCGCCCAGCCTGTCGACGCCGCACGCTAGGTACCTTGCTCCGTAATACTGTGACGAATTAGTGGCGCACAACCACCCCCGACAAGGAGGCACACACACACCCCCCCTTCATTGTTCTCCCCCCTTTCCCCCCAATCGTACCAAGCCGTCGCCCTCCTCGGGAAGGAGGGGTCCCCCAAAACTGGCCCAAAGGAGCACCCTCGGCGCCCTTCGTGTGCTCTGGTGCCTGCTGCAAGAGCACGCAAGGACGACCAATGACCCAATGCCAGCCACTGACGGACAGCGCTGGACACACCAACAGAGGACCACCCGCAGGGCGTACTGGCTAGCGCATGGCAGGGACACAATTGTCGCCTGCACACGACGCACGCTGCAGCACGCTAGGTTCGTCTTCTCTCCCCACAACCGCCCTTCTCGAAGTTCCATTTGTTCACACCCACACACCCACCAACCCAGGCATGATAGGCGTCTTGAGGTCTTGATGACAAAACACCAAACCTGGCCCTATCAAGCCTCCCATCCCATCCTTGCCCCCCCTGGCAGGAGGAGACGATGTAAATTTGGCCTGGCGACCGTCAAATCTCACATCCACTAGCTAACGGCGTTGCATTCATTGATTGCTTGAGATGCGGTGCGATGGAGGATGAGATGGATGTACATACAGCCCCCGACCAGAGAGCACAATGGTACGTAGGTGAGTACTTGGGGGAGTCTTGCGGGTTGGCAGATATAGGTAGAACAGACCTACTCCCGTCGCATGAATACAGAGATCAACGGATGGTCGTCATTATAACATCTACCAACCTACATGTAGGTAGGCACTGAAGTAAAATACTTGTTAGCGGTAGAGCGCAGAATGGTGTAAATCCCGTTGAGTGAGCGCGAGCGCCATTCTTGCCAGAACAGAACACCTCTCTGGACCCAAAAGCAAAGCCGCCAGAAACATCCCCGTCCCTAGTCATCCCCACTCTGGCACCCGCGAGTCACCACCGATGGCCGATCAATCAATCGCTAGGTACTCTTCTTTTCTTCTTTCTCTCCCACCCCCCCTCCCACCATCTGGGCACCTCCGTTCCTCGCACACAAATCACACTCATCCCGGCGAGCCCACATTCTGACTCCCTGACTTGGGCGTCGAGAGTAGAGTAACCTCATTCTGCTGCGATCTGCAGCCTGTCGACGAGGTATCCCCATCAGCAACCCAGCATCCTTCTCGCTGACCCTCGCGAGCGTGTCTCTCTCCCCCCTCCTCAACTCTGGCCTCGAAAAGAACCTTGCACAGCTGTCTGTAAATGCCTACTTACACACACGCACACGCACACACACACATACACGGCCGACGGCCCTGATTCATGCCACGAGGCTTATCAGGGGAGACCAATCCAGTCCCGTCCAGCCCATTCACTTCGACTTCAACGGCCAACTTGCGTACACGCAGACACGAACAGTGCCACGACGCAGGCACATACATCACTTGCCCAATTACCTCTGTTCATCTGTCTGTGATCAGTCGAGGCTCTCTGCACTTTTTTCGCCCTTCCTTGCGATTCTTCGACCAGCTCATTCCGAGCCACGAAAGCTGCGACTTCTCTCCTTCGATTCCTCCCACTCCTCGATTTTCCCGTCCCTCGAGACACACAACATATCCAGGCCATCCCGACGTTCCACCCTGTCCCGGTTGCATTACACCATCCCCTCTCCCGTTTTCGCGCGCGACGCCGAGCAATTGACGGCGAGGGCTGCTTCCCATCTGCCACCCACACTTTTTTATATTTCGACCAAGCGACAGGTGCTGAGATAACCTCGTGCATCAGAGTGTGCTGAGGACCTCGCCCAAATTAAATCTACTTACCCGCCTGTTGGACAGCCGGGTCCTGCGTTCTGCCATTCGTCCCAGTGCCTTCAGCCTAGGCCTGGCAGCCGTCGTGAGCGACCGGGTTATATTTCTTCTTTCTGGCGGTCCTGAAATACGTCGAGGCGACAAGTCGAGAGAAGGCCTTGCCGAATTGTGCCAATAGCACACGAGATATTGAGAGATCTGACCTTGAACTTTTGGTCTGCGACGTCTTGCGACATCGTCGATACCGACCACCGAGCCGGCTGAGGAGGGTTGTTCTGGTGAGTCTTGTCTGTCTGTCACATTGGTGTCTCTATTACCTGCCTCCTCTACCATTGCCGCCGCTGCATATCTCCTCCCGTCTGCCATGTCAATCCCGTGCAGGGTCCTGTGGCTGGCCATACTCGTCCCAGATCCTCATAACACCTACCGTATACCTACCTACATTTCTGACGCCCCTTCTTATTGTTCAACACCTTCCCGCATCCACATCTGCACTCGCTGTTGTGCGTCCCACCTTCTTTACTTGGCTGCCGAAAAGTCTCAAGCTGGGCATTCGGGGAGCATCGCCGCGCTCGGTTTCCTTTCTTTCCCTGGCGCAACGTCACCTGGTCGTTCGTTACCGTATGGGGTTACTAATCGCTTTCTACGGCTCTGCAGTCTACCACATACCGGCCGCAGATCTGTCACGGTTTTCGATCGATCGCTCTACACTATATTGCCGATTAATCCCATGTACTCTGTCCCGTGGTCGATTTTCTGTTCTTCGCAAGCGAGGCGATAACCCGGCCACTTCCTTGGCAGCACTGTCTTCACGATCGTTTCATGACGCTGATGATTGACGTTGTGGCACGACCTTAACGCGATACGGCGCACAGCTGCACCATTACATCCAGTCTCCGGCGCATCTGGTTCAAGTGCGGGCCGACTGAGAGTGTCCTCGCTCGTTAGGTGCAACAGATCCTTGGTCAGCTTTTGACGGACTATTCGGTTTAGCGGATTTCCCACGGCTTATCGCGGGCACTGAGTTGACGAAATCTTTCCCTTGTGGCAGAGGCGTCCCGGTCGCGAGACTGGTCGCCGTGGAAAGCCACAATGAACTTCACGCCGTGTGATGTGATATACGTTGATCGCACAGTCGGTCGAGAAAGGGCTGTTGCGTCAGCCGCGGAAGATGTTCTTGAGGCTCAAGAATGGGAAACCGCTTCTATCAAGGAAAATGTTCGGCTACTACTCATGACTTTTGACGAAGGTACGGCTTTTCTTCACAGTACGGCGGAGGAGGGACTTTGGTTGATGCATACTGACCGGCTTGATCATTGCAGTCTACTTGTGCGCAACAGGCGAATCTTGCGTCTCTCGATTGATTGACCTTCAGCAAGACTCATTATCCGATCTCAGGCCAATCATATTGCTGCTCGATGTACCTCATGACGAGCGGTTACCAAACACAAGTCTTCGCCTAGGGTCGTCCTCATCAGACCTTGTTCTTCCGGATTCCGAGGCTTCAAAGGGCCAATATGGTCTCCGTCTACTGCAAAAAGTGGTTTCAGAAGCGCATTTCAGGAACCTTTCGAAGCTAGTGGTACCCATCCCCATCGTCAGCTTCTTGACAGACCCATCTGCATATGCCTCAGATGTCTCAACCTCATCCGTGGATCGTTCTCAGGTGCTCCCGAAACGTGGAGTACCAGACAGGCTACTTGTGAAGGCCTGTCTTGACTTTGGTGCGGTTGATATCATGGTCAGCCCGCTGCACCGTCCTTGCTTGAGCGCTCTGGAGGTGATCGCCTACCGAGCCCACAAGAATGCCGCAAGAGAACAACACGAACTGCTGGAAGTTAAGAGAGGTAGAAAAAGATCTTGGGTGGGAGTCTCAGACGAGAAACCGTTTGCCTATCTCAGGGAAGCCATGGTCTCTGGTCTGATGAAGGGTATCTGCCGGCTGAGTGAGGAGAGCGACGACCGCGCCGACACGATCAGGGTATCGATAGGGGCCGAAAGAAAGGCAAGAGTTGCCGCAGCAATCAGCCAGTGGAGCTTTTGTGCGCACGACTTTTCCGACGATGAACTGGTGGTCGCTTCGTTGCTGATGTTCAAGCACGCTCTCACTATCCCGGAACTTGAGAAGTATAGGATACCGACAGGTATGTTACCCGCCTGCACTGATTGTATTGGCGTCTTCCTTCTCTTTCCCCCCTCCTTTCTTTTTCCAGCCCTCGCAATGCACAAACGACTGTTCCGTGTCTTGGACTAACACAACCACTTGCAGATCAGCTTACCACTTATTTGGTCGCCTGCCGGGCTGCTTACAATAGCTTTGTACCATATCATAACTTTCGGCATGTCGTTGATGTTCTCCAAGCCACCTTCAACTTCTTGATCGGCATTGGCTCTCTACCGCCTTTCCCTGCCAACGGATCGGGTGCAGCGACGAATCAAAGATCGCCGATTGCGGCTTTGCTCAATCCGTTTGAAGCACTGACGCTACTCATCACAGCGATCGGTCACGATGTCGGTCACCCTGGCGTGAACAACGGCTTCCTCGTGGTACTCAATGCACCCCTAGCGCAACTGTACAACGACCGTTCGGTGCTGGAATCATTTCACTGTGCTGCCTATTCTCAGATTCTCCGGAGGCATTGGCCCGCTGCTTTTGAGGACACCAAGATGCGCAATCTTATGATCAGTTCAATCTTGGCAACCGATATGGGTCTTCATTTTGACTACATGAAAAAACTTGGAGACCTCGAAGACAAGCTACAAGAGAACAACAGCACTGAAGGCTGGAATGGTCGCCTGATAGAGGAGCAAAAGGCATTGGCTTGCTCGTTGCTGATCAAGTGCGCCGATATCAGTAATGTGGTATGTCTTGGATTGAATGTTCTCCCGCAGACTACCAAAGTTGCTAACCATTCTTGACAGGCTCGCAAGTATGACACAGCTCTCAAATGGATGCACATTCTATCGGATGAGTTCTCCAGGCAAGCGTCTATGGAGAGTGAGCTCGAGATAGCTTCATCCTTGATGGCTCCTCCCAAAACGGACGACATGTCGCTTCTGAAAGGCCAATTGGGCTTCATGAACTTGTTTGCAATTCCTCTTTTCCAAGGGGTTGCTCATGTTCTACCTGGTATGCAGTGTTATGTTGACGAGCTTGATATCAACAAGGGTCTGTTTGAAAAGAAGGTCTCTGAAGCTCAAGCCGCGGACAATGCAGCGCGAGACATCCAGCGGGATGGGGCACTTTCACCTCGGTCCACGAGTGTCGCCAATACGCCAGCCAAGGAGCGAGACATCAAAAGCGTGGCTTACCCTGTGAATTCAACTTTGAAAGAGCAGTGCGAGGCCAGCAATGAGTTCTCGCCGGAGCAAACATCACCTACAAACAGACCTTCACACGTTCCAGCTGTCAACGAAGACTATAAGGAAGTCAATGGCATCAACACACAATTCGACGCTGTGGCCGACTTCGCTGCCAGCGACCCATTCCACATCAACGAGGCGAGGCAGTCTGCATCAGCGAAGCAGCGCTGCAGCGAGGCGACGGACGGTAGTGCGTCGGTCCCATGTACAGGGGACTGGGCGTCTCAGGCCACAAGCGCTACAACGGGAAAGATGCCTCTCTCGCCCAGCACCCAGGGGACGAGTATTGTCAGTCGGGACTCTATGGAGCGGCCAATCAGCATCCCTGTCACGACCATCACAGCACCCGATTCGTCCAAGAGCCACTCTGACTCGAGGCTAGAGCCTCAGCGGTCCATCGAGGACGAGATGTCGTCCACCTCGTCCAATGGCAAGTCTAGTGACGTCAAGCCACTCAAGAAGAAGTCGAGTCGTTTTCGGTTGAATTTTTTTCGCCGGCATAAGAGCGCGAGTCCACCGCTACCGGCTGCTGACGCTGTATGACCGTTTTGAGAAGGGTCGACGTTGATGTGCCACGACACCATGCTGCAGTCAATGGGCGTCGACACACAAATCTAAGCTACCGCACACATAGTTCCGCTGCGAACACTTGGCTGTCAAGGATTCTGCAGCTCAGGGACGCAGAAGAAGTCCCTATATCATCCATGTTACATACACATCCGTTCAAGGGGCCCGATTTCGAGCTTCCTCTAGGGTTCGTGCCATTCCTCAACAAGAGCTCCCTCGGCAAGAGTAGCTGCAGCGGGTTTACGAGTGAAGGATCATACTCCCTCTATACATATATATATCGGATACGGCGTTTCACATTACCATCGGGGTCTTTCACAAATTTTCTCCAATGGGGACGGTCCGGCCGGGTGTCTTCTCACCCTTCCCCTTTCTATGCTCTTTCTTCAACCTATACCACCCAACATATCACTAGGCGCAGGAGGTGGTTCTTTTTTTTTCGGGTGTATTTATGTGTACGTTATTCGGTTCCAGGACGGGGAATGAAAAGGACGCCAGGGTGGGCGGGACAGACCTGCGAGGGACGGTCGTCTCGGGAACGCAAATTCAAAAGGCATTCGGCGAAGGGGTTGGAGTTGGACTCTGTTTTGTTTTTTTCGGGCGTGAGGGAAGGTTCGGCGGCATCCGAGAGAGACGGACGGGGGATCCATTGTATAGTAGGTATGGAAGTGACTTGACAGAAAAGAGAGAAAGGCATTTCTTTGTTCCAAGCCTCAGTGTTCACCCAACGGTCGATGTCTTGGCAAAACAGGGTCCAAACTTGTCCAGCTGCTCACATCACAATGGTCTGAAAAGTCAAGAGATTCTTAATTTACTGACAGGAGTTTCTAGTTACTGTGTGCGCTACTACTCTGCATGTCCATTCTGCGCGTCTCCGAAACCCAAAAGGACGAACAAGGCCGGTTACTCAGAGCCCTATGCCGATGCAGACAAGATGGAAAAAGGAATGATAATCAAAAACAAGAAAAGATTCCAGAATGTACCCCCACCAATCCCACCTGTCTTGACCTCCAGCACATTCACAGTCTGTATCGATACACGCACACACACGCAGATGCATCCCTCACATCAACAGCCCCAGCGCTCACGCCTCGAGGAACTCGCCGCCCAACCACCGGTTGAAGAAGTCGAGCGAGTTCTCGGGCTGGTCGTACGGCACCATGTGGCCGGCGTCGTAGATGCGCATAAAGGTGAAGTTGCCGCTGGCCTTCACCTTGCCGTACTCCTTCCTCTTCTTGTCGCCGCTGGCGGAGGAAGAGGACCCGGAGGCGAGCAGCAGGTCCTTGACCTCTGCCTCGTTGAAGGCCTTCTTGCCCTTCCACTCGAGGGCCTCGGTCCAGGCCTGGTTGCCGAGCCAGTTGCAGATGTAGTCGGCGTCGCCGGCGTAGATGAGCACGGGGATCTGGTCGAGCAGCTTGGGGACGAGGCGGTGGAAGGGCTGCATCCAGTCGCCCTGGAAGAGGAAGTTGCGGTTGATGTCAAAGTTGCACGAGTCGTACGAGTCGACCTCGGCGCCGAGGGCGTCCATGATGTCCTTGCGGTTCAGGTACTTGGAGATGTAGCCCAGCTGGGGGTAGCACAGGTTGCTGTTGTCCTTGCAGGGGCCGCGGATGTCGTAGACGTTCATGCCGGTGCGCTGGTACGGGCCGATGAGGGCATTGTTGCAGTAGATGGAGGCGGGCACGCAGGACCAGACGCTGCCGGACTCGTAGCAGTTGTTGATCATGGACTGGCAGCGAGGGAGGGCGTTGTCCATGGACTGGCACTCGGACTCGTCAAGCACAGCAGGCCAGCCGCCGTCGCCACAGGCCATGGGGCGGTAGTACTCGTACTGAGTGTAACCGTCGGTCAGACCATTGCCAATGAGGACGGACTTGAGGTTGATGTTGCGGTTCTTGTGCGACAGAATCTCAGAGGCGAAGACGGGAATGTAGTGGCCAGCATAGGACTCGCCAGCAATGTGGAAGTCCTGCTTGGCGTACTCGGGGAACTGAGTGAAGAAGAGAGTCAGGAGCGCGTAGACATCCTTGCCAGCGGCCACCGTGTTGCTAACAGAAGAGCCGGAGTAGGAGTAGCCGACGTTGACAGGCTGGTCGAGGAAGATGACGGAAGCATTGCTGTTCCAGGCGAAAGGGTTGAAGTCGAGCTTCTCCTTCTCGTTGACCCACGAGGGACCGAGCTCGAAGAAGAGGCCGGTCAAAGAAGAGCAGCCCGGGCCACCATTCAGCCAGAGGACCACAGGGTCGTTCTTGGGGTCGTTTCGCGACTCGAAGAACCAGTAGAAGAGGTGCTTATCATTGGCCTCGTCATCGAGATAACCGCTGTACTGCTTGACCTTGTCCACGCCGAGCTTGGAAGGGTCAACGGCCTTGGCGCGCAGGTTGTAGTCCTCGAGGCGGCCGCCGACCTTGCGGTGCTTCTCGCCATCCTCACCCTGGATCCAGAGCTTCTGGACATCGGCACCCTTGACGACATGGTCCCAGTGGGAGTCGGGGCGGCGGGTGTGCTTTTTGGGGCTGCTGAAGAAGGTGGTCTTGTCGCCGGCATCAGGAACCAAGAGCTTGACCTCGTCCCAGAGAGCCTTGGCCTCGGAGGTCATGCCCTTCATGGCCTCCTCCAGAGACTTGAGGGCGCCATTGCCGCTGAGCTTGTCGGCAATGGGCTTAAGAGCCTCAAAGCTGTCTGACAGGACGTGCTGGGCGGGCTGGTGGTTGAAGAGGGCGGTAGCGCTGCCCGCAAGGAGCGCTGAGGTTGCGATCCTCATGCTGGAGTGACTGCGTTGGAAAGGGAACACGCGCTTGGAAGCTGTAGTAGAGACGGTATATACGTCAGTACATCGGTCTGGCAAGTGAGGGGAAACAGCCACGGCGGGAAAGGAATGCTATTTAGAGAATGGGAATTACCTGATAGGGAGCAACACCGTCAAGATGCTGTTCTGTGCTGTTGATGGCGGGAAGAGAAGCTTTGAGAAACTGCACAGCAGATGGAGGATGAAACGTGGGAGAGCAAGATGGATGGGTGGGAGGAGGGTGAGGACGAGGCATGCGTGTGTTTGCGTGGACCCGAGCCAGGCACGGGATCCCGGCGGTTGCTCCAGACTGGGGGGGCCTCCTCATCAAGGTGCGGTTTGCGGGTGCGGGTACCTGCCGAGTACCACCGCACCTTAGATAAACAGGTGGCGCAGGTGTCCAATTGTGGCCTACTTCTCGCTAAAGACAGCGGACTAGCTGCTAGACCTGCCTAATCTGCGCACGCTACGCGGGCTTACGACTCTGCTAGCTCTTATCAGCGCTGGTACTCCTCAAGTACATACAGCCTAGACCTCTAGACGTCATCGTCCCTGGGCTTTTGTTTTGAAGCAAAGCCTGGCTCTGAGTCCACCAGAACTCGTCCTGGTATTTACTCTAATGATGTCCTATGTGAACATAGACCACTCCAGCATTTACACAATCTTTGTGCACTGAGAGCTTGTGCATCAGTCCCCGAAGCCAAGTAGGATCTGCCGCAGGTTGGTCGGGGATCATGAGTAAGTTGCTCTGGATCCTTATCAGAGTGAGTGGGCCAGATCTGCTCGTACAGCATGCCTTGCTCGCGCACACACAGATGCAGGGACGGTGGCACGCCAGCAGCACGCCCGCCAGCAATTGTCAAGTCATGGGATCTAGCTGAGTCACAATGCCGACTCTTGTTCTCCACTTGGTTAACTAGTCCAAGTTCTCCATCCGGTGTCTGCAGCAGCTGGCAGACAGGTGTCCAAATACTGCTCCTTGAACTTTGCGTGCTTGTCTACTACCTTAGATACTGCTGATAAAAGAAAAATTATCGGTGTCAACGTCAATCGTGGGGCAGTAGACTTATCACGAAGTAGATGATCAGAGCGAAGTGGGGTGAAAAGGTATCAATCATACTGTGTCATACCGCTTTAGCTACTTTACTGGATCTGTCAAATACATTTGCGCAACTTGGAGGCATCTGCACCTGAGCCTTTTCTGTTGCAGTGTTTCTCAAAGTCTTTGCATATCTATTCCTGAACAACAGGAGGCGGCACTCGGGTCTGTAGGTGCTGCGCACGACATACCTTACAACAATCCAACTTGGAGACAGCACTGGCAACACCCAGGAACCAACCTTACACAGCAACACCACTTACACAGTCTCGGTCTGCAGCGGACTACTCGCTGCCACCGCCTCCCACCATGGTCATCAACCAGCCCTCCAACCAGATCAAGCTCACCAACGTCTCGCTCGTGCGCCTCAAGAAGGGCAAAAAGCGCTTCGAGATCGCCTGCTACAAGAACAAGGTCCTCGAGTGGCGCTCCGGCATCGAGACCAACCTCGACAACGTCCTGCAGATCCCCAGCGTCTTCCTCAACGTCTCCAAGGGCCAGACCGCCCCCTCGGCCGAGCTCGCCAAGGCCTTCGGCAAGGACGCCAAGGTCGACGACATCATCCTCGAGATCCTCAACAAGGGCGAGCAGCAGGTCGGCGAGAAGGAGCGCGCCGCCCAGACCGAGCGCGTCCATGCTGAGGTCCTGAGCATCGTCGCCAGCCGCCTCGTCGACCCCCGCACCAAGCGCGTCTACACCACCGGCATGATCGACAAGGCCCTCGACATGCTCAGCGCCCAGGCCCACCAGCAGCAGCAGCAGCACGCCGGCGCCGAGAGCAAGTCCGCCGCCGGCAGCGGCGCCGGCACCCCGGCCACCGGCGAGTCCGGCGAGGCCAAGCCCCGACCCGCCCCCAAGGCCGTGTGGACGGGCGTGACGAGCACCAAGAGCGCCAAGTCGCAGGCCCTGGACGCCATGAGAGCCCTCATCGCCCACCAGCCCATCCCCGTGGCCAGGGCCCGCATGAGGCTGCGCATCACATGCTCGACAAACGTGCTAAAGCAGGCTGTCAAGGCGCCCAAGGGTCAAGACGCAAAGGCCGACGGGGATGATCAAAAGGCAGCGCCTGGGACAGTCAAGGACAAGATCCTCAGCTACGTCGAGCAGGTGGAGAACCAGGATGTAATAGGATCGGAATGGGAGGTGACGGGCTTCGTAGAACCCGGTGCTTTCAAGGGCTTGTCCGACTTTGTTGGCAACGAGACCAAAGGTCAGGGAAGAGTCGAGGTTCTCGACATGGCTGTCACCCACGAGGACTGAACAAGGCCTCATCCTTTCATGCCTCGTCACGAATTTCTTGCATTTATCCTGTTCCTCGCATCATCTGCATGGCTCGGCGTTGGAAAAAGATGAAATTTCCTTTGTGGTCGATAGCAAAAGTTTTGCGTTTCTCTTTACATAGAGCATATTCCGAAATGACTAGCCAGTGGTATTGAACCCAGTACCCTCAAGTTTGACCTGTGGAAGCAATCCCGGTGTAACATCCCAAGGCGAGGCAAGTATCGATATGACCATGGCCACACATCACGTAAAGGAATTAAGATGTCATTTTCGTCAATTGTGGGAAATTTTTTCTTTTATGCCTCGAGTCCACTCATGACCGTGAGCCACTCATTCCATGCAAAGCCGTCAAAGATGAAAACAGCCGTATCACGCCCGACCTTCCACGATGATAGAAACACCAAAGCCAGCGAAGACCCAGCCGTCCAATCCACCTCTCGTCCCTTCGTTCTTTAACCACCCTTCTTCTTGGAGACACCGACGGTCCGGCCCCTGCGGCCGGTGGTCTTGGTGTGCTGACCGCGGACACGGAGGCCCCAGTAGTGACGGAGACCACGGTGAGCGCGGATCTTCTTGAGGCGCTCGAGATCGTCACGGAGCTTCGAGTCGACACCGTTGGCCAGGATGTGGCTGTCCTTGCCGTCGACAATGTCGCGCTGTCGGTTGAGGAACCAGGTGGGGATCTTGTACTGGGTAGGGTTCTGGAGGATGGTGACGATACGCTCAAGCTCTTCGGAGGTGAGCTCACCGGCGCTGTGGAAAGAGTGAAGTCAGTCTCGACTGTTCCTGTGGCTCGTTCTCGAAGACCTGTTCCCGGGTCCATCCTGCATGCTCCTCATATCCGTGGCCGCCCCAGACATCTTGTCCATTCCATGTGAAATGGAACTCCAGGCCAGTTCTCCTCGCACCACGCAGCTTTGCATCCAGTAGATTGTGTGTTGGGGAGAAGGGTGATTGCATACCGCTTGTTCAGGTCGACATCGGCCTTCTTGCAGACGAGGTTGGAGTAACGGCGACCGACACCCTTGATCTTGGTGAGGGCGTAAACGACCTTCTCCTTGCCGGAGACGTTGGTGTTGAGAAGACGAAGGATGAACTGGAAGTTCGACTTCTCCCCCGATACGAGCGACATGTTGGGCAACCTGTTCCGATGGACGGGTTTGATGTTGCCTGCGATGTCAACTTTGACAGGAAGTTCGAGGTTCAGAGGGGATTGAAATTTTGCGGTGAAATTCTTGGTGGAGGGTCAATTGGGGCCCGCCCTCGCTTAGCGCTAGGGCAGAAATCGCGTCACGTGGACAGGCCATCAGCGAGTTGTGCACGTGATGCCCTGAGGCGGTCCGAGCGGGAAGAAAGTCCGAAAAGAGGCTGGATGGATGATGACTAAGATGAGCCGAGCGACAAGTAGGAACGGTGGCCAAACGGGTCTCCACTAAAATATGACAGGGGAGCGTCACTGCCCGCCTACTCCGTAACAGCTACGGAGTGCGCCGTGCCTTACAAGGTACAAAGGACTGGTAGCCTCCTGGACCGCCTACGTAAACACCAACAACATCAGGACAGTTTCAAAAGACACCTTTGCCCAGAAGAATAGACACCCTTTCCGTGACGCTCTTTGACCCAGGAAGGACCGGCCAGCTGGCTTCTGCGCCCGCCTAGTGTATCTCGTTAAGCATACAGGATCCGTCTCTGATCCTCCCTCCTCCCTCCTACTATCGAACCAACCTCGGGACCTGCATCTCCTTTCTTCTACCAACAGACTCCACGTTTACGACCGTCACGAACAGCCATGGATATGCGCAACAACCTCTTCGGCAAAGGGCCGAGAGGCGGAGTCGGCTCCGGCGGTCCTCCCCCTCCCCCTCGCCCGAACCCCAACGCTCCCCCGCCGGGCAGCTACAACGCTCCGCCGCCGGGCAGCTATAACATGCCGCCGCCGGGCAGCTATAACATGCCGCCGTCTTACAACAGCTCTCCCGGCATCAGCAGTCCGCGGAGACCTGTTGGTGGAGGCAATGCTCCGCCACCTTCGCAGATGCAGTACCGGCCTAGCGCGCCGGGCGGCCAACAGGTGATGCTGCGGTTGACCAAGATCGACGACAAGAACACATTGGATGAGTACATCTATGGAAATCTGTATGCTCCTCGCCAGACTGTGCTGTCCGCCGTGCTGGATGCTGACTACCTTTAGTTGCGCGGTGTCGCCCAACGATTTCCCCCCCAACCGAGATGGCTCTGATCTATATCTCATGCTTCGGGGCCCAGAGATGTCTGGCTCTTATGTTGTTACTGCCCGACCCTTGCCCGGCTTCCCAGACGGGACGATTTACCTCTCGGACCCCCAGCGAACATGGTGTGGTGTTGGCCTCAGGGATACCAGTAGGTTCATCATGCAAGAAGCACCCAACTATTGGCCGCCAATCTGACTTCTTTTCGCAGTAATGGGCGAATACTACGACCCCTTCAAGCAAGGCAATCAGGCCTACCTAGGCTCTATGGACCTCGAAATTGGTTTTGCGTCGACGCGGAAGACCACCGAGGAGCAGTATGACCAAGATGTCCTTGAGCAGCTGTTCCTCCAGAGATATGCCGACCAGGTTCTAGCTCCTGGCCAAAGGATCTTGATGGACATCAAGAACATCCCTCTCTCGATCCTGGTGAGGACAGTAAACCTCGTGGACCTAAGCGTGGAAAAGAAGTCCTCAAAGGAATCGAATAGCTCCCCAAACGCAAGGGGTATTCTCGTCAAGGGCCAGACAAAGCTCACTTTCTTCAAAGACGCCAAGTCGCCCATCAACCTCAAGGCATCAAGCAGGCGACCTCCAGCAAACGCCATCATCTCCCCTGATTTTGACTTCCGAAGTCTGGGTATCGGTGGTCTCGATGATGAGTTCGCCACAATCTTCCGACGCGCCTTCGCTAGTCGTGTCTTCCCGCCAGGCCTTATCGAGAAACTGGGTGTGATGCACTGTAAGGGTATCTTGCTCTTCGGCCCCCCCGGTACTGGTAAAACATTGATTGCGAGGAAACTTGGCAAGCTGTTGAATGCCAGGGAACCGATTGTCGTCAACGGTCCCGAGCTCCTCAACAAGTATGTCGGTGCTTCCGAAGAGAACGTACGAAAACTCTTCACCGAAGCCGAGAAGGAGTACAAGGCCAAGGGAGAGGAGTCCGGTCTTCACATCATCATCTTTGACGAGCTAGATGCCGTCTGCAAGCAAAGAGGGTCCGGTGCCGGTGGCGGGACTGGCGTTGGGGACAGCATCGTCAACCAGCTGCTTTCCAAGCTTGATGGTGTCGATCAGCTCAACAACATCCTTCTTATCGGAATGACGAACCGGAAGGACATGATTGACGAGGCACTGCTACGTCCGGGACGTCTGGAGTTGCAGATCGAGATCAGCCTGCCTGACGAGAACGGCAGACAGCAGATTCTCAACATCCACACAGCCAAAATGGTTGAAAACGGCATCCTCGACACAGACGTCGATATTGCCGAGCTGGCAGCGCTCACAAAGAACTTCTCGGGAGCAGAGATCAGCGGTCTCGTACGCTCTGCCACTTCGTATGCGTTCGGTCGCCACACAAAGGTTGGCACGATCGCTGGAGTGGGTGATGACGTCGAGAACATGAGGGTCAACCGCGGGGACTTTATGAACGCCCTAAGTGAAGTGCGTCCGGCATACGGTGTGGCTGACGACGAGCTGTCGGAGGCTATTCCATACGGCATTATCGACTTTAGCCCCAACATCAAGAACATCACCAATGATGGCCTGCTTTACGCAAAGACGGTCCGTCTCGGTGAGCGACTTCGTCGCATGTCTGTCCTGATCCACGGCCCTCCAGGGGCGGGCAAAACGGCTCTGGCAGCACACATCGCCCTAAAAGCAGATTACCCATTCACCAAATTCGTCACGCCCCAGAGCCTAGTGCCTTTCCGGGACGAGATGGGCAGGAGAGACCATCTACACAAGGCCTTTTCAGACGCATACAAATCTCCCCTCAGCATCTTGATCATTGACAGCATCGAGCAACTCATCGAGTGGAACCCGGTCGGTCCCAGGCTGAGCAACACTATCTTCCAGACTCTACGGACTCTGCTGCAAGCCCCTCCTCCAAAGGGCCACCGCCTCCTCATCTTGGCAACGACGTCGCAGCTCTCTACCCTCAGCCAGCTGGATATGCTTGACTCCTTTGATCGCCAGATCAGTGTGCCCGCCGTCGGCAGGGTCCAGGAGCTGGGCACTATTCTGAGCGAGATGAATGTATTCGAATCGGAACAGGATATCAACGCGGCACTCAACGGGGTCAACGAGGTTGGAAGCACGGTGGGCGTGGGAGTCAAGAATGTCTTGACTATCGCCGACACAGCCACAGAGGCTGGTGACAGCCCGGTGGACTGGTTCGTAGACCAGCTGAGGGACCAGATGATGCGGAATCAGGTTGGGCAATATAGATAGATAGCGAATGATAGACTAAGACCGTTCACGGACAAAACCCCTAAATCTCAACTGCTTGCTGAGCGTGCATTGTAACTCATTTCTCTCTCAGCTTCTCCTCCAAATTAGTCGAGCCTAATTAACCCGCATGGTTTCAGGTCCGAGACGAGTGATGTGCACAGATCAAACACGAGGCAGAAACATAAAGAAACGCAGGTTCTGTGATGTCACGAAACGCATAAATGACACTTGCGGGATAGTCATGTCCACGGTAATCGCTCTGGTCTTCACGGCACTCAGACTTCTATTCCTAGTAATTAGTTCTAGCCTGGATCTACCATCGTTGCACATCATGGGTCCGAAGGAAAACCTGGTTATGTTTCTTGATCATCCCTCACCCACGATTTCACCTCCCAGGTCCTAATGGGGATCGAATGGCCAGGGAACCAGGCACAAGGGACAAAAGAGACAAAAAGGCAGGGATGGACGAATAGCAAATGTGATCAAAGTAAAAGACACATGGTATTGCCGGTAAAATGTAATAGACCTACAGTGTGAACTAAAGAAGAAGAAACCACCGTCTTCGCGGTCCAAGGACCAGGATCAAACCCCTTGACCCATTCAGCACCCCCCCCCCCCCTCTTTCCGACGATCAGCCTTCTGTCGGATTGACAGAAGCAGCAGCTGGCTGCGCAGACGACGTCGCCGAGGCCGCCGCAGGCGCAGACGCCGAAGTCTGGTTGCCGCTAGCCTGGTTGGCATTGTTGGCATTGTTGTTGTTGTTGGCAGCAGCAGCAGCAGCCCCCTTGCCGTTGAGCAGCTGGTTCGCAAGGTTGGCGTCGAGCCCGCCGCCGAGGACGAGCCCCGCCAGCTGCGCGTTGGCGACCTGCCCGGCGGCCAGCAGCGCCGACTGCAGGTTGAAGAGCGAGTTGCCGTTGGCGCCCCAGAGGGCGCAGTCGGCGCTGAAGCGCGAGATGTCCTCGACGAAGAGGTTGCGCGCGCCGGGCAGGATGACGGCGGCCGGGTCGGCGAAGACCTGCGCGCGGTTGGGCAGGGTCGGCGCCTGGGAGCCGAAGGGCAGGACGACGGACTGGTTGGACCGGCCGAAGGGCGCGGCCGGGTCGAAGGCGGCGATCTGGGGCGAGCTGCCGGTCTGGTTGGAGGCGTCGGCGGCGGCCTGGGCCTGGGCCTGAGCCTGAGCCTGGGCCTGGGCCGAGGCCGCGGCGGGGTCGGCGGCGGCGGACGGCGTGGGCAGGCCGATGGTCATCTCCTCGGCGGCGCTGATCATGACGACGACCTCCTTGTCGGGGCGGCCGTTGTCGGCGAGCAGCTGGTTGACCATGTAGCGGTTGTTCTGGGCGTTCCTGTTGCGCAGGTCGACCACCTTGGTGACGGTGACGATGACCGTGTTCTTTACGTCGAGAGTGTTAGCCCGAGTCCTTTCTTTTCCTTCTTCTCACATTCCGAGTGAAGCGGTCGTTTGTTGGAGGACGGGCAATCTTGACTTACCACCTGAGTGAAGCGAGACCTGAACGTGTTGATGCGGATGTTGTTCTTGATAGCCTCGATCGTCTGGAGCAGGGTGACCTGGGACTTCACCAGGGCGAGAAACTCCAGCTCCGCGAGGCGCGCAAGGTTGTTGATGGCGCCAAGGTTCTGGTTAACGATGACAATGTTTGGCTGCGCAACGGTCTGCTGGATGATGACATTGTTGCGTTTCTGCGCCCTCGTTGTGTGCTTGAGTCCTCTCTCGACAGGCATGGCGTCCTTCTCGACGAGAGCAGGAGCTAAGGGGTATCGTGTCAGCTCTGCTCGATCCCTCACCATGCCAGCAGCACTCGACATGCGACTTACCTGCAGAGGCAAAGGCAGCCAAGCCCGCCAGTGCGGAAATTATATGCGTGAAGTGCATCTTGTTTTTCTTTTTGTTTTTTTCCGTGAGACGTGATATTATCTCGGTATGCTTCCAGAAGGATTGACGAGGTACAGAAACCGAGTATACGCAAGAGTACTAAGAATGATAATAATAAAAAGAATGTTCCTATCAAAGGAGTGTGAAGCGAAAGTTGAGCAAGCCAGCAACTCGGTATCAAACCGTGAAAAGAAGGAATTTGAGCAGCCGCTTGGGCGCGTATAAGAGAACGACGAACAAGATTAAGAGAACAAGAAACGAAGCAAGTCGAGACGACGATCCTCAGTGATCATACATGGAGCAACATAAGAAGATCATTGATGCGCGAGGATGCTCATCGTGGGCATAAAGTACCTCCCGCGGCTTGAGGAGTTTGGTTCTCCTCGAGGGGGTTTCTGCGCATCGACTTGATGCAGTTTCACGATACCGGCTGTTAACATCCCGCTCCTGTCCAGCCTTGCCAGCATTGCTTGCCAAGACCAGGTCAGGGGCCACGAGGGCGGCGCCACCCCTCTGGTCTGTACTCCGCATGTCAAACAAACGAGAGAGAAGAAGGCATTGGGTAAGTCCCGCGGGAATGGAAGCAAGCGAGGGCCATATCAGGTTAGGGGGGGTGCGCGCGAGACTTGGCTCTCGAAAAGACCCGAGTCTAGCGAGTATGCTTACCTACTGCCAGCATTCCAGATGGGATAAGGTAGCTGCCAACCTTGCACAGAACCTTGCACAGCCTTGATGGGACGCATGCCCTGTGTGCCAAAGTTCCCTCCACCCCCAGCTGGTTCGGCGAAAGACTTTCTTTCAAAACAAAGGGGGGATGCACTTACAAGTAGATATCGAGGCTAGCCTCGCAGGGCAAGAGGGCTTGTCAGATGTCAAACGACATGGGGGCACCCATGTGTCAAAGAGTCCGGGCGCAGGGTGCCCGTCGTCACGGTCCAGCCAATCAGGTATGGAGCGCAAAGCTTGGGATGGCCTGTTGTCCCAACCATCCCTGTCGCTTCCAAGACGCACTCTGTTTTGCCTCAAAACTTTTGGCACGGGCGGTTCCCTGGGTCGCAACTCCATTGCGAATAACACCGTAGCACTCTGCCGTCTTCTAAGGGGTCTGAATACTCGGTAGCGACTACCCTGCTGACATTTCTGCCCAGCCCGGTGATCTCTGCTCGTGCGATCATTGGAGATCATATGTGCATCGTCGAGAGGACTGTCCCTTTCCGGTAAAAGCGGGCGCGTAGATGGTGCTCCAGGCGTAAGATGCTCAGAAATGATAAGGCCGAACTGACGGCCAGGGTCTTCATCATCGTCTGAAGTCGGGTCGAAGCGGCGAGGAATATCACCACTCTGGAACAAATCCAAAGAGGGCGAGCAGGAGAAGGAGTCTTGCCCAAGAGTACTTCCTCAACAGCATTGTATCAAAGGGTGTGATATTCCTACAAGGTCTATTCCACTTAAGCCTCCTGATTTGCATAATTAAACAGCCAGAGCAACGCAACCAGAGCCAATGCGTTGGCGAATGGATAGCTTTGTCGCCACCATCGGCTGCTGCTCTCGCGCGGTAATTTATTGGTCGATGATGCACCGCAGGGCCTGACCTGATGTCCGCTGTTGCGAGTACCACTCTCGAGCTGGTCCATCTCGATGCCGCCAGGCGTGAGACCAGCATCTAGCCCATCGCCAAATAGCCAGCTTGCACAATCTCTCAATCCACAGTGAGCTTTATGACTAGCCCAAAGGAGAAGAATGGTCAAAACTACGGTCTCAAGACGCCAGCCAAGAGCAGAGACAATGCCCTCGCTCTCAGTCCAGAGCCCGATCCTCAGGAGGCCGGTGCCATCGCCAGAGAGCAGGATGTGGCGATGCAACACGTAACTTTCGACGGCGAAACGTCCCAGAAATGCTGGAACCGCAAAATAGACGTGTCGCAAAGTCCGGTGCGAGGTTCTCAGGACAGCAAATGATAAGACGACGGGTGCTGCAAAACGGAGGTGAAGTCTATCGTAATCCTCTCGAGTATTGCACTCTGGCCGAATATAGCTCCATAGGAAAACCACAAGAGACAGAGCAGAGAAGATGCGTAGAATGTTCTGCCAAGGCAATGTTGGTCCGACGTGATTCAGTGGCTGATCCATTAGCGACCGTTTCTCGCCTGATGATGCTTGGGGAGGATATCTCGCATGTCCATTTACTGTCGACTCTGAGATTGTTGATCCCTGTGCATAGCACGCAGCCCATAGACCAGCCAGTCCTGGAAACGTGTCAAGAGCGAGCTGCTTCCTGATGAGTTCCTGGTCATAAACGATAGGAGCCATCTTCTGCAGAGCATGGCCAATATAAGTCATGAATCGTGGGTCGTGGGCCAGGTACAGAGTCGCTAGAGCCACAAGGAAGAGCTTCGAGTGCAGAAAACGAGGGGTTTGATTTGCACGCCTCAAGATTCGGAAGCCAACATATGTGAGGACAAACCAGAATGAGAGCAAGTAGGTGAGGTGGTACGTGGTCCAGCTGACCGCCATGACTAGACCCAGAAGACAGCTAAGTGCGTTGAGACGGAATATAACGACACAGAATCGGCCAAATGAGAGGTCGTCTGTTTCAATGAAGTACCTCGCATGATTGTAAGCCGTTATGAAGACAAAGGACGATATGCACAGACGAGTTAACGCATAGGCCCACAGCACTTCATTCGTGTTTTGGAACCGCAGTAGTAAGAGAGTTATGTGCATCCAGCCCTGCCATTCATTAGCAATATGCTGTGGCAAGAGGCGAACTGACTGTCGTGGATTGTCCGTGGTGATTCGGTTCGTCTCTTCATTCTCGGTGAACGCTGACTGAACCGACAGGGCAGCGAGAAGATGGCCCAGGGCTAGGAGGCCGAGTAGTGTCCCGTGAGCATAATGCTTTTCGGCTTTTGCAAAAAGTTGCGTTCTGTCGGCTAGGAAGCAATATGCGGCAACCAAGACAATAGTCAGGAGCGCGCGCAGCTTGAGGGCCAGCGGTGACTGGAATCGAAGAGAGAGCGAGGTAGATATCCCTGTCGCTGAGACGGCAACTGAAAAAATAATCACACCGAGGAGAGCCAAAATGGCCTGTCCGCCAAGGAGCGAGGGGTATCCTGCGCAACAAGTAATCTGATTAAGCTGGCCATGCCAGACAAGTCCGGCATTGCATCGAACATTGAGAGCGGCATCAATCCAGCGTTCAGTGAACCCCTCGTGCATGTGAATGCCGTTCTCCATATAAGCATTTTGCGCATGCCGAGTCATCTCATTATAGACCATGGCGAGGTGGGATCTTGCAACCGACGGTAAGTGGTCTAGATACCGGTTCATGGTTTGAATCTTCTCCGGACTTAAGCTGTGTTTCCTGCTGCTCGAGAGTTTGTTGTACGCTGGGATGTGCACTGGTGCCAGCAAGACTTGATTTGATATATCGTTATACGATAGTTTTCTGCCGTGAGAAGAGGAAACCGCATTTCTTAGATACGGTGTCACGCCATCAATCGATCGCTTGAAGACGGGAAAATAGTCCTCACCGCCGTTGCGCGCAGACCACAGGCCAGGTGCGCCCATAAGAAGCAAGGCGGCAGAGCCGGCAGAGGCTTCGGTGCCATCGGAAGAGAGGATCGGAAGATCTTTGCTCTGGAATCGCGAAAGCTCTTCGAGGAGTATCGATGAATTTAGCCATGGGTCCCAGAGGAACTGCAACTTGACACTCTCGACCTCCAACGAAATGTCGTGTTGCGGGTTCTCAGAGACAAAGGTCTCCATGATCAACTCATCGGCCTTGACATGGTCCAGGCGCCGTACGGCAGCCCAGAAGACCTGCCGCGTGACCGAATCCCCAGCAAAGACGAGCCTTCGGCCGCCGAGGCAGTCGCGAAACTCGTCGCGAGAGTACTCATGCATGCGACAGCCAGCAGGCTCCCACCTCTCGAACTCGCGGCGGGTCTCAGCCAACGTATCGTTGGGAGGCCAGCTGCCATGGTTGAGTAGAGAGTTGCACCTGTCCGGGTCAAGGCGTCCTGTGTTCAATGTTGGGTTAGCTATTCTAGTATCCTGATCACTATGGTGTTGAGATATGTGTGCACAAGACTCACTGATGAAGAGATACTGCAAGCCGATAGCAACAATGACAAGAGCCAGGCAAAGCTGAGGTGCTTGTCCAGCCAGGTTAGAGCTGGCCCTCAAAAGATATTCCCGTAGCCATTTTCGGATGTGAAACATCGGTGTCTGCGATATGGACGTAATGATGGGGTTATCTGCAGTTGGTATGCATGACCTGCAAAGGCTCACAGATTAACGAGTCCGGGAATGGCTCGAGGAGCAAAGCAAGCACAGCTGTGTCTGGCTGATGGCCAAGAGATGATGCATGCAGGCAGAGGGTGGTGCAGGAGAAGGTGGACGAGAGCGAGGGCACGCGACAGCTGAACCTTCTCTTATTGCCAGAAGCGCACTATCGCCCGCGTCCTCCCCAATCCCTGCCTGTTTCAAAGGGGACATTTCGAGTACGTATTAGGCTTTATTGAACCAGAGCGAACATGGCGCCTTGGCAAGACCGGCCGTCGATGAAGGTTTATCAGGGAATCGCTGGATGCCAGCTACTCCAGCGTTGACCTGAGCGCCAATCAAGCCGGGGAACCCCTGCCGGTCCCACTAAAGCGCGTCCTCAATGTGAACGGACCTCCAATTCTGTCAAATTTTACTTCAACCTCAATCCTACCATCTCCGAGCTGCAACCTTACTCTTGCCTTTCCGCAGACACCTTCGACCACCGGGGTTGCCGTTGTTTCCGCACTTCTATGTCAAGTAGCGAGGCTTACGTGAACGGCCATGCTCGCTGGCACCGTTGAGGAGTCCGCCTGGTCGTAATTGATCTCCCAGCGGAGAGTCTCGGTAGGATATCTTGGTAGGTGCCCATATTGCGTCTGAAGACTCTGTCATACCTCCAAACATCGTATACACTGCCGTCTTCTGCCATATCTCGGCCAGCTGATTGCTCCCACGGCTGGTCTTGAGTTTGCGGATGCCTGCTCTCCTCGACGAGGGCGTGCGCATTAGACGAGAACAACCTCGCAATGTTTTTTGAGTACGGATCCTTCTTACTTCTCGCATGGAGGCATTCGTAATTTATCTGTTGTGACATCTCTTGGAACAAGTCTCTGAATTGCGAACTGCTAGCAAGCTCAACGCCATTCGATTTGGCTCTTTGCTTTGGAGCCACCCATCTCGTGCGCTATCATATTGGCCACTCGGCCATCGTTGCCTACTCAACTTCTCCCTTATTGAGCTGGAGCTCACCCTTCGTACCCATTACTTCCAACCATGTAGCTACAAGGAAAGGCAAGCTCCGCCAAGTGGCGGCCGCGGCCTTGTGCAAGAGATGTCCTTGAGAGTATTCCACCCATAACGCAAAGGTAATGCAACTGACTATTGTAAATACAAGCAACATCGCGGCTGGTATGGCTTTATCACCATCTATTTCTTGCCGTTGGCGCGACCAGACCTCCCAGCAAGGTCATAGATCGCTACCAGGAATTTTGTCGCCTCCTCATTCCTATCATGCGAATTTTCAGTTTTGTCGCTGTCCCTTTTCAAGAAGAAGCCAGTGTATTGCTTACCTGCCGTGGGAGAAGAGCCTTTGATGCCAAAAGGGCATGGAGATGCGCCTTATCCTCGTGAGTCCTCGGGCAACCGGCTTTGCTGCTGATGTGTGCAACTTTGACCGACTGAAGGCCCCGGAGCTCTAGCAGCTCATCTATGCCGTTCGCGTCGGAAAGGCGGGGTGGCCGCGTTTGAGAGCCAAAGTACCGGTTCATCATTTCCTGACGCTCGGTCAAGTACATTGTGGTCGACTTCGAGATGACCACAGTGAGGTGCTCCAGGTTCGGGCAGTCAGCCAGAGTCTTGAAAGCCTTGTTGGCATCCTGGCCTCGCCAGTGGACTTGGACAGACTGAAGCATCTGCTTCAGAACGAGGTTGGAGTTGAGGTACAACTGCATCTCGCACACGCACACGAAGTGGATTGTTTGTTGTGAGTAAAAGTAACTCAGAAACTCCTCCTTGACTGTCTTTGAGGTGCGTGCCAAGCTCAGGAAAGTGCTGTTGTTCTGAAGGAAGAAAGCTGCGCTCTCGGACTTAGGACAGAAGCAGCTGCCTTTCTTGTGCCTGGGGACAAGTACTGATTTTGGTGTAACGCTTCCACGCAAGTAGTGCTTGTAGATGATCTGCCGGATCTCTTGGGGAAACTTCATGAAGGAGAGGCTCTCGATCGGGGGAGGTACATCTGTCCAAGAGGGGCGCGTCAGTCAGTCGGGGGTAGCATTCTCCCAAGGGTTGGGAACTCGTGACCATGTACACACCTGCAATGCCCAATATCTCTGTGCAGTTTTTGATGAGAGCAACACAATCCTTGACCTCCTCGGGCTTCTTTTCCATCGCAGTCGCACATTTGGTAATGGTATCCGTCAACGCCTTTCTCGTGCCTGAAGACAGCCTGACCATCCTACCAAGCTCAGCCGCATCCATCGAACCCATGTGGTATTGGTCAAGCGCCTTCAACAGAGTGATCGCTCCCTTTGTGATGCCATATCGAGTGTGCAGCGCCTTCAGCTGCTGGACGTAGAAAGACTTGGAAGACATTTTCGAAATGCTTAGGCGACGCCCTGGGGTGAACAAACACTCATAGGAAGGCCCTGACTTGAAGCGAGAGCTTCTTCAGAGCGACCTCTTTTTCTCCTCCCAAAAGAACCCAGGCGTGCTAAAGACTCGACCAGCGCCGAGAATCAACAGACTGGGCCGCACTCAACAGAAGACTGGAGTGTCCTTGCTTGTGCGAAATGAGAAGAAAGGAGGAGAAAGACGTGTCTTTGAAGTTTTGGAAGCGGTTGAGAGCCGAACTGTTGGCTCCAGGTTGCGTCAAAAAGGGGTGGAGGCTGTTGATAGAGGAGGAAGGTGGGTAGCTTGAATCGATGAGGAAGGCGCAGATGAGAAAGAAGTGAGCTTTTGTAACAGCTTTTCACAGCTTCATTCCCCCCCTCACGTGTTTATTTCGTTGAATGCTTTCATCCATCCTAGTAGTGACTGTGCTATTCCCTCGAGTCGCTCTGGTCAACAGGGCGTGTTGCACTCACCAACACCAGATAAATGGACTGGAACAGCCACCACCCACCTAGCCATCGCCAGGGCCTTGAGTTGACTATTGGCATGGCAGTTCAGCTGCTAGTGAATGGGCAAGACTCATAGTCCACGCATTCGCGTCTATATAGCACAGCATCTCGACCCTGTCACTGTCACCAAGTCGCCATTGTGATCAAACACCCCTTTACCAAAACCTTTGTGATGTCCAAGTTCAGCTCCAACCCCTGGACTCACTTACCTGAGAAGCCCACAAACAGCCAACCGAGGCCCTGGTAACCTTGAGAGGTAATCGCAATTCTTTCAGTTAGCATTGCTGCTTGCTTGCTTGTTTGCTTGCTTGTTGCGTTAAACAGTGTATCCCGGCAAAATTGAGCGACTGCATTGTTGCTAATATTGACTGTATTTGAAATAGCCATTGAGGTTACTTGACCTCGATATTCTATCTAGATGTCCAGGATGAAAGGATTGCCCCCAACGCCAACGCTACGAGTACCAAAAGCCAAACCAGTCATACCGAGCATCAGAATTGGGAGAACAGCGCTGCGACAGCCACAAACATCCACAGCGAGCCCTTGCCGCTCGTCACGCGCAAATAGTTTGGCGCTCCGGACGTCGTCACAGCCGCCCCGCTGGAACTGGTGTTCTTGATACCGTTCAACGAGTTGGCAGTATCGATGCTGGGGCCCTTGTCCCAAAAGTCAACAAGCATAAAGGTCGGCTTTGTGCCCCACTCGGCCTGGCACTGCTTTGCGTGCGTTCCCAGAGCGCCGGTCTTATCCTGGGAAGGGCTGTTGGTGATGTCGATGTCGGACGCGTCCGGTATCTGGATGCTGCTGCCGATGTTGATGTACGCAAAGTGATTCATCAGAGGCATCATGCCGGACTGGACAGCGGAGGCCGCTGACGAGACCCCCTTTGGCCGATCGACGCCGCAAGTGAAGCCGCTAAGGCTGCTCACGTTGAAAGGGGTCTCAAAGACGTAGGTGAATTCGGGCAGGAGGTAGGGATAGGCCGAGTTGGCCGTGATCGAGGCAATGAAGGTGACCAGGCGCTTCTTGCTGTCGATCATTGTTTGCAGCGTCGGCCAGTTCTTGGTTGCCGATGTCGATGGCGGGGTGTAGCCGTAGTCAGCCATCCCGGATGCCTCGAACACCTTGGCGAACACCGAAGCGTCCTGGTCGTCCGAGTTGACGAGGAGGATGGTCACAACGTCGTTTGGGTGCTTGTCCATCCAGTATTTGATGGCCGACAGCCACGATTCTAGCGTTCCGGCATTCAGGACAGAGCAGCTGGTGTGGCAAAGCTGCAGCACACCATTCTCCAGATGGACTTGCGCCTGGAGCAACCGGAGGCCGGCGTCCAATGCCTTTGTGGCGTTGAAGAATTGGTTCCCTGCGATCGAATAGTCGGTCGAGGCGTCTCGGAGGAAAGCGCTGTCATGTGCTCCCAGGTGCGTGACTGAGTTGTACGTCTTGCTGCATAGGTCGGGGGAGTTGTTGCAACCCGTGGAGGTATCTGTTGCTCTTGATCCCAAGCTGGTCGACTGTGACTGTGGTGCAGCAGCGGCCGTCGATACTAGAGACAGTGACATTGCTGTCATGAGACATGCTGATATTAAAGACCGCATGTCGTTCCTGGGAGCCGTCGTCACGAGTGTCTGTTTGCGTCTCGAAAGGCTTATAAGACTAATTCGAGAGTAGGGCACGAGGATTGATGCGTATTCTGTTATGGGGTTCTTTCCAGTACAACCCCAAACGTGAAAGCGTATTATAAGGTAGAAATCAGAGAGTTTCAAGATAAGAGAGAGGAAGAAAGAAGGAGAAAAATAGAGCAGTGGGATCTCAAAAGCCATAGTACATGAACAAAACATTTCTGGGGAGAGAAGCCGTATTGTCCTGTTAGTCGCCGCACTGTGGGTCTCCGTACGAAGGAATCTAGACTGCGCCTCCAGGTTGAGTCGCCAACCTTAAGACGTCAGCGCTATGAAAGCAAACACCTAGGCGAGAGCGTCCTCTCATTTGTCGAGGAGCCAGCCCCTCCAGCGCTGGCTGTAGGGTATGCCTTGCTGGCGCTCCTCCCAGCCCCGGTATTCATGAGTTGGCCAGGATGGCTTGGACGAACTCATTCGCTTGACTGTGTGGGATTGGTCTCATCGTGGCCCATGTACCTGTACCGTAGCAAGGCAAGGTCGCGGCCGACAGCAGCAGTACGCCACCAGAAGGGGATCGCCATCATGCTTGACCTTTCACACAGTGGACATATACCGTGATCAGCGTTCAGCCTGTAACAGGGCAGCAGCAGGGCAACAAGACTGGTCGTGGCGGGCCCCGTTGCTAGAGAGACATGCGGCTCTTTTGCTGTTCTGTGACAGTTCTCGAAACCCCTGCCGGCAAATTCGTGATCGCCCGTTGCAGTCCTGCATCCACTCACTCAGTTCTGGATGCGTTGATCAATACGTCAGCGGGCTGGAGATTGGTTGGTAGGGCTTGTTTACTCTCCCATCTCAGCATCAAACACCAGTCCCCCGCAAACTCGTGACATTGCCCTTTACGAGCCCGCAAAGCGCAGAGGCCAACATACACGCGTCCCCTCACCCACATCTACGATTTCCCTGTTCCTGAATGGGAGCTGAAGGGGTAAAACCGGGGCCGGTCGCTGCACTGCCGACAGACAACGTCGATGTGGCGCGGTCTATTTTTGGGGCCTGTTAGAGGCGGTACATCAGGAGCCCAAGTATCGAAATCCTGCGGCCTTTACAGCACGACGGCGGGTAACACAGCGCAAAAATGATTACAGGTGGACGTTCACTAGTGAATCTTGAAACAGACATCAGAAGCAGAATCATCCATCACCTGAGGAGCTGAGCGGGTGTTCTGGACGATCATTGCAGGCACAGGCAGGCAGGCACACAAAGTCTCTAGCAATGTCAAGTTACCTCCCTGCATGTCCTTGGTAGATCGTTGTAACGCATTGAATCCACATTTCACTACCCTCTGCCGGGCTCGCGAATCGACGCCCCGAGGCCAGCCAGGTCGTTTAACAAACAAAAGAAGCAACGCCAGCCACCCACAGACAGCACACCATGGCGCCGCCTTACGTCCAGCAAGAAATACACAACGATGTAGTCATTACCGCCTTCCCTGCCCTTGAATGAAGTCCACTCCCTATGTCACTCAGTCGTACACTTGATCGCATCCATGACCTTTGCTCCCCTCAACGCTTCTGGCCCTCGACGAAGCTCAACGCCGCCTCGGTTGGCACGCAGTCGATGGAGCTGGTCTTGTTGGTGAATGTGACACCATAGCACTTGTCGGCTACATGGACAATCTCGGGTCTGAAGGTCGTGCAGATGAATTGCGTCCCGGCCTCCTCCGAGATGGACTCTAAGAGTCCGGCGACGGCCGTTCGGTACTGCGCATCAAGATTGGCATCGACCTCGTCGAAGACGACCATGGGACTGGGATCAGTCTGCTGAATGGCAAAGATGAGGCACAATGCGCACAGACCTGTGACATGTGTTAGTATCGGTACTGGGCATATTCTGGTAAGAGATATACGAACTCTTCTGTCCACCACTGAGCTGCTGCACCTTCTGCTGCTCGTCATACTCCTTGGAGTTGAAGGAGACGGAGATGCCCACACCGTAGTAGTTCTCCACCGAGCCCCCGCGCTCCTCTTCATCATCGACAGGGTCGGCGCCACGGCGATCGTGCCTCCGCTGGATGACGAGTCGGCCCTTGCCCGCGGGGACCAGTCGCTCAAAGATCCTGGCAAACTCCTTGGAGATCTGTTTGAATGTGCGCTCAATGGACTCATCCTTGACACGGTCGAGATGGGCCACAAGTTCCTCAATCGAGGACTGAGACGAGTCAAGCTCCTTCCGGCGCTTCAGCAGCTGCTCCTGCTGCGTGGTGAAGTTGTTGTACTGCTCAAAGGCCTTCTTGTTGACATGCTTGAACTTCTTCAGAGACTCGTTGACAGTCTTGAGCTTCTTTGAAATCTAGAGTAATGTGTTAGGATAGATCTGGCTGGAAAGAGTTTGCTCGGAAGCCTTACCTTGGCAGCATCCATGTTTTGGTACTTGTCAAAAGCCTCATCGGGCAGGACACCAAGATCACGGATGTTCTTGGCTGTCTCGGCGAGCTGTTGCGTGAGGAGAGCCTTTCGCTGCAGGCCCTTCTCCATCCTCTTCTTCTGCTTCTCAACAGCTCTCGCCAGCTCCTGTTGTTCCTGCTCCTTGTCGGCCTTGCGCGACAGCAAGCTCGAGATCTGCGTGTTTTGCTTTTCTATCTCAGCCTCGACCTTACGGAGCTTCTGAGAAATGCTGTCAGTCCTCTTCTGGATCTTCTTGAGCTCCTTTTGGGCATCGGAGTAGCTGTCGTCGCCGCCGGCTGACGAAGACGTCTCGAACACTTGGCTCGTGAGCTGATCTTCCTTCAATCTCAAGTTCTGCCGCAGGTCCACCTCAATGACCCTCTTGCGGCCTTCGATCTCGCTGCGCCGAGCGTTGGCGTCGTTGAATTGCTTCTGCAGATCCTGCACTTGCTTGCTGAAGCTTTGTAGCTGCTCTTCCTCCTGAGCACTCAGAGCCTTCTTGAAGTCGTTGTTTCGCTCAGTCTCCAAGGATCCGAGGATTGACGAGTAGCGCTCCATGGTATCATTGATCGAATCCCGGCGACGAATCGCTTCGTCGAGCCGGTCACGCTCTCGCTCGAGCTGTGCCGACTTGTTTCGGTGCTCGGCCCTGAGAGGCTCGAACCCATCGTCGACCTGTCGCAATTGTTGCTCAAGCTTCCGCACCTCGCCCATCGCATGGGTGATTTCCTGGTCCTTGATGCCGATCTGTGTCCTTATGTCCTCGGCCTGAGAGTGCAGACGTTCGTATTCCTCGCGCCACTTGTTGACTGTGCGGACTGCTTCCAGCTTTGACTTGCGGGGATCGATGTAACCACCGGTCATGGCACCCCGCTTGTTTGCCGTGTCACCTTCGAGGGTAATAGCATCGATGTTGTGACGACTTGCATATTGACTGGCAATCATGAGATTGGGGCAGATGATCGTCCGGCCAAAGACATGCTGGAATGCCTTCTCGTACAGGGGGTCGTAGTTGATCTTGCTAACGACGGGAATAGCATCGTTTGCACGCGGTAGATTCACGTGCCTCGTGCGGAGTTGAGCAAGGGGCATGAAGGTAATCCGGCCACCCTGGAGCTTGTTAAGCTCCTTGGCCAACATGGTTCCAGTGTCGGCGTTATCGACAACGTAGTGGAAGAGGCTGCCACCCGCGACTTGCTCGACGGGGACGCGAAAGTTCTCGGGTACGTCCATGAGCTCGGCAAGCGTGCCATAGGCTCCAGGGATGTCCCTCTCCTGCTTGAGCCTACGAATAGTGGCAAGACCTCGAGCGGTCTGGTGGTCCATCGCATTTCGCGACATGTCGCGCTCCGCTCTGTCGCGCTCTTGCCGAGCATTGGAGGAGATTGAGTCAAGCTTGTCATCCTCTCGGCGTAGCACCTTGCGTTCTTCTTGCAGCTTTTCCAGGCGGTCCTGCGCTTCAGAGACCTGGTCGCGTAGAGCACCGCGGTCTCCGCCATAGCCTTCGAGGCTCTGTCGCAGCATCGAGATCTCGGCTTCCAGCGACTGGATCAGCTTGCTCAATTCCGTAACATCTTCTTCGGCAGACATCAGGTTGGCCTTTTGCCCACTGAGATTCATGTTGATGTCCTCAATCTCTCTCCCCAGCCATTCATCTCGCTGAGCCTTGTTCTTAAACTGAGACCCGCGAGTCTGCTTGTTCAAAAGCCGTAACCGGCCAGCCTCGGCCAGGTCGAAGGCCTGTTTAATCTTCAGCTCCCTCTCCCTACGCACCTGGTACTCGGGCTCAAGTTGACGAAGTTGGTTTTCCTTGTCAGCGATTTCAGCACGCACTGCGGCTAATTCGGCATCATGTTGCTGGCGAGCTTGATCGCGAGCAGACTGGCTGTCCGCAAGACTCTTGACCTTCAATTCGGCCTTGGCTCTGGCGCGTGCAGTCTCGCGACGGTCGTCCTCAAGTTGCTGTCGTTCAAGACTGAGCAGCTCAAGCGACTGCTGGAGCTCCTGTAGTGTATGCTCCATCTTGGAAAGGGCTTTTTCGCCGTCCATGAACAGCTTTTGGTTCTCGCTATCGCTAGCCCCTTGCCGAGAGTCTTCAATCTCGGCCAACGCCTCCTGGAAGGCCATTTGTTGCTGATTGTAGTACGCGTACTCCAAGCATCGGCGCTCCCTGTCTTTTTCTTGGAAACCGCGCAACTCTTCCTTCTCCTCCTCAAGTTCACTCATGCGGCTCTTGATGTAGTCAAGAAGCTCATCAATCTTGCCTCGCTTGCTGTTCGTCTCGGCCATGATCTTGAGCGACTCGGCTCTCCGGTTTTCATAGCTCTCTGTTCCAGCAACCTCCTTCAACAGCTTGAGCCGATCTGACTCCTTCATATTGGTCAACGCCGTGACTCGGCCCTGCGGCACGATGTAGTACGAATTCTTCAATGAGAATCCAGCAGTGTCGAGCATGCTGTTGATGTCGGAACGGGTCATGACCTTCTTGTCAACAGAGTATTCGTCGCGCTTCAGGCCGATGGTCCGTCGAAGGGAGACCTCCTTGCCTCTGTCTGTAAATCGGCCATCGCTGTTGTCAAAAATAATCTCGACATATGCGGACATGACGGCAGATCCGGAACCTTCGTGGAGCAGGCTTTGGCGTTCCTCACGACTGAGTTGGGTGTAGGCATCACCGAGGACGAACCGGATCGCGGCGAAGAAGTTGCTTTTTCCAGATCCATTGCGGCCGACAATGACATTGACACCGGGCGAAAAAGGCTCCATGACCGTCTGGTCCTTGTAGCTATTTGCGCGTCAGCAATGCACCGAGGTTGGGGGACGGCGCAATTCGGGCGCATACCTTTTGAAGCCCTGGATGATGAGCTGTTTGATATACATGATGACGGCGGCCGCTGCCTACGGGCAGCTCGTCGACGAATGAACGTAGAATCAAACCACTAAGGACAAGAGCCGACAAAGCCAGGGTCGCGGGCTTGTGTTGGGTCGGAAAGCAGGATGCTTCTGTGGTGCTTGTCACGTCGATAAAGTGAGGGGAGACTGGACGCGTCCATCGCGAGTGGATTTGGCGAAGCGGGAGTGGGACAGCACGACACAGGCACTGGAGCACGGGCCACAATGCGAACTCCCCACCTCGACTGTGCAGGCACTACCTTACACCAGGACCAAACTTGGCTGAATCAATCATTTTGTTGATGGACATCGATGGGAGAGAGAGGGCTGAGTGGCTGGAGTGACTGTTGCACATCGCAAGAATGAGACTTGAAAGACATCAAAAGACAGTATTCATTCAATGTCCAGTACAGTCCTGAGGATTGAAATGTCCATCTTTGCTTCCAATTGTTGTCTTGGCCCATTCAACGCGACATGAAATTATCTGGCCCGAGCTGCAGGGCTCCCAGCGTCGCTCAGAACCCTTTTCCAACCATCCTCAAGGTATTACACTAGTCGAAGCGTCCTGAGTATTCTTGCTTGTAACCCTTGATAGTCATTTCCCTTTTGCGCAACTTGTATTCAAAAGCAGATCAAGGACATGATGACTAGAGCACGTACCTGAGATCCACCAGATTTATGTCGTTCCTAGTGCCTCATATATCTTACTCAAATGGTGATCTACCTCGCAATCCATGACTCGACTGTTTTGTTACATTTTAAACTGAGGTGTGGAAGAAGGGTGAGGATGTTCTATAGCAGGCTTTCTCTTTCTTCATTGCCCAGAGCCAACATGCTAACCTATTCTACTGCGAGTAGGCTTCGGAGGCTTTGACATGGGCTTTGACGCGCACTTACACAACAGATTCCGGAGCAAGCATCCAGGGATCATTTGGCATTCTGTAATTTGGGGCACCAGGTCCACTCATGGCCATTCAATCAGTCTGGCTGATGACTTCCATTCTTGGAAGCTCTTAATCAACAATATCCCTCAGGTGCTAAAGGACTGAATGCCTCTAGCTACCTTACTTATCCAGGTTATCTAGGCTCTTAGGTTGACTGGGGTGCTGCCGTAGATGACGTAGGTATCTGGTTTTGAGGCTACGTCTGAAGACAGGCACAAGTAAATGCTACATAGGATTGTACAAGGAAGTGTCTTGAGAGAGAGGCCTGATTGCTTGATCGCGAGAGCATGTGTTGTTGAAAACAGCCGGTCACAGGCAAGCCAAAATGTTTCGTACACTGATGCCCCAGGTCTCCTTTGCGTGTTTGGCTCAACTGTGCCACATCAAAAGGAAAGTGTGAAGGAAGCCTGGTATTCACACCCACACACACACACATACACCAGACATATGCAACCGTGGATGCAGTGTCTGGACGGCCCGTCGGAGAGACAAACTCAATACACTCGCAAACCTGATACTATTCCGTGGTCAGCCCATCTGCAGGTTTCGTCTTTCCCAAGGTGTGAAAATATGAAGATGCAAGCTCGAAAGGGGACAGGATGCCACAACACGTCGTCGGGATGGACGGTAAGATTGGACGCAAGAGGGTTTCGACCGGGCCTCATCGAGGAAAGCTTTTTGGATTCGCTGGCCTGTGAGTGGATGGAGCTGCGCCTGGCAGGCGGGCAGCACGAGAAGACAGTTTTTCGTGACCGGCCTGATAGCAGGGAGTGTGAGGTGGGTCCATCTATTGCGAAAAATGGCGCTAAGGGGGCTAAGCGAAAGCCGGTGCACCAGGAAGGTGCGGTTGGCACTGGGGCCTGGCTGGTTTGGGGGATGCCCTGGAAACGTGTATAAAAATACAGGACACTCATATAGAATGCCGGACCTGCCCTCCACCCGATTCCCCAAACGTCTGGTATTGTCGGTCCAGTCCAGCCCAGTCCAGTCAGGTCGCATCGTCCACATAATAATTTCTGCCCCATTATTCAGGCAGCCAGCCAACCTCGCTCCTTCTTTGACCAGCAACTTGTCACTCCCTGACACAGCATCAGCAACGCACTGGCCACCCTCTCCACCTACCTGATTGGCTCACACTACACTCATGGTCATGCGTGGTTGATTCAGTGAAGCTATTCCCACTTTTGAGGTTCAGCTGATACTTGTAAGTGGTGTCGCTCTCCAGCATTCCTTATTTTCACCCCTTGCAACCCGACACCACCAACCGCATCTCCCCAACACCCGCTACTACCGTTTTGCTTTGTTCATAATAGCTGCCTGTCCCTCTGCCTGGGCTGTGTGATCTTCTTGTGGCCAGCCTTGGCCATTATTGCCAAAGCAGTAGCAACATCATGGTTTTTTCGGCTGCGTAGCTTGCGATCTGAGATCCAGTCATCAGCCTCGGATCGTCCGACACTCTAAAGAATGCTAGAAATTTGCCTGGTCCAGCACTGCCCAGGAAGGAATCCACTCTAGGCCTTGCAGTCTTCCTAGTCCTCACTCTGGTCTGGGTGTCACTTTTGATACATCAGTAACTGCGCCTGCTGGCCTCCCATATCACCGGTGCTTCACCTACAGCACGCTTTCTCCAAATCAATCACCACACCAAACCACTCAGTACATTACCTCACATTCTAGACAACTTTATTCGTCTGCCCTTCGAATTGTCCTCACTTTATGCCTTTCACAATATCATAATTGGCTAACCCTCATTGAACATTCAGTTTTCTCAAATCCTGCCGTCTCGGACCATTTCTGACATGAAGAAAACATGGCGTCAAGGTTTGTGACCTGTCACTCTTCCAAATTTCTGTTGTATTCACTAATCTCTTTGTTATAGGCTTGACCGACTTGTCACGTAAGTAATTGCCATCCAACCAGCTCCTGAACAGACCAGTCGCAAATGCTCTCTATGCCATGCTCTGCTTTTCATGTCTTCTGATCAGACATCCTTCGCATTCGTCACATCATCGCTAACTCTGTTGCAGCATCCTCGAGACGGGCAGCACTCGGTTGATTCGAGACACTGCTGTCAATCAGCTAGCTGACTGGCAAAAACAGCATCCGGATGAGCTCTTCAACCTGCTCAGCCGGGTCGTCCCTTATCTCAGGCATAAGGATTGGGAGACCAGAACGACAGCCGCAAAGGCCCTCGGGAAAATCATTGAGCACGCCCCCGCATACGATCCCAATGCTGCAGACGAACCAGAACCAGAGCCTCCCAAGAAGGAGGAACCTGTGGCTGAAAATGGTGCCATCAAGAAGGAGGAAGAGAAGGAGCAGTTACTTCTCGGCGCAGAGGATTTCTTTCATCTCGAAAGCCTCGACATTGCCATGATCCTCCAACATGGCAGGGAGTTGCTCCGCGGTGGCACAGTCGACTTTGCGCTGGCTGCCCTAGAACCTCAGGATCGTCTGGCGCACCAGAAGAAGACGCTCACTGGTCGCTTGGGACTTCTTGGCCGGAAGTTTGAAGATGAAGAGATACCGATCGTCAACGAGCATGCCAACAGCCCTGCCACCCCGCAAGACACTACCAACACCAATGGAGCGGGTCGTCAAGAGAACACCAACGGTGCTGCCACGCCAGGCCTGCCAGCCGAAGAGTCGGGCCTTAGTTCTCGACAACTGAACGTTTTAAAACGAAAGCGTAAGCGAGAGGCACAGAAAGCAGCTCAGGGCAAGAGCGGCTTTGGTGATCTGTCCATCAGGCGGTCGGCCACCGGTGGCTCTGATGCCTTCGCCGACGACACACCCATGCCAGACGCGGACTCGAAAAAGAACGGCAAAATGAACGACTATTTTAACCTTGAACGCCCCGCTGATCTCGACGAGGACACCAAGGTCGTCTCGGAATTCAAAGGACCGGTAATTCCCATTAAATCGGAGATCGAAGCAGACGACAGCGTGGAAGGTGCTGAATGGCCGTACGAGCGGCTTTGCGACTTCCTGAAGGTGGATCTCTTCGATCCCCAGTGGGAAACGAGACATGGAGCTGCTCTGGGCTTGAGGGAGATCATTCGAGTCCATGGAGGAGGCTCGGGCCGGCAACAAGCCAAGTCTCGAGATGAAAACGCCAAGGCGAATCAACTTTGGCTGAACGACCTGGCCTGTCGCTTGTGCTGTGTGCTCATGCTCGACAGGTTCACCGATTACAGCTCGGATACCTCCGTCGCTCCTATCCGGGAGACTGTTGGCCAAACACTTGGCTCAGTGCTATATCAGGTGCCCCCCGAGTCTGTCCATTCTATTTACAGAATACTCTATAGAATGGTCATGCAGGAGGACCTGCAGCTGGACAGACATATTTGGGCGATCTGCCATGGAGGTATGGTTGGTCTGAGATATGTCGTGGCCGTCAGGAAGGACCTGCTCTTGAAGGACAGTGATATGGTCGATGGGGTCGTCCGTGCTGTCATGAAAGGTCTCGGGGACATGGACGATGATGTACGCTCTGTCAGTGCAGCTACGTTGATTCCCATGGCCAAGGAATTCGTGGCTCTGCGGCCCGACGCATTAGAAGGCCTCATCAATATCGTCTGGGAGAGCCTATCAAGTCTGGGCGATGATCTTAGTGCCTCGACCGGAAAGATCATGGATCTACTGGCAATCCTCTGCAGCTTCCCTGAGGTATTGGAGACCATGAAGTCATCCGCCGAGCAGGACGAGGAGCGATCTTTTACACTCCTCGTACCGCGTCTCTATCCTTTCCTCCGTCACACCATCACCTCTGTACGCCTGGCGGTCCTCAAGGCGCTGATGACTTTCGTCAATCTCGGGGCTGAAACCACTCACGGATGGCTCAACGGCAGGGTTCTTCGGCTTGTCTTCCAAAACATTCTCGTCGAGAGGGACCAAGATACCCTGAAAATGTCTCTTGATCTTTGGTCATCCTTGGCCAAGGCACTCGCGAAAGACCCGGGCCGTCTAGCAGAAGAGTTTGGACCACATGTTGATCCATTGATGCAACTCACTCTTCATCCTGTCGGCGTTTCGCGCCACCCCCTTCCGATGAACGCAAGTCTATTCATGAAGCCATCTGGCGGGACATATAACCTGCCCGCCACCTTTTCAGCTACCGCTAGGAAATCTTCGCCGCTAGAAGGCCCTGAGCGAGCCACGAAACGGAGAAGAAAATCCACTAAAGTTGATGATGCGCCCAGTACTTCTCCGTCTCATGATGTCGACGGCGCCATGATGCAAGGCGATGTCGACATTGTCGGCGTCGAGACCCTTATTCGATCCCGAGTTTCTGCGGCCAAAGCGATGGGCTTGGTAATGTCACTCATTCCGACGTCCCAGACGGAATTGTACGACGCAAGTCTCACTCCGGCTCTGTCGTCTGCTTTCTCTTCCACTCAAATGACTGCTTGCGCGATCATTGATGAATACGCGAAGAACTGCTCAGAAAAGACGGTTCCGGCACGATTCGTCGATCCCCTGCAGCAGATCATCGCCAGCGACAGGCCGTCGAACTACCGCGATCTGGTCAGCTTTGTCCAACGAGTCAGGTCTCAGTGTCAACAACTGTTGAACCTTTTCCGAGACCACGGCAAGGTCATGCCAAGCAGGCTGCCCATCCTGGCTGTCGTGGTCCAGGGCGAGGCAGAAGCCGGACCAGGCGCGTTTTCCGTAGCCAACGCCGAGAAGGTCGTCGGGGATGATTACGAGAAATTGAAGAAAGCCATGGCCCCGGGTCAACGTCTCATCGCGGGCCAGCAACTAGACGAGGCCAGGGAGGCAGTGGTTGACGCTTTGCAGGACGCTAAGACTGCGAAGGCTTCTCGTGATGTTCGAATCAAGGCAGCGGCCGGCTGTGCTCTCGTGGCCATGGATGTCCTCCCAAAGAAGCCTAGCCCTCTAATCAAGGCTATCATGGATAGTGTGAAGACGGAGGAGAATCAGGAGCTCCAGAAACGCTCCGCTGCGACTATTGCTCGTCTCGTCCAGCTATTCACAGAGACTAGCCGCCGCGGCCCTGCCGACAAGGTCGTGGCAAACCTTGTCAAGTTCTCGTGTGTCGAGGTTGCCGAGACTCCAGAGTTCCCCGTCCATGCCCAGAAAACAAATCAGATCCTCTCAATGCAAAAGGAGGAGGACCGCGTCGATCATGCTGATGCTGCCAAGTGGGCAAGAGAAGCGAAGGCGGCACGTATCACTAGACGTGGCGCCAAAGAGGCCCTGGAGATACTCTCGCAGACTTTTGGTGCCGAGGTGCTGAACACTGTGCCAAGTCTTCGTGCTTTTATGGAGGAGCCATTGACCAAGGCTTTCTCAGGCGAGCTCCCAGCAGAAGCCAGGGACCCTGAGAACACTTTCGGACAAGAGATCGTGGACGCCATGTCAGTGATCCGTACCATGACGCCGACACTGCACACAGGCCTTCACCCCTTCATCATGCAGATGATGCCCTTGGTGATCAAGGCATTACACTCCGAGCTATCAGTCTTCCGATACATGGCAGCTAAGTGCATCGCCACAATTTGCAGTATCATTACTGTTGAGGGAATGACTGCGCTCGTTGAAAAAGTCCTTCCTTCGATCAACAACCCCGTTGACCTCCAATGTCGCCAAGGCGCAATTGAGGCCATCTATCATCTGATCGCCGTGATGGGAGATGGAATCCTCCCCTACGTCATCTTCCTCATTGTCCCTGTTCTTGGTCGCATGAGCGACTCCGACAATGACATTCGGCTGATCGCTACAACCTCGTTTGCTACTCTTGTCAAGTTGGTGCCCCTCGAAGCAGGTATTCCCGATCCACCAGGCCTGTCCAAGGAGCTCCTGCAAGGACGGGATCGCGAGCGCACCTTTATCTCGCAGCTGCTGGACCCGAAGAAAGTGGAGCCTTTCAATATCCCCGTTGCCATCAAAGCCGAGTTGCGCCATTACCAGCAAGAAGGTGTCAATTGGCTGCACTTCCTGAACAAGTACCACCTGCACGGCATCTTGTGTGATGATATGGGTCTTGGCAAAACCCTGCAGACTCTCTGCATCGTAGCCAGTGACCATCACCAGCGGGCTGAAGAATTTGCCAAGACCGGCGCCCCCGACGTGCGGCGGCTCGCTTCGCTCATTGTGTGCCCACCGACGCTCTCTGGTCACTGGCAGCAAGAGATCAAGACGTATGCCCCATTCCTCAGCGTCACTGCCTATGTTGGCAATCCGGCGGAGCGGAAAGCGATCAAAGATCAGCTTGGCAAGACTGATATAGTCATCACGTCCTACGATGTCTGCCGTAACGACATCGACATCATTGAGAAGTTCAACTGGAACTATGTCGTGCTGGATGAGGGACACCTTATCAAGAATCCCAAGGCTAAAATCAGCCAGGCAGTAAAGAGACTGGCCAGCAACCACCGGCTCATTCTCACGGGAACGCCGATCCAGAACAATGTCTTGGAGCTGTGGTCACTCTTCGATTTCTTGATGCCTGGTTTCCTTGGTGCTGAGAAGGTGTTCCTTGACCGATTTGCTAAGCCTATCGCTGCGAGCCGATTCAGCAAAGCATCATCTAAGGAGCAAGAGGCAGGTGCCCTCGCCATCGAGGCATTGCACAAACAAGTCTTGCCATTCCTGCTGCGGCGTCTCAAGGAGGAAGTGCTCAACGATCTTCCGCCCAAGATCCTTCAGAACTACTACTGCGATCTCAGTGATCTTCAGAAGAAGCTGTTCGAAGACTTCACCAAGAAGGAGGGCAAGAAGATCCAATCTGAGGCAGGAAGCGAGGACAAGGAAGCAAAGCAACACATCTTCCAGGCTCTTCAGTACATGCGGAAGTTATGCAATTCGCCGGCACTAGTTGTGCGCCCTGAGCACAAACTGTTCGAGGAAACCCAGCGAGTCCTGGCCAAGTCGGGTACCAGCCTCGAGGACCCTGTGCACGCGCCGAAGTTGACAGCGTTGCGAGATCTCCTTGTTGACTGTGGTATCGGTGTGGAGGGTACCGATTCTAACGACCCCCTCTACCAACCCATCAAACCACATCGTGCGCTTGTCTTCTGTCAGATGAAGGAAATGCTTGACATGGTTCAAAACACCGTGCTTAAGAGCATGCTCCCTTCTGTTTCTTACCTGAGGCTCGACGGTTCAGTAGAGGCGAGCAAGCGACAAGACATTGTCAACAAGTTCAACAGCGACCCCTCTTTCGACGTTCTTCTTTTGACGACTAGTGTCGGTGGTCTGGGTCTGAATCTGACAGGTGCCGACACTGTTATCTTTGTGGAACACGACTGGAACCCACAGAAGGACCTGCAGGCCATGGACCGAGCTCACCGCATCGGCCAGAAGAAGGTTGTCAATGTGTACCGCCTGATTACACGTGGCACCCTCGAGGAGAAGATTCTCAATCTTCAGCGCTTCAAGATCGATGTGGCCTCCACAGTGGTGAACCAGCAGAACGCGGGCCTGGGAACCATGGACACAGACCAGATTCTAGACTTATTCAGTCTTGGGGACACGGGCCCGAGTCTCATAGCAGACAAATCAGCTGGTGGCATGGAGGGCAGAGAGGAGGACATGGTTGACATAGAGACGGGCGACGTGAGGCAGCCAGGCAAGAAGGCGGCGTGGCTCGAGGACCTGGGCGAGTTGTGGGACAACCGCCAGTATGAGGAAGACTTTGATCTCGATGGCTTCCTGAAGACCATGCAATAGACGGCATGGTACATGCGAGGAGAATGTTTCAGGCGGAGATGTGTGAACCAAGGAAGTACAGAGTAGTCTTGGCGGTGTATAAGTTTTGTACTATATGGCGAAGGAGGGATCATACGCAGGTTACGGTTCTTGTTATATCAAGGACTGTGACAGTGTAAGACCTGTCTCTATCTTATTATTATTAGTGCAGACGTCCAAAGGACGAGCCAGCATGACTTTACGACTGGAAGCATAGCAATTGAGATTATCGTGTTGATTTTTCCAAAGTACTACAACAGTCACAAGGCAAAAGCTGCAAGATTTTTGTGAGTAATTATGAATTCAAAACTGGTCGGTTTCTATATTTGGCTGTTGACTTTTCTGGAGAAATATAAGAATCCGACCAAATTAGGTGAGTACATCAATGGATTGTTATGCTCAGGTACTCGAAAGTGGGTAATCAGGTAATGTACTAGGTAGGTAGGTAGTTAACCCCGCCAGTCTTCAATGGATGGTCCAACGCTGGTGGTTCCCCGCCATCTGCACGAGCAATGGTCGATGGCTCCAGAATCTTCTTCAGGCTCGAGCTTGAGCTCAGTCAATTGTCAGATCCAACCCAGCGTTGACGTCTGTCTCACTTACACAATGACAGTGAAACCCTGAACGCTTTTGGAACCGTCCAAAGTTGATCTGGAAGCCTACAAGCACCCAAATTCTCAACCCTCGCACGCCCTTTCACAGACCTGTCCACTGGTAGCAGACCAGAGATCCAAGATGCCTGTCGATTACAGCAAGTGGGTAAGTTCCTGCTTCCACTCTTCTGCGATGGCTGCTCAAAAGCACATTCTGACCGGCGAGCCCACCATAAACAGGACGCGCTGGAGCTCAGTGACGACTCGGACATCGAGGTCCATCCCAATGTCGACAAGCGCTCCTTCATCCGCGCCAAGCAGAACCAGATTCACGCTGAGCGACAACAACGACGGAACCAGATAGAAACATTCAAGTACGAGCGGCAAATCAATGATGCCCTCATTCGCCGCATCACCGCCCTTCTCGACTCCTTCAAGGCCCACGCCGCCGATGCAGGTGCTGGCGGCTCGAGCAACCCGGGCGAGGTTGCCTTCCGCGTAGTCATGGAGAGCGCGGCCGGCCTCAAGCCAGAGGATGACAACCCACCACCACGGCCCGAGGGCGTGCACGGCAGCGAGGAGAAGCTGCCAACCTACACCAAGATGATGGCCACGTTGCTAGATCAGGTCAACAAGGCGCTCCAGGAGAAGAAGGTGAAAGATGAGGACCGATACGGCGCGATGGTGGACGAGATCGGCGAGCACTTGGACAAGGTGCAGAAGCTGCAAGCCGAGCTCCTCAAGAAGCTCGATGAGTTGGAGAAGGAAGAAAGCAAGAAGATCACAAGCGAAAGCATTCACACTGGCTTTGACAGCTCCCACGTCAACAAATCCAAGCCATCAGGGGCTGCAGCTGGGCCGAAGCAGGAGGTAGAGCTCCTGAACCCCAACTTCTCAGCAGGCCAGGCCCAGTCATCTGCATCTACAGCTTCGGCAAAAGATGACGATGAGATGGAAGCTTCGCCAGCTGCGCAGCGCTTTGCGCAGATCAAGACGGGCGATTATCAAGCCAGCATGGCCTACTTGTCCACACACCCGGAGATCCTGACCGAGAAGGAGTACGATGGTCTTCTCGTCCTCGCTTTCGATGCGTCACTCGAGGACCGCGATGACTTCGCCCGGCAGTGCGTCCATCAGGCGCTCCTGATCCAATATTGCCGCGCTCTGGGGCGAGACGGTGTTGCCCTCTTCTTCAAGCGCATCACCACTCAAGGCCACCAAGCGCGAGAGGTCTTCTACAAGGACTTTGAAGAGACGTACCGCAAGATCAAGAGCCGGACGGTCGAGATCAACGCTCAGCGGGCGCGTGACGCCGCTGAAGGCAAGGCAGAGGGCGTCGAGCAGATCCAGCTCCACGCCGTGGAGCCGGGCACCGTCATCAACATCAGCATCCCTCCGGCCGACAGCACGGACGAGGGGGTCAAGACGAGCAGAGACATCTTTGAGACGTTTGCCCCGGATATGCAGAAGGCGCTGGAGACCGGAAGCCTCGATGAGGTCAACAAGGTGCTGGGGAACATGAGTGTAGAGGATGCGGAGGAGTTGGTGGGCAAGCTTGGAGACGTACGTTCCCCCCCGCCTAAATCTGTGAAACGATCCGAAGAATCCTCTACTGACGTCCATGACTAGTCCGGGATTCTCAGCCTCGAGGAAGAGATCATTGACGCCACGACCGAAGAGGGGAGGGCACAGCTGAAGCAGATGGAGCGCGAAAATGCCGTGATGACGTCTGCTGGAGGTGATTTGTATCCGGATCCCGAGTGAGGAGATTTTGCGGCGTTGGCGTCAGTTTTCTGCCTTTTTCTGCTCTTTTTCTGCATTTACAACGCGTTATAGGGTATGCATATAGGGGTCTACGGCCGCCTTGGGAGCCGCGGTCTCTACCCTGCTCGGCGGGCCTAGTGCGCCAGAGATGGAATGAGCTTGATAGTGATTCTGGGGATGAGGTTGCTTCATTCGTCGGGAACTACTGTCATGATACACATGCCCATCAACATAACTGGAATGGCTATAATTACACATATTCATGAGGAGAGCTCTCAGCATTGTGTAATGAACCAAGAACAAGGGATAACATGAGTATCCCGGAACGATTCAAAATACATGTTGATCGCATTATAAGTCGACATCAATGCATGGAACAGAACCATGCAAAGGGTTTGTTTTGCTGGCCCTGCGACCTCAGCCAGCCGGTCCTTGCACCAAGTGTCACAGACTTGTCTGGTTCTCACCGGAATTCCAGATCTGGTATGAAGCGTGCAGGAGGAGGACTGGAGGTGGAAGGCCAGAGAAGCAAGGGCGGAAGAGTGAGCTATATCTGACGATATCTAAAAATCCAACCCAGCCCAACTATAAAATAGGAGGCAAACCCATGGTATCCTCACCACCCACCCCTTTTCCACCCACCTGTCCTCTCAAGCCACTCCTCCCTTCCGCCTTGCGACACAAGGTATCACGATACCTTGAGGGCATTCCCAACTGTCCCGTTCAAAATCTTGAACGGCTTAGGGATATTTTATCCCATTCATCTTTGAAATCACTGTCCCATCTTTGACCTAATTGTTCGATCTCACCTGCGAGACCTTCCACCTCACTTTGTGCGGCATGACATACTGAGACCAACGCATCCATTCACACCATGTCAGCCAACAATCCCCCCTTCATGGGGAGCGAGATGCCTCCATCTGGCACTCAGAGTGAGTACCCATTTATTCCTGACATGTCATCTTGTGCCCAGCTAAGACAGTACAGCCAACAGTGACGCTGACTTCGAGTTGCGGGTCGAGGCTCTCCGTCGCAAGAAACAACAATATGATGAGGACCGCAAGGCCCAGGGTCCTCACCAGGCTCCAGATATCCTAACTCCGCCTCCCTCCTTCAGCCCTACAGATAACGGCACACCGCAACTCGCTCCTGTAGCAGACTCAGTTCCAGGTCACCCTCCGCAACCTATGCAGGCAGAGTCGACCACTCTGGACCTGGGTACCTCTTCATCCAACCCTGTTGATCTGACTGGATCTCCCAAGGCTGGATCGGCGGCAGCCAAATTCCTGGCTGACCTGAGTAAAACCTCGCGAGGAGCTTCCCCTTAGGAGAAGGTCGCTTCTGGCAAGGAGAGAACATCATCGCACCGCCATCATCACCACCACCGCCCGAACCTCGTCAACAAGCTGAAGGGCCCCAAGCCCCCAAAGCCCCATAAGCGACACGAGAAGCGCCGACTAGACGATCATGCCGGCGCAACTTTGGGCCTCTCCAAGGGAGGAGCTTCCAAGTCTCGACATGCACCTACACCGATCAAGCCACCCGCCGCCGCCAAAGAGCGTACCCATCGAGATGCGTCCTCTCTCGCACCGCCGGCTCCCCTTAAGCCAGGTGGTGAGGAGCAAGCTCGTATGTCTAAGCCAGCCAAGCTCCCAACGACTGAACCGACCACCATCTCGCCCAAGCTTGGGAACCCTGACCCGGCTCCAGCTGTGGTGACTACTGCTGCTCCGAGTGCCACTGCTCTGAGTGCCATCCCGGCCCCATTGCCAGACCCACCGGCGCCGCCAGTAATTAGCCTTCATGATGCCGCGGCCATGTACAAGGAAATTGAGGCCAGAGTTGTGCGCAAGCCGCGCACCACAGAGCTCAACGCAAAGGTCCCGGAGCTGCCGCGTCCCACCCAGGTGAAGGCGGCGGTAGAGAGGTCCAAGAACAGGGCTCAAGATCGGCTGCACCAAGCCGAGGAGCGGCGAAAGGCGACTAAAAAGGAGAAGAAGAGGAGCGAGATCCTGGCCAGGCTGAAGACCATCCACGAGAACGAGGGTCTTTCCCAAGCTGAGCTCGAGAAGCGGGCAGACCAACTGACCGATAACTGGGCTCGGGAAACTGAGTACCAGAGGAAGAAGAGACTAGAGAGGAAAGAGAAGAAAGAGAACGCCAATGCAAACGACGAGGTCAAGGTCAATGCAAACGACAAGGCCAATGCAAATGACAAGGCCAATGATGACCGCACCGTTGCTCCTACGCCGGCGGCGAATGCATCTCAACTCGAGCGAGTGGGACTCAAGCCGGACCAGCCGGTAGTCCGCTACTCGATCTTCTTCACCCCCGAGTACACAGAGGGCGAAAATATCGACGATCGCGTCATCAGGGACGACGAGTCCTTCATCGACAAGAACAAGGCCAACGAAAAAGCAGTCAAGCTTCTCACTCAGTGCCGCTACGAGACGATCAGCTTCAAGAAGCCCGAGGTCCAGGACATCCACCACTCGTACCAGCGCGACGGCATGTTTTTCGGAACCCTGGTCCTGACCAACGGCCGCAAGAAGCTCCTCTGGGTCGACCAGGAGATGGTCCAGGCTTGCCAGATAGACCCGAAGCAGTACAACGGCATGGTCCTGAGCGAGAGCTTCCTGGAATGCTTCGGCAACCGCTACGACGTCTTCTCGATCACCACCGTCAAAATCCGTCCGGTGATCCGAATCCGAGCTCGTCCTGCCGACCAAAGCCAGCCAGCTGGAGACGCTGCCGACCAAGGCCAGCAAGATGGAGGCGATTCTACCGACCAAGGCCAGCAAGATGGAGGCGATTCTGCCGCCGCAGCACCTGCCTTGGTCGACACGGATGACGAAGACGACGAAGACCCAGGTGACAATACAGAGGATATCATTCGGTTCGAGGCCGGATTCGTCCATCTCGCATCGGCCAACGACTTTGCCCTACAACTCTTCAAGCGACTCACCATGCCCAATGCTCGGATCAATTCCCAGCACTACTGGATGAAGAACGTCGCTACGCTGACTAGTCAGGTGAAGCAGCAAGCAGAGGAGAGTGAGCTCGATTGGGCACTCACCCCGCTCGACATGCGACTCAACGGAGACCCGCAGTGCGGTCACGACTTTATCCGGATGGCTGTCACAGTCTTCCCGGCCAAGCTTCAGGGCCCCATCCACCTCGATAGAGCTCTCGTCCCGGAGCCGGCCCAAGAGGAGGCGGAGGACGGAGATGGCATGGTCGTGGATTCGTGATGCTCCGCAATTCTTTTCTGTCCTCTTTTTTTTCAGTCGTCGCTTTGATTTGGAGACTTGACCGACTTGACCTCGGCCTGTGTCATGCTGCGCCTGCACTTAGCGATGGGCGCCGTGCAGCACGAGCGTCTCGGAAGAAACGCCAGACATAGTTCACATGGGGGGTTTCAACTTCCGCCCGCGGTCAGCCTTCGCTCCAGATACTGTCTCCCTATCATTAGGCCGTTTTATCTGTATTTCTGGTGAACTTGAATTCCTCAACCAGAGGCCCATGTATTCGTACTACCTCAGCCCTGAGGATTAATCCTACCTGAGCAGAGGAGAAATTTAGGGCATCCGAGCCGTAACATCTCAATATACCTTTCCACGGCCCGACTTGATTTCAGTGTACCAGGTCTCCCTTGATGTGATGGTCACAGTAGGAATCTTAACCGAGTTCTGATTTGATTTCCAGCCCTAGCCTTCCGCGAGCCCCTTCACAGTCGAAGGTGGAAGGGGCTGTGTCGTATGCGGGGGAAGAGCGAAGATTACCTGATGAGGGAGTTAATCTTGGCATGGAAAGCTAAATTATTGACTCTCCAGGCTTCCATTCCGTTGGTACGGTACCTAAGCATATCACGGGAGCAAATAAATGCTTGGTCAACGTCGAACGCTCCCGTAGCTATATCAGACGCGGTTCAGCTTGCTCGCGAAAATGCTTCCAGAACAGCCTTTGCCACGGACAACAAGGACACGGTATCCCCTTTCTCGCTGTCTTCCAGTGCCGTGTGATATCGTGCTCCATAGTGGTCTTTTCAAGTACTACGGACTTTGGGTGATGAAGTCTCGAAGTTGATGGAAGAGTATTCGGCTCCGGAGAAGACCTGTTTATTCGCCGCACTAGACATTTGATGATAATGTGAGGTGCTACACCCCTTATCTCCCACGTGTACGAGTTGTATTTTGTAGCCTGCGGGCTTTATGAGATTGGTAAGAACTGTGGTAACCTCTCTATCTCTCTCTCTCTCTCTCTCTCTGTGTGTGTGTGTGTGTGTGCGCGCGCGAGTATCATTAGAGTAGAACCCGGTGAACTGGCTTAGAAGTGCTTGAAAGCATCGGGAGGAGTTGCTGCTCAGTGTCAGGCCTGTCTTTAGCACATTATCGCTCTTTCCCATGTTCGAAGCATGGCTTGAGTGTCACCCAGAAGAAGCGGCGGACCATAGACTTGAGATGGAAAGCTAAGAAGAAATGAGGGCACCCTTGGAACTGCCAACTTGCAAGGGAAAAGCCTCACCTCGGAGTTCTGGAACCAGGTTCTGCGAAACTACGGTCCAACCCACAATCAGATGGCGCCACCGAGAGCATTTAGTTATTAAGAACAAATAGACAGGTCTCCTCGTCCCTCTTATTCTTTCTCTTTTACTTCCCGGCCATTAGTTTTTCATCTCAACGATATTCGTATCCTTCAAACTAATCGGCATCTTTGATTTGCCCATGGCAACCAGAGAGAGTCAAGGGGTAGGCGGCGGCGGCGGCGGCAGCGGCGGTCAGGGACAGCATGCTACGGGAGAGCAGACCGCATCTGTGCCAAATACTTTTGATCCCGACCTGGAAGCCGGTCGTGTCGGCGCCCTGCCTGCCGATAATCCCACTGAAGCTTCCAGCCACCTATCATTCAAGACTCCAAGCAGCGATGATATTGAGAGCGCTAGTACCGCGAACGGGGTCCATCACGAGTAAGTCATGCCGTATCCTGGAACAAGGAAGCCAAAATCTCACAAGACCGACTTCAGGCTTTGTAGATACATCTCTAGCCACCAGGATCCCTTTGCCGAGAAGAACGCACAACCGGACTTGGCGGAAACAACACCACAAAAGAAGCCGTGGTGGGCATTTTGGCGAGCCGTTGGTTCCAACAAAGCATTATCTGACTTTGTGACCCCGAACGAGTGGCTTTTAACGCCGCTGAATGCCGGACTGAGCGAGGATGATGTCGTCAGAAGACGCAGGTTCTGTGGCTGGAATGAGTTGGTGACCGAGAAGGAGAATATGCTGCTTAAGTTCTTATATTTCTTCTCGGGCCCGATTCTCTACGGTTTCGTACCCTTTCCCTGTGAAGTCAACCTGACCTCAAAAGCTGACTTGTGCGCAGTTATGGAGCTTGCCGCTTTGATAGCCCTTCTCCTGCAGGATTGGATCGAGTTCGGTGTCATCATCGGCATCCTTCTCCTAAACGCTGGGGTCGGGTGGTACCAAGAAAAACAGATAAGTCTCTTGGTCAGATTTAATTTGGATTGTGAAGCTAACTGTATTTCCACGCTGCCGACGTTGTTGCCTCCCTCAGAGGCGATATCACCATGACCGCTCGAGTTATTCGTGGAGGGAATAGGACTGAGATCAAAGCTCGGGAACTGGTGCCCGGAGACATTGTAGGCCAACTTTCCGCCACCCTTTCTGTCGCCATTATCTGACATGTTGATAGATCATCATTGAAGATGGTGATGTGATTCCTGCGGATGCTCGCATCATATGTGACTTCGAGGGCTCGGCCGCCGGTTATCAGCAGTACTTGCTAGAGTTGCAGCAGCACAATGCCGATAATCAAGAGCACGGAACAGCTGGGGAGGACGGAGAGGAGGACGTCCCGCATCCTGGTGGCGGTCCCATCTTAGCCGTTGATCAAAGCGCTATGACCGGCGAGTCTCATGCTGTCGACAAGCATATGCTGGACACGATCTACTACACAACTGGATGTAGGCGTGGGAAGGCGTACGCCATCGTCACCCATGTGGCTCCAGCGTCCTTGGTCGGCAAGACCGCAATCCTTACACAAGGTGCCCAAGATCAAGGTCACTTCAAGGCAATCATGAACTCCATCGGTACTGCGCTGCTGGTGCTCGTAGTCTTCTTCATCCTTGCTGCTTGGATTGGCGGTTTCTACCGCAATGTACGCATCATCGATGCTGAGGACAGCCCCCACAGCTTGGTTCGGTACATGCTCAGTCTTCTTATTATTGGTGTCCCAGTCGGTCTACCGGTTGTGACAACAACCACTCTCGCGGTTGGGGCCGCCTATCTGGCGAACGAGAAGGCTATCGTGCAGAAACTGACTGCGATCGAGTCTCTGGCGGGTGTCGACATCCTCTGCTCGGACAAAACGGGGACCTTGACAGCCAACCGTCTTTCTCAACGGGAGCCTTTCGTTATGGAGGGCGTCGATATCAATTGGATGATGACAGTGGCCGCGCTGGCTTCGAGCCACAACGTCAGCAATCTTGACCCGATTGACAAGATCACCGTCCTTAGTGTGAAGAGATATCCGGTAGCGAAAGCCTGGCTGGCAAGAGACTGGAGGAACATACACTTTGAGCCGTTCAACCCCGTCTCCAAGCTCATCGAGGCTGTCAAAGAGCTCGATGGCGTTCGTTACACGTGCATCAAAGGGAGTGCCACCTCGGTCTTGGCCAAGTGCAATGGGAGTCCCGAGCACACCGACATCTTCCGCAGAAAAGCTAGAGAACTTGCGTCACGGGGGTTCCGATGCTTGGCCGTCGCCGTCAAGAAGAATGACGAGCCCTGGGAGCTCTTGGGTATGATGTCGCTGTTTGACCCGCCTCGGTCCGACACGGCGGAGACCATTGCAGAAGCTCAAGCCCTAGGTCTTTCGGTCAAGATGCTGACGGGCGATGCCTGCCCTATTGCCAAAGAGACCTGCAAGATGCTGGCAATGGGTACCAAGATTTACAAGGCGGACAGCCTTTCCAGGGAGACACCCGGGACTGCTATTCATGATCTCTGCGAGCGTGCAGATGGCTTTGCAGAGGTCTTTCCCAAGCATAAGTATTTGGTCGTCGAGAAGCTCCAGTAAGATTATCCGTCTGCTTCCTGGTCGATCGTCAGCTATCTAACACAGCCATGTAGGGAACGTGGTCACCTCACGGCAATGACTGGAGACGGTGTCAACGATGCTCCATCTCTGAAGAAGTCAGACTGCGGCATAGCCGTCGAGGGTGCGACCGAGGCTGCCCAAGCAGCGGCTGATATTGTGCTCCTGGAGCCGGGTCTGAAGACAATTATCTCGGCGATCAAGATCTCACGCCAGATCTTCCAGCGTATGAAGGCGTATATTCAGTATCGGATTGCGCTCTGCCTTCATCTGTACGTGGCCCCAACACACACAGCTCTGGTACGTTTGGAAGCATGCTGATATCAAGAAATTAGGGAGATCTATCTCGTGACCTGTATGCTGGGAATCAATGAGACACTGCACCTACCCTTGGTCGCGTTCCTCGCTCTTTTTGCCGATCTGGCTACGATTGCTGTGGGCTTCGACAATGCCCACTACGAGATGAGGCCGGTAGAGTGGCAGCTGCCCAAGATCTGGATTATCAGCGTTGTCTTGGGTGTGCTTCTTACCATCGGGACGTGGGTTCTACGCGGGACGCTCTGGCTCTCCTCGGGCGGTGTCATTCAAGACTACGGCAGCATACAGGGGATCCTGTTCCTAGAGATCACGCTCACGCAGAACTGGTTGATCTTTGTGACCCGCGGGTTCAAGACGTGGCCGTCGTTTGCGCTGGTCGCTGCTATCGCCGGCGTCGACATCCTGGCTGTCGTGTTTGCGCATTTCGGATGGATGACTGGTGGCGCTGGCCTACAGTCGACGCCGCCAACGCCCGCAGGGAACATCAACGCGAACGGACAGACAGACTGGAAGACTATCGCTGTGGTATTCTTGTGTGAGTATCGCCCTGTGATCCCCGCATCCCGGAATGGCAATATTGACTCTCGATAGACTCGGTCGCTGTATCCATCGTGGCTGGTGTCGTGTACCACGTCATGACGGAGTGGACATGGCTCAACGACATCGGGCGTACAAGGCGGTCGCGAACGGACACGGAGATGGAAAACGTGCTGGCACGTCTTGGGAAGATTGCTATTGAGCACGTGCAACCAGGCGGAGAGGTGAGCCGATACTATTTGGAGACGAGACAAGACGAGTCGGATGATGAGTAGGACTCCTTGGTCAACTTGTCCGTCAGCAAACCGAGTTGAGACTCTGCTTTTCCTGTTGTATTTGCCTTCCCCTCCCCCTTCTTCTTCCTCTCCTTTCTTCTTTCTGTCCTTGCAAGAGTCAATCCAAATGTGTTGGACTTGCTCGTCTTTCTTGGTTCTGGTTAGTGTTGTTGCTGTTTTCATGGCTTTATATCATTCCCCTTTACCAACACGGAAAAGTCAGGTTTGGTGTGGCAACGCAGGAGACTTGCAAACCCGGTTTTCATTGATGCTTACGGAGTACTGCTTTGATTACTTTATATGATTTGGTGCTGCACTTTAGGTGAAACAAGGAAGGAGAGCGGTGTTGGATATTGCATGGAGACATGGGACACCTAAATCCATTAGGTACCTTTGTACTTAGGTAGACAGATTCTCCTCAAGCAAACAGATAAATCAACATCCTTCCTACAAAAACAAGCCACAGTCTGCAGGTGGGAATGGAACGAGCTCAGGTGATGGTGAAGAGAGAGAGAGACAGACAGAGAGAGTGAGAGCCACAAGACCACAACAGCACTGTGGGTGGCTGACGTTGGTCAGGTAACTCGGAGTGGGAGCACCACAGTGCCACTCCCTAGGGGAAATAGAGTGTCGAGTGTATACGAATATCCACCGATCTGCGGGGGATGATCTGGCTCTGCCCTGCATTCGAGTCGACGGCAGTCGTCGTTGCTAGGGCAACACTGCGAAACCCGGGATCATGCACTAGCGCATCGAGGACTAAACCTTGGATCTTCAGCTAGGCGACGCCTGTGCAGCCCCTAGAACCGGCCCACTAGAGGGACCTCCCCCCCCCCACCAGCTAGCGCTGAGGCCGCATCCAGTCGCCTGCAATCCCCCCCATTGCGCTACCCCTGCTTTGTTTACATTCCACTCGCAACGACGGGCGCTACGTTTATTAACAACAGACCACATACCAGACCGCATCTGCCATTCTCTCCCCTTCCCGCCCCATCCACACCCATCAAGCAAGCATCATACTGTACACGCTGGCAATCATCGCGAGGCAAAACCCATCATCCATTTCTTCCTGCTCGCCAAAGGAATGGTTCGCCGGTGTCGCCGCCTTGAGATCTAGTAGTTGAGGTGGACTTCCTTTCTCTTCTTTGCGGATGCGCATCCTTATGAACCGGGCCCTTTTCCTGTTGACATCCCCGCCAACTATTGCACTCAGCATTCCTCACCAGTAGCGCCTTTGACTGCTGTTTTATCAAAACCCAGTGTCGCAACCTAGAAAGGATTTGCGCACAATCGCATTATCACCTGCCTGCGCCTTTCTCCTATCGTGTGTTTTTTGGAGGCCCCCTCGCAGCTGCGCGCAGTCGCTTTGCGATCCCGAGCCCAGCTGACGGCTACACTTGATGATGGCCTCATCGGAGCCGGTAAGTCGCATTGCAGGCACGACAAGACATCATCCAGCCCGCTGACACTGGCTTCGCAGGTTCACCCACTGCGCATCTCCAAGAACACTCCTGTGTCTTCGGGATCGCCAGTCAAGATGGCCAGCTCAATCCCTCGTCCCCTGTCTGAGATCTCCCCGATGGAGAAGAGGCGAAATTCGCCCAGCTGGAACCAAGCCACTAAGGTGGGCCGCCCTTCATTCCAAGGCATCTCTACTTGGGTTACGATCCGAACCACCTGCTAATGTCATGTCTCAGAAAATGACTGTGAGCTCCGACTCTTCTCCATTCCAGTCGTCCCCGTTGGATGGCACCACCTCGCCCCGGCTCTTCTGGCAAAACCGGGGCTTCAACGAGAACAATCTCTACGGTCGATCAGGCTCTCCGTCACCAACTCGGCGATCGTCCATCGAGCGCTTACAGAAAGCCTCTCGTGTCAAGAACAGCAACATCCTCGCGCTCGAACAAAAGCAGGAGTACGACCCTACCCGCGTCCCGCAGATCGAGCGCCCGCTTGCCAAGGTCCAGGGCAATGCTTACGGCGGCCGAGGCATCAACGGGTTCAGGTCCAGCGGCGAAAACAAGGGCCATCAGCGCAGCGAAAGCATGACGAGTATCCCTCTCTATAACCCGGCGAGGCCTCCTCACTCGCAGACTGCGCCTTCTTTGAATGCACCCCGCACGCCCACCACTAAGGAACCCGGTTCCCCGATCAAGTCGTCGCTCTCGACCAATAGGTTCAAGAGCAGCTACGATTCCCAACAGGGAGACGGCTCTACCATCGACGCCTCGATGGAGGACCCTCAACTCCCGTCTGGCAGATCTCTGCATCGCCATGCGAAGAGCGTCACTTTCGACGCAGCGCCGCCTCAGATCAACGAGTATGAGATGGCCACACCGGACCTCTCTTCCATCGGTACAAACTCTCGCGAGGGAAGCTACGAGTCTGAGGGAGACGAAGATGAATACGAGAACCACTACCTAGCTGGCGAGGCCCATGGGCAGGAGGACAGCTTCGACGCCTCTCTCGAGGACACTGACAAGACTCCCGTCGTTGGTCCTGATGATTGGAGACAAGAGAGCCCGGCGGTACATACGCGAGGCTTGGAAGACCCTTTCGAGGGAAGTCCGTTGCCCGATGCCGTCCCCACCTCCACTGAACGCCCTCCGCATAATCGCACAGATTCGACCAACTCCGACCACAGACCGCTGCCGCCTCTGCCCGGCATGCAGCTCACCCGGAGCCATTCGTCCTCATCTACAAGCGCCACAGCAGAGCGTATGGTTGGTGCTCATAGAAGTCTGCCGTCTCCGCCCCCTGCTGCAACGAGCAAGTCGGAGATCCAGAACTTTGGCAATGGCAAGATGACGCTTGAGGAACGTCTGAAGCTTATGATGCTGTCCGACGATGGCAAGTCTGCGGCTGAGCAGCAGCGTGAGCGCCGTATGCGCCGCGCCGGTACCAGGGAGCGTGTCGGAAGCAGCACTCCAGAGCCTGAGCTACCCGCTCTGGACCCCGAAGAGCAGGACGAAGCCGAGGACACCATTGGAGACCTCTCTGGGCTCGAAGAATACCAACTCCCGCCTCGTATCTCACGCGAGTCTATTCTTCGTCGTGTCAATGGAAACCAGGGCCTGGAGCGCGAGTCTGACTACAATTTCTCCTCGCCCGCCCCGAGCTCGCCCGAGCGTCATCTCCCCCTTGACCCCGATGTCCCCATTCCGAGCACGGAAGACTCCATGCTTGACGTCAGTGACATCAGCGGCATTGGGGAGGATGGTCTTGAGAAGGAGGCTGACCTCTACTCAATCACCGATTATTACCAGCAGCCCGAGTCTCAGCAGGGTGACATCAACGAGGATGCAGAAGACGTTGTTAATGACACCGACTCCGCCAGCCATTACTCCGATGCCTCGAAGGAGCTAGGCCTCCAAGCCGACGGCGCCTCGACGCCTCGTGCCACCACTCCTGTCCCAGAAGAGGCGGTGCCAGAGCCCTCCAAAGAATCCGACAACCTTTTGCCGGATCTTCCTACTCGCACCAACAAGCTTGATCTTGGCAGCGGCATGGAGACTTTCATGCTTCCCAGGCCCAACGAGGTCGAGAGCGCTCCCAAGATGGCTGAAGCTCACGCATACCTACAACGCCCGTACACCCCCGAGCAGCGTATGTCTAAGCCCGAGTACGATGGCTCCGGCTGGGGCGAGGATGATGAATTCGACGAGGAGGAGCCTAGCACTCCAGAATCCGTCATTCACCATCCGATGTCCGACGACTCTCCAAGAGAGTCTCCCGCAATTCCCGAGCAGATGGCCACGATCAAGGCATCCGGATCCAAGCTCAAGACCCGACCATCTGCCACGCCATCTGACATCATGGCAATGCGCGAGGCCCGGCGCCAAGTTAGTCGCGAGGTGCCCGACGTTCCTCCAATCCCGGAGCGACACCGCAACCGTCTGTCGAGAGATTTCGACATCGACAGAGATCTCGCAGCAAGCGATGACTTCCTCGAGCGTCACCCCAGCTTTAAGAATCGCAGCCTGACCCTGGAACTTGATCTGGGTTTGAGCCTAGACAAGGACTTTGATCGAGTTATCGAGGCACAAAAGGTGGCTGACCAACCTTTTCTTTCACCCCCTCAGAACACCAATACAACTTCAACCATCAGCAGACAAGCGTCTCTGAAGGCTGGGAACAGCTTTATCAACCAAGAGCTTGAGACAACCACAGACAGCACTGATACTAACATCACTACCCGTAAACAGCGCGGCTATCTGATGCGCCAAAACACCAAACTCGTCGCTGCCAGCGATAAGGACTCGGAGGATTTCCGCGGGACCCGATCAGCGGGCAATTCTCCCATCAAGAAGGATCGACCCCAGTCCTGGACTGTCGAGCCTTGGAATGGCCAGAGGAGAAAGAGTACTAAGAAGGCCAACCGCATGACTGGTCCCGTGCCCCCTCTGCCTGGACAAGAGAGCAACGCAGCGCCCCTCAATAGCCTGCCTGAAGAGGAGCCCCACGTCGATGTTGCTCCCGAGGATAGTGGCGAACGTGGCAGACTCTTCATCAAAGTGATGGGTGTCAAGGACCTTGACTTGCCTATCCCCAAGAGTAATGATCCCAGCACTTCCCACCAAGACGGTATATGCTAATTATTTCCAGATGAACGCACCTGGTTTGCTCTGACACTCGATAACGGTGTGCACTGCGTCACCACTGCCTGGCTGGAGCTCGCCAGAAACGCCCCTATCGGACAAGAGTTTGAGCTGGTTGTGCCAAACGACCTTGAGTTCCAGCTGACCCTGAACGTGAAGCTGGAGAAGCCCGCACCGACCAAGGCGATACAGTCTCCCACAAAGGCAAGCAGGCCTAAGACATCGACCTTCAGCAGGGTCTTTGCGTCTCCCAGGAAGCGCAAGGAGATGGAACTTCGCCAGAGGGAAGAGGAAGAGCGACTGGCCCGCGAGCAGCGCGAGGCTCAGGCGAGAAGCACCAATGCGCAACCCACGTCCTGGGACCTCCTCTCTCCTCTTGCAGCAGATGATGGCAGCTTCGCCCGTGCCTACGTTTGCCTCAAGGAGCACGAGTCGAGGTGTTTCGGACGTCCGTACTCAGTAGAGGTAGCATGCTTCAACGAGTGGGCTACCGAGGAGGCGGGCTTCGCGTCCAGCGTCAAGAGTAAGCGGGGAAATACTGCCGTAGTCCGTCGCGCTCCGTACAAGATCGGCAAGCTGGAGCTTCAGCTTCTGTTCGTCCCCCGCCCCAAGGGGGCCACGGACGAGGATATGCCTAAGAGCATGAACTCGTGCATCCGCGAGATGAGGGCTGCGGAGGAGAGACTGTCCCGCAACTGGGAGGGCCATTTGAGCCAGCAGGGTGGTGACTGCCCGGTAAGTTTGACCCAAGGAGTTATGGTCAACGAGAACCGGTTTTTGCTGACATATGTATTTAGTACTGGCGCCGCCGCTACTTCAAGCTCGTCGGCACAAAGCTCACTGCCTATCATGAGGCGACGAGACAGCCGCGAGCCACCATCAATCTGGGCAACGCCAAGCGGTTGATTGATGACAAGAGGGCCTTGACGGAGAAGGAGACTACAGGCCGCAATGGTCAACGACGCCGGTCAGCGTTTGCCGAGGAGGAGGAAGGCTACATGTTTGTCGAGGAGGGTTTCCGAATCCGCTTCAACAACGGAGAGGTCATTGACTTCTACGCCGACACCGCCCAGGACAAAGAGGGCTGGATGAAGGTCCTTTCCGAGGTTGTCGGACGTGACAGCGCCGCTGGGGACGATGACGCCAGCGTGTCCCGGGCCAAGGGCAAGTGGTGCGATCTCGTCCTTAAGCGGGAGGACACCATTCGCAAGCGGACCGAGGGACGCCGAGTCCACTCGCGCACCAAGAGCATGCTCACATGAGCTCTTTTGCCCTCGAGATGATGACGCCTTCTTTTTTCTGTATGATCATGTTGAGATGAAAAAGGAAACGAAATGACTGGAAGGAAAGACACAACGGCGCCCTGAGATGAGATCCGAGCCCCCCACGAATGGGTTCGGACAAAGAAAGGAGTTTTTGTTTTTTCAAGGACTTGTTGTCTACTTTACGTTTTCCGACTGGCATTTTTTCACTTCTCACCACCTGTGTCTCCGCTTCTTTCTCTCTCTCTCTCTCCATCACTTGTCTCTCTATCTGGTCTGGCTGGCTCGGATTCTTATGCATATACACACACCTTTTTTTACTGTTTCTTCTTTCGGGAAGAGAAAGACATTAAAGCAAACCGCTCTGCTTCGCAGCGGTAGGGGTTTCGCGACTAGGGACTATTAATGACTATCATGTTGAATTAACGAGCAAGAGGCAGAACACTGAAATTCATTGTTATAACTGTACCATATGGATGAGGCCTGGTACGTTGAGCCGTGTGTCTTTGTGTGAATAGCTACGAACTCGTCTACCTTTGTGGTGTGGCGGCCCCGTACACACGTTGCATCATTGCATCGCCGTAGGGCCATAGGAATGCAAGTCTTCTCTTTATATGCTCCGCCTTTCCACGTTCTTCTATATGGGTATCTACATTTTCTATAACCGGGGCCTCGCTCCCCGAGTCCAAAGCTCGTGATCATATCTTGTCCTCCTGATCCTCGTTCCACCGAACGCAGTCGTCAAACTTGACGCCGCTGCCGCCAAAGCAGTCCAGGGCACTGCCGATCGTCAGGTCGACCTTGCCGCCGCTCAGCTCCTTGACGAGGTCGAGGTCGGCGAGGGTGCGGCCGCCGCCGGCGTAGGTCACGGGGATGGTGCACCACTCGGCCAGCCGGCGGACGAGGTCCTCGTCGATGCCGCGCTGCAGGCCTTCGTTGTCGGCGGCGTGGATGAGGAACTCGGAGCAGTAGGGCTCGAGGAGGGATATCGATTCTAGCAAGCGCGGATTCGCAAACTGTCAGTGAGGGGGCGTTCATCTTGCTCGCTTCACGGGGGCTAGGCTAGGCTATAGACATTGGGAACTGACTGACCTTGGTTGACCTCCATGTCCGTGACGGTCTGCCACTTGTTCATGGCCACGAACCACTTGCCGTCCTGCCGCCGGCAGCTCAGGTCGACGACGAGCCTGTCCTTGTCCCCGCCCAGCGCGGCCAGCACGGCGTCGAGCCGGTCCCGGGCGAACCTGGCGCCGGGAAAGAGGAAGCTCGTGACGATGACCTTGTCGGCGCCGGCGGCGATCCACTCGGCGGCGTTGGCCTCGGTCACGCCGCCTCCGACCTGTAGCCCGCCCGGCCAGGCCGCCAGCGCCGAGCGCGCGGCGTCGGCGTTGCCGGGCCCGAGCATGATGACGTGGGCGCCCGCGAGGCCTCTGTCGCGGTAGAGCCGCGCGAAGTGGGCGGCGGGCAGGGCCGAGACGTGGTTGGTCTGCAGGGCGGCAGCGTCGGCGTCGCTGAGGGTGCCGCCGACGATCTGCTTGACCTGGCCTGCGTGCAGGTCTATGCAGGGGCGGAAGCGCGTCATCTTGTCTTGCGATCGTTTGCGCGGAGGGTTATGTACGTAGCGAGAGAGGAATCGAGTGGGTTAGAGAGGGATTGGTGGGTGGTTGTCAATTGCCCACTATTATCCCCGTCAGCTTTCCCGCGTGTAGGGAATGTCGTCGGAATAGAAAGATTGGGAGACGGGAGCTCCCGCAATAAGGAGAGAAGGCCGTTAAGTTTCAACTATTTTGACAAGTGACGATCATCCCGTCCGCTTTTTGGGTGAGAGGGGTTGTGTCGTCTGGGCTGGCTCCGGGTACTCTTGCTATCGATAGTGGTGGATAGTGGGGGAGTTGTGGTGGACTACCAGCTTAGTTAGCTTGAGTACAAGCTTCCCTCTCCCAAGCTTGCTATTGGTGCGCGGGAGTGCGAGGTCCACCAAAAAGTTTTCGGTTCAAAGCACTACCTTATCGTGTTTATCTAACTCAATCTCTCGCCCTCTATCCATCGAACCGTCACAAGTCCGGCTTGGTGTTTTCCGCCTTCATTCCCTCGAGACCGCAGACCTGCCGACAAATCATCGACGCAATGGGGCATTCGTCAGTGCTGGGGAAGAGGAAACCAAAGGCCACCGAGGAGGAACTCGAGGACGCCCAAGCCATCTTCCGCAAACACTTCGAGGCCCAATTCCAGCTCCTCCCAGAAGACCAGCCGTTGCGCAAGGCTGAGGGAGAGGACGAAGAGGACGAAGAGGACGACGAAGATGATTCAGAGGAAGACGGCTCCGACGCGGAATCGGAATGGGACGGCCTATCAGGTGACGAGGAAGACGATGGTATGCATCATCATCTCACAGTAGAACCCCTGCCAGACTGATCGCCAGCTAAAACCCCCAACCCCCAGACGTCACCGCCGTCCAGGTCATAGATCACAGCACAAATACCCACTCGTCAGAAGACAGCGCATTCACGAAAGCCGAGCTGCGCGCATACATGGTACGCACACACACGCATACACACTCACTTACTCCTCGCCCAGGTCAGACTAACCTCTCTCCCGCGAACAAACCAGTCCTCCAAACCCCCGTCCTCCACCTTCCCCTCCTCCGACGACACCAAACCCCCCTCGTCCCGCCGCAGCAGCAAGCCCGCCAGCGCCTCCGACGAGCCCGAGGACTCGGCCGCCCTCCTGGCAAACGACCTCGCCCTGCAGCGCCTCATCTCCGAGTCCCACCTCCTCGCCGCCTCCTCTCCGCACCTCTCCTCTTCTCCCTCGGCCTCCAAGCCCTTCGCCTCGGGCCGCGCCCGCCAGGCCGCCACCTCGCTGCGCCTCGCCGCCCTCGGCGCCTCGCCCGCCAGCCTCGCCCCGCAGCACAAGATGCCCATGGCCCAGCGCAAGGGCATCGCCGCCGCCGCCGCCGCCCGCGAGCACAAGCGCCGCCGCGAGGCCAAGCTCAACGGCGTCGTGCTCGAGCGGCCGGACGGCAGCGGCAGCGGCAGCGGCAGCAGCAAGGGAAAAGACCCAAGGGGGAGGAGGAGAGCAGGAGGGGGGCCCGTGGATGCGCCGTCCGTGGGCAGGATGCGGGGCGCCGAGCTGAGGTTGAGCAAGCGCGACATACGAGATGTCGAGGGCCCCAGAGGCGGCGGCGACTGGAAGAAGAAGAAGAGAAGGAGGTAAGGGGGGGTTGGTTGGTTGGTTGGTTGGTTGGGGCGCATAAGTTGCTCCCTGTGAGTGAGCACAGGATTTATCTATAGGGGCATCATGATGCGCAATGACGTTTTCCAGCATTTGGCATGCGTGCGCAAAGAAGTGTTCGAGCATGCCGCGGTTGACGTACATTACTAAGATGTCAGAAAGACACTGTATATAACTATGTGATTTAGTTACGGCGGCGAATTCCCATGAAAGCACAGCAAGCAGTCCGACGACCTCTAGCTGGCAGGTCCGAAATCCATGCAAGGGCAGGTCCCAACTACGATCAGACGAAACGTGTATTCTCATATTCAACTTTTCTAGCTTTTAGATTCTGTCTTGTGAGATATAAAAAGAAATAGGTAGGCACCATATCGTGAGCACAAAAGAATTCCTCGTACTGAACCAAAAAAATGTGTGTATTGGATCACCGCTGATCCAATCATCCAAGGTATCTTTCCGAAACCATGCCATCCTCATCCTGAATAAGATAAAGGGGAAAAATAATGAGAAGCAGAAAAATCCAAAACTAGTAGGTATATATGTACAATGCGTTGCGATCCCGTCTCGCATCTCGGCGTCTCTCATGCACTCTCTCGCTTTCCATGTCGGTTTGGCACACGATGAGCAAGTTAATGCCTCGCGCTACCACTCTATAGGGAAGAATCTTTTGTTGGTACCGAAAAAAAAGCCGAAAACGTTCAGTCGCGGTGAAGAAGCAGGCAGTATGATTGGCTCACTAAACGCCCAGAAAATGGCCAGGGAAAACCTGGAGACGAGAATGAAAAGAGTAAAAAAAGGGGGTTCGCACAAGTGAACGAGACCAACAAGTCTCGTGCACAGAAGGGCAAGCAGCAGAAACATCCCGAACAGCAATATTGTACAGCGCCAAACGGGCTTTCACATCATCGCACCCGCGTTGATAGCCTGAGGTTGGCTCATGGTCATCGGCATGCTGAGTGTTTGCAAGCTGTTGAACGTGGGCGCGTTCGTCATTGCTGACGGGTTGATGCCGTTCGACGTCGGCGTCGCACCGTGTGCCATCGAGTTGAGCGAGGAGGGGATGTAACCACCCTCGGAGGTGGGAGAGGCCTCCTCGAGGGAACCAAGCTGGTCCTCGCCCGAGTACTCCTCCTCGTCCTCGCCCGAGAGGTTGAAGCCGCCCTCGGCTCCGTCACCGCGATCATGCGTGCGCTTGTGCCTGCCAGAGTCGCCCACGTTAGTCAATGATTCTGATCAAAAGTCTTGGTCATCTCAAGATGTTGTGTAGCGTGTCTTTGTGTTGTGGCTCGGTTCTTTCATGTTCGCATCTTTGTTGGGTCTGTTTTCTGTGGTCTTTTTTTTGCTTTTCGAACTCTTGACATGACGCGCACACAACATCTGCAGTTTGACCAAGAAAAGACAAAGGAAAATACAAAGAAAAGGTATGGGTGCATACTGTGCTAGGTTATCTGATCGGGAGAATGCCTTGCTACAATGAGGGCAGATGTAGGGTCTTTCTTGGGTGTGTGTCCTCACGTGTCTGTAGGTTTGGTCAGATACACGGCCAGCGAGCACATCTTGGCTTCTCGTGACAAATGAAACGTTACTCTGTCTTACCGCTTGAGGTGCTCGAGGCGCTTGAACAGACGACCACACGTTGGGATGGGGCACGAGTGAGACTTTTGAGGATACGGCCCGAGCTCCATGACGGTGGCTGAGCGGGCCCTCCGCACAACGCTGGGTGCGCCGTGCATCGCCCTTCTCTGGTCATCCATGGGAGCAGCCGAGGCCAGGTCCTCATTGGTCAATTGCGAGAAATCCTGCTGCTGCAGGGTCATGGGATTCATACCCGGGCTGCCTTCGACAGTGGACAGGGGGGTGCCGTGTCGCGACAGCTCGAGAAGCTCCTTGTGTTGTTGGCTTGCCGCCATGTTCATGGCCGAGTTGCCATAAGTCAACCCGGGAGGCGAATTGTCGAGTGATTCATCGCCCTCTGCGACTGGGCCGACCGACGCGGACACGGACCTCCTCAGATCAGACGGTCTGTGTGCGGCGGCGGTCGCAGTAGCAGCGGCAATGGCCGACATACCGGGGGGTATGGATGAACGCCGTCTTCTCTGCTTGTATGTCGGCGATCCTTCGATCACAGAGTAGACGTTATTTGTCCCATAGCCTCGAGAGAATTGAGGCCCAGCCAGATTGGAGGGGGGGAGCTGGATCATGCCGTTCAGACCGTTGACACCATTGAGGTGGTCAGGAATGGCCGTGTAGAGGCCCGTCTCTTCGTTCGCGATGTACGCAGGCTCGGCGTTGATGCCTGGGCCTAGCTGAGGAGGAGTCAGAGGCTCAAACGAGATGCCTCGGGCACCGTAATCATCATACTGAGACGAGACGAAGGAGGGAGCCGGCGAGTACTCCATACCATACGCCGGCATGGAAGCATGGCGCTGGTGGCCAGGCGCGACGGGCACGCCGTTCTGGTTGTACTGCACGCGGCCGAAGTCAGGTTCCCTCTTCACCACCTGCTGAACCTGCTGAGGCATTGCTGGAGCCATCGCCATGGCTCCGTAGGGGACTATTGCGTCCATCCCATCCGCCAAAGGGGCCATCGACTGAGGGATCATCTGGGGAGGGGGCATCGAGTCGATCGCCCGCATGACGGGGGAGGTGGACTGAGAGGGGGGGAAGGAGACCTGTTGGGCATTGAAGGAAGACGAGTTGGCTTGCTGGGCCTTGGTGAGCTGCTCGTACAGCGACTGAGAAGAGTCGTACTGGAAGGACAGCGCGGGCTCGCTGACGGCAACCGTGGTGGCCTCCTGGCCCATCTTCTCCCTCTTCAGGTCTCTCTCCAAGGCGTCAAGGAAAAGTCGATCGTGGGGAACGCTGTACCAGTAGAACACCTTCTGCTTCTTTTGCGTCCGGATGCAGTTGTTCTTGTACAGGAAGTCGAGGAAAGGGCTCTTGGGCTCCTCCAGGGAAGCGTCAGTCCCAGACTTCAGGTTCCGCAGATCTGAGAAGATGCCCTCCTCAAACTTCTTTGAGTTCTTGACCGGGCGGCCAAAGGCTTGAAATCTGAAGGAAAGGCATCGCACAATGTCGGTGCCGGAGATGTGGAAGAGATTGTTCCATAGCACGCAAGAGACGTATTCTCCAGTGGGCAGGAGGAACCTCCGGATGTATTGGTCTGGTTGCCAGTCGACAGGTGCCGAAATGAGAAAGTATTTGAGATTATCGACCTGCTGCAGAGCTACTTGAGCATCGTGCGGCAGAGCTTGTTGAGCCTCGGTGCTTAGCATAAAGGTCTCTGGCTTTTGAGGGGCAATGCCCGCCTGTTGCGAATACATGGCGAAGGGCGCTCACGCTGGGTGAGGCACACGAAATAGTGCTCAGCCGAGATATCAGTAGGGGTTCGACGAATCGACGAAGGACAGAGAAATTGAGATGTGCGTGGAGAGGAGGGAGGAATCGGCAGCTCAAGCGGTCACCTAGACCAGCTCAGTTCGAAGCCCGCGAGCCAAATTGCCGTTCGACAAGGAAAATGTTTTCGAAGAAAAACTGGCGATACGGACAAGAGTAGTCGATCGGCCGGTGATTTCGGATGCGCATGCGTTACGACAAGGCACGAAGTGGTGATGGTCGTCTCGGAGGCACAGCCCAATGAATTCGAGAGCGGAGGGAGGGGGTGTTTTGTGTCAAAAAAACAACGAGGCCAGCCCGGTGGTTAAATTTGCACAGCACACACACACACACACACACACACACAAAAGCGATCCAGTAGCTTCAAGCGAGCGAAGAGTTGCGAGAACGAGCAGCCGCAGTTGGACCGTCAAGGTACAAGCAACAGCGCCGGGAGTCGTAGTCTGACGGGTGGAGTCTCAAAAGGACCCAACACAGCGTGGTATTATGCGACAGAGCCCGGTGCGGATGGTCGAGCGCGAGAAACAATTTGAATCGTGGCGAGCGAATGGCGGGCGTGAAACAGAACAGTAGTAGCCAGGCAGGAGGAATAGATGTTCAACAGGTATTCCAGAGCGAGAGAGATAGCCAAAAGGGGCGTCTTCTCTACAACAGACAAGAGCGAAGGGCGAGGTTTGCGCAGTGCTGCTCGATGGTTCGCGACGCGGAGTGTCTGATGTGGTCAAGGAAGGACGATGATGTGCCTCCAGGATTCGGTATTGCTGGTTGATAGCTGAATGGCTGGCTACGACAGCCGACTAAAAAGAAGAATAAAGATAAAACGGTTCAGGAGGTGTGCGACTCCGAGAAAGACAAAGACACCAGGGCCAAGTATGATACCAATTGGGGGGACGAGACCTCCTAAATCAACAGGGTGGAGGAGGGGAGGAGGGGGAAAAAAAGAGAGGTTGAAGAAAGAGAGGTCTTGGAAAGGAGACTCCGGGAGAGGCTCGATGGGAAGGGGATGGGCAGGACCCGGGGGGTTTAATGATTTTCGGGGGTGGTAGAACTGAGCGCGGCAGAGGGCCTGGGTCGGGACAAGGACGGTAGGAAAGACAAAAAAAGAGTGGATGGGGGGGAGGGCAGAGTGGGTGGAGGAGGATGGATGGATGGCATGGGATGTTATGAGTGGATTTGGTGGTGTAGGCGTCGTGGGTGTCGTGGGTGTGTGCCCTTCTCTGCCGGGAGTACTCTCACGAAGAAGAAGCGGCAACTGGCTGGTCGAGGTACTTTTCGAGCAGCCAGAGCAACTCGGGCAGTCAGCCGGAAACTAAGGCAGGGGGGGTGAACTGGGCTTGCTGGGATATGGCATGGAGATACAGGCTAGCTACAAGCGTAACGACTGGACTTGTGTGTGGTGGCAGCACGGTAGGTAACAGACAGGGTGCATCGGCTCTGTGGCTGCAGTTACTCCCTACCTACTTACCTACCTTACGTACTTCTCCTGCTGGCTTGGTGCCCGTGAGTGTCTGTGTTGAAGTCTTCTCTCATCTCTTCTCATTGCCTCCTCCCTCCCTCTCCCCCTCCCCCCCTCACTTCTCACGTTGCTTTACTTGGAGCAACTCTTCAAAGAGCAACAACAGTGTGGAGAGAATGGACGAAGACGGCAGAACAAGGAGAACCAGAACAACGTGGAAGTTTAACAAGTTGTCCAAGCCAGAAGAGGTTGAGGATAGTTACATGCACAAACCACACCACCACCACCACCACTCCCATCCTCGTCTACACGCGAGGTACCTGGACACCAGACTAAAGTACGGAAAGGGAGGAAAAGAGATGGGAATCCAAGGCAGGCGGAGCAGCAGGTACCTAGCAGCAGCACCGCGTAAGGTCAGGGTGGAGCGGGCTATCAGGGGTTGTGTTGTGTGTGTGGGTGGGATTGGCCGAACGAGAAAGGGAGCTTTGGGCATTTTGCTATCTGAGAGGGGGAAATCATCCAGCCCCTGGCCTGGTGGGTGGAGTACAAACGAAGTACCAAGGCGGGTGGGCCTTCCCTTTTGCTTCCTGTGGACCTGGATTGGCTTTGTTTGACTGCACTGTCTCGACAAGCACGGAGTAGGCACGATGGGTAACGTTAAATAAAGCGATGCCAGTTCTCGGAGGCGGAGAGCTGATGTAAGGTACTTAGGTAGGTCCCAAGCAAGAAGGGAGGCAAGCCACACGCAGCTTCAAAGTCGGTCGGCGGTTCAGAGGAGCACACTGCAGCCAATCCGTCCATGTCTTGTGTGTCTCTGATTCATGTAGGTACGCGCTCTCGCTCCAACCTTCCTTGCCATGGTCATGCAGTGCTTCTACTTGTACTAGTGCAATTGATGTACGGAGAGGTACATGCTACTTAATTGCATACGTGTACGCACGTGATATCTTATCATCGGCGATATCCTCTCTCTCCATCCACGTGTGTCTGGTGTTTTATACCTACCTTAGGTAGCAGGCAATAGCAACCGAGTGGGAAGACCAGCTCAGCGTCGTTCGGACAGTTGCATCATAGAAAGTGTCCCAAACTCCAAAGGGCTTTGGAAGTCCATGCATTCTACAAGTAGTACAATAGAGCCACGAGGTGTCTTTCATCGCGTAACATGGGTTTCCCAGATATGGTCCGGCTCGCGGTCCAGAGCGTTGTCCAGACACAGACTTTCTTGACCCCGGGCTGATGATCGGAAAAAGGTCAGTTCGCGTCAGATGGACACGCCTATAAGAATGTTGAACCATTTGCATCCCCACTGGTAGACTCGAGCAGATTCGGTTCCGACAGAACCTTACTTCCCTACGGAATATGTCCAAGTACGACAAATGGCATGGGTAGCGGCGTGGCTGGCATGTCAGGCTAGGAAGACTCGGCTCCCACATGACAATGACTTTGTTTCCTCTGCAAGTACTTGTACTAGCAAGGGTCAAACCCACCGCTCTCATGCATTCTGACATCTCCTTCCCTCTTCTGGACAAACACAGTGGACTCGCCTACCGCCAATGGCTTACAAAGTCGACGGAGACGACACGAGGTGCGCCTAGCGTGATATGTACAAGTGAAGAGTCGTTGTGCAAGGTCTTGGGGTTGTGAGCAAATACAACCAAGTAATTGAGGTACTTCGAGATAGTTTGCTGTCAGCAAACACCAGGGCCGTCTGTCAATCTGCAAGGGCTCGAAAGCAAATATTGCAAGTACGGAACTTAGGTAAGATTCCCCTTGTTGCGCTGTATAGGCTCTCAGTGCATGTGTTCTCTTTATCTCTTCCCCGCAATGCCATCAGGGTACATTCCCAATCACCGAAACCATGATATACTCGTAAATCGAGGTCCAAGCTGTCATAACGCTACCCACTACCGGAGCTATCTACAGCATACCTTGGGTCATATTAACTTGGTCATGGTCTGGCTTTCAGACCTGGATTCTTTTTAACCTTTTTTTTCTCATCTGTCAACTCTAGCCCATCCCGGGACCTTGGGTGCGTATGCGATTGGCGGACGGCAAGCCGCCGAGTACCAAGATCTGTAGCAGAGAGTGTCGTACAGAGTGAAAGCAGTGGATGGCAGACTGCCAGCTACGGGACCTGTAGGCCGGATGCTGGGCGGCCAAGCGTGTATATTGACGCTTCCATTTTTAATGCAGAAACTTTTCTCCCCAAGACAGACTCCTCGGTGCTACTTCCCTTACAGAGTAGTCCTACGCCTATGCGCGAAGTACGTGGTCACGGAACGGGCTCTCGTGGCCAACCTTTATTACTGTTTCGTGGTACATCACAAAGGGCACCACCGTTTAAATGAGGCAAGCAATAGTCAGCGGGAGAGGCTTACTTGAATTATGGGGCCATGGGCGCAGTCCGATGTCTGTTCGAGAGCCCGAACGGCAAGTCCTAGCTGCAGGACTGCAGGGAGCTAGGACTGTTCCTTAGATTTGTCAACTTCCATGGTAGTTATTTGCAGTTTGCGGCCAGAGGGCCGGTTCTTCTCGGTACCAGCCATTTTCAACCTTTTTCAAACGCGGATAGGGTACCATTTCCCGGCCACAACTGTTCTGGAAGATTGGGCTGGTCGAGCTCTGGACAGCTGACACCTGCAGCTACCAGCAAGCAGGATGGAGTGTGCTCTCCCGGGCTCTCGCTATCGCTATCATCGGCTAGCGGGGTCAAAGCCAACTACCAGGGCTGCTGGTAATCTCCACCACATTTCATTACGGCCCTGTCCGGGGGCTGCTAGGGCACTGCAAGACATGGTTTTTGGTAGCATTCGTGGACGTCGCCGCCCCATCGCTAATTTCCGTCCTCCTGACCTTTGCAGCACTCAGACGACCCGAAAAGAAAAGTTCAGTCCCCGCGATCTCGTCAATAGCCTGGACACACGCGCACGCGCACCTCCCTCTGGCCCAGGCACGAGGAGAGAGGAAGAGACGGCGCGCGATCTGGGTAAGGGGGTGGTGGTGGGTGGTGAGTCGGGCTTCTCGCGCGATCGATTGATGGGATATTACAAGTATAGAGTCGTGTAGTACACATCCATCCCTCCGCACGGCGAGACAAACGTACGCGCCCATTCCTCTCAGCCCTTGCAGAAACAAGAGGCCAAACTCCGTTGCCCGTTGTCGTCGGTGTCCGTCACGAGAGCCAGCGTCGAATAACCATCAGCAAATCTCCTGGCTGGCCCGGCGTCGCATTGAGATGTCTTTCTTCCTCCGCTGCCCCCCTTGGATAGATCCTGGCCTGCGAATTCGCCAAGACCAGCTCGACTGGAATGCGCGCCCCTGCTCGACCCGCAAGCCGGCGAGAGCCCTGTCAATTTGAAACACGTCTGGCGCAATGCTTCAGAATATTGGCTACGCACTGACAGACTTTGGCGCTAACTCTCTCTGGAAAGCATCTTCGGCGTATGGCTGAGCTCATCGATGGCAGAAAGG